CATTGGTCATAACGTACGAACCTGTCAGAATGCTACTGGAGGGTCTAAATAATCCATTTCTAATGTAATTATCGTAGTTGTTTCATTTCGTGGTGGTTAATTGAACATCTTGCGCGTGCTGTGGTGAAAAGTGGTCCACTCGCTGATATGGTCCACTCGCTGATAACGCACGTTATCCGAAGAACCCTGGAAGCTCTTATCTGACGACGCCATGATCCTGTTCTGCGATATCAAGGCATTCTACGGGTGGTGTCATCAGCTCACTTTAGCCCGAAAGCCCCATGGATTGTACGACGAACTTCGAGAAGCCAAAATTCGGGCGCTCAGATCAGACATTGCGAGGATCCGCGCAGAATGCAATCAAATCCACAGTGAGGAGTTGCAGGCAGGGCATGGGTTTGACTACGCCGCCCGCGTTCAGTCACACTTCCTTAGGTGCACGTGCCTTCATCTCAGTGCTACGATCCTGTTAAATCGGATTAATAACCCAGATGTGCCAACCGATTCCGAGTCCCAGGAGGCCGCAAGGGAGATCATTCAGATAACCCAGCAGCTGAAGAAGGCAGGGGACTTGCGATTCCCACGAAGCATTGCGTGGCCACTGCCCCTGTTTCTCGCGGGAATTGAGGTCGAGGACGAAGTCTACCAAGATTGGGTGTTGGCCTTTATGGAAGGGCTCTCGGAATGGGGAGGGAGTGTCATGAAGGCAACGGCACTTTTAAGGCAAATAATGGACAAGCAGGCCGTGGAGGGTGTGAGAATCAGTCCGTGGCACGCTATGATGGAGCTTGGGGAGACTATAATAGTGTAACGATGGCCTTTAGAAGTTTAAACTATGAATTGAGAGAGGTCAGTCGAAAGATGGTACGAGCCTTGTGTCCCCTCTCTTATCGTGGTAGCAGAGGTAAGACATCAGCAGGAGATACCGGACACAAGCCGCCGAGAAGACAGAATAATCTCCACGTAGGCCCATTTTTGGCCCCAGGAAGCTCATCAGATGGTTAATAGAGAGCTGAGTCTCGAAGGCTTAGATCTGAAGAGGTTATGTGAGGATTCGCTGTCGGCCTCAGACATTCGGGCCCGAAGACGGCGATAGACCCTCGCGGATCAGTTTCAGGTCATCGATTGACTGTCGAATGCCGGCCACGAGTCGACCTTTCTTCGCACCGAGATCTGACAGAACACGATCCCAATTCTCTAGCAAGACCTCCTGGGTCTCAACGTCGAATCTCTCCAGGCGCTCCGTTCCCGTACCGGGATATGTCCGTGCCCACTCATCGCGCATGTCTTTCAGGGAATCAGCAGTCATGTTGATATGGTTGATAAAGCCCATGAACACCAAGATTAGCCGGGAGCATGTGACGGCGGTTTGAGCGCAGTTATGGCTTATTAGCTCATCCAACTGATCGATGTCCGTCTGGCAGGACAGCTAGTCTTTTCATCAGTAGCAGTCATTGTGCTTAGGCATAGATATTGCTTACCTTAACCTTGAAAATGTCGCCAATATGATCTACGGTCATAGTCCAGTCTCGTTCCCAAGCATCCAGGTGGCTCATCAAAAGCATCTGAAACAGCGCGATCCCGGCGCCCTGCCGGGGAGATTGCAGGCCTCGTTCTTTCCATGTCTGCTCAGTCACGTTGATTTGCGTGTGGCCCCAGTCTGAGACGTAGACTGCAACTGCTGATGGCGACGCATTTGGGGTGTTGCCATTGTAGCTGGTCGCAACTCTCATGCCGGTCCACTTCCGATGCTCTCTGAACGTGATGCTGCTTTTCCTGCCACGGAGCTCGATGGGAACAGTGAAACGGCCACGGGAAACCTCCATGCCTGATAACCCCACCTGATCACTATCATCCTCGGCATCTTCAGTAACCCGGTAGAAATGCGATATGAAGTGGAGATACATCCAGTAGTCGGACGAGGTCCCAACGGTGAACGAGAACTTCCTCTTGAATTGGTACTGATGTGGTGTAAGTCCCCGACAGAACCCTTGCAACGAGTCCAAGGCCCATGTAATGTCCCTGTCGGCGAACCCGTCGAAATTTTCGCCCGACTCATCGTCTTTGCCAGGGTTGCTTAGCAGACTCAGAACGGTTGCAATGGTTGGAAATGGCATTAGAGCACCACCAAGCGTAGCAAAAGACCTTTTCGAAACAAGTTAGCAACAGCATTCATCTGATCCTGTGAACATACTTACCAGTACTGTGCCGTCGAGAATGGTTCTCCATGCAAGTGAATCTCGGAAAGTTGGGCTGGTGGCGCAACTTCTTTGTCAGTCTCGCGCCGGGGTGCTCCACCTTGAAGGTACGCCTATGCAGCGTGAAGATGTAAGTATCGCACTTCCCTTGACTTGCCTTTTCAAGCTGGGCGTGGACGTAAACACATACCCCTTGCTTCCTGGCGGCAAGAAATTTCTCCTCAAGCCCACGTGTAAATGTATACACGGCAACTCCACGGTTGATTGGTTGAGATGCTAGCCAGTGAAGCAGATAATATTCAGGTGTCTTGGTATCAGTGAGCACTTCACCGACGAGGCGGCCGACAAGCTCGCCTATCTCCTCCTTGGGCCACAGATGGCGAATCAGCGCTGCGGCTTCTGCCAGCTCACGGCTGCTGTCGTCCCACTCTGGGCAGTCGTTAATATGCTTGAACGACACAGTTAGAGGGCATAGAGCCTCAGTGCCCGCAAGAATGCTGCGGTGGCACGGAGCAAAGCGCAGCTTAGCGGCCCACGCGGAAGCATCAGCGGTGATTCGTGGGTCCGTTGCGTGAAAGTCGTTGCCAGGAATAGGGCCAGCCGGGGCGCGCGAGGAGTCAAGCTTGTAGTAGTCGCGATGGATGGCGTACCATGGTAGAGTGTTGTTTTTTAGGATCGAGGCACTGTCATATACGGAGAGAAACTTTTCCAAGATCTGGTCGAGGTTTGGCTTGGTCGGTAGCAGCTGGCCAGGGACCACGCGAGTGTTTGGATCCGTTTCTCCCTTGGGCCGGTGAGGCCCTGCGACGATGTTTGTCGAGTCCGCCATGGTCTCGGTTTGAACTGACTGCTTGAAAGTTGGTATGCGTGCTTGAGGAAATCCTCCGTGAATGCAAGTATCGGAACAAAGACGAGAAGAGGGAGGGAGGCAGCTGACTGCCCTGATATTTATGCCCCCCATCTTTGAGTGTGCGGGGCACGGTGCGCATGCAGATGGAGTGGTTTCATATGCTGTGTGCGCTGGAGAGGGTGGCATCTTTTGCCGCTTGTTGGGCGAGGAGGTGTGATATTGCGCATACGGTGTTGGTCATCTCCCTGCTATGCATCCCTACATGTACATAGCAGCAACGGGGCGCAGCTTGAGCAATGACGGTTCATTGGCCCCCATGCTACATCCCCTCACAAACTGTTTGATGGTTAGCTGCAGGCGGCACTAGGACTGCGTCGTACCGTGATCCCTGTAGAAGGAGCGTATGCTCAATCTTTGCTGGCTTGCCATATGGAATGTGAACATATCTTGAAGGCAGTGTTTGTCAGTGGAGGTGTCACAACGTGCATATGAAACGGGAGCTTCAATCCCTTACTCTTGACCAGGGGACTCGAACCCAGACCAATACCACTACGTGTTGGCAGTTTGATCGTCTCGATTGCTCACTACATGCAGATATGCACGCTACAAATCATTGTTTGAGATCCTCTATGAAGTATACCCCAGGAGCGTAGCAAAGAGGTTTGGCCACTACGATCTCAAAGCGAAGGGAAACTTGAGCAAACCATTTGCTTCACGCGCCTGTATAGGACATGGACATATGAGGTCGTATTTAAGGCCTGCTGGGATGCCATTGATCTCGAATGTAGTTCCAGTAAAGCCTCAGCATCTTCAAAGAGAACACATCGAGACATTATCACCTGACACGTCAATAATACACTGCAGAAAGCCGCCACTGATATCACTCACCACGTCCTGTAAGAGAATTCGCGATAGACACTTCGTTTCGTTCGCTTATTTTGCATGATAGACATCTCAATCCAGACAAGGATACCGATGGCGTGGTGCCAGAAATGCGAGGAGCATGTGACTCCCAAGGCCGGGAAATGCCCCAACCCAGGTTGCGATGAGAATGTGTATTGATCGCTTGGCGTGGTGTTCGAATCTTGACTTGGTCTGGCAATTCCACCTGGGAATACGTCAAGCGACAAATTGAGGGCATGTTTTGTAGAGGAGAAGTGACTGTGTCAGTACATGTAACAGCTCAGTTCATGTTGATAGATCGTATACCATGAGGTTCACGTACACCCAGACCGCCACGCCGAGCCAGTCATTAGACCAAATTTCTCCTACGAGTATTGAATGTGCACGTGTTGGAGGCACTACGGTGCCTTGCTAATACCTGGAATATAATAAGAGTAGTGTTCTTTGTAGAGAGACCTTTTGCTAGTGGTAGAGCCTATAGGAGCAAAAGCAGCGACAGCAGCGACAACAGCGAAAGCAGCGAAAGCAACGAAAGGAACGAAAGCAACGAAAGCAACGAAAGCACGAAAGTAATAGGCAATGTGCCGCTACTATCCTATGCCTACGCTAGTATGTAGTAAAAATCAGTAGGAAAATCACTAAGGCAGCATAGGGGTAGGGCGCGGCCGAGAAAAACAAAAGTAGGAGGGCTCTACAACTAGCAAAAGTTGGCTCTACCAATAGCACTCCTCTATAATAAAGGGGTGAACATTGAGAGGACCAGGTCAGACTCCCCGCAGTTTAATCAATCAGCACCGAAGTTTGCATTGACAGCGAACATTTCAAGGTCTAATTACCGGGCCAGTCCAACGGTGATGGAGGTCCAACGAGTAGATGTCGAACGATTTACGCCTTTTGCCGATGCCTAAAGACGCGAAACATGGTGCGCTATGTGACAGAATGTGTCATGTGCGATGTTTACACCGCCATCTTGACTATCTGCGTTTCGCAGTCCAATACCAAGCTTGAGACCCAGAACCTGCTTGCCCGGCGAACGTGGTTGACCTTTCCTTTGGCGATGTGCGCTCCTAGGGTGTGTAACTAGATTGATGACCCCGTGATGCCATTTACTGGGTAACTGGGCTCTAGCATTTCCGTATGATCGTGTCCGGCGGAAGCATCGCTGGCAATCATGTTTTTGCCTAGCTCAGGTAGTCTACCATCATGCGCAGATGGACCAAGACTTCTCGCTTTCCACATCAAACTCTTCGGGCATCGTGTGCAAGACCGCTTGCCGTGCGCTTCGCACCCGAATTAGTTGGGTGTGACGTTCAGGCATCCGATTAGGGTTCGGCGGGTGCGCCATGGCTCCAGAGCTGAAGCGAGGAAGTGGCGCCAGTCAAGTACGAGGGGGCGCTCGACGCCACCTCTACCAGCGCGTTGTTTGTGAAGAGAAACGGGCGCACTCCCGTCCGACCGGACGCCCCGGAACCGACTGGGATGCAGTTCGGTGGGTGGCCCATCAATTAATGAAGGCAGTGGGCACCAAGCAGTGAGAGCATGATGTCACGGCCACAGAAAAAGACATTGCGCCTGTATGCGGGCGCAGACGGCCTACAGCGCAACGCACTGGCAAACCTGCATCATCCTTCAGGGCATTTGCTACTTCGCTACGGCCCACAGCCATTGAAGCGCGAGACCCCAGAAGGTCATCCAACTAGGCCCCCAACGACATCCGGCACTGGAGCAGTTGCAAATTGCTTTCTCCATCTGTATCTTGTGAACTTGTGTCGAATATGCGTGGGTGTCACGGAGGATCAGATTCGGTTCCGGAGTCCGGACGATGGGCTAGGCAAACTCAATTTCTCAGCTTCGGCAACGTACCCCATGCGACACGGGGGATCTTATCATCCCGTGCCGTATTGAGAGTGCCGAAGCGTGCCGGGAGGCATCCAAATGTTGTACAGCTGCGAGGCTGGCCATTTCTTCCCAGGTTGATCGATTCAAATGATCGGCCGCGTCCCATCCCGCCGTGCGGAATCCAAGCGATGATCCCGATCGTACATGTTCAAGCGCATATGAATGCACCATGAAGGCGGCGCAATGTTCCAAGATATTGACCCTGGTCGTGCTCTGTACCTTGGGCGGTATGCCAATCGTCGTGACAATTGAGAGCCCAGCTAATTTGTCGCAGCGGCAGAGTATGTCAACGAGCCACGCGCGGCCCCTGATGCGCCCAACGGCTACGCGCCAGCCTCAGTGGCATGTCCAAATCCTCGTCCGACCATCCGCGCAGGGTCGAGTTTGTCGAAACAGGAGAAGGCCTGGCTGCCTCTCCGCGACAATGAGACTGCGCCTGCGCTTCAATCTCTGCTCGGACGATTCAACATCAGCGGCTTCGATGCCACCACGTACATCAACACAATTGTGGACGAAATCAAGGCAGGAAATAAAAGCGCGCTGCTCCCTAGAGTCGCCGTGGCAGTCTCAGGCGGTGGCTATCGGGCACTCATGAATGGCGCCGGTGCCCTTGCGGCATTCGACAACCGCACCACCAATTCGACGGGGCAAGGGCAGCTTGGTGGCTTGTTACAGGCGACTACATATCTGAGTGGACTGTCCGGAGGGAGCTGGCTCGTCGGCAGCTTATATGTTCAGAACTTTACCACCGTAGAGTCCATTATCTCGTCGACGAGCGGATTTCTGAGCACGCTCTGGCAATTTGGCGACTCCATTCTCCAAGGTTTGCTGAATCCCAACAACTGCAATAAAATCTTGGGTTACTAACGCATTTCAGGGCCTGCTGGCCTTCGCCCTGGGCAGTACTACAACGCGCTCTATCAGACGGTCAATGACAAGGTCGATGCCGGCTTTAATACCACAATCACCGACTACTGGGGGAGGGCATTGTCGTATCAACTTGTGAATGCGAGCGACGGCGGACCGGGTACGAACCTGAGCGCTCTGTAGCCGTGAGAACCCTAGTGCGAATCGCTAACGCCAGGAAATTGATAGCATATACATTCTCGTCAATTGCAAACGACACCGACTTCGCCCGGGCGCTTGCCCCCATGCCACTCATTGTCGCACTCGAGAGGGCCCCTGGACAGCTACAAGTCCCCGCAAACGCCACCGTTTTCGAGTTTAATCCTTGGGAAATGGGCTCCTACGACGCTGGAGCGGCAGCCTTTGCTCCGTTGAAGTACGTTGCGAGCAATTTTAGCAAAGGGTCAATCCCCCGACAGGGCGAGTGCATCGCTGGACTGGACAACGCCGGCTTCGTCATGGGAACCTCGTCGTCTCTCTTTAACCAGGCTTTCTTGCAGATAGGGAAGGCATCGGGAGTGCCTGACTTGCTAACTGGAGTCCTCAACCGCACTCTGGCAAACATTGGCGAAAACAACGCAGACATTGCCAGCTGGCCGAACCCCTTCTATAACTACAACCCTGGAAACAACATCAACGCCGAAGCTGATCTTCTCACATTGGTCGACGGCGGGGAAGCACTGGAGAACATACCTATACACCCTCTCCTCCTTGAAGATCGATATGTCGATGCCATATTCGCTGTTGACGGCTCTGCCGACACCATGACCTACTGGCCTAACGGGACGGCAATGGTGGCCACGTTCAACAAGTCCATCAGTGGCTTTTCTCCGAACACCAGTAGCGCTTTCCCTCCCGTTCCGGACCAGAATACGTTCGTGAACCTCGGCCTCAACTCAAGGCCGACGTTCTTTGGGTGCGACAACACCTCAACGCCCCTGATTGTCTATCTGCCTAATACCCCTTACACTACATTCTCCAACGTGTCGACCTTTGACCTATCGTACAACGACACGCAGCGCGACCAGATTGTTCAGAACGGCTACAATGTCGCCACAATGGGTAATGGGTCCATCGACTCGAACTGGACTCAATGTGTAGGATGTGCGATTCTGTCGCGCAGCTTTACGCGGACGGGTACCACAGTACCTTCAAAGTGCGTCGACTGTTTCGCGAAATATTGCTGGAACGGGACAACCAACTCTACTGAGCCATCAGTGTTCCAACCCCAGCAGGTCATTGTCGCGGGCGGCGTGGGGAGGGCGATGCAGCCCAGTGTCCTGGCCATGCCTGCGATAATTGTCCTAGCAACGGCTATGATGCTGCTCTAAGAAGCAGCAGACTGTCTCTACAAGCAATCATCCAACGATATGGGGGACTTTTGTAATTACGCTAACTCAACGATATCACGGCAAGACGATTCGTCCGTGTACCAATGGCTCGTACCGTTGCTTTAATATCTTATACCAACACTTATTGTCATTGTGTGATATAGCCGTCGTATCGTCACCCATAAATATAGTAGCTCCCTATACTCATCCACCAGCATCGCATGTCGATGGACCGTTGGCCACTCCTGCATCATGCGCCAAGTTTGGGATACCGACATAGATGGCAGGCTGCGCCTTCTCCGGAACGAACGAGCCGACGAGTTCATACTGACCTGGAACTATTCGGATTAGAGTTACTTGAGAGAGGCGGCGTTCAATCTAGGCCATCCTGACTTATCTTGGCTTTCTGTTGCATGTGGCCACTGACGAAGTCACATGCACGCTACGCACGATCAATGCTTCCAAAGGTCGATCAAATCAGCCCACGCCAAGAGTGGCCTGTGACATCAGTCACTTTAGCGATATTTGACTTTATTGTTCTGCGTCTTTGATCGAGACCGGCTGACCCAAGTTCCAGTGGCATTGGTGCCCGAATCAGGTGACGTTCGATGTTGGAGACTGAACCTAACCCTCAAAGATATAATTAGCGCAAGGCCATTTATCACAATGTTTTTGTATTTTAACGTTAGTATCAGTGAATGCAACCTCCTCATACTATCCTACCATTAATTATGAGGACCTTTGCCGCCACGCTCACCCTATTCCACGGCCTCGTCGCCGCTATCAGTCGGGTCTCTCCTAGAGGCAACACATACGTACGCAAGTTTGATCCTCGTGAACACGGACTGTTGCTGATGCAACGAAATCGAAATTTAGACTCCGGACGCAATGTCCCGGATGCATAGAATGTTTGATGTCAATTGTGAGATTCGGGAAGTCTGTTGCACCACACATGTAACCTGACGTACGGCGATATGCAGGTCACTAATCTGCTTCTACAAACAAGAACGGCCAGAGGGTCAATTGCATCACGAGCGAGCCTTATACCCCCGTTCATGGAGTAAGGACTGTCGTGTCCATCGAATCAGACACGATTGGAATCTCACAGCTGAACAGCAACCTGTCTCGCCGATGTCGAACCTGGAAGAAGTCTGTGTGAATGCAGGCGGAGTGAGCCTCCACCTCCGACCATTACTGTCGCACGCCCCACGACTGACATTTTCGGAACTTGAAGTGCGACGACTGTGAGATCGGCGAGTGGGGGGTTCGTACCGTGAGTCCCCAAGATTGAGAAGATCGTTTCACGGGCATCTGAATCGTCGAAAACACGCAGACCGAGTTCTTTTGCCGAGTTCCAGAGTCAAAGGAGAAGCGCTGTGCCATCTGGGCTGAGGCATGCGCCCGCACGTGGTTGGGCGGCCAATCGTCGACTGAGGGTTGAGGAGAAGTGAGCGACCACCGGTTGATGAGAAACATTAGTCTATAAAGCCCCCAGGTTGCAGTCCTATCCTCAGTGCGCTACGGCACCTGGAGCCTGGGATTGTAAAGTTGTGGCAGTTCAATGTTTAGAGCCGGTGGGTCGTATTGACAATTGGCTGGGCGGGGGCCAGTCCAGTCGAGGGGTCTTCACACGGGTTTATCTCAGGCGGTACTGACTGGATTGGCTGTAATTACCTCGAGGTCTACTTATGGCAATAGCCTGCTCGTAGTGTAAACAGGTGGTGGCAAAACAGTGTGACATCAAGGCGGTTCTATGCTTGTTCCAGGCTGAACATGGGCCATCTGCGGTCCATTCTTCAGCTAGCTAATATGCGTACAAGTGGGCCGTAAACAGCACTGCCATTACCGCTCATACCCAGCACCCCGCTGCCATGGGCTGCCATTGCGCTCACGGTCAGCAATGGCTCCTCCCATCATGCTGGACGATGACAATCTCACCTTGGACTTCTCTGCGGGCTCAAAAGCGCAGGACTGGCGTTTAAGTTCGATCGTGCCCTGTCAGGCGATGCTGGAGACCGCGGAGTCCTGGGCCTGGGTGACCCCGCCCGAAACGGGCTTTCCGGGCGCTGACGAACTGGAAACAGGGAGACTTCACTGTCGCCTGCTGTAGGGGTTCCTCTGTGGCGGGACCCTTGGGCACTGTTGGACCGCCCCTGCGGATGCATGGTATCCGACAGCACTGACTGGTTGTCCTCGTCCAGGTCCAGCGGGTGCTTGTAGCCAGTTTTGTCGCCACGGGCGGTAGCAGCCAGTGCGTCAAGCTCAGTCGTGGTGTTGAGCTGTGTCTGCGACTTCATAAAGGATGCGCGGTCGTCTGCCATGATCTGATACCGAGCGTCGGGATTCTTTCGGAAGAAGGTAACAGTTGTCGATATAATTACCATGAGGAGCAAGATAAGCGAGAATGCGGCGTTCAGGACGAACAAGACGACCCCGACCGTACCGACCACGATTAAAGGCGCCCCAAACTTATTGGCGAATATTAGCAGAAAACAGGCATTAAGGAAATTGACCGTGCAGATAGCAATATTAAAAGAGTTGGTGCTTTTGTCCATCCACGGGCGCAGTACCGAAGCCGCTATTAACGCAGCGGCCTCGACCAGAACGAACCCAATTGCCTGGGCTGTGCCGTTGTTCTGTCCAAACGACACAAGCATGGCCTTGATGACCGTATAGCACAAGACAGGCGCAATAAAGTAGTACGCCGATGCGCGAAACTGAATGTATAGAAATCCCCATTTGTTCAATGTTTGGGGGTCCGAGAACAGGATGTAGGCTGGGTTCCTGTGCATCGCGATGGAACGGCGGGCGATGCGGATGACTTTGCAGGCCCCCCAGGTGAGAGTGGCGATCATCCCAGCAGAGAACACAGCCGCGAGGACAATTTCGGCCGGCGAATCCGCTTGCGTAAATTCCCAAAAGCAAAGGATGCATATCTGGGGAAATCCGATGAGAACGATGCGGAAAAGAATGCCCTTGAGAACCGTGAGCCATCCATTTCGGAACTCGAGGAACTTCTCCGGGCCAATCCAGCCCTTTTTGGCGCAGAGGTCGAAGACGGTCTTGAGGATGATGACGACGAGCACTGTGAACAAAACGAAAAAGTAGAAGAATGCGAGTCCCGTCATGAATAGATTCGTCGTCTCAATCTTTGATCGGAACGCGACTCGCTGTATGCCGTAGACGAGGAATGAGCCGGAACCCGTTGTGATGTTTCCGCGTTTGAAGAGCTTGCCCGCCGGTTGGATAATAGACGCAGGCATCATTGCTAAACTCCGTGTGAAAAGATTCATGCCCGACTCTGTGACCGGAGCTGCACGTTTAAGCGCCCGCTTGGCGACCTGAACGGAGACCGTGGTGAGCGAGTCAAAGATGGCCGCAGGCGTCCCCCCCGTGGCCCGCTGATACCAAGTGAAGAGCGTCTGCATGAATTCCACGCGAATAATACCCATGGACCATTGGAAATCCATTGCCCAGGCCTGAACAATCGGCGGAAGGCTAACACCAGTAAGGCCAAGGATAGCCTGGGCTTGAAAATATCCGAAAAGAGCCAGGGAATTTGCTGCAACATGAGCCGCGGCGTTAGGGTTGCCAAGGCCATTGACTACTGCGGAGGATATAAGCGCAAGTCCGGCGATGATCGCCGTAGCCCATTTAACCCCAAAAAGGTCAACCGTCTTGCCATTGGAAATATCTGCTTCAACGCAGGCAACGCTCTCTCCGGTCGATGTTAGGTTGACGAAAACTTTAACCTTGGCATCAAGGTCCGGGATGTTATAAGCAATTCCAGGTATCTGTCTCGACGCCTCCTCTCCGACGTTTAGTGTGAAGCCAAACGGAATTTTGCCGGCAACCATTGGACAAAGGCCCGGCAGATTCATCTCGCAAGGGTTCAGGGTTTGGCGGAGGAATTGGTAGCCATAGGCGGATATCGCAAGGTCAAACACTACCTTGCCTTCGATCGAGGACGTTGCGACCATCTGAACGTTCGCGGTATTGTTCGAGGGCGTGTACACGACATTGAAGAGGGAGGCCTTGAAGCTCGAATCCTGTTGGCACGCATTGAGCGAGCTAGACATCAGAAGCCGCTCTCCAGTGGCCGACGAGAGGAGCGTCGACACGACCGCAAAGAGCATCAACGGTAGGCGCATCGTGAAAGACGTCATGTTTCGCCCTTGCCCAGTGCAAGTTGGTGTAAAAGCTCTCGCTCCTGATCCTCTCGCCGCTCCAGGTGCTCTCGGACCGTCCGAGCCTCAATCCGGCCGCTTCGTCGCGCAATGTACTCGCATTCAATGTCCACGTCTGGTCGGTCGGAATCCCGGACGGTGATGACAAGCTCTTTGCGTATTGACGACCAGGCGGACGTTCGAACGTGCCGCCTTCCCTTTCGCAATGCCAGACGTCAGCCGACGTCTTGCGGCGCCGTGATTGCAGTCTCGTGGCGCGTGTCGGTATACGTGGTCAGTTCGTCCGTACGCGCGTGCTGACTAGATCGGAGACGTCGATGGATGTCACGCGCAAATCGGCCAGATTCGTCCAAGCAGCATCGACGGGGTGGGAAGTCGCGCTTAGACACCAGAGAGCGGCACGTCAGAGTTGCCGAATGCGCCGTGACAGGTTGAGGAATGGATTGAGCTCGGTGCTGAACAAGTCGCCGTGGGTTGTCAGTCGGGAAAGGAGCGAAGCGTGGGAGAGAGCACTGCCACGGGAGAATGTGTTGGTCACAGGTAAGTCACATTCGCACAGGGATAATCGGAGATATGACAGGCGTTTGCCGAATACGACACCTACGACACCGTTTGGCGCTCAGATCGCAATATGACGGGTCGCACGACACCAACAAGAGGTCCGTGTTGGGAGCTCGAGCAGCCCTACCTCAAGCCTATTCTTGGATTGACATCGGGGGTGAACCGGCTGTATCGCGGCTGGCTGACCTTCAATTGATGCTTCCATATCTAGGCCAACACCAGAGAAACTTGACTCTGTGAGGTTACGGGCTCATTTCGCTCACCCGGTAGGCTTGTACGCTCCCAGCTCGTTGCTTGTGCGACATCGGCAACGGAGCGTCGGAATCTTGTCCGTGCATAAAGGCATGAGAATCCTTTTGATCTGACCCGTAAGTACATGTACCCTTCGGGCATCCCTCGTACCGTGATACGAAGTACGAAGTACAAAACACTCCAAAAATGTCTGCATGCGGGCACACGTCCAGCAGTAAAGCAACGCAGGTCCTTCAAAGCTTATTCGCCGTCTCCGTAGTGAGAGTAAGGTGTTCAAAGACCAGCGTTGCCGGTTAACCGACATGTCGCACGATGCGCTGATCCCCTTCAAGCGCCCATGGGCCAGGCCAATGGGTTAAGCTATCACTGTACCTCGCGACGTAAGTTACAGCACCACCACCCGTACATGATCCTCCTGTTGGTTGCCCGTACATAATGCGTACGTAGTCGAAAACAGAAGCAACGAGTTTGCCAAGCCAGGCCAAGATGCGCATGAAATGTTCATTTCTGCCATGCCGAGATGCTTTCTTGGCATTTGACTTGACGGCGGCATCTGACAAAGGCTCCCACGACGTGTAACCTTGCAAGCAAGACATCGCCAACTCCGCATTGGCAGTAAACGTACGCCCACTTCGCACTCAGGCTCGTTGGAAGCAGATCATACTCAGTGTCACTGAAGCACGACGACGTACTCGTACAGTGCCGGTTCCTAAATGCCGTTGTGCCAGCACAGCCGGACCCCCCTGCTAAATGCTGTGAACATAAAGCATCATAATTCACTTTCTCGGGTAGACCGCGAAGGCCGCAATGGCCGGTTGGACGCGAGCCACTCTGTCATGCAGATTGAGACAGTCAAGCGTCTACCTACCTTGCCACGCATTGTTAAATCACGCTCGGGCTTAGCACAACTTCACCTTTTCATGCAGTGCCCATAGTGTCAAGATGAGGAACGCTGCAGGGGCTTAAATGCAACAGACGTTGTGTGGCGAGGGCGAGCTCAATTAGGATTATGTGAAACAGCGCAACGACACCCCTTTCCCCGTGGAGAGGTTCCACGGCGTTGGCCACATGTAGCCTTACCACGCCGTAGTACAGGGCGGTAAAGCTGCTCCACGATGTTTTCTGTGCGCTGTATTGTCCATCTTAGATACTACTTCCGCTGAACCTTATCGTCATTTGGCACCTGTTTGAGGTGGACCTATCAAAATTGTCCCACTGATCCCCCACGTTCTCAATGCCATCCCAAGGTCCAAACTTTCATGTCAGGGGCTCATGCTATGCTACAGGGGAATGCAAGGCAGTTCTGCCTTGCACACTAAGCTTTGAGGAACGAAGTCCGCGGTGGTCTTGACTCTGCACCTTGAGAAATACATCGGCTCCGACCTAGAGAGCCAGCTTTGAGATACCGGCAGTGGCTCCGGCTTCGACAGCCAGCTTGGAGATACCGGCAGTGGCTCCGGCCTCGGCCAGCCAGCTTTGAGGCATATGCACTGACTCTAGAGCACGGCAGCAATCAATCAGGAATACTTAGCGACTGAACTAGCGAATTAGAAGGCCGGTTTATACTTCTTAAATCTGGCCGACCCTGAGGAGTGAAAAAGCGGCCCAAGCCCATAAAAATCCTTTCGGAACTTCGTTCTTCAAGGCACGACGGCGATGAGATCAAGAACGTTCCTGATAAGAGCACATCTTTCAGCTTTCGACGGTCTCTAGCCAGGCTGCATGTAGCCATCAGGGCAATGGCGAATCCCGCGATTTTTTGCCGTATGCTTCTTTGTGTAAAAGCAAATAGTCTGGCCTCGAAAGAAAAGGAACAAATCTGATCTGACTCTCGGCGTGCTCATGCGTCAACTTGAACCGCGGCTATCCCGGTGGAAGGGAGGCCAAGAGCTAGAGCTTAATGTTCTTCGGCAACTTGCTGCGCAGCCTGATATAATTATCTACGTGTTTATGTCTCATTGAGCCATTTAACAGCCTTGTAGTATGTAGTAAAGGCCATGGACTAGCAATGGGTTGGAGAGCTATGTCGAAGCGGAAAAGGAACATGAGGGACCTGGGCGTCAACAAGGTAGCTTAAATCCGCGACCTCCCGCCCCTATCTACGGAATTAGCTCGTCTTGGACATCGCAGATTATTACATACATTAGATCCTGACGGCTTGGGCTACAACATTGTTCATCGAAATGAAGGTCCTGTTTGCCATTCTCCCGGTTCTTGCAGCGACTTGTGTCGCGGTCCCCGCATCGGGCTCCAAGGGAATTGAACAGCGATCCCCGGGATACTTCGACCGCGAAGGGTGCAGAAACACTAAAGGCCGCCCTCGCGGGAGCCGTTGCCATTCGGGAACGGACTGCTGCAGCGGTACATGCCTCAGCGAGGTGCCCAACCAGCTGCAATTGGACTCCCAGCCCGCGGCCAAGCACTGACCTTTCGCGATGTCCAGATCTGTTCTTGAACGTGTCATCCTCGAAACAAAAAGGTGGAGAACATGCGTTTCTTGTGGACTATCCAGACGTTTCAGCTCCCACGGACGCCTGGGACCCTTCGATCAACAAATGGCGCTTCGTGTGCTCAATTGACTGCTAGTTAGATCACCCAGCAGTTATCATCATCAGAGGAATATTTGCTTATGCCGTTGTGAGGCCGCCTTTGATGTTGCCTACTCGTAGTGATCACACATGGGATGCCTGTAATTGCCCTGGCTTCGGCGGAGATCGGGGCCTTGCGATCTAGCCGCGGTCGCCGCCTGGGATACAGCACACCGGGAGCCCAATGCGCAGGCACCGCGCACCCCTGCACAGGGCAAGCGTCGTCAGACAAGACATCGCCCTCGTTTTTCTCCTTCCTCAAATTACGCGCTGGCCCGTGAGGCACCTGCGTCTCGGCTGCCGCTCGGTCCATTGGTAGGCCGGTGTGTTACAACAAGTGCCACTGTTCATATCCGCACCTAGTTCTCGTTCTTCTTACGGTAACCAAGTCTCTCGCTGTGGGCTACTTCAAAATGGCCACGACGTGAGGTCCCGAGGAATGAAATGACTGCTCAACCTAACTTCCAAACGCGGGGCAACAAATCGGTGGGGAGCAGGGCTTGCGGTCGTTGCACTGATATGCATGCGCGGCATCTTCTCAGCGTCTTACCTCAACACCTCGTATTGAGACGGTACATGTAATCGAGACGACATCGCGAAGCCTATGTGCTGAATAGGCGCAGCGTACGGAGGCAATTGAGCATTCTTGATAAGCCTTGTTCAGCGCGCTTCGGCACGCATATTCGAGCATTGGACACCCCCGACCAAAGACGGCCAACACTACGGCGCCTCTCCGGTTACAATCACATCTTTCGCCGAAGCCAAAGCTCACGGTGAGCACACGGACGCGACATACGTACTTCACACATGACAAATGAGAGTCAGACGCACCGATGATCTACACTGAGCTTCTCTAGACTTTTGGCCTGGTGTCGTTCGCAATGTTGGACGCACTCAATAAAAGGAAGCACAGCTTCGTGTGGGCACTGCACGGACGGTCTGCTCGTGGGCTAACTAGGCAACATGCGTACCAGCCTTTGGTGTCATTTGAGCAATGTAACTACAGTACACGCATACTGTACTATGGAAGCACCAAAGGGCCTTTTCGTCTGCACCATTCAACCGTCGAATCCACAATTTAGGACTAAATCGGGTTCGCGATCACTTCTAACTTCCCAAAGCTGTTGACTGCCTGATAACTCAGTCGGTCCGTTGTCGCTTGTCCCCTCGGCTGGACTTGATGAAGAAAGGGAAATGCAACGTGGTAGACAGTGATGACGATGTGCATATTGTCAAGCCATGGACTGGCAGTATTTAACTACAGAGGCATTCCCCGTCCTCTGCCAGTCCATCTTCAACCCAAGACAATCACCCCTATCTATCACACCACACTCTGCTTACTTCGCACCAACTGTCAATACACAAGTCAAAATGAAGGTCACCGTCGCAGTCCTGTCACTCCTTGCTACTCTTGCGGCAGCAAGCCCAACCCCTCGCTCGGTGACGGAAGCTGCAGCCCCCGTTGAGGCACGGAGCTGCCGCAATGCGAACGGACTGCCATACAACAGCCGCTGCCAGACAGGCTGGGAGTGCTGCAGTGGTGCTTGCCTGAACTACGTAAGAGCCAGTTCCTCGCACATGACGAAACATCTTCTCCGAGCCAGGTAACTGACACGGCGGCTGCAGCGTTGCGGTTAATTTGGGCAGAGGCCCTTAGGGGATATCGATGATACGCACGACGCTGGCACTGGGGTACGGGGGAGAAGGAACAACCATCTGAAAGGGTTATATCATTGTAGCGCCTCAGCTTTTGAACAGATGCTTTCTTCGAAATGCCTCGCTGCGGCTCAACCACACGCGCCGCTGTGCTCGTTCTATAACTGTCTCCCAAGGCGAAACAAGGCGTTCTCGTTATGAATCCGGCTATCCATAGCTCGCATCCTCCATCATGGCCTGCATTTGTCTAAGTGAGCTTAATCCCGGAGATCCTCCGTGTTTGCCAAAATGGACTCCTCAAGCGAAGTCCATCCGGTCCTTCCGATTTGGCGGAGCAAGTCTTCTGCCCGAGCAGCCGGCTTTATCACGTTGGCATCCACACCACCATGGAAGTTGGGGATGAATTCACGTCCCGGGTTGTGCTTTCTCAAGATATCCAGCACGGTGTCCCAGTTGAACCTGCCTGCGTAGGCAAAGATGCGCTCATCCTTGACTTGGGGCAGGATCGCGGCAGCAACGTGAAGCCGGGCAGTGTCTTGAACGTTCACGAAGTATTCTAGCAGCATTGTTAGTGATTTTGTACGGCTGGCGCTTCTGAGGAAACTTACGAGGCAGTAGTGGCTCAATTGAGGCACGGTCTCCCTTCCATGCCAGGACGGGGTAGTATGAAGTGCTGGGATGACCCTGGATCGCAGGGTTAAGGCTTGGACCAAAGTTGACATTGGGCAGAACTAGGAAACGGTTAGTGTTGTCTGTTAATGGTGAGTCGGAGCGTAGCGCGACATACCAGTGTTCATGATGAGATCCGGTCGACTCTTCTGGGCTTCGCGATAGAGCGCCCAGGTTTCCTTCTCCGCAGTTGTCTTGCTGGCGGAATAGACAGCCGAAGCGCGGCTGGGCTCATAGGGTGGGTCAGCCCACGCCTCACGGACAGCCGCATCGTTCCAAGTCTCCTCCGTGACAACGACGCCCTCCTTGCTGGTGCTTGCGTTCGTAGTCGCGGATGAGGACGACGTGTAAACGAACCGCTTGACGCTAGGCTCGGCTATCGCGGCCTTGAGGGCGCTAAGAGCGCCGGCGACAACTGGAGGGATGACCTTGTTCGGGTTGTAGTCCATTGACATATCCGAAGCGACGTGCGCGACGGCGCTTGCTCCTTGACGAGAGTCAATCCCAGGCCCACCCGCGCGATGGAGAAGTCCACGTACCTTTCACTGCATCATTGTACGCTCCATCAGCAGCCATGTCGACAACTGTGGCGAGCTCAAAACGCCCCTTTCCATATTTCTCCTCAAAGAGCGCGCTCAACCAGGCCGCCTTGCCAGCGTCGCGGGTAGTACCGCGGACTCTGTAGCCGTAGTTCAGGAACTGATCGGCGACATTGGAGCCAATGAAGCCAGTGACGCCAGTCACAAGAACCAGCGAATCTTTGGGGAGTGAAACGTCCTTGGGCACAGTCATTGTGATTGTGTGTTGGTTGTGGTGTTGTAAAGTAGGGTGTCTCGTTGTGCTGCAGGTTTGCGAGGTAACTCAATAAGTTGGATTGCCAGATGGCTCAATGCGATTTGATGCGGGTGCTGATTTGACTTGATGGATAACGCATTCAACGCTCTTCTTAATCTTTATATATACATTGTACGCGTGTCTTCTCTTGCTGTATGCTCGCGCTCATCTAGCGGAGTTGCGGTGTTCGCAGACTTGCAAGTCGAACCCCCAGTGCGGACAAGTGGAGTGACAAATGGCTCTTTGGAATCACTGTTTTTGGAGTCGCCTGATTTGTGGCGCCCAGCGGTTGCGGTTCAACCGGTGTGAATTTTTAATTAATAATCTGCTGCAAGCTCTAGCGGCAGTGCCTCTGTGCCTCAGCGACTACTTGCGAAATTTGTCCGCCATTGAGACCACAGCTCGTCCGCCTGTCACATTGACAGCTCCGCGCGATAACCGTTGCTGGTTCACTACTTTGCGGCTCCCCGCCCGCTGGGGGGTCGCGGACCAGGTTGACGGCGTTGTTGCGGCAATTGAGACAAGAGTCTTGCCGCCTCGCGTTCAATCGTAACGGAAACGCTGACCACCACCTCTTGGCTTCCATCTCCATCATTGAGCTCCGCGCAAGAACTCCGCAATACGTAGTTTGCCATTCCGCTCGTTCAAAGCGTGCCTTGCACATGCACTCACGACGTCACAGTTGTTTGACGGACTTGCAGGATCTTCAAGGGTTCAATTGAGCCTTCTCGGGCCACTCCGAAGGAGCTCTGCCCCTGCAGATGCCCAGCCTCAGCCGCAAATGCCAGCCACGTCCGCAAAGCAGCGAGGAGAGTCAGCCACTGGACGCAATGTCGGCCCTGGTCGACGATCGAAAAGCCACCAAAGAAATCGCCGCCTCCTCACGAAGTGGAGTCCTGTCCTGACCACGAACCGACCCAATGGCTGTCGCCTTCGAGCACGGCTCTCGCTTCACAAATATGCGGCACTTCGGGCGAAGTACAAGTAGTTATCGGCATTCGTCAGCGCCTTGGCCGAAGAAAGCGACAGCACAGCCCTCGCATATCCGTGATCATCGATTCTCGGATTCTCGACGTGCGCTATCTCGTGAAACACAACGCCGAGCTGGTCGTCGCTCCAGAGCGCGCGGGTTCTCCCGGGGAGCTTGAAGAAGGCATCGCACAGCCAAAGGCCGGAGCTGTTGGAGTAGCCAAGCGTCCGCTTGTTACAGTAGTGTAGCGTGTCGACGCAGTCTATGTGAGGCAGGTCACTGCACACGTTCTGGCACGCGCCCTCGATGCGAGCGAAGACCTTGGTAACCTGTCGCCGTGTCTCCTGATCTGACTTTCCGAAGAAGACTCCCATTCTCGCACTTGGGCCCCATTCAGCCGCTCTTTGGGCGTTGAGGGCAAAGTTGACACAGTTGTGAAGAACCGCGACAACGGCGCGAAGCTTCCCTTCGACACATGACGAGCTGAATTCGGCCCTCTTGATGTGAGAATTGGTGGCAACACCAGCCCCTTCTCGATGAAGCTCCAGCTCCAGGGTGTTGGCAGCAAAATAAACGGGCCGAGAAGTTCTGTCATGCGTCCCTCGCACTAGAAAAAAGCCAGATGCCTCGACCTTGTACTTCCCATGTTTCGAAACGTCATAGAGCTCGGCAATGTCGAATACCGTCTCTACGAGCTCGCCTTCTGAGAGGCTCTGAAACCGCGTGTGTGGTCGGTGTAATTTACCCCTACCGACCTCAGTTTGAAGGCCTATGAAGTGCGCTTCGTGATCTGTCAAATCATCAGCTCCCAGTCCATCGGCAATTGGGCAAATAACGGACCGCCATCAGACACATTTACCTTCCTAATAGGACGGTCGTCTAGGAGTGATCCAGGAATATAAAGTTGGATTGTCTCTACTGCGTGGCTAGTTATCGAAGCCTTGACGACGGAGCCTTGATCCCTGTCTAGCCTGACCTCGAGGGACGGAAGTGCGATTTGCTTCCTGCAGAGAGCTTGTGCAGCCAGTCCGGCCAGTGTGAAAGGACCTATCACCCTCATGGTGTACGACAAGGGAGCTGATCGGTGCCAGTCAGAGATCGTAATGTCGTAATTGTTCGTGCTCGCTCTACACTATATGAGCCTGCTGGTCGGACCGTGCGTTGTTTTCTTTGTGGCTTTGCGAGTTTTGATCTCCACATAGCCAATCAACGGCAGTGTCGCATTTTCACGTGTATCACAAGCTCTACAGCTTATGACATGAGTTATTTAAGCGAGTAGCTAGGCGACCTCTGGACAATGCACCAGTCAGACGGGAGCAACCCACCATCATAACGCCGCATGGCATTGCAGTCTCTGTATGTGGCAACGCTACAGCGCATTTCAACATTGATGACACGCTCCGAACACAGTACGTTACATTCAATGACGGTTTAATGACGATAAGACTGGTTCCTTGCATTTGGACTTCTTGCCGAACGAGGCCACGCTGGTAGATGTGAGCTCAAGGGATATACATCAAATCATCCGATCTTGCCTGTCGCAACACAGGGCAACCACAATAAACGGTCTATAACACTAATCGTTGCCCATATATATACCGAAAGTCTTTTATATACATACATCGTGTCGGTACCAACGATCTACGTTCCTCCGCTGTTCTTCTCGTAGTGCGCTATCAGGATTTACCACGAAGTCTGTGTCACAATACAAAGCAGCGGCAGCCAGCCGAGTTCAATATGCGCTTCTCCTCTCTACTCATTCTTTCCCCTTCTATGGGAGTTGCTGTCTCTCAAAAGGATGAGTTTTGCATATATGAGGGCAGAAAATGCGTGTGGACAACCAACAGCCCGATCATGTGTGGAAATACAGCCTTTGACATTGGCGACCTTGACGAGAAAATGCTTCAGCTAGTTACTTGGACCAATGGCGTGTCAATTGGCAAGCTTTGCGCGGGATTGTCTTCGTACAACAACCCGGGTAGGGATTGTTGTCGGAAATACGGTGGCGTGTGTCTGAGTGGCTACAAGCGACTCTGGTGTGATCGTGCGCGGGTGAGGACCTGCCCCGGAGAACCTCAACATTATCAACTGACAGGTGTTCGAAAAGATCAGATGCTGGCTGTAACGATGCTCATTTCGTGCGTGACGGACAGGCGAGACGGGATCTCACAGCTGGAATGCGAAGAGGAGTGCTATTCGTAGAGCCAACTTTTGCTAGTTGTAAAGCCCTCCTATATTTTTTTCTCGGTCGCGCCATACCCCCATGCTGCCCCAGCGATTTTCACTGCACGCTAGCGTCTATAAAGGACGGTAATGGCGCGCTACCTATAACTATCGTTGCTTTCGTTGCTTTCATTGCTATTGCTCCTATGTGCTCTACAACTAGCAAAAGTTGGCTCTATAAATAGCACTACTCAATGCGAATTCCATACACAATTGGTACATCACTTCATGGCTCGTTTCATCCCTTGGCGATGTGTGAAGTCGTGTGCTCTGGGCTGACTCGGTCTTTCAGGAATCGTGGGCTATGCCACACTCGCCCACGTCTCCCACTCGTACGCGGCAAGCATGTACGGTCCGGATCCTTTGTAGTCGTTGGAGGATGTGGGGACGCTGATATAGTACTGTCGCCACGTTAGCTGCAGGTCATTCGCGTGCCAATGTACACGCAGAATATAATGTCTTGCCTCGTAGGTAGCATTTGCCTGGTGCAGGCCGCACTCAGCAACTGTGCCCGTGAACGCCAAGGTGCCGTTCTGCTGCGGTTCGACAAAGTTTTTTACCAGGCCCTTGTACGCGCGCACCGCCGGCCTCAGGTAGTCGGCCCTGTTGAGATACCCTAGGCGAATGCCCTTCAGTAGGCCCCAAGTGAACATAGCTGACCCGCTACTCTCAATGTAATTGCCTGGGCGACCAGGATATGGCGCATCCATGACCTGCCACCAGTTGCCCGACCGTCGATCTTGTGAGCGTACGAGAGCTGCAGCTAGCGATCGGAAATACTTCATCAACTCGGCGCGGCCGGGATGCGAGGCTGGAAACACCTGTAGCACTTCGACCAGGGACATGAAGTACCAGCCGTCGGCGCGGCCCCAGACGTGAGGTGCGCGTCCCGTCTTAGGGTCTGCCCATGGAGCAGGGCCTTCCGCCCATCCGTGGACGAGGAGACCCGACCATTCGAGGGTGTGTGCCTGTATGAGGTGATACTGGTTCAAGATGTCTGCCCAAGCAGTCTCGTTGCTCTTGTCGAAGAGGTTTGTCCACTTGGCGTAGAACGGCTGCGCCATGAAGAGTCCGTCGAGCCACATCTGGTTGTGCCAAGATTGTCCATGCCTTGAAGAATTAATGACTCGGTTGGCTTCGTAAATGCAGGGCGGTTCTTCATACGTACCAAAACCCGCCAGAGGGTGTTCTCGGGTGGCTGTTCAATTGCTCGCGTACAATTGACGCCGCCGTCTTATACCTCAGGTCTCCCGTCTCGTTGTAAAGGTAAAGGTACTGGTTCCCCATCCGATAGTTGTCCAAGACATACGAGGTATTCTTCCAGCCTTTGATGCTTCCATTGTCCTGCACTACGTTGTTGTCGATCTGACTCTTCAACCAGTCCAGGTACTTGTCGTCTTGGGTATACTCGTAGGCCTTCTCAATTCCGAGGTACAGTGTCGCCTCTTGATAGCCAAACGTCGGCTTCACGCCCTTGGCGATGAATGTATCCGCCAGCCATGACAGGCAGGTACGGCTTTCGACTGCCAACGCAAAGCTCGCGACTGCGGTACAAAGGAGTGCATGCTTCATCTTTATTTCACTGTGGATCGGTGACGGCCGAATGTGCAGTGAGCGTCGTCGCAGCACGACTGGAGGGAGCGCGAATTTGTGTTCCTTCGCCATCGCTATCGGATCGCAAAAGGGTGGTTGCAGACTCCCGCGCGATGGCATCTAGCACTGCCGTGCAACGTTGAAGCTAGCCGTATCAGACCATTGGTGCCATTTGGTGGCAGTTGTAGAAGCAGCTTTACGTCGGCAATACGACATTGCTTCGGCGAATCACGGTTTCCACGGCTCTTATTGATGGACAAATGTTCTCTGGTGACAGGGTTGATGGCTAGGCAAGGGTTGCACTTAACGGCAGGCTATGCAGGCCGCGGCGGTTCACTGTGATCATCCGTTCAAAGAGCCTCTCTTGGAGTAGTAGAAGGTCAGACCTGGCCAGGATGCCTTGGCTTTTGCACCGTATAATCCGGGGTTGACAAGTGCGCCACAAAAGACCCGTGGCCTCGTAGGACGGCAATGTCATGTGAGTGGCAAACTGTCAGTTGTCAGACTCTCCATGACAGCAATAAGTAGGAGTGTGCAGGCAACGATTGCGGTCATACTAGGTCCAACCCTGCACGGCCTGGCGTATTTTTGTGTACATACGTACACGTACTCATGTTGCGATGCTCGTCAGCAGGCGTTGCCTACGCACGTCCTGTCGCACAGCAATACTGACACCTCTTACATGTACTGGGGTTAATTCCGCCCATGTCGTTGTCGAGGTTTGCGGCCGACGAGCGGAGAAGACCTGGACAGCAACACAGCGAAGCAAATGCGCCTTCCGGGGCGGCATCTCGCGTTATGGTGAGTGATCCATCCATCGGATGCATGTTTCCGATCAATTTTCCCTCCAATGAGGCGCCACGTTAGTGCCTGCGCAGATCATGGCTCACGTCTCAAGCTCCCTGCACGTATATTTGGTAGTGGTGGCTTTCCACCCGCTGGCCCCTCCTCAGTTCCGACAACTGAACTGGCGGTGCCGTAACATCTTTCTTTGTCGCAGGTTGGTAAGCCGAGGAACCTCCACAATTATTCCAGGTCATGGCTTCAGATTACGGTCTTGTTGGTGCCACTGACTTAGATGCCAGTGTCCAAGATTGCTTCGCCTGAAGGTTGCGTGGTGCTGGGCGCTGGGCTGCTGGCGGCAATGATCCACGTGGGTTTGTCAGGGCTGCTATGCGCCACAAGCGCCCAGGAATTTGCTACTCCTCGGCGGTACGCAATTCGTGCGTGCTGCCTTGCATTCCCCAACCGTAGATCATAATGCTGTCGGTTGTGCGGCAGCGGAAAGAAGGTGGCGGCACTTCACCTGGCAAGTGCCGCGACGCCACGCCACAAGTTGACTGAGGCTGATGCGAAGCCAGAGCTGAAAGCCCTTGCCGCCTGCCGAGGAGAGCTGAGTTCCCCCAGGCAAGGAGTGAAAGCCCCCGGTCGCAAAAAGCACACGCGGTGGCCATTGTGTCCCTCATGAGCCATGACTGGTCCTCCATGCAAATCATTGTCCGTACGGGCATGCTTTTGCGAGACCGCCACGTCGAGGCACCAAGGCGTCGTCGTCGTGCGCGACAGGCGTTGAACCGCTGTATAATACGCTCCTGTGCTGATACGTAGATTCGGCACGTCCGTCTTGGGGGTCGAGCTGAAAGCCTTGCGACGCCATCACCATCTTGGCAATAAATGCCTAACGCCGTGCCCTGGTCGGCGTTACTTTAACCTCGGCTCTGGTCCCGTGACTCGGAGCCCACTGCCCGTCGTCTTCATCTTCTCGTCAATGCAGGTTGCCGCGGTGGTGATCCACCCGCGTGGCAAATTGTGGCTGCGAGCGCGCTCGTGGCGGACGGGAGGGTTAGGAAAGGGGGATGGATGGAACCACAAAACACACCGAGGCCCGTTCTGCTTGTTGGCCGGCAGTAGTAGATCGTCAAGGGGCACTGCCGAGTACCGTTGTTGTAGGTACACTCGGGCCGGGTGGCCAGCGGGTGATACGGGAGAAATGCGACTGAGGGAGGACCAACATGACGAGCCACTTTTTGACTTTGCCATTCTAGCCCAGAATAAGTTCAGTTCGTACAAGCCTTTTCCGCCCTCCCCAGCACCCTGCAGGCCCCCATTCGCCCACCCAGTCGCTGGGCACGCAGAAGCCACCAGACCTCCCGGCAGCCTTGTCTCACGCTATGACCGACCCTTCCCCTGCAAAAAGTCAACCGCCGGCTGCAACATGTCCAAAGCTTAACTTGATCGGGGCCGGTGGCGGCGGGGGCCCTCTTCGCCCATTGCTGACGAGTGCCGCCCCGGCGGCCGGGAAGGCTCCGCCAGCATTACTACTATCGTGTGGTGGTGAAGCTGGGTTTGGAAGCTACCAGACCCGAGACTTTTTACTTGCACGGCTGGCTCTCTAAGCAGCCTAGCACCGAGGTTCAAGCTTGCCGGTGGTGGTTGCTGCAGGAGTTGGCGACTGGAGCCGAAGCTGATATATCTCGGCCGACCCGCCTTGAACCCCCAAACGACAAAGCCGTCACTCTGCCGCGGCTGATGGTGCGGATGCTGATGCCCTCCCGCTCGTGCGACGGAAATGTCACAGTCATTGGACTGTTCGCCAGATTATGACAGAGCCCTTGATCGTCCACCATGCCGGCCGCCGGTCGCCCGCATCACCACCATGCCCCAAGCGCGACGGTAATCACGAGGAGGAGGCAGATCACGATGCGCCAGGGAAGTCGACGGGCAAATCCAAGGTACGGGCGACGAGTACACTGGAACAGGACACAATACCACAGTATGTCTTCGTGTCGGGCCAGGACCCGAGGAGCATGCGGAGCCACGCCATGCGCGAGCACTGGAAACAGCGGCGGCTCTCGCTCGAGACCAACAAGCGCAAGTCGGCGGCGCTGTCGCATCGACAACTCTTGCCCAAGCACAGGACGCGAAAACGACCGTCTTCATCCAGCTCCAACTCCACCGTCAAGGAGCAGCCTGCGACCAGCTCGGACAGCGACGCCATCTCCGGAGGTGTCCTGTCCACGTTGAAGCATGAGGCCACGGGCAAGGCTTTGGAACGTTCTGCAGGCTCTAGCTCTCGTTCGTCGGCTCGGGGGGACTCGGAGGAAGCATTTCCGATCGATGGTATTCCGACGCAGATATACGCCGCCATGGACCGGGCGTTAACAGGAGCGCGGTTCGACCCTTTCGAGACATTCCCCGTGCGGCTTACCGCGCAGCATCACAAGCTGCTCCATCACTGTAAGACTAAACCCGCGTTCGATCATCTGTGTGCTCCTGGAGTACTCAAGCTCGGTCTTGGCAACGTACATGTATTTTGACGCTCCACTTCGGCAGGGTTCAGCACCTATGCGGCTATGATGTTCGAAGACCTACCGGCCGCGACATTCAACCCCGTACGCGATGTGTGGTTCCCGCTCGATGTCTCCAACGCCGCCTCGTTCAACGTCGTCCTGGCCCACTCGGCGGCACATATCGCACGAATGCACGGGTACACGACGTCCAACGAAGCGCTCAAGTTCAAAATGGAGGCGATTCGGATCGTGGCGTCGTGGATGGACGATCCGCAACAAGCGCTGAGTGACGAGGTTATTGCCGCCGTCATCAGGTTACTAACTTACGAGGCAAGCTAGCGACCCCTTTGGCACTCTACGGAGCTCCCTGCTGACGTTTTGGCTTTTCAGAGGCATTGGGGAACCGAACACGAGTGGAAAGTACACCGACACGGGCTGCAGCAGATGATAGAGGCACGGGGCGGCATAGCGTCGCTGCAAACGAACTGGAGGTTAGAGCTGGCAACATTTCTGTGAGTGAACAGACTCCTATGCCCCGGATAGGAGGCGCTTTACTGACGCAGATGTGCAGTGTACTGCTCATGGCCAAGCCTTCATGGCTCGACAGTTCGAATCACATCCGCGAGATTGCCTCCAGACAGCCCCTGACGGCACACTTACACCCTATACTGGGCAACAGCGAGAATCTACACAAAGTGCGGTGTCTCTGGTTGATATCTTTTGTCCAAGATTTACGAACATTCATGCACAAATCCGCGCCGCACCTCCCGCTCATCGGCGCCGCCGACTATCCCGCGATCCGAGAGGCCATGGTGCTGCTTGAGACGGACTTTCAGCAGCACGCCATTGCGTCTCTATACAACAAGAATTGCACACATCGCGAGTTCGCACGCCTAGCGTGTCTCTTCTTCGTGTGCGTCCTTCTTCAGGTGTCGGCCTCCGCGCAGTGGGCCATTGCAGCCGATGGGAACGAAGACACACCCATGGACAACTGGAACAGCATGGACGTGCTCGAATCATTCCTCAAGGACAACCGGACTATGTGGCAGGGGAGCGCCGAGAACCTATACATGTCCTTGTTCCACAACCTATACGACTTTCCCGACAAGGCGCAGACGACCGAGTATGTCCTGAACCTGACGAGCGTTATGGGCTCCGCGAACCACGACGCGCGGAGGGGCGTTGAGAGGTGTTTGCTGCATATTCTTTCTCAGTCGCAGAGCAGTCCCCACGAGCGGACCGTGCATGACGGCTGGACTCCCGATACTTTACTTTCCTCCTTGCATGGCTTGTAGAATGGGAATCTGGTACTTGGAGTGGCTGGTACTTGTAGTGGCATGGCAAGGAGCATGGTCCGGGGCATATTTGCAGTTTACAGCGTGTGGCGTTTGGCGCGTTTAGTTTATGACACTCATGAATTTGCCGATATGGGCTTGATGTCTATAGCTACTGAACTATTTTTTTCTGCCCAATTATCAGAGAATATCGAGATTGCAGAAGTCCACCAACCGGAATGGAAAGCTGTGGTGCGGACGGGACGAAATTAGCTCTTATCCAAACCGGCGAGCACGGCGGCAGGGGGTGCGTAAAACGTTGTCCCCGTCATGGGCCTCGAGTAGTCCAGGATACGGTCGTGCAGCCCCGGCGGATCGCCCACAAACATCCTGTCCAGCATCTTCTCAGTGACCCAGAGCCTGCGCGAGTAGCCTATGAAGTAGGTTCCGAACTCTCCGTTGCCAGGCGAGCCGAAAGGCATGTTATCACGGAGTATGTCGTGCTCGTTTCCATCCTCGTCCTCTATGGTTGCAAGCGTTTTGTGGGCCTTTTGCCCCTGCTCAGCATCGTCAAGCTCCATGTTGTCCATCTTGGTGCGGCCGATGATGGCCTCCTGCTGCTCCGTGGACAGCCGCTCCCAACCCCGCAGGTCGTGGACATACTTTTGCACGACGACGTAGCTTCCCCCCGCAGCCGCTGCGTCCTCGTCGGCGATTAGGACTGAATCTGGGACCGCGGGACCGACAGGGTTGGCTGTGCCGTCGACGAAGCCCAGGAGATCCCGGAGGTCAAAGTAGCGGAAGCCGACGGTGGCGTCCTGGACCTGGACGGCATCCCCAAGCAGCTTCATGAGCTGGCGCTCAAACTCGAAGCAGATGTCCCGGCGGTCCGAACGGATGTGGAAGAGCAGGTCGCCAGGGGTGGACACGGCGGTGTGAACCGCGCCTTTGACGGTGGGGAAGGCGTGCAGCTCGGCCGGGCGCGGCAGGCCCGTGAGCTGGTCCCAGATGTCACTCCCGATGCCGACGGCACAGGAGAAGGTCGACGTGGAGTCGCGGATGGTCACGTTCTTGGCCAGGCCGTCAATGCCCGCCAGCGTCGCGCGGACCGTCTGGAGGGCTTCCGGCCGCGGCGCGACGGACAGGACAAGGAACGTGGCCGACTGCGTCAACGGAGCGTCGACAGCCTGCGCCTGACTCGTCGCCAGGGGCTGACGCGCGGCGGAGGAAACAGGGCAGCGGCTCATCTTGGCAGCGGTTTCAGAGACGGGCGAGACGTGCAACGAGCGTCGTCGCGGGGCGGCGGCAGCGGTAGGGAGAGCAGCAACAAGCTCTGTGGAGGCCGGTAGTGGAGGCGGCGGCACCGGACGACGCGACGAGGAGGAATGGCCCTGGGCCGGATGTCGGCAGGGTCGGGAGGAGAGCCACAGTGCCCGGCGGGAGAGGCTGCTGACGCTGCTCCTGCTGCTGTGGTGCTGCGTGAGGGACGGTCGGACTTTGGCGCAATGGTTGCCGGCGGCGTGCAGCAGCTGGATGGCGAGGCGACGACTACCGGGCCTGTCCATGCTACGGTGGAGGAGGCAATAACAGGGAAGAATGCAGGAGAGGCTGGGGGAGAGAGTTGGGGTCTATCTACGACGGCAGTTGCTGAGGAACAATAGCTAAAGCTTACGGTGCCGCAACGGGCAAACGTAGGCGTCATCAAGAGGACGGGCGGGTGTTGGAGAAGCTCAGTGGATGTGGAGCGCGCGGTCTGGTCCATCAACCTTGAATATCTGTGACGGGAGAGGCTGCTTGCGGGAGCCGGATCAAGGGGCGGAAGCGAGCATGGCTGGCTTTGCTACTGGTGCCAAACCACTAGTTCTGCGTTCCAGCAACGGTGCTCTTTCTTCATAGTCGTGTACATTACACCCTGCGAGTTGGCTATACGCAATGGCTACTTCGACTAGAGGCAGGAAGCGTCATCCGTCAGCCCCGAGCAACGAGGTCTCCTCCGCACCTCTCGCCGTTTGGCAACCCTGCGCCCGCAATTGGACAAGCAAGACACCCCGCGGCGGGGTAGGGCAAGGGACAACCATCCCCTTGCGTCCTCCGAGAACATTCCTACCGTTAGCAGCGGTATCCCAACTCACCACCAGTAGCGGCCCGGGTCCAACGGGGCAGGGGGGCGGCGGCGGCGGCGGCGGCACTAGGCCCGCCCGGCGAGGCAGGCTAACAAAACTCAAAATGGGAAGCAGGTTTTTTGGCGAGATGATAAAGGGTCGCAGGCTGCCCGTCTGCGTAAGACTACGGGTAACGTTAATCCGCGCGTGTTGCAATATCCCGACGCCACGGTTCGGAGGGGCGTCACCGTGGTACGCGGGCGGTCCTTCCATATCGCGCATGCCATCCGGTATGGAACTGCGCACCGCTCAGAGGCTGTTGACGAGGATCACCGGACGAACCGCCGACGAGATACAACATGGGGGAGAGTAGGTATGTATTCAAGGCCAATCGTCCGAGATTGCGCTCTTTGCAGATCAGACGGCCGCTTGACGTTCTTTGGCAAGTGGACCTACGGCGCTACGAGTGGGAGCCGGCGCCGTCGCAGACAAGCATTCGATCAGGGTCCCGCCAGGCCGTGGTAGTCGTAGTATCGTCTGTTCGTAGCAGGCGCGGCTCGTACGAGTTGCACCTCGGAGCCGCTGTGCCAGCAGGTCGGCCCCGTTCGGCCCCATGTGCCCCGTCCACAGCGATGCACTAGACACTATCACCTACGTAGTGGGGAGCGCGGCAGAGAAGACATTGACGCGCGCGCTCATGTCTGCCTTTGGACGTGAGGCAGCGGTGATGGCGCGTCGGTGGGCGCTTTAGCCGCGCTGAGGGCGGACGGCGCGAGCAGACTTTGCATCGTACGAGTGAATGGGTCTATGATTGTGACGTCTCTCCTTGTGGGTTCGCCGAGGAAGACGGACTTTGACGTACCTGTCAGGATGCTTTTCGTCTACTTGTGCTGATTGAGGTTCCGTGTAAGTGGTGTTGGCTACGTGCATCTTGTTGAGCTGCTCACACAGCACACGAAGACGGGGTTTGTAAATGTAAATGTCCAACCAATCAGGAATATCGGCCCATCTACATTCATTTATTGGAACCATGCACCTCACGTCTTCTGCATGTTAAATTGATGTGGTTGTGACTGTCCAAAGCTTGATTGCATCGAAATGGAGCAGTACAGGGTAGGCCACAGGTGTTGGTCGACGCCAAAATCCGACGCGTCGTGTCAGCCCGCCCTGGCGCCAACCCGCGTCAGCCCTCATCTCCTCCCTCCCTCCAGCGGCTCGTCCTCTCGACAGCACAACAACCATGGCGGCAGCGGCGTCAATGGCAGAATCGACCGCGCCCGCGACCAGCGGGCTTCGCACCCGGCTGGCCTCGGTGCTGCCCAAGGGGCGGCGCTTCCGCTTCCACCACGTTTCGACCCCGCCGTACAAGACGGACGCGCTCTACTCGGCGCCGCCCAACGAGCGCCCCGACCGGACCTTTTGCGAGAATCACTTCCTCGCTGTGTCTGTCGATGTGCCCGCCCCAGCTTCCGACGGCGGAATCGAGTCCTCGTCGCGGCAGAGGGAGGTCATCGTCCTCGGCATCGAGGTCTTTGTGTACACGACGGCGCACGCGACGACGCTCTTCGTCTCCAAGGCCGACTCGACCGGATTCCTCGACCTCCTCGACCTTCCCCGAGGCACGCCCAGCCCGATCCGACACATATGCGCTGCCTTCGTTGGCTACCTCGTCGAGGTGCGGCGGCGCAAGGACGTGCAGTTTGTCGTCAGTCTGTTTGCCCGCGCGCAGAGCCAGTACCTCTTCCCCGGCAGCGTCGACTACGGCGGCAAACACGTCCTCGACGACCGCGGGCTGGTCAAGTGGTGGTGCCGTGTTCTCGACCCGCTGGCCGCGTCGCCTCCGGTCGCCGCCGGTGCCGCACCCTGGAAGAGCGTCAAAGGCTACATTGTGGTCCCCGGGCTAGACGATTACGAGACTCGGGCATTCATCCCGCGGACGTCCGCCGGGACTGTCTCGCCGCATTGGACGATCGGACACCCGCTCGAGCGCATATCGCATTACACGCGCGAGTTTGACTGGGTCCCGCCGCGGTGCCTCATCCCTCGCTTCCCCGACGACCCCAAGTCGCGCTTCCGCGACGAGCTCGACGAGGAGGCGGCGCGGTCGGGCGCCATGCAGACGACGGGCAGCTGGAGGAGCGTCAAGACGCTGGACATGTTCTGGGAGATGATGGCGTTTCGGCAGGAGTGCTCGAGTGGGAGGATGACGGGCTTCATTTGGCTCGTGTTTGACAATGACGACGCCACGGCGCCGGCAGCGCAGGCGAGTGCGCAGACTGCTGCGCCGACGACGGTGACACCCGAGACGCCAAAGAAGAATAGGACTCTGTCTAATGTCGCCCCCAAGACAACGCCCAAGAAGCTGTTTCCAGCGAAGTCCGATGCCTCGGTGGGTGCCTCGGGCCAGGAGTCAAGCGTCGCCCGCGGAAACACCAAAGACAAGTCGGGGAAGAAGAGGAAAGGAGGCAAGAAGAGCCAAAAGCTGCGTGGCATCGTCAAGCCCCGTCAGGCACGCGTCAAGACAGAGCAACGAAACTACCTCCTCGACCGGCCGACCTCGAGCAAGTACTATCACTGGCCAGTGCAGGGCCGCGGCGAGCGCATCGTTTCCGAAGGGGACTACAAGCGCGTCCTGGAGCTGCTCCTACACCTGGACTTTTCGAAGCTGGACAAGGCCGCCGGCAGCTCGAGACGATGGCTCGCCGAGGCGGGCAGCACATCCGGTTGGCGCTGGGGCTTCGAGGTCACGGGCGAGATGGAGACTGCTGCTGCCGCTGCTGGTGGCGCTGGTGCCGGGCCGACACAGAACGGCGGTACGGCTTCGACAAGGGAGGCGCCTGCGGTGAATAACCTCTCTGGGCTTGTTAAGCGCAAGCGGGCTGATACCACCGAGGGCCAGCAGCCTCAGGCCGAACCCGGGGTAAATGTTTTGAGCGCGGGCCTGGTGAAGAAGAAGTCCAAGCATGACGCCTGACAAGTCTGACGAGGTGTCATGCTATGCAGGGGGCTGCCCGTGAGATGAGTCCGTGTTTTGTGTTTTTGCATTGCGACGGCGTTCTGGACAGGAGTTGCACCTCGCTTGTATCGGGATCAGGGGTTACTTTGGGTCTGGTGTATGAGCAACGTTGGCGACTATCATGGTGTGTACTCACTTTTCTGGATCACGATTGCCCCTGACAACATTGTATAATACGTCCGTATATTCGCTTCCTTGTCAACACCAAACATGATTATGAAGGCTCTATGCTAGTTGCTTGGGTGCTGGCTCAGGCCTTCCGTATTCCCGATGGCCGAAAGGGGCTCCCCGCCGTCCAGCACGGCCATGACTTTGCGCACGCACAGATCCTCGATGTCCGCGCGCGGGCCGTGGTCCGAGGCCGTCACGGAAACGGCATCGGCATCGGCGCGCTTGTCCCACCCGTTGCAGAACACGATACCTGGCGCAAAAGCACACATCAGCCCCGTGCATCACCCCATACGTGCACCGCACCCCTCTGTCTTGACAGATACGTAGGTAGGGTTGAGATTCAGGTTCTTCTCATAACGTACCTCGCTCCTTCAAGCGCCTCACATCAACCCCCTCCCCTCCCGGCGCCGCACTCGCAACCACCCGCACGCTCGCCGGCAGCGAGTCCACCAGCTCGGCGTCCCAGTCGCCCATCTCGCCGTCGCCGCTCGCATCGCGCGATGGGCGGATGACGGCCACGAAGTCGCCCCATGTGCGGTCCCGCAGCGCCTGAAGGAGGCGCGCGCGCTGACGGTCTTGGGCCGGCGGGTGGAGGACTTGGTACCCTGCGGTGAGCTCCTGGTACGGGGAGGCGTTGGAGTTGGGGTTGGTTATGGAGGAGAGGATCGGTTCGCCTAGGTGTAGGATGAGGGGTCGGGTGGATGAGCGTGCGGATGGATGGGATGATGGCTCGGGCGGTGATGGAGGAGGCGGGTGGTGATGATGATGGTGATGCGGGACGACGCCGTGCACTGGGGACGTTGCGCGGGGCGTTGAGCCCGGCACGGGCGTGTTGTGCGGCTCCGCCATGGCGTTCCAGTCCCCCGGCGTCTCTGCCTCGTGCTCTGATGTAAAACACCCCACGAGAACGCTTCTGTCACAATATATCTCCGGGCTTCACGACACGCGAAAGCGGGACAGGCTTGATGTCTAGAAGAGAATAGAAGGAAGCGGTCGGGCTGCTCGGTGCGTTCATGCAACCCACAGCAGGTGATGCAGCATCTAGGATCACTTATGGAGCCCGAGCGGCGGCACATGCAAACATGCGTTTTAATGGTTCGCTCGCGCAGGGACAAACGTGACGACTCACGAGGACACTGCAGCGTGCAACTGCCGCTTTTGGGGGGCGGGGGTGCGTTATCTGCTCTGTGATGATGTGGCGGCGCAGGGCCAGGGGCAAGGGGGCTTGGGCTGTTGGCCATGTGCCGCCTGGCAGAGTCCCGCGTCGAGGGGAACGTAACTTGTGTGGGTGCCAACCGCGCCGCGGAGACGGTCCGGCCCATACGTGGTCTGTCTGGTATTCGCAGTGAATCTGACGAAGTACAACTCCCTTGTACGTCGAGTTGTATCGGCTGGGGCGCCTCTCGATGGCGACTGGGATCTCGCTGTTATTATGCTGAGCCTGCTACTTTTTGTACTTTGTAGGCCATATCAGGGGCCGTGGGCGCCATCAATTGCGCTGCGCTGGCTCGTATCTGCCAAAACCACTTTGTAGGACACATCACATACGCAACGACACATCACGGCCGTGCGTGAATCTTCGCAACGTCCAATGGTGAGGATAAAGCATAGCCAGGTAGCGAATTTTAATTCGTCAAAGATGCTCAAACGTCGCTGCGCGCGCACATGCGCGCTCGACTAGCTGCGCGTGCTCACGGCGTTCAGTTTCGAGCAGCCCGAGCGACATATACTAACGTCGCCGCTGTATACACACGCCCGAGTCCAGAGAGTCAAGTCGGTAGGTCGTGGGGGGGACTCTTTCAAGTTCATTAGTCTCAATTGGAAAACCGCAACCTTAGCGACGGTCTGTGCTGGTGGGCTACACGTACGGCTTCTGAAGAAGAGCATGTAACTCGCAGTGGCGAACGATTCGAAACCTGTTAAGCTTCTAGAACACTGCATTGATACTGTCGAGGGGTCGTCCATCAATGGCGGCCAATGCTTTGCAGTTTACTTTTCTGCGGCGGCGCAACGGTCGCCTGGGCGTCCCGACAAACACACGTGCATGTATGGGCGTTCCCCTATTTCGGCAGGTTGGTGCGCTCACGGCCTCCGTGAAATATCTTCAGTGTCTCTTCAGGGTACCTCATCGATGGAGACTTCTCAATCATAATTATCAGTGCGATGACCTGGTATTGTCGCCGTCTGTGACATGCTCTCACGTGAACGCCAGAGGCACATAACATGGTGCGGCCTATGCTGTGGTTTCATCCAAGCACATCCAAGGGGGCGGCCCGTCTCATGCGCACAAGCCGCTATAGCGCGTTCAGAGATCATACATGGACCTTGATTCGTGACGTAACAGAGTCGCTCCCCGCGCCAACCTTCTAGAATGGCTTTCACGATATCAAGTAGCTAATAATTACGAGACCACTTGGTAGGAACAACTGTCCAGCTAGTCACCCGGCATGTTAATATCATCATCACCTTCAACCTTCACACTCTACCTCCTCATCGACCATCACCATCAGCGAGCTACAATCGCCAACACGCCAGACCAACCGCTTCAATCTCGAAAATGAGGGCCACTGACTTTCTCGCCATCACGCTCCTTGTCCAGGGAGGAGCCGCGAAGACGTGGGCAGATTTGGCAAATCATACTTTTCGTCAGCCAATGTACACGGGCACCCTCCCGCCCACGCCTCAGATGGAGCGGCTCCAGGCGAACGAAACCATTGCTAGGCTGAACCGCAGCCGGTTTGGAAAAGTACAGGTCCTCTCCTTTCCTTGTCTTGGAGGCTGCCAGCTGATTGGTTCGATGAACAGTGCAACCCCAACACAAACGCGTGTGAAACCACTGTATGGTCTGTCACAACCTTTGACGCAGCAAAGGGCGGCTGGCAGTTCGCCAGCCGACCATACTATGAGCCCTGCCATAGCGCAACGCCGGTAAGTTGAGCTCGTACATACTACGTAGAGTTCATCTAGGGTGACCCACTAATGCTGCGTCCGTCCAGTGCGACAAGACGAACCCGGACAACCGGCATTGCATTGTTGGAGTGTGGAACTCGGCTGCGGATCCGCATTACCGTGCGATAAACACGATTTGCTGATCGCCTTTTCCAATCACAACCGTGGAACTTGAGCAAGAGGTCTTCCTTCGGTAACGATGACCAGGGCGAAATGGGGAGGGGGAGGGGGGAGGGGGGCGGCAGCCAGTGTGCGCGACGACATATGCAGCAGATGCCCCAAAGCCGTCAACTTCGGGATGCACTACATATATGCGTCGAGTATGTGCCACGGTTCAACACTCATGGCGCAAGGGGGAAAAGTTCACGTTGCGAGGTCCAAGATAGACGTGGTGGTTTGTAGCGGCTCAACCCGCAGAATCTCGATGATGGCAGCCGCACCGCAAGGGCAGCTCTTACTACCCCTTAGGTATGGCTGGGTTAGATGGTACGGCGTTCGCCCGTTTAGCTAGTGTGAACTAGACCTGTTTTTTCCGTTGCCTTATATTTCACGTGTTGCCATTTCCCTCCTTCCGCGGATATGTTTCTCTATCTGCGAAAGAGTAGTGCTATTCGCAGAGCTAACTTTTGCTAGTTATAGAGCCAGCGCTACCGCAGCAGGAACGAGAGCAACCAGAGCAACCAGAGCAACGTTAGTTTCTTCGTTCAATGCGTTTGCCAAGGTAGCATCAAAAGTCTGGTTCGTGGCCAGATTCTTGCTTTTGAGGTGTCGAGTTGCATTGCGCAGACTCCAGTCCTCCTCACGTCAAATCACGGCACGCGGCAGGAGCGTCATTTACGAGAGTAAACTGGCCGGGGGAATTTAGCGACCATAATTTCACCAAAATTCGGCTCAAGACTCGGTAAGCAGAATGTTGAGGATATCTTCACTTGCGGAATTAGGGCTCTGGGTGAGTACACCCTCACCCAACACTATCTACGGTCCCAGGCTGATGTGTCGGACACAATACCAGCCCCCGAAAACCTTCAGTGTTGCGCCGTGGCATTACTCGGTAGCAACGCGGGGCTTCTCGTCCTCAACCCCGAGCTTGGCCTCGATATCGCCATGCTCCGCGCGGTTGACCTCCTTCGTGCTCTTGCGCGTCTTCCAGGCCGGCGTGCCCAGGTAGCGGATGCCGTTGGGGTCCTCAAACATGTGCTCCGTCTCCTCGAGGGTCTTGCCGGCCGTCTCGGGGAACAGGAAGAGCACGTGGAAGAAGGCCGCCGTGTTGAAGACGCCGAAGATGATGTACGTCCTCCACTTGATGTTTGCCAGGGCGACTGGCGTGAAGAGACCAAGAGCGGCGTTAAAGGCCCAGTTTCCAGACGTAGCCAGGGCGACACCCTTGCCGCGGAGGCGCAGGGGGAATAGCTCGGGAGGATAGATCCACGACACCGGGCCCCAGGTTGGCGCGAAGGAGGCGACGAAGAGGTACGTGCAGGCGATGAGCCCCTTGGCAGCTGCTCCCGTCACCTTCATGGACTGGGCCGCGACGTTGTCGATTCCGCCGGGAATAACCTCGCCGTGGGCTGCCAGGATGCCTGCGTTGGCGTACATCCAGGTAGCCATGAGGACGGATCCGACTAGCAGGGTTGGGCGGCGGCCCCATCGATCGACGTAAAGGAGCGCCGGAATAGTCATGAACACGTTGATGACATACTGGATAGACGAGGACAGGAGGCCGGCGTTACCGGTATAGCCGGCCATGCTGAACACGTTCGTCACATAATACACTGGTGACGTCTCATGTTAGTCTTGACTCGCCAAGCTTCTCTGAGGTCAGGGGCATCCGGGGACTTACTCATGACGTTCATGCCGGACAACTGCGACCAAATCTGCGTGAAGAGGCCAATAAGGGTCCGGTGGATCATCTCAGGCTTGAACAAGTCAAAGTATGTGACGTTGGAGTGCCGTCTCTCAAACTCGCACATATCCTTGATGTCCTGCATCTCGAACGCAACAAAGGGGTGATCGCGGTCGCCCTTGGCGTGCACGAGGGCCAAGACGTCGCGGCAGTCCTCCCATCGATCTTGCCGAGCCAGCCAGCGAGGCGATTCGGGGAGCAGCATCATCATGAAGAAGAGGAAGATGGCGGGGATCATCTGGATGCCCCAGGGGACGCGCCACGCCGCCTCCTTCCAGCCGGTGGGGGTCTGCTCGCCGATGAAGGAGGTGCCGTAGGAGATGTAGTACATGATGAGGATGCCCCATGTAATGGCCCACTGCTGCATTCCGATAAAGCGACCGCGCTTCGACGGAGGGGAAATCTCGGCGATATAGACTGGGACCTGAGCGGATTCGATGCCAACGCAGAGACCGTTGATGATACGGCCAGCGATGAGCATTCCGATGTTTTGCGATGCACAGATGATGGTTGATCCGATGAGCCTGGTGACGATGTTAGAACGGTGACCGCAACGGAAGTCTTCTGGCCGTCGAGATGTTCTGTCTGTACTACTGCAGCATAATGAACTCACCAGATGATGCATCCCACCATGATGGAGTACTTTCGGCCGAGACGGTCGGACAGCGGGCCGGAAATCAGAGCTCCAAGCCATGACCCTGCAGACATGGACGCAGTGATGCCGCCCTGGACCAGTTCTCGAGGACCGCTACATGGCTCGGTGTCAAACGGAGGCCCGTGTGGCCCTTGGTTGAAGTAGCATTTGTACGCCTGCTCGCCGAGCTGCGCAGACAAGGACGAAATGTCGAAGCCGAAGAGGCCACCGCCCGTCACGGCGACGGCCGCAATGACATAGATGTTGCCAATAACCATCTTGAGCCTCGGGACCTGTGCGAACAGGATCAAGTGTGGCCTGGTGAGTGGTCGTGATGGGGGAATTGGACGACAATATGAACCAGTGGTCGGTCAAATTCCGAGCAGGTCTTTATAGGATTGCCCATCAACTCGCACCGGGATCTTGAATAGCCTTCCTTGCACAAGAGACAACGGCGAGACATGCAACCACGCGAGATCGGCACAAACATCCGATTATACCAAGGCTAGTATGGATGTGAATGTCAGAAGCGCCGAAGGATGGCCGCGACCGCGCGAGCCGCTTGCGACAAGAGATCGACATGATCTGGTTCACTAGTCTGGGGTTGCTCCAGCCGTCTACATACGATTGACGTGAGATCCTGCCCCATTCGCATCGGAACAAAGCATCCGCGTGACGTGACCGGATGCTGGTTGAGGGGATGCAATCAGTTTGTCCCTTCTTGTCATGTCTGTCTGCCCTGAGGCGCCGCATTTGGCAATGTCCGAAGTGTGCAAAGTACCACGACCACCCCCAAGGCTGTTGAACTCTGACACGATTGACTTCTGGGGTAGAGGGGGGCGAACACGAGCCGCCATGTGGAAAAAAGAGGATACCATCCTTGCATCCCCGACATCCCCAATCTGTCGCCTGTGGGTTCTTGTGGGTTTCGCGGGGGACAAACTGGAGAACGTCACGGCCGTCCAGGATCGGACCGAAGGCGGCATGGACAGCCGCGCCAATGAAGAAGAAAACGGATTCCGTCGTGGCATAAAATTCGGGGCTCCGGATGTCATGTTGCATCCTCCCGCGGACTCGGCAGGCAAGGGAGGCGTGACGATCGATGGCATGGCGGCAGGGGGGAAGCTCCAACGGCATAGGTTCCGGCGAATGGGGCGCGCCCGCTTGTAGAGACGGCTCGGGCACTTCGCGACAGATGGGCCCGAGGCGATTCTTGGTGGCTGTTTGGGCGACCGGTCTGACCACGAAGCGCGTGGCCTCCATGACGTTGATGCAGCCTGACCGGGGTGCATGCTTGGAACGGGTGCCGCCCGGCGCATGTACCCGAGCGAACGTGAACAGCTGCAGGTGCAGACCATGGCCATGGCCTAGTCTTGTTTCTCATCTTCGACTTTCGAGGCAAAAACGCGCAGCGGGCGAGCGGCCCCGTGGACTACAGAAGTCAACGGTCATGTCGTCAACAGCGTTAACAGCGCTGGCCCTCATGCGCAGGGCCACAGGCACATCGTCACGTCGACCTTGTTCGTGCCGAACATGAGGCAGCCAAGATCGGCAAATCGAGGCTTGCGACGCTGGCGCGCGGCGGGAGGCTTTTTATTACCGGGTGGCTGCGCGTGGCGTCGGTGAGCTTGACTGTTTGCGGACGTGACAGCCCGCCTCATCGAGAAGCACGCTGGCGCCGGCGATGGAAGCTCGGCAAGATTGGGCTTGGCGCGGACTCTGGTTTGACGCGCAGCCGGCAGGCGTGCGCGCCGGACGTTGGACCGAGACGCCGATTCCCGCGGACCTGGGTGCTGATGAAGCTGGAGGAGCGTTTAATTGTTCGTGATGGTGGTACAGTCATTGGAGGTTTGGGCCCTTTGGGGTCGAAAAGGGGGCGAGGAAAGAGGGCCCAGTGGCGCCTGCCTCCCCGCGTTCCAGGTTCCATCCACGGCGCGCTGCCGAATCAGCAGGCTCTCAGCGCCCTCAGTGACCCTTTCATCCCCTCCACCCCACTGGCGGGCAATCCACAACGCACTAACTCGCAGCGCGGCTCCTCCAACGACCGCCTTGGAGACCTTCACTCACATCCATCCACCTCACGCCGCATGACAGGCGTCGCCACCAATGCCCGGGATGAGGTCGCTCCTCACGTGCCTCGTGGCCGGCAGCCAATACCTCATACACCCGCATAAGCTGGTGCGTCCCTCGGCCATTTGACCCTGGCGCCGTCAGCTCGAGCCCGCCACCATTGATGCCAGTCTAGGGCTCCATCCAAGAGACCATCAACCCTGATGCCATCGTGCCCGTGACGCTTCTGGAGACGCACGAGATATTCGGCGACGTCGACGCCACCCTGCGTCTGTTCGACAGCTACGACGACGTGTTCGTGCCCGAGTTCGGCGCCGTGCTAGTCGAGAAGCCCGGGCCGAACGCGACCGTTGCAGCCGACGTAGAGCCTAGCTCTCACGGCAGGCGTTTGTATCGGCTTAGCGGCGATGTGGAGGTCACGGGTGATGTCGCCGGCCTGCCATCAGGGCCGTATTTTCTGTACGGGCCGAATCTGTACCAGGCTTGGAGGCTCTACGACGACGACCTCGGCGCCTTTGCCTTTGGCGTGATTCCAGAGAATGTTACGCACACGACTAGGTACGTATGAGACTTTGCTGCTCCACCATGGAGCAGCGGCTAACGTCTACCTCTCAACGACAGCTTCCGCGCCTTGAACGCGCTGTCCGACTCCGGCGCGAGCAAGTCCATCGCCGTGCCTTCACGGCTGTATCATCGCGCACCTAATGCTAGAAAGCCTCTCAGCGGTATTCGCGTTGCTATCCCGGACGTATCCTCCCTTCTAGGTGTACAAACGACTCTGTCTAGCCATGCATGGCGTGCCCTCCACGCACTTCCCGCTGCCGCGACGTCTACCCTCGCGGACCGATTGCTCGCACTGGGGGCTGTCATCGTGGGCAAAACCAAGTCATCGCAATTCGGAGAGGGTCAGGAATGGGTTGATGAACAAGCTCCTTGGAGTCCGCGGGAAGACGGATATCAGAAGCCCGGCCGAGGTGCCGCCGGGTCCGGGGCTGGTGTGGCCGGCTACGAGTGGCTCAAGGCTGCCTTTGGCATCGACTGTAAACACATGCGTCCGGACAGACCTGTACTGGGGCAAATGCTGACAGACTGCAGGGGATGGCGGCGTACGAGAACCCGCCGCAACTCAAGGCGTGTACTCGCTCCGCACGAGTCACGGCGATGTCCCCCTGGACGGCATGGAGACAAGTTCCCCGTGAGCCTTTTCTCTTGCGTCTGCGCAATCCGCACTGACGCGTATGTGACAGGACATTTGACTCGGCGGGGATTGTAGTTCGGGATATTCTCGAGCTTTACAACACAGCGTCCGCGGTGCTGAACCAGGGGCGGTCGGACGTGCCGCCGCCTCCGGCAAGACTGGTGTATCCCGAGGACCTTTTTCACGGGGACTCATCCGAGCGGAGAAAGCTGATGAAACACTTTGTCACGACAATGGAGAATTACCTCGGGGCAAAGGCGGAGCGAATCCAACTGTCGACGCTTTGGGACGAGCACACACCAGACGAGGCCAAAGGTCGTGGCTTGGACGAGTATATCGGCCATGTAAGCCCCATTTTGGCGTCTGCCCAAGCACACGCCCGCTGACTCTGACCCGAGGCCCCTTTTCGTGTGCATTGCTACGAATTTTACCACGCATATGAGCAGTTTCGCTCTGACTACAAAGCCAACTTTGGACATCCTCCATACGCTGAGACGAGTGTTTGGCACAAATGGTAAGCCCACGGGTGCCACTGCAGGTTGTTCGAGAGTTGACATACCTCGTCAGGTCCACTGGAAAGAGCGTCCGCAAGTCGGAGTATAACGAATACCAGACGCGCCTCGAGGTGTTTAGGGCATGGTTCGACAAACAGGTCATGAACATGACAAGCGTGGAGCCGCGCTGGACGGCCATGGTGTTGCCATTTGACAGCGAGACTCCCAACTACCGTGACGAGAAACCGCGGTAAGATTCGGATTCTGCGCAGTCTCCGAATACCAAAATTTTAACTTGTAATACAGCGGGCCATCAACACGTCACAGGCTCACGGCAGAGCTGCTGTCGTCGATGTTGCGGACGCCTCAGGTTGTGGTGCCATGTAAGTGCCACTATACACACACCAAACATAAGCTCTACAGGCTTTGAACGCAGACTAAATTGTCACCTTGCAGTTGCGCAATTGCCGTACAAGTCACGCATCAGTGAACGAATGGAGTTTCATCCGGTATACGGATCCATCATGGGGCCCCGCGGCGGAGATCTGGCCGTGGTGCACCTTGTGCGGCGGGCGTTTGAAACAGCCCGGTGGCGGACAAGGGTTGACACAGGACGATTCTCTTTCCCGGTCGGGGACAACGACCGGAATGTCGATGACCGGCACGTCGCGGGATTGAAGGATGACGAGACCAGACGTACAGAGGAAGAGGTTTTGTCGGATGAGCTGTAGGATGACCAGGTTTGCTAGGTACCCCAAACCCAGGGCTCGGCTGTATATGTAAGAGTAATCAAGAAGCCTACGAATTGAACAGCCCGCTGCCCTGCAATGATTGAGTGGCCTCCAAACCCGATTATCGTCAGGTGCTGGATGGTGAATGTCGTTGGTAGGCATACCTATGGCCCTGAAGTACTTAGAGGCCCGCCCGCTGTCTGGTGAATTCCGCGCCTCCTAGCGGGGCACGCCAACCGTCAGCCGCCAGTGGCAACGGCGCCACCAGTGTACCACCCCGTCCCCTTGCAGCCCTGCGGGCGGGCGGCAGCGGGATGGATCCATTGAACGAGGTGGGGTCGAGCCAAAATTTCCCAAAAAAAAAAGTTGAACCTCTCACCGCGACAGCTTCAACACCGCTCTTTTTCCTGCCATCGCCCATCACAACCTCTGCGCTTCACCCGCAGACACACACAACCAACCGCCACAATGGCCAAGAGCAAACGTACGTCCGCACCGCGATCAACCGCCCCCCTTCTGTCACGTCGGAGCGTAAACTGACCCCATCCTCGGACTGCAGCTCCCTCGAAGCACTCCCGCGCCGCCCGCCGCGCCACCTCCCCCTCCATCAACACCGACAAGTCCCTCAAGGCCGTCTCCCTGCCCACATCGTCCTCCACAACCGCACACGAATCCACCGGCGCCGACAGCCACAATACCAGCAACACCAACAAGAACCGGCCGTCGGTGCTGGCCGTGCACCGCGCCGCGGGCGTGTCCAAGAAGACGAGCAAGCCGGCGCGCAAGTCGCGCATGACGGCCAAGATGCGGCGGCGGCACGAGCGCGGCCTGGAGATGGCCGAGGCGGTGACGGAGCGCACGGGGCTCAAGATCGAGAAGAGCATCGGGCGCGCGAGAGCCGTGCAGGCGCGCAGCAAGGGGTGGGATGATATCAATGCCCGCGCGGGGGATGAGGCGGGGAGGGCGCGCGCCGCGGCGGGGAGGAATGCGTTTGCGGCGCTGGGTGGTGATGACGATGATGGCGACGATGACGAGGAAGGGGAGGGTGGTGACAAGGGGTGGGAGACGGATGAGGATATGGGTGGCGATGTGCCCATTCCGGCGGGCATGCAGTCGTCGATATTTGCGCCGGCGCCCAAGAAGGAGGAGGCTGTGCAGTCTGGACAGGCTGCTGGCGGCGACGACGAGGAGATTCTGTGAGATGGACGTCAGACACCCCGAGGAGGGCTTGCTGGCGCGCGTCTACGACGGGAAATGATGCATCATTGGGCGTTTGGGGCGTTGGGCAACCCGAGACGGTATCTGCAGGAACTCGCTTCAACCGTCATGCTTTGCTTGCTAGACAGACAGGCCGTTATGATGCCGATGATATGGCAAAGGGCCTTTCCATATACACATATATACATTCGCATGAATTCGTTGGCTGACAAGCCTCACTTGCCCGCCCTCCCCTCGAGAAACATGCGCATCGTGCCGCCCACCTGCCCGCTCGCCGGGCGGCCCTCCCTAGCTCCATGCACGGCCACCTCCTCGCGCACGCGGCGCACTACATCGGCGGCCTCCTCGGCCGTGACCTGCTTGCCGCCCTTTTTGCGCGCGAGCATCAGCTCCACCTTCATGCCCTTGGCGAGGAAGCCGCCCATCTGGCGCATCTTGGTGGCCAGGTCGTGCGCGCCAATCGCCCACGTGAGCTCCAGCTCTTTCGTCTTGGGCTTGCCTCCTCCCACTGCTGCAGCTGACCCTCCAGCGGCGGCGGCGGCGGCGGCGGCGTTCTTCTTCTCCTTGAGCTGCCGCTGGCGGGCGTACTCGTCGCGTTTGTTGACGATCTTGCAGACGGCGTAGCGCGGCTGGGGGCGGCCGGCGGATGGGTCGGCGGGGAGGTAGGGCTGGACCATGCGCAGGGAGTCGTCGGGGCCGAGGCGGGAGAGGATGAGGCGCGTGGGCTGGGACGCCGTGGGGTCGGGTGGCGCTGACGAAGACGACGAAGATAAGGACGGGGGCAAGCCGCCGCCAACGACGGTAATGTACGGGTCGGTGATCTCGTGGTCGCGCGGGGGCCGGTCACGCCCAGAGCGGTCAATGTCCTGCTGCGTGGTGAACCGGCGGTCGAAGCCGCGGTCCTCATTGGCGTCGGTGCGGACGGGCCCGGGGCCGCGGCGGTTGCGAGGCGGACCGCGGGAGGAGGACGAGGAGGAGGGCGGCTTCGTGGCAAAGAGCCGGCGGTTGTGGATGAGTTGTGCCGCGCGGGGGCCGGCGGCCGGGGGGGAGACGAAGACGCGGTAGAGGGCGCGGCGCGTGGTGAGGGCGCAGCTGCGGAGGGCTGTCGTCATGGTGGGCGATGGGAGGCGGGCGACGTCTTGGAAGGGGGAGAGAGGGAGGATTGGGTGCTGATGGCGCCAATTGAGGGCGTTGGAGGGCGTGAGGCGGAGGTAGAGAAGATCCGTGCTGTGGGTGCGTGAGGTTGAGAGGGGAAGAAGAAGCTGAGTTGGAGCTGGAGCTGGAGCTTGCAGAGCCAGTCGACGTCAGGGCAGCGGGCCGACCGTTAGTGGTCACAGCGCACCTCATCTTCTGCCCGCCTCCGCCCCACTGTACTCCGTGTTCTGGTTGCACTGCGCCGTCTCACCGAACTGCCTCAGCTGTGCGCGCTCTCTCACCTTACACTCCGCGACGGTGACGCAGGTGAAGCCCAATAATGGCCTAGATATCCATGGACAGCTTGGGCCACTCCACGGACCGGTGCTTGTAGTGCTTACACGAGGATGTGTTGATGACAACAAGGGTTCGTTTGTATGGCGAGTATGGAACATCATGCGGCATCGTCTACGCAGAGAACCCCTTGATCACAGGCATAGCCCAGGCCACCTCAGGATATCGGTCATGAGCGCAAACTGTTGAATCTCAAGCTCCGATCCTGTCCGTACATTTTACCTACTCCAGCTTCCCAAGCATCGCATCCAGCTCAGCCGCCACAAACGCCGGATTGTCCCGCTGGATAAAGTGACCCGCCCCAGGCACCTGAACCGGGCCCTTGCTGCGCGACGACTCGGTGATCCTCGCCAGCCCCCGGTTGTACCTGTCCCAGTATGGGTTCGAGTACGCGAGCGTCGCCGCCCTGGGCATGCCCATCTTCTCCGCCTCGACGCCAAAGTGCTCAAACTCGTGCCCCAGCACCGTCACGTAGGGCCCCTTTCCGTCCGCACCCTTCAGCACGGGGGCGTCCGCATCGGGCAGCAGCACACGGAGGTTCTTCCTGCTGAGGCCCTCCTTGTTGCCCACGTCCGGGTGGAACATGGCGCCGATGCGCTCCCGCGCCGTGCGCAGCACCTCCGCCGTGACGCCCTCCGGCAGGCCCTCCTCCGTGAAGCCCTCCGCGTCCGGGTCCGGGAACTGCGACACAAAGTCCGAGTTGGCGAGCACCGAGTCGAGGAACAGCAGGCCCGCCACCGTACCCGGGTGCTCGTGCGCGTACAGCCGCGCGAGCGCGCACCCGATGGAGTTGCACGCCAGCACGAGCGGCACCTCGTCTGCGTTGTCGAAGCCGCGCAGCTTCTCGCGCGCAATCTGCGTGACGAGCTGCCGGAGGTCCCGCACGGCGCTCATGCAGTCGTGCGCGTGCGTCGGGTCCGCCGCGCCGGCATCCTGCGGGTCCCGGTCCGTGGTCCGGCCCTGCCCGAAGCGGTCGTACGTGAGGATGGCGGGGAGGCTGTCCGGGCGCAGCGCCTGCAGCTCGGCGATGGTGGGCGCCCAAAAGTCCTGTGGGAGACCTAGCCCGTTGAGGAAGACGAGCAGCGAGGGCTTGGACGTCGACGTCGGCGGGCGGGTGGCGGGCACGAAGCGGTAGCAGAGCTGCGCGGTCGGCTTGGTGCTGAGGCTGATGAAGCTGTATTCCAGGGGCGCAGCCATGGCGGCGGATAGGCAAGTGACGCCTTGTGATGAAGCTGAGTTGTGCAGGGAGAAATTCCCGGGTGGTGAGAAGTCGTGAGGTTGATGAAGGCCCGACCGTGTCTGACGATCCGGAGCTGAGCCTCCTATAAAAAGCCCGGCAGGCCCGTGGCCTCTTACATTGTCCGTGGACTATCTGTCCCGATCTCCGGATGACAACCCCTAAAGCCGGCCTGTAGCTGCGCTCAGCCTCACTTGCAAGCTCTAAAAAGTCCCAGTGCGGCGCCGTCATAGCCGGTGCTTAGTTGCATGTGGCGACGGCGCCTACAAGCTGACAGGATTCCACATCAGTCCACTGCGTTTGCGGTCCTGTCGTTATCACCAGCAACGGCGCTTATTACAGGTATTTTGTGCAAAGTACAGTGCATGTCCTGCTACACGGCAGGGCTGGGCCGGATTTGGGTATGCATGCATTTAAGCCATGCGTCAAGGGGCTGATCGCACCTACGAAAGCGACCGCGATGGTTTGGGCAGCACACTGCAGGCTCATGCACGATTCAAACACCATGCGACAGTAACACACTCCAAAGCTCCATTCGACGCGCGCGCTAAATGTCCAGGCCCGCGGCCTGGCTTCCGTCCCTCAGTACACATACCGGAAGTCCTTGTTCTCAAACTCCGTCAGATCCCGCATCCCCGCCTCGCCACTCGCCTCCTTGTCCGCCGGGCCATACACCCGGTCGCGCCGGCGGTTCGACGTGAACAAGTAGACTAAGCAAGCAACGTCAGCACCACTCATACGCACACCTGGAGACGGCATCTCAAGATAGTCGTTTGTGTAGAACACAACGTACCTAACAGGGCGAGGTGGCAGCCGAGCTTGATCGCGTATCCCACCAGGAGGCCGATGGTCGCGCCCGTAAAGTGCGGTGCCTGCTCTGGCTTCACGACAAAAGGGCCTGCAAAGTTGCCCCAGCAGTATGCGGTGCTGCATCCATCAGCGAACAATACGATTAAGCCACGTCCCCCTGATATGGATGAAAGGGACGCTAGCGGGATGTGTGGGCGTGACTTACAAGACGAGCGCGCTGGCCAGCGAACGGTGCGTGTAGCCGGCCATGTTGGATGAAATGGTCGTCAGCGAGACGGTGAAGCCCACGGACTGCGCGTTGACGAGCCAGAAGCTCACGAGGCGCCCCCACGTATTCGACCGCGGGAGGTACGCCATGCATGCCGCCGCGACGGTGCATAGGAGGTTGGCTACCGTGGCCACGGCCAAGCGCGCTGAGATGAATTGAATCAGCGAGCAGTTCCCAAGACTGGCCAAGGCTGCCTCTCTATGCGACGCGCGTAGGGAGTCGAGACTTACAATTGGGCACATTGAGGATGATGGTTCCTCCAATGAACAGGGCGACAATCTGCACCGCATCGCCGACCGACTTGAGTTCCGTTGTCTTCGTCGTGCTGAAGCCCATGTCTCGGATGATGATGGTCGAGAACGAGTTGACCACGCCATTGGGGATCGCTCTGGAAAGGGACACAGAACTGTCAGCAATCGATCGCATGGGCGGCGCATCGTCAGGTTCGTAACGTACGCAGCAAAGACGCTGATGAAGAGCAGAATCGTCTTCGGGTCCAGGAACCCCAGCTTGATCTGCTTCTTGTCAAACGACTTGTTCTTGATGCCCGTCTCGTTGCTGGCCACGCGCTTGACGGCGACGAGGCGCTCGCGCTTGCTGAGCCAGGATGCCGTGGACGGGGAGTCGGGCAGCACGAGCCAAATGACAAAGGCCCAGATGCAGGTGGCACCGCCGAGCTGAGGGTTACAACCAGGTTAGCTAATAGTGTTCTGCTCGGGGTAGTGTCAAGGCAGGATGCGAGTCGTACGATGTAAAAGATGAGTTCCCAGCGCGAGGGCGTCATGTCCTCGGGCAGCTTCGAGACGCCCATGGAGATGTAAGAGCCGATCTACGAACGGTCAGCACGCGCATTCTAGAAGTGAATCGGTACACCGAGGAGACTCACAATGCCGCCCCAGCCAAGGGCAGAGCTGGGCAGTCCAGGTCAGCCGCGGTCTGCAACAAAAAGTCTGTGTCGAGCCAGTACTCACTACCAGATGCACTGGCGGAGCGGAATCTCGCGCCTAGTGTACCAGAAGCCAGTCATCAGAGTCAAGCCGCTGTGGTCAAGTCAGTTTAGCTCCGCGAAGGTCAGGTCGGGTCATCACATACGGAGTCACGGCGGCCTCGAAGATTCCCATGATGACTTGGCAAGCATGTCAGCTCCCCTTCCCTACATTTGATGGGACCCGTCGATTCATCGAAACATACATCGAACAAGAACTGTTCAATCACATACGTGTCAGCCACTGCTTTCACCATCGCCGCTCGCGGGAAACAGATACGTACGTGCTGTGGAGTAGCTGCGGCACTGCGTCATGATTATGACCATCAGTCCCCATAGGAAAATGCTGATGGCCAGGACTTTTTGGGCGGGAAACCGCCCGATGAGCCAGCCGCAGGGGTACTGGCCGAAAAAATACCCGGCGTACACCACTGTGCCAAAGTCAGTGAAATGGACCGGAGCGCACATGGCGTACATGTAGCCTAAGATCGGCCAACGGTGGGAATCATGGCGCGTACTTGCAGAGAGGTAGTTGAACTGCTGGCCCTTGAGGTGCAGGGTTGTCTGGTAGCCGAATAGGTTGGCGTAGTTCAGGGACGTCTTGTCCATGAATTGCAACGCTTGCGTGATGAGGAACATGGGCAGGATGGTGAGGTCCAGCTTCCACCGGAGCCTTCTCATCTAGAAAACCGACACGAACAAGGTCAGTTTGAAGCTCAGGACACCGCGAGCTGTCAGTGGCCTCAACAGGTAGGTGGAACACACCTCCTTGTCCGAAATCTCAAGATCGAGAGCTTCGAGATATTCCCGGTACCCAACCGCGTTGTCCTCCTGCGTTGCGTCCATCTTCTTCAGGTCGTCCATGTTGTGCTCGGCATCGTCGACGACGCCGGAGGTGGGCTTCTCGATGTCCGGCATTGTAGCTCGTCACGTTGAAGCTTGGAGGGAATCACTGTCTGAGATACACGACGACACTTGATACGCAGCTCCGCGATCAACCGATGTGAAGTGGGCAAAAGCCGATGCAGACGACAAGGACATCAGCTATCCATTGCGGCCCCACGATGGAGGAGCAACCCTCGCTTTAGTACTCCCACTGATACGGCAAGTCGGGGTTGTTGGACGTGTGTCGGCCATGAGTCGGAGGCGCACGCCCGGGGCCCCAGGAATCCAGGATTGCCAATCCGGGGCCCCGCCATCCAGGAAACGACCGCCGTGAGAGCTAGTGCGTGGGGAAGCACGCCCGGCGGCCTTGTTGGATGGATCCGGGGCCGCGGCGACTCGCCGCGGGGCTTCGGCGACGTTCGCACCGCTTAAAAGGCACAACACTTTGCGGGTGGGAGGAGCCGACAGCGGCCACGGCCCAATGTCCATGGCTACTGCAGCTTGATAATATTTATTTTGAGGGGGCCCAAAAGTACGACATATAGATTGGGGCTGCCGGCGAAAGTGAGCCGCTTTGTATAAGTGTTTACCCGATTCGTTTCCCGTGGCGCTCCCGCGCGCCCAAGCAGCCACCATGGGGCAACGCTTCTCCGTCTTCTCGTCCAAGAGTAACACGGCCGCCGAAGAATATCTGGCCAAGCCTAGCGGCGCTTGCTGTCTGGAGGGCACGATCCATCAAGGGGTGTCGCGCGGCAAGTGGGAGACAATTGCAGATGTCGAAACCTACATCGCCACTCCGCCTGCCGGCAAGGAGAATGGAAACGTCCTGCTCTACTTTCCCGATGTGTGGGGTATGTTCCCCAATGGATTATTGGTGATGGATGCCTTTGCGGATGCCGGATATCTCGTCCTTGGCCTGGATTACTTTCGGGGGGTGAGTTCACCAACATGAATCGGCTCCGGTCGTACCAGCAGTGATTCCTCTGACACGCCTATACTAATGCAAACGACGTTCGTCATCTAGGACCCCGTTTGGAAGCACCGAAAGAACCGCCACGACAAAACCAACCCAAACTTTGACTACGAGGCGTGGAAGCGCAAGCACACTGCCTTTGCGGACGAGGCTGTCCCCAAATGGGTCAAGGCCGTCTCAGATCGTTACAAAGGCGATGGCGTCAAGTTTGCCTGCGTGGGATATTGCTTTGGCGCGCCGTATGTCTGTTCGGAGCTTGCCAAGGACACGGTTTCGGTCGGCGCCTTTGCGCATCCGGCGTTCCTAAAAGAGCATCACTTTGAGAACATCAAAAGTACGATCCGCTAACATAGAGATATCGTCTCATGGGGAGGCGGCATGGCAGGACTAACGTTTGTATGCAGAGCCATTGTTCCTATCATGTTCCGAGACCGACCACACGTTCGACGTGCCATCACGGAGGCGCGCGCTTGACATCCTGGAAAAAGGAGGAAAGATATATCACTACCAGCTTTTCAGCGGTGTAAGTCACGGCTTTGCTTTGCGAGGGGACCCCAGCGATCCATATCAACGTAAGTCGGCAACCATGTCAAACTAATCACTACTACTGTGAATTGCACGTCATGAAGTGTGCTGACACAGTGAACGCGGGTAATGTAGGCTGGGTCAAGGAGCAAAGTCTCGCGGGAATCGTGAACTGGTTCGACTACTGGCTGGCCCAATGACATTGGCGTCTTGTTTGACATAGACTAGAGCTTATTATGGCTGGAGTATGCACAAAGAATCGCCGCATACGGAGCCGTATCACTTTATTCACATGCGACAATACTATGCGATTTGTCTATGGTACGGTGTCTTCATCGCGTTGTGAGAAACATGCCGTGTTGCCTGAGAGCGGACTCAGCGGAGTGTGCCGCCTGGCCCATTGCTACAATATCCCAGACCGGATCCATTCGCCATGTGGGCCGTAGCTATTCTGCCGCTTCGCGCTGGAGACAGTAAGGGATCTATTGGATGCCAAGCCTTTAAGCTCGCCATCGTCACACATTGTGTCAGCAAGTCGGCGAGGCCCATACACTTATTGGGTGAGTCCGAGGTCGGGGACGGTCTGGCTGATGGCAGGTTTGCGGCGGGTGGAGAGCCCGGCATGTCCCCGCGGCGCTTCTCCGAGCGGACTATAGCCCGGTGCACTCCGGGCAGGTGACAGTTGGAGCACCACCAACGGGTCGTTCCAGCGATCGGAGACTCGCCGCGGCGGGCGATCTGAGGTTGCCTCCCCGGTTTACACGACCGGCGCCTCACGACCAGGTGTCATCAGGTTATGATGCAAACGAATATTAAGCTCCTTGGCTCCAATCACAAAAATCTAAGCACTGAACGGTATACCGGCTAATTACACTCCATTACTCATTCACCATGCCCCCTCCCAGAGCTTTTGACTTTACCGGCGACGTCGCCATTGTGACGGGCGCCGGCTCGCGCATGGACGGTAAGTCGTGTCAGCCTCAATCGACTGCAAGGTCCGGCGCACAAAACTGACGACACAATAGGAGAGATTGGCAATGGCCGAGCTGCTGCCATCCTGCTGGCCAGGCATGGAGCTAGGGTCGCCCTGGTCGACTACAACGTCGACTGGGCAAAGGAGACTAAAAGAATGATTGACGAGGAGGGCGGCATCTCGGAGGTGATCCAGGCAGACGTCACCAGTGAAGAGTCATGCAAGAATGCAGTATCACGAACTGTGGAATTGTTCGGTGCGGTACACGTTCTAGTAAATATTGGTAAGTGCTTCACAAAGCAATCTTTCAACTGTATGGTACGACATCCAGTGATTAACGGAGTCGCCATACAGTCGGAGTCGGAGGCGCCATCGGCGACGCCACCACCATCAACCTGGAGGCCTGGGACAGGGACTTTCGCATCAACGTCACCAGCATGGTGCTCATGAGCCGCTATGCGATTCCTGAGATGAGGAAACAAGGACGTGGATCAATCATCAACATGTCATCTGTCAGCGGCCGTATGTCCTCTCACCCCTCCCTCCCGGCCACCTCAGCTAACAGCCCTTTGCAGTACTGGGCGGAAACCCCAGCCTTCTGTATCCCACAACCAAGGGAGCCATCATCCAGATGACGCGCGCTATGGCGGCGCACCACGGCAAGGAGAATATCCGTGTCAATTGCGTCGCTCCGGGAATGGTGTACACGCCCATGACTCGGGGCCGGGGCATGACAGATGAGATGAGACAAGCTCGGATCAACCAAAACTTGATGAAGAAGGAGGGCACTGGCTGGGATGTGGGTTACGGTATGTCCATGTTATCACCATCTGTGTCACGGTCAAGTTGTTGAGACCAGAGACTAACTGCGGCTCGCATCAGCTATTCTCTTCCTTGCCAGCAAAGAAGCGGGTTGGATCACTGGACTTATTATGCCAGTGGACGGAGGCGTAAGTCAACGATTTCCCTTTCAATACTCGCATGACCGCGTTGTCGTGTGCTGTGCCGTACTGACACAGTAGGATGACAGACTACTGCTGGCAAGGCAGACCGACCTGCCCTGAAAGCCGACACACTGGCTCAAGATATCACCGGGGTTTCTAACTGAGACGACCTTGATGGGAAGCCATAGATAGATCTGCCAGCGTAAAGATCGGCCTCGTGCTGTCATATAGAGCTTTCTTTGTATTAATTACCACTATCGTTCACTGTATTGGCGGGCCAAAAAAGTCATTCAGATCCATCTGCGCCTCCGGAAAAGAGTCCAACCCAGACATGGTGTCCAAGTCGGCTCCTCCAAGATACCGATTCATATCGAAATCAATGGACAGTATCGGGTCCACGTACGGAAACGCCGGGATATAAGTGTTCGCCGTGGCAGTGGGCAGCAGGTCTTGGCTCATTTGCTCCGTGACAGGAGCCTTGTCCGCAGGGGTAGAGCTCATGCCCTTAACAATAATCTTCAGACTACGCTCCAGCAGCGGGCACCTCCTCATGCCGGTGTTGAGCGCGCGGAGGAAGGTCTGCAGCGTCGCCTGCGACGAGTCGTTTCCTTTCTTGGCGTCTTCGAGGATGGCCGATGCGCCAGTGTAGATGCAGTACCCCATTAGGTAGGTGATGTTTCCGAGTCCAAAGGTGGATTCAAGGAGCAAGACGAGCTTCTCGATGCTGCGCGAGGCGGTGATGCAGGTTTGGTAGTGAGCCGGCACTGCCCAGAAAGGCCGGTGAGCCAGAATAACGGAAGCAAAATAGAGCAGGCTGTAAGGGATGCAGTTAGTGGCTTGGTCTAGTCAAGAGCATAACCGCAATGCGAGAGAACAAGGCGGCGCACGTGCACGGCGACTCACTTTTGGGAGATGAGGTGTGGTGGTGGGCATATCGAGGGTAAGTTGTCTGGGTCATATCGTAGGTGGCAAGGGGATCGCGTTCGCCAAAGGTCCAGGCGCTCTTTGATGTCGTTGAGGGCAGCCTCGCTTATGGACCTCTTCCGCCTAGCATAGAGCTGAACAACGATATCGTTGATGATGATGGCCAGCTTGCAAGAGTTGACGAAGCAAGACACCGCATGACTCTTTCTCGGAGGATACTGGCTGCGTGAGCCGTCGGCCGAGTCTAGAGAGTCGCCGTAGTATGGGATCCAGGTTTCGTGCTCAGTCGAGTGGTCCACTGCTCATTGTCAGTAACTATAGAGCTCTAAACCAAGCTTTGCACTTGCGTAGATCTAGGGAGCTCTGGTCCAACACTTCCGTGACGGCAGGCAATCTTCCGGCGTAGAGGCTAGTTGCCCTAGAGAGCCATCTCATTAGCATCAAATTGCAACCAAGAAGTCGCGCGGAGCTTGAACCAGACCGGGCGGAGAGGGTTGGCATACTTGTCCCAGAAATAGCACCCCCAGAAGAGCCGCCTCCGTATCTCCAGGTCAAGCGGGCTCAGGCCCTTGATGACCGTGCCGCTGTGCTGCAGGCCCAGATCACTCGCCATCCTGAACGCAATGCCTCCATACACCCAAGCCTGGGAGATGGAGCCGTGCGCCAAGTCGCGAGCGCTCAGCTGCAGCAGGGCCTGCACCGTAGGGATGGAGCTCGGCTGTTGGATGGCGGCGCCCAGAAGGCGACGTGCTCTCGCGAGCAGGAATTCGGAACTGTTGTTGTCCTGGTACTTGGCGGCGTGGCCGCACATGACCGTGAGGAGAAACTCGGAGTAGTAGCGCCCTCCGGTAGCCATGTCGCCTGAAGCGCCTTGATCAGCGGCTGATCGTCTGACCATGCTATTGTTGTGATACTCACGGATAAAGGCTGGGCGATACACCCACATGAACATTGGGGACACCCACGTCCAGTGCAGGCGGAGGAGCTTCGCCAGCATGTGTCGTGGAATTCCCGTCTGTAAGGATGCGTTCCCGAGTGCAAAGTCTTCCCATATTGACGCCTCTCGCACATAGCATGACAGCGATTCTTCGTCCTTTGTTGACGCATCCGAGGCCCTGGCCTGGGCAGTCGTCGCAGGTGTGTGTAAGGGATCGGGCTGTGGGCGATCGTGTACTGCCGACGTCGGTCCATAGTATAGGATCTTGCCGTGCTCATCGACTCTCAGCTCTGCCGCTGAAGGCTCTTCTGGCCCTGGCGCAGGGCCCGCCACACCGGCGCTTCCTGGTCTTGCGGTTGACAATTCGACGTCTTGAGGAGCATGTGGCCAAGGGTTCGGCGCCAGGCCAGGGACAGTGGCGCTCCCCGCGGAAGAAGAGGCAATTGGAAGGTCAACAGCCGCAGGGACTAGATTGGGCTGCATCTGACCATGATTTGGTGGTGAGGAGACAGCAGCCAGTCCAGTAGGATGCGGTGGGTTTGCAGAAGTGTCGCCAATTGGCGATGCTGAGGGCTCCTCTGGCGAAGCAGTGCCTCCGTTCGCTCGGAGCTGCTCAATCATCCTCTCGGCCTCCTGAAGTCGCTTGGCCATGGCAACGACTTGCGATACCGGGGGAGCTTTGTCGTACCGGCATTCATCATGATACACTTCGCAGGTCTTGCAAGTCGGCTGGCCGCCCTCGCACCGCACCTGTCTCTAAGTCAGTAGCTGATCGCGTCGCATATCTCGCGATATTTGGCCTCTAAGGCGTTGACCAAGAAACCTTCTAGAGGGCTGGACGCATGTACCTTGCGCGCGCGGCAGTTGGCGCATGTGAGCCCCCGGAACTTGCGGTTTCCATGCTGACGTCGCAGCGCCTTGCCGATGTGTCTCGGGGAGCCAACAGCTGCATCTTGCCGCTGTGTCGAAGACATCATACGAAGTAGAGCCGGGGTAGATCGCGGCTAACGACTAAGGTCGTCAGGCTGCAGGGCGACATAGAGCATAGAGGGGCTTCAGGTTTCATCACAGTCGATGCCGAATGGTCGAAGTGACGCCAGTGGGATCATTGATCCATTCAGGGACCGGGCCAGTGCCCGTTAGCTGCGAACTCGGAAGACTCCCCCCACATTCCTCCGCTGGCAACTTGGAAATATGGGGTCCCGGCTGACGGAGCGGAGCTTGCAGGTTTGGCTCTGGTGGGGTCGGCGCAAACTGAGGCGAGCCGCCGGCTAATAAGGTCCCACAACGGCGATCTCGACCTGCTTGCTCAACAGAGTCAACACAGCCCAAACAACGTTAACAGAATCGTCAGACCATTTAGTCGAAAACTGCATGTAACTTGCCGATGAGGCATAGCCTGGCTCTGCAGACCCGCAAATGGTCTGATGTTATATTCTGCAGTATGGTAATCGTGTACGACGTAAGGCAACCCTACAAAACCCCCAGTTCCCATCTTACTACGTAGACATGAAATTTCACGCCCTTCTTCGCTACAAATAGCTACTTCTCAACAAAACAATACAGCATCAGCGGGGATAATGTCGACCTCAAATGCAGATGCTCTCATTGGACTCGATTCCATCAACTGGTCTCGATTATCTCACGCATACGGCCCTGCCGATGACGTGCCGATTCTCTTGAGGGAACTCCAAGCTATGGATCCGGAAGTCTACCTGACAGCATATGATGCATTTTTGTCCAACATCTATCATCAAGGCAGCCGTTACAGTGCGTCAGTCAAAGCGGTGCCCTTTCTGTATGCCTTGCTTGACCGTCAGAGCACTAAAAACCGACAGAGCCTGCTGTATCGGATCACGAGTCTCGCGGTCGGCCACCCAGACTCGAGCGTCCCGAATGGGGTTGATGTTGCAAAGTGGGAGAAGCAAATTGCCAACACTCAGGAACCGAGCGCTAGCGAGCATTCACACTATGAGTTCGCGACATACGAGGCAGCCGAGCGAGGACTGTCGTCTGTAATCCGTTACTTGGAAGAGGAGTCGCCCGCCATGCGGGCGACTGCAGCTCACGCCTTGGCGTTTTTCCCACGACATTCAGACACGTCAGCAGCGGCTCTCTTTGGTCTTCTCAGTCGAGAAACCTGCAGCGTCGTGCGTAGCACGATTGTACTGGCCATTGCGATCTTGTTCGTCCCGGTGAATGACTATTCAAAGAAAAGCAACATCATTCAGCAACTCCGGGGCTATTATGCCGCTGGCGGCGGCATGGGCGTAGCCGACGACATCTTTACATGGTCTTGTGCCATTGCGCTCACCATCCTGGGTCCGGTGCAGGAGGAGCTTGTTGCGAGGGCACGGCGTGCGCCGACGGACGAAACGTACGTGTCCGAATTGGAAGCAAGCATAACCCGCGACACGTGGTTTCCTTTTGCCCTGTGTGATTTGCGCCAACTGGCCAACACAGTGCTGGAGAAGTCCAAGAGTCTCTCTACCACTCCGTCCCTCACACCAAGCGGCTGAACGATTGAGAGGGCTTGCCACAGGGCGTTGCCGAGTGAATAAGCACCACGCAACTCATATTAGTGAGACCGGAATACATGAAACTGGCGTCTTTCGATGCATCTGTTTGTGTACACAAAAGTATATACGGTCAAAATGTTATGGCTCTGTTTTCCGCTACCATGACGAGTAAGTCGCCGTAACGATGGCGCAGATCAGCTCCTTTCACCTGGACAGCATCATCTTGCCGCTGCCATGGCTTAAGAGCTGTGGTGTTTGGAGAATTGGCCCGCCTGTCGAAAGCAGCCTACACAGACACACCAGCAGGGACTCCCTTGTTCTGCTTGGTCTTCGTGCCGCCCGTGACCTTGTTGTTGGTCCAGGTCCAGTTCTTGCAGGCGGCACAGAGAATGTAGACGTTGGTGCCGCTAGACTTGACCGTGCCCGTGACGCGGTTGACAGTCAGGCCGGTGATGGGCACGCCGGCGGTAGGCGTGCCAGTAGGGGATCCGTTCTGGTAGTCCTGCTGAATGACAATGCCGTACTTGGCAATGTTTGACAGGGCGATGTTATCGTATACGATGTCGGAGACGGAACCGGTCGCGCCGGAGACAGTCTTGATGCGAACGCCGTTGTCGGAGTTGGAGATCTTGGAATTGGTGATGCGTACCCCTTTGACCACGTTGTTGGATCGGCCGCCGACCGAGCCGATAGACAGGCCGTGGCCGCCTGAGCAGTTGCCGCCAGTAAAGGTAATGTTCGTGCCCGAGTTGACGGCAAGGCAGTCGTCCTGGTTCTGCACGACGGCGCCAGAAATGTACACCCCGTCGGAAGAGCCGACATCAAACGCATCCGTGTTGTGGCCACCCTTGGTGTCGCCGAGGGAGTTATCCATATGCACGTCGATGACCTCGAGGTTCTTGGCCCCGTTGATGCTGAACGCCTGAACGGGGGTGTTGAGAACGTTGAGGCCCTTGATGCGCGAATTGGTGAGCTTATGGGCGCTGAAGAACTTGGGCTTCTTCTTGCCGCCGTTGCTGCCCTTGGTATCCCACCATCGCTGTCCCTGGCAGTCGATGGAGTGGCCAGCCGCGCCCTCGACGACGATTCCCTTGCCTGAGACGTCGATCAGGGGCCCGGCCCACTCCTTGTATCCAAACGTTGTCTTTCCAGAGAAGACAACCTAGATCCCTACATTAGCGGGCCGGGACTATGGATTGCGTGCATCTCAATCCTTACATGGGTCCCGTCTTTGAGGCCTGTCAGGTCCAGCGTGGTGCCCGCCGGGACGGCAATGTTCTTGAGAGTGATGGTGGAGCAGCTGGCCTTATGCTTGATGGCGCTCGCGGCGTCGGTGAAGGTGCAAGTGCCGCGCGGAGCGATGCTCGATGACGGTGCGGCCAGCGCAGTCGTCAACGCGCCGAGAAGAATCAGTGAGCTAATCATGGTCAGACGGAGCTTGCGAGCGGAGTAAGAAGAAAAGTGCCCGAGTGCCGAAGTAGAAGCAAAGTAGGAAATGAATGAACGTAGGCGACACAACGACGCAATGAGTGACTATAGCGATCGACTCGGAAAACACAGCCAACGACACCAGACGGGCGGGATCTTATACGTGCCATGATGGTCAAGAAGAGCAGAGGCGGCAACTGGAGTCTCGTATCGACTTATCGCGAGCTGACATGCTCAGCTCTCCGTGTAAAACCCCACGACACACCCGTAATCTCGGCAGACCCTTGCAAATAGCGACCAAGTCGTGCGATCCCAAAGGAAGCAACGGAATTGGCCATCGAAGCCTCACCGGGCCGGATATTTTGGCGGCGTTTCAACTGCCGTACAGCTGGGCTAGCCGTTTCATGGCCCCCGAAATAGGAAAGTCGAGGATCCGCCGGGCCGGGCGCCCATCGCAAGACGGCTCCATCTCCGTGCCCACAGTGGCCCTCGACTCGGAAGACTCCCGTTTTGCCGGGAAGTGGCGGCACGGGGCCCAGCTGATGATGAGCCGGCCGAAAGAAGACGATTTGGACTCCGGATAATGTCGAATAACTAATGCCAGGAAGGCTGGCTGTGCTACCGGACCGAGACCCGCAGCTCCATCATGTTTTGTACGAGTTCGGTATGGGATCGATTTATTGGTTTGGCTCTCGCCTGAAACGACTATTGCTCGCAAGCTCGGCGTGTTGCAGCACCGAGATGGGCGTTGCAATCGCAACACTGAACTTCAAAATTCTTGCCCACGCGGCCGCAACATCGCAACACAACCTCACGGTGATGGTGGGTTTTCCGGTTCCTGGAACTCCTTGCAAGTGAAGCTTGATGCCTTGTTCTCCCACCCAGAGATGTGCTGCTTGAGATCGTGTCTCCACGTCAAGGGGCGCAACTCGCACCTGTCCCCGCTCATTCTAGGGTCACACTTTGCTCCGCAGTCGTAGCTATGGATGACGCAGTCCATGTGCTTAAAGTGGTGTTCGTAGTCGGCTCTCCGTTCCTCGAAGATGACTAGCCCGTTGCGGTACAGCGGCGCCTGAAACTGCGTGCACCTGCCGATGCGGATCGAAATCTTGGGACAATCTTTCCTCATATGGCCATCCGAAAACTTCTCTACGGTGCAAAGGCGGACCTGAACAAGATAAAGGAGTGAGCAGGTGAAGCTTCCGAACGAGGCCGGCACTGGGGTAAAGAAAACAAACTTACATTCCTGTACGGGCCTTCTGGTTCTCGGTCGAGTGTCGTGACATCGGGCGTTGGCGATGCAAAAGCTGTCGCCGCAAAGGCCAGCGCGGCTAGCACGTAGGGCTTCATGATGAGTCCTCTGTAGGAGAATGGTGTGAACAGGGGCGTGGAAAGGAGAATTCGTGGCCTTGCAACTGGCAAGGGATTCCTGGGCTTGGAAGTTGTGCAACATCTCGGACCGTCAATGCGAGTCCTGGGGGCTGCCTTTGTACTTGGGGTCCTTGAACGCAATACATTGCAAAGTCTGTTTGAGTGTCAGTGGCTGCAGTCCAAGTGCAATGCAGGCTGCAAATAGGGGTCATCAGATCCATGACTCTACAAGTCATCGTCACCACCTCCAAGGGCCATGCATGCCGTACAGACCGCTCATGGCCTCACACGGCCCTAACTTTGAACCGGCCTAAATCTAATTCTATGTAAGTCATCTATACATATGGAGCATTGCCGCCAGCAACGGTGAGAATTCAGGGCTTTTTTTTGGTCCTTGACAGAGCTCCCTGCAGCTGAGTCTCGACTAATTCGTTGCAACTTCAGCGTCCAGGTACCTTTCCGTCTCCTGTAAGCAAGCGCCCGCTAAATAGTCAAGATCAGGCGCAAACCGTAAACACTGTCATGGATAAGCTTTGCACTGCAGCTGCTACTACAATAAGCTCGCTCAGCTCGAGCTTTCTCGCTCCGCAAGACTACGGGTCGCCCCGGTACCCCTTGCGGTCCCCAGCGGTGGCACGTGGCAGAGCGCATATGCGATCATCCCCTGTGCGCTACGGTGCCTCATCCGGAGGATGTTTGAAGCCAAACGTGGGCGAGTTACATTTGCCAAAAAAAAATTCCGGATACAACGCGAAGGCTACAGTCCGTGCCCGAGGGTTGGGTAAAACTTTTTTCATGAAGTTACGGCTTTGCTCCGCATCAGACTCGGCACATTCTCCCCATTGAGCAGGCAGTCCGGCTGCCAGTCCGCAATTCTAGCAGTCCCCCCTCTCCAATATCACTCTCCAGTGGTCTGGATGAGTGAGTTGTCCTCCTTTGAACGCGCGCGACTCGCCGCGGTTGCACCTATCGTGTATCTCCTCGAGGACGACCGCTATGGGCTTCCACGAATCCAAGGACTTTGGCCCGGAATTCTAGCAGCGCACAAACGTCAGCAAACGGGACTTGTCGTTTCGTCAACGAGGTATGGTATGATGCATTTTTGGGAGACTCAGCCGAGTACGAGGTGCAGGGGGGCCTTCGGGGAAATTGAGGGACTTGCATCGTTGCAGAGCTTGACGGCAGTGGCCTCGCTGCAGCTAATCTGCTGGCACGCATTCGGCCCGGCCTTCATGTTGGGGCGGCCCCCATGCTTCTTGAAGCGGTCCCGGGCTTCGTAGTACCCCTTGGTGACGTAGTTTGTGAATTTGTGGCCGCACTCGACGGGGTAGCTCTTCCAGTCGTCGGGCTTGGTCGAATGCACAAAGGTCTGCTCGAAGTCTGTGATGTTGAAGTCGCCCGGCCACATGCCCTCGTCGCGCTTGCTTCTTGACGAGGAGTCGGCCACCGCCGCCGAGGGCGCGGCGTGTACGGCGGTGATGCTAGGCGTGTGTTTTCGGCTGTAGTCATTGACAACCCGTCGAAGGGGACCGAGGGCGCATGCCGTCGCTATGAAGACGCAAACACCAAATCCGCGCATTTTGAAGTGTAATAAGGCGGAACTTTTCTTTCTGGGGTGGAAGAGGTTCGAACACGATGCAGCGTACATTTAAGTCATTGTTCGAACAGCGCTCTGCCTCTCAACTTCAATTGAAGTGCCGGCATCATATGTGCGCACTGGCTGGCAGGGAGGTTTCAGGTTTGACTGGCAAGTATTCACACGTTTGTGGCGATGACTTCAGAAACAACTTAGACACTACATGTAGCCAGCGTGGCTTTGCGATGGCTACGGCATGGTCGATGCCCGCTCGGGGTGCGTCGCGGATTGCCCAAGCGAGCTGGGCACGGGCCACGACGAGATCAGGTTTGTGTCAAGTCGGTTGAGACTCGTGTGGCATTTTGGACGAAGCTTGTATATACTAGCCGCATAACCGGCTGTTGCTCTGCAGTCGGGCGGCAGCCTCAAACACCCGTCGCTGTTGGAAGCCTTGTGTATAGACAAATGGCTCGACACACCACAGCTCACACGCCGCACATAATGAGACTAACTCCCTTGCACTCATAAAAGGGAAATCACTACCGCTTCTCTCATCACCACTGAAAAGTCACCAGACGCTCTTCTCACGCGCGGTGCCAGAACTGCACGTCGCTCCAGGTGATGCTCATGTCGCCCGTCCCGCTGTTGGTCGTGTACGCGCCAATCTTGTCGTAGAAGCTGCCACCGGGCGCGTTGTCGTCGCGAAACGCCTCCTTGCCGTTGACGTAGACGCTGAAGCGGTGGTTGTCCGCGTTGTGCACCGTGTTGATGCGGACCGAGGCGCCCACGGTGGCGACGCCCGTGGCGAGCGTCGCGCCGCCCTCGACGCTGTACAGCCGCCCGCCCTGCTCGACGGCCAGGATGAAGTACGGCCCCGCGTCGCCGTTGAACGTCTGCTTGATGGAGATGCGCGTCCCCGACATGGAATTGATCTTGAAGGTGCCGCCGAACTGGTGCACCCCCGACGAGTAGTCGTCCTTGTAGCGCCGCTCCGCGCGCAGGTGCCCGTTGGAGCACCCGGAGCCGCTCGTGTCCCCGTTGGGCGACTTGGGGATCGAGAAGGTGAGCCCGCTCACTGTGCCTCCCGCGCACGCCTGGCTGGAGAAGCTGGGGCTGTCCTCGACCCAGTTGCCGCTCTCGACGGGCGTGCCGGCGAGGGCGAGGGCCGCGGCGCCGAGGGCGGCGAGGATGCTGGAGCCGAGCATTTTGGGAGCTTTTATGTGGCGATGAGAGGTGGGCGGAGGTCTAGCTGTCAGACGGAACGGCAAGATGGACGTTCATCAACACGCGACGAAAGGGTCGACTTTATACTCGAACGGCCGTCCGTCATGAACCCCAACCGGCCGTCTTAGATCGCACGTTGCAATAGGCGATCAACATCGCCAGAATCCTTCTACCAGGAGCCCTCCTCCGTATAATTTCCACCTATGACACGATCGACACCCGCACGCAACGCCGTCCCAGCGATGCGTAGCGAATGCTACCCTGCCATCGTCGCGCCGGTGTTTGCCGACCTGGCACCCCATCGCCAGGGGCCAGCATCCTTGGCCCGCGCCCAGTCCATTGGTGGAGAAACAGGGGCAGCCGCCCCCGCTGGCGACGAGCCGCTTGCCTGCCGGTGGTTGTGGTGGCTGTCTACGGTTCATGACATGGCCGCCCCGAATTTCAGGGTCGGACGAAAAAGATGAAACCGCCATGGAAGGGGAGGGGAAGGGGAGGAAGTCGGTCGAGGCAGGATGCATCCATGATGCGGCCGCGCGGGTCTCGGCACAGGGCGAGAGATTCTGCGGGGTGGCTCGCTCCCGCACGCAATTGCCTCCGTGGCTGCGGAAGCTAGCCGTAGTGCTGATGAGGCCGATTTGCTTGGCCCTGCCACATGTGCGGCTCATCAAGGGTTTGCTTGGCTGACGGCGGCGACATCAGCAACGCAATGGCGGGGGGCGAGTGATGTTGCAGCTGAGCTTGTGTCTTAACTCTCAAACCACGACATTCGACGAGATGCTTTGTAAAATCGTAAGTCAGCCGCCCGGGTTCGATGGCCGCCAGCGAGGGAATGGGTTGGACAAACACCATGGAGACAGCTGTACCGCCTTTTCTGTGACCGGCGGCGAACTTTTTCCATGAACTCATCGAGTTCTCAAACGCGTGTATTCCTCTCCCTCAAGACACGCAGCTGGCCTTCGGGGCTTGCAATGTGCTTCGCTCAACTGATGAGGGTTGTCACCGAGCGCGACCGCGCTGGATGACTGACTGCATCAGCCCCATGCACGTCGTGACTCGAGCATCGCAAGTTGCAACAACGGCCGCGCAGTGCAACAACCGGATTGCTTGTGCGACATCCACAGAAGAACACAGCCAGAGGGAGGGCGCCTCAATGCTCTCAGTTGATCACGATTCACGCAGCTCATTGATCGCAGTCCGCATGAAATAGAACGCACTCGTGCCATCCCCTCATATTTTCATCGTAGAGGAATCCTCGTTCGATTCACGTAGACATCCAATTCTACATGGCACCATAGGGGCCCGTAGGCAGCTTGGCGCCGTCCAGGCGGCTCCCTCTTTTTGGTGGCACCCGCCTGACTGACAGACAGACCCGCTACGTGAGCTGCCAGCCAGAGCTCCGGTGAAGCTGCCACACCCCGAGGTGTGTTATGTGGGGCCGCACCCTCACCGACAGCTCACCTTCGGTCAGCAACCGCAAAGCGTCACCTCAACGCCCATTCGCTACTCATCCTCATCCTCGCCCTCATCACCACCAAACAGCAGCCTCACCACACAGCATCCCTACGCCGCGGCCTCTCACCATTCTTTCCCGCGCGCGACACAATGATTCCGTTGCGCGCAACGTTATAGCCCTCACCACCACCACCACCCCGCCGCCCATTAGTCTCCCCACCGCGCGCCAGCTCTCCGCGCAGCCCATCAGGGCCATCACCATCCACTCCTCACCATCACCACCAGCCGACGACACCTCCACCAACCTCAACCATGCCCTTCCTCAGCGCCGGCCACCCCCTCCGCCTCGCCCTCTCCACCCTCAAGGCCACCTGCCTCGCCCACCTCGCCTTCACGCACCTCGTCCAGCTCTCCCCCGCCAGCGGGCCCTCCATGCTGCCCACTTTCTCCGTCCACGGCGACTGGATCGCCGCCGACATGACGGCGCGCCGCGGCAAGGGCGGCAGCCTGCGCGTCGGCGACCTCGTCCTCTACAAGATCCCCATCTTCGAGTCCCAGCACGGCGTCAAGCGCCTCGTCGGGATGCCGGGGGATTACGTCTCCCTGGGCACGCCCGGCGAGCAGGGCGAGGAGCAGATGATTCAGGTGCGTTGCGTTGCGTTGCGTTGCGGCTGCGTTGCGTTGTGTTTTCTGAAGTCTTTGCTTTTGTCGCTGCTTCTTCTTCTGCTTGTTGTACTTCTTCCTTTATTGCGTGGCGGTGGTGACAAGCACAGTCTCATGAACGTCCTGAGTGCTGACAGTAACATCGCCGCAGGTCCCCGAGGGCCACTGCTGGATCGTCGGCGACAACCTCCCCGCCTCGCGCGACTCGCGCCAATTCGGACCCCTCCCGCTCGCCCTCGTGCAGGGCAAGATCATCGCCAAGATCCTGCCCTGGAACGAGAGGCACTGGATCAAAAACGGTTTGGAACCGGCTTCGCCCCCCTCTTCATGACCCGGCCTGCCTTGACCTGGCCGACCCCCGTTCCGTCCTCGGGCGCGTGTACATCATGTCATATCATATCATATCCAGCCATCCCCCCATGTACCATCATACACAAGGTAGCTAGCTAGCAACCTCACCTCAGCGGCGTCCGGCGCTCAGCATTCAGGGTATATAATAAAAAAGGCCTAAACTCGTCATGGTCTAATTACAACTCTCTCATCCGCGCGTGCATGCACCCGCCTGCTGCGTATTCCCTCTCCAACAAGCCAACAGAAGAATTCGACAAGAGGCAGATAATGCTAGGCTAACCACGGTCATTCGCCGAAAATGCTTTGTACAAAAGAACTGTCCCTCTGCCCCTCTCGTGATGCCGCCGCGACACATGGGGCCGTCTGCGCCGGCCATCGGCCGCAACACAGACCGGGCCACCATGCGGTCGCGGCGACCCCAGACAACCTCCACGTCAAGGATAAATCGGCCGTACGAAACGAGAAAGCGGTCAATCGCGGGGGCAAGCCAGCCGCAGTCCAGTAGAACAGATTCGACGTCCAGACGCCTAAAACTCCAATGCCACGCTCGCCGTCTGGGGCTGCCTCGGCCCAAAAAGACCTCAAGAAAACCGGCTCCGACGCCATCCGCTCATTACGCCTCACCCCTCGATGTGCGCCTTGGACATGCTCTGCCCCAGCAGCTCGAGGCATCGCTGCGCCAGGTTCACCACCTCGCCTTCATCCTCCTCGTCGGATTCGGGCTCAGCCTCGACTTGTCGTTTCGCGATGTTTCGGATGTGCTCGATGATGTCGTCGGCCTTGCCGATGAGGCTGATGAGCGCCTTGTCTTCGGACTCGAATAGCTGGAGGAGCGTCCACACGGCAATGTGTTGGAAGGTGGCGTCGCCAGATTGGAGGAACCGCCCGAGGTAGCCGTGGACGCCGCCGTTGGGCTCGTTCCAGTTCTGCACAAAGATGGAGTAGTCGCCAACTGTGCCAGCATCGATTAGCATCGTCTCATAGCTTCACCGCACGGGCTGCTTACCTTTCGAGGACAAGTTGCCCAGCGCCGCAGCACTGTTACCCTGCACCTCAATGCTAGGAGAGTGTGTAAGCGGAATCAGCACGTCGCAGACGCCGAGGTTGAGCAGATGCGACTTCAGGTCGTCACTGAGGGCGAGGACGGCGATGGCGGCCGTCATTTCCGACTGAACCGTCACTGGAACATCCAGCACGAGCTGCTTGCACTTTTGTACCGCGCCCGCATCGAGGACGAGCGCCTTGTTCCGGTCGGAGCTGGCAGCCAGGTTGCGCAGGGTCGAGATGGCATGGCACTGGATCTCTTCGTTGTCGGTCGAGCCGAGGAGGTCGACGAGGGGTTTCAGGAAGTTGGCCTCGATGATGGGCGACTCGTTCAGGGGGTGGATCGAAATGTTGCGGATGCAAGCGACGGCCGAGAGAATCAGGGGGAGGTAGGAGGACTGGAGGAGACGAAGGAGCGGGTGCAGGCCGTTGGCGCGCACAATGTCGAGCTGGTACTTTTCGTCGGACGCGAGGTTTCGAAGGGCCAAGGCTGCCTGGCATTGGACCTTGGGAGACGACGAGTCCATCAGATTAACCAGCGACTGGACCAACTTGGGCTCAGACGAGGCGAGCTTCCTTCTGTTGTTGGCATCGACCGCGATGTTGCTCAACGCCGTCGTGCAGTAGTACTGGACGTCGACGTCGGCGGACGAGAGGAGCTGGACGAGGACCGGGATGGCGCCGGCGTTAACAAGCTGCTGCCGGTTTTCGTCTATAATGGCGTCAGCACAGACCAAAGGCACCGTGGCTCGAGGCTCGTGCGTACCAGAGTGTGTCATGTTGAGAAGGGCGCCCGTGGCGTTGCGCTGGACGCGCATGTCCCGGGACTTGGCCAGCCTGGTGAGGGGGCCGAGGGCGCCAGAGCGGGCGATCTTGGCCTTGTTCTCCTCGTGCGTCGCGAGGTTGGTGATGCAGCCGACGGCATTGCACTGGACCTCTACATTGGGCGAGAGCATCTGCCGGATGAGCGGCGTCAGCCCGCCCAGTTGTACGATGAGGACTTTGTTTTCGGCTGTACGGCAAGGTCAGCATGAAGGACAATATACCACGGTTCCACCTCGTAGAGTGCCTACTGTTGACAGCAAGGTTGCCCAAGGCAGCACTGGCAGCTCGTTGGACTTCAATGTCAGGGCTCTGAAGAAGAAAGAGGATCGGCTCGAGGGTATCGCGGTCGACTTCTCGGACGTCTGTAGCCTGCGTTAGCATGCGTGACGAATAGCCTGGCAGGCAACGCTTGATTGCGCGGGTGGGTTTGATGAGCGGCGGTGGCACCATGAGGACTTCGTGGTGTGGAGACGAGCGACGGCGGGTTATGGCGAGGGCGGCGACGTACCTCGTTCAGTGATTTCGGCAAAGGTGAGACTCGCGCTCCTTTGGAGGTCGATATTTTCGGAAAAGACTAGAGTGCTCAAGGCCCGGAGTGGTTCGCCCGAGAAAAAGTCGGTCTCGCCGCGCTGGGACATGGTCAGAGTCTGAGGGGTAGCGGGACAGGGTAAATCGGTACGCACATTTTCCAGATACTGCAGCAGGTCTGCGACGGCTTCCCGCTCGCTGTCGGCGAGAACGGGCTCGTAGAGGCCATCGCGGGATCGTCCTAGAGGCAAGAGTCAGCATGATGACGAGGCCGCCGAGGGACGCGTCGGCAGGTGGGTGTCTGGTTACCTCCGCAACACGACGATTGACAGCCACCCATGGCTGGCAAATACGGCCTCGATAGCTCAAGCTCGGATGCGCGGGAGGTTGTGACGATGATGGGAGCTCTCGTGCAGCGCCAGGCGACGAAAAGTCCTGTGAGCTGGGACGGCAGCGCTCGAGCCCCAAGTCAACTCGGGCGAGTGACTCGGCGATGCTCGGCAGGGGCAGGCGTCTGCGAAGGCGGCGTTCGTGGGCGTCGCGCGGCGGCGCGGCTCGGGTCGAGAACGAGGAGTGCAGCCGGTAGCTCGGCCAGCGACGGGGAGCAACGGGCGTGTCGCGGCGATGGCGATGCGATGCTGCGGCCGAGGCGGCGGTGGGATGTTTTGGGATGACGGAGAGGAGGAGGAGGAGCTGCTGGCTGCGTGGGCGAACCTTGGGGTTGGGGGCAGGAGATCAAATGCAATGCGCCTGGAGTGCTGGAGTGGAGGAGGCTAACGCGAATAGGTACGTAGCGCCCAGCAGCTCGCAGCACAGAGCTTCAATGGATCCCGTGGCTGGCTGCAAGTACCCGGACCCGTAGCCCGTGGACGGGGAGAGCCCTGGAGTGCCCAGGGCAACGACAGCCCGGTGGTGGGCGGGCGGAGCGCCACGGCCCTGGAAGGTGCACCACAGGGCAGCCTACGGGCACGGCTTCCACCAGTGCTGACCTTGCCGTAGGCGCTGCCATCCATGGATAAGGCAGCTAGAGCCGCTGACGCTAGCGCGCCTCGCCGGGGAGAGCGAGGGACCACCTCAGCCTTGAGCGCCAGTAGGTCCTCCACTGGACCCCGCCACGGCGACCGTCCCGACAGCTATCAGCGACGCCCGAAGCGATTGCAGGACGAGCCAGTGGAGGGACCGTAATAAACCACCTGGGCATGTATCCGGTAGAGGACTCCGCGCAGCGTACAAAGCACCTATGACAGAAACGAAGGGGTTATGTGTTGCATAGCGGTTAGAAACGCGCATGCAAGTCATCTCAGGCACCTACTGCGTAGATGCCTAGGTATCATCGGGGTCCTCTGCGTCGTCTCGACGTACCTGAAAAGGCTGTGACGAGGCCTGCACAAGGCATCCATTCCACTATTATGAGTGGACACCTTCTGTCAGGCTTGATGCCTCCACCAGCTTCCACGGAGATGGTCCCTGTGGCGCCTGTCCCAAAATCCTCCACGAGCCCACCGCGACAAGGAGGGCCCTCCATGTCGCGAGGGAAGCGCTGCGCCACGCGGCGGCGGCGACGACGACGCGAGACCCGGCAAACAATGACGGGAGTGCCTGGTCCATGGAATGTAGCGCGCGACGGGCGGGCCGCGCAAGAGACCACCAGCATCCGGCATCTGTGCCCGGAGCAAGAGACGCGAGCGAGCTCTCTGCCGCCCAGCACCAGCGAGCGGACCGCCATGTCAAAGGGTGAGACATTGTCGATCCAGCCTGACGCCATTCGTCGGGACGGCGCATGTGACGCAGACCGGGGGGGTCGCCTCCAACATCCACCGAGGGTCGTGGTGGTGGGCGATGATGATGGTGGGCAGCTTGACAAAAAGCGAAGGGGAAACAGGCAGTCGGCGCGATACTGTGCGTTGAGCCACGGACCGATGTGATGAGGTATGGTTCGTATGGGGTATCAGATGCTGCGCGGCATCTCGTGTTTCTGCTTCGGCTGGCTGTTGCCTGCGCGCCTCAGCCGAGTCCCTGGGCCAACGACCGCAGCCAACAGGAGTGCTTGGTGGAAGCTGTTGCGATGCAGAGGTGCAGCCGGGCGGCGGCCAACTGTGGCTGGCGCTAGCCTCATCAGTCAGAGTGCTCCCGCTGCCAGATCTTGGAGGCGCTTCTGCTTACCCTACACTCGGATTCAATCGCATCGAAGAGACAAAGATGTACGTAGCGCAGAGGCCTGGGCATGATCCCAATAATATGGCACGCATCGATGGTACCTTTTGAGGACTTAATTATTGGCAAGTGCTATGATGGTTCTAACAGTGAGGCTGCGTGTTGGTTCAGCCGGATGGTGAAACTCATGTGGCTTCGTGGGAAGCAACCACTTCTCTGCCGCCCACCTGTTTCGCCCGCACATTCACCAGAGGCGGGCCTGGTCTTCTGGAATGCGGATCGTTTCGGCTCGTCTTATGCGAATCAAGCGGTCTCGTTTATGGTACCGAAAGTGCCATACGGCACAGCAGCTGTTCTAGTAAGTCTCCGCAGCCATGATTGCGCTCCCGTCCACAGCAGAGAGCGACTAGGAACGGATGACTCCTGTCCTTATCAGTGGGCATATTCCCTTATCGCGCTCAATTACAGTGCCCGCCCGCCTGCCAGGCCCTCCACCTCATCCTCCTATACCTCCCGGGCGGCTATCATGGCCTGCGGGCCCCTCCGGATCGATCGCCCGTCAGGCCTGTGTCGCCCGTTTCCCCCCTTCTGAGCGGAGCTGCCAACTCCCCCGCCTCCTCCCCCCCACCTTGCAGGCAAACGGCTCGGCTGATGAGCGCTGCAAACATCGCATCATCCTCCATCGCCAGCATCGCCGGCCCAGCTTCAACTGCAACCTTCTCTCCCGGGGCCACCCACGTTCGCACGCACGCACCGCACGCACACCACTCCATCTGCCATACACCCTCCCGCCTGCCTGCCTGCCCGCCCGACCGACCGAACCACGCGCGGCCCGCCCCATCCCTCGGCCGAAACGAACGACTCCAGACAAAGCACGGCGACGAATGGACGACAGCGCGGCGAGCCCCGTGCCCGCTGCTAGCGGCACCGCTGCTGCGTCGGCTGGCGCCCCCGACCCCGCGCCGCAGGCCAATGTCGTCGGCGCTCCTCAGCCAGCTGGCGTCGACGCCGAGTCTCGTGAGCCAGCCGCGGGCGACGAAGTCGTTGGGCCGGAATCGGCTGCAGTCGGGTCTGTCTCCGCCTCTGCCTCTGCCTCTGCCGCTGCGCAGCCAGCCGTGACGCCGAACCCAACTCCGACCGCAGCAACCGCACCGGCACCGACGAGCCACCACGGCCTCAAGAGTCACGAGCACCCCGCCTCGCCCGCTGCGCTGCGTGTCCCGCACATTGTCGCGCCCTCGTCCTACCTGCGCTTCAACAAGGCGACCTCCGCCATGTCGGCCCAGACCTCGGGCGCTGCTGGTGCTGGCGCTTCCGTCGCCGCCGCCGCGTCCACCCCGGCCGACGGGCACCACAGCCATCCGCCGAGCCCTCTCGATCGCGACCAGCAGCAGGGCATCGTGAGATCCCCCCTCTCTCCTGGCTTGCGCCTCCGCTCTTCCGTGCACTGACGCCGCAGCAGAGGGCGATCCGTGACTTCCTCAAGGTCCGCACCAGCTACGATGTCCTGCCCCTCTCGTTCCGCCTCATCGTCCTGGACACGGGGTTGCTCATTAAGAAGAGTCTCAACATCCTGACCCAGAACTGTGAGTGACGCACGCCGCGTGCCGCCGAGGGCCGGTGCCCGGGCGAGACAGCGCCCATGCTAACCGCCTCCAGCGATTGTGTCGGCTCCCCTCTGGGACTCAGACACGTCTCGGTTCGCGGGCATCCTGACAGCCACCGACTACATCAACGTGATCCAATACTACTACCAATTCCCCGACGAGATCAGCAAGCTCGACCAGTTCCGGCTGAGCAGCCTGCGAGGTGCGACGACACATGCGATGCGCTGCCCCCATCTAGCGTGACTTTCGCCCACTGACATGTTGCCCGGCAGACATCGAAAAGGCCATCGGCGCGATACCCATCGAGACCGTTTCCGTCCACCCCTCTCAGCCCCTCTACGAGGCATGCCGGCGCATGCTTAAGACGCGCGCGCGCCGAATCCCCCTCGTCGACGTCGACGACGAAACGGGCCGAGAGACGGTCCTCTCCGTCATCACCCAGTATCGAATCCTCAAATTCATTGCCGTCAACAATGAGCAAAACACCGTCATGCTCAAAAAGTGCGTCCGAGACATCAACCTCGGCACCTACACCAACCTGGCCACGGCTCGCATGGACAGCACCGTCCTCGATGCCATCCACTTGATGGTCGAGCACAACATCAGCTGTATTCCCATCGTGGATGCGGACAACAAGGTGCTCAACGCTTTCGAGGCCGTCGACGTCATCCCCTGCATCAAGGGCGGCGCGTATGAAGAGCTGGACGGCTCCATCGGTGAGGCTCTCTGCAAGCGGCCAGACGAGAGCCCGGGCATCTACACGTGCGGCGAGGGCGACAGGCTGGACAGCATTTTCGACACGGTGCGCAAGAGCCGCGTCCACAGGCTCATCGTGGTGGACGACGACAACCGGCTCCGCGGCGTCATCTCCTTGTCCGATATCCTCAAGTACGTCCTGCTGGAAGGCGAGGAAGACGCCGGCCCGCACGCGTGAGAGTGCTTGCTCCTACCGGACCGGGATACAGGGAGGGCGTCCGAGGAAGCCAAGACCAAGTGCTGGTTTTGGGTAGGGGGGCAGATGCATGTTGTGGCGTACCGGAATCTCGAGGCTTTGTACTGGAATACCATGGTTGGCATAATGCGCTGCCGGCCGACGATAGACTTGGACCTGGGAACAATTGAATGGACACGATGTTTTACGATTTTTTGGATGGCCCCTTCGCTTGCTGGACTGACAACTAGGTACATCAGCTGCTCACAGCATCAAGCAACAGGCTTGGGCAAAGCATCAGGCGCTATCCGTGGATGGGGCTGCGGGAGAGAGCAGCAGGCGTGCCGCTTCCCTTTGCTCCATAACGCCGGAATTGCGCTGATGAGCAGCAGGAGTTACCATCGGCAGGCAGCTCTGCCCAACCGACGCTTGCCTGCCTGAGCGTGGCACGACCTCGCCGGTGAGAAACACGAGCAGGCGGACCCGACCGTTTGGTACAATCGAGCTCGAGTCGCAATACGTCTCCGGCCCTTGCGTGAACCCAGCTCCTCAAAACAGCCTTATGCCACTACGCCGAGACCAAAGGCGAACTAGCAACGCGGCACGTCACTCAGAGGCAGCCTTCGACATGGCTGGATCAAATCGGCTGGCGCCATCTCGGTCGTCCCAGCAGCTGCCTACGCATAACGCGTTCCTGCCGCAACGGCTGCCGCCGTCGACGAGCTCCATCTCGCTCGCCTTCCCATACAACGCGAGCGTGCACAGCTTGTTGGCACAGGGTTCGCGGGTGCGCAGCAGCGGGACGTGGACGGCAAGCAGCGGAGAGCTGGGTCTCGTGAGCGACACGGATGAGGTGGACGACCGGGCCGTCTACGTTCACGAGTACAACCGCCTGGCGAAGAAGGTGTGATGCTCGTGAAGGCGTCAGAGGATGGACAAGAACCTTGGGGCTGACGACATTATAGCACGGCGTGAGACCGCTGATAGTCCAGGACTTTACTGCCGAGCAGCAGGTAAGCATCCCTTGTCCACCTTCGCGGTGATGGCATGTTGACGCAGGCCAGGGCGATGCCGCAAAGGGCCCAGACAAACGGGGGTGGCTGCACAGGTTCCTCCATCCCAACCCGAATCGATGCTCATCCTCGTCGGCGCCGACTCATCTGCAACCGCGTCATAAAAAGAGCGCGTCGGATCTTGCTCACATGCTTCACTCGCGGCGGGAGCCTCCGCGCCTCGTCGACATACAGGACATGGTGCGTCTGAGCGGCAAGAGCGTGCTTTACTTGCCTCCCGAGTACGCACCATGCTCGCTGGTTCTGCCCACGTGTATCCGAGCCACGGCGCAGCATCTGGCACAGAATGCCACCACGCGCGGCCTGTTCAGGATCCCAGGATCTGTGAGGATCGTGACGACACTATTCGACCACTACTGCTACCTCGCCAAGGACAGCGACGACATTGCAAGCACGGTCCGCTGCGCCAACCTTCCGGGGCATATCCCGTACGCCATCCACGATGTCGCCTCGACATTCAAGCGCCTCCTATCCGTCCTACCAGGAGGGATACTCGGATCCTTGGCTCTCCTCGACGCGCTTGTCGCCATCCACTCCCAGCTCAACGGCGAACCCGAGTTTCCACGAACCAAGCAGACCAAGGTCCGGGCGAGACTCATAGCTCTGGCTATTGGTACCGTCAAGTCTCAATTCCGCCGCGAGCTGATCTGCTCCGTGTTTGGCCTCCTCAGCCTGATCGGGCGCGCCGCCGAGGTGACGCCGCGGGAGGACAAGGACGGGCGCCCACTCCCGACGGGCGACTTGATGGGATATACAGCGCTTGGCATCGTCTTTGGGCCGCTTCTCGTCGGGGATCTGCTGGATCAGTACAACATGAAGCTGGCTAGTCCAACATCAGGCATGCTCCTCTTTCCTCTCAGCCCGCAGAGACTTCGTCGGGACAGGCGCAAACCCAAAGCAGCCAGCAGCCAGACTGGGCCGCCCACGGTAGACAAGATTCTGGTGGCCAACAGTCTTGCAGAGATGCTCGTCTCGAACTGGCGTGACATTGTGCGCCAGATGAAGTCGCTGGGACTGCATCATCGCAAGAACGCCTCGTCTGTGAATCTGCGCAATGGCCTGCTGCGGCCCTCTGCTTCGGACTTTGCCATAAAGATGCCGCAGAACATGAACGAAGGCAAGCGGGAAGCCAACGAGGAGAAGGGGAATGGAAGCCCGGAGCCAGATACCCCGACGATGGGAGTGAGGAGGCGGCGGTCAAAGTCGCTGAAGAATACGGCATCCCACAGATTGTTGCCCAAGATGAGCATGGGGACTCTGACGCCGACGAAGGAGGAGAGCCTGGGAGACGTGGAGTCGACCAGGGCGGGACGCCGATCAAGACGAAGCGACGTGTCAACTTCCACGGACAGACCTGAGATGCGGCAGAAGCAGACGCAAGCAAACGCGAAAACCACCCAGGAAGTCGATCAGGTGTATCTTGACAGCGTTCCACCGCGGATGTCTTCGCGTACGAAACGCAGCCATGACAGTTCGGAAATGTCACACAGGGCGTTGTCTCACACGGGGCCGGAGGCACCGGAGGCCACTGCGAAGCCTTGGGTCCAAGCCCTGGGTAAATCGCCTGGGAGACAGAAGAAGGAAAGGGGCTCAAATCAGGCTAGCTCGTATGATGGATCGGAGGATTCTGGTGCGGCCTTGCCGTTGTCGCGGATGACAGTTGGAGTTGCGTCGCCCCGGACATTGAACCCGAAACTAGGCAATGACCTCAGGACATCAGAGTCCATGTCGCGAAGAGAAAGCACGGCGAAGGTATTGAACGAGGAGCCGACGTTGACCGCTGATGTCTCGGCAGATATTACTATGAGGAGTTCGGAGTTGCCGTTGCCAATGCGCGAAGTAGGCAAAGAGGGCAAGGTCCGGAATCATCAGCAAGATGACGCCTCGGAACAGACGACTGACGGTTACGAAAACTCTGTCAACACGACGCCGGAGAACTTCTATCGTGGGAGTGCCAGAGTCCGTCGCACGAGAGGCAGCGGAGACAGTGGCCTTGCAACTGAGGGCAAGGCCCCTTAGGAGGGCTCCGCCACGACCAGCGACGATTCTGCACAGCGAGGGACAGCACGTAACCGACAAACCCCTGACAACATTGCAAGATGGCCCAGGAGTTCGAAGTCTCTTGGACAGCTGCGAACCCAAGTCACAGTGACGGTACAGTCTCCCTCGCGGTCCAGCAGCTCCGAAGCGCTCAGCAAAAGGGGTTCAGTGAAAGCGATGGCCGCGCTCTTTGAGCGTCAAAGCCAGAGTCATGGCTCCCTCCAAAATGAAGCACCCGCTCACGAAATAATAAAGAAGGGTGAGGCAGGTCCCCGGACTGCCAACTCTTCTGTTGCCCGCCTGCGTGGTCGACAGCCTCCGCCTGGGGCGGCATGGGATCGGTTCGGTTCGGACACGCCCACCGGCTCGATCAAGGGCGTATCTGATGACAGCTCTACTGCCACAAAGGTGCTTTCACGCACACGACGGGAGATGGTCGACTCCGATGGCGCATCGAGTCTGCCGCCACACGAGCCGGTAAATTCGCTATCCGAACAGCGGTGGCATGGCAGGGACATTGGAGTTGGAACAGACCCTGATCCGAAGCCATCGATAATGGTTCGTGAAATGCACTCACCTGCTGGAACCCTGCCGCATGAGCTCCGGCCCGTACCGAGCCTTGGAAGAATGGCTCCGTACCGCGAGCCGCCGCCGATTGCGCAACACTTGAACCGGCCACGACCGCAGACCACGCCATCGCCAGTGCCACGCGACACCGATGGCGTCGGTGCCCATGTCTCATTAGACGCTGTCGAGCCTCCCCGAACCCAAAGCAGTCCCACTGTTCTGCACTCGCAAATTCGGCATCTTCAGCGACAGTTAAGTGCCAGAGCGGACGAAGCGGCGCAGTTGAGGCGTCAGCTCGATGCGCAGCAGAATGCCGAGGTGGGCACGCTCAGCGAGCAGCTGCGGGCGGCTAACCGGGATATGTCAATGTGGAAGGAGAGGGCCGAGTCGGCGGAGAAGAGAGTCAAGGTGTTTGAGAGGTTTACCGGCAAGCTGAGAGGCATTCGGGACAACCTCTTCGCGGAGCGTCGCAAGGGTAGCGGACGAGCTGTGAGGGGCTTCCCGAGCCATGAAGCCGACGATGCTACGGACCGGCTCAAGGCTCCGGTTGACAATGATGGTCCCGAGGCGACCGAGAAAGGTGAGCGGGCCAGCAGCAGAGAATCGCAGACCCGCGAGGACTCGGGCGAAACTGCAGACGTCGCGGTCGTGTCCGCAAGGATAAGAAAATGCTTGCACGGACAGCCGCCGAAGGCAGCGCACGACGGGGCCATGGACGACTCGACCGATGCGTATCCGCGGGTGGTCACCGGAGATGGAACCTCGAGTCCGCAGTGGCGAGGTGAGACGGGCGTTGATGTCGTAGCGGCGCAGCTGCTGGCAATGGCAGAGGAACTGCTGGAGATTATTGACAGCGACTCGTTTTGATGCGGCATTCCAGAGGAGACACGGAGGGTTACTGTGATGGATCATGGATGAGTCTGGCGTGTTGAGATGGGCGAGCTAGAGGTAGAGGGTGGGCGCGAGGGGCAGAGGATGCGGATATGGGCGTGATAGTGCTGTATAGATATCTAGGCATGATATCGATCCTAGGAACAACAGTCCAGGCCAGGCGACGCATCCTTGAGTTCCGGTGTCATGGTCCAGGAGTCTATATCACCAAGCACTTGGATGGTAGGCTGCGGGGTTCTTGCAGCTGGATGATGCAAAGAGCGGCAGGGGCCACGATATGCGGGGAGGATGTGCGTCATCTGCGTGCGCTTACCAGCCGCGCAGTTTCGTGCAGCCCTGTATTACTAGGCATGGTCAAGGAGTGCCTTGCGCAACGCCTCGTGGCCTGCAGGCTAGGCAGCGTGAAGCTTCAAGTCGCCAATGATCTGGCACGCAACCAAAATCCAGCAACACCACCATGTCCGCGGAGCTGGTACTGGCTGCAGTGTCGGCAGGCGACCTATGTTTCCAGTAAGTCGACGAGCGCATGCAAGCTGCATCGTTGCACGCCCAGGTGTCTAACGAAGCGGGTGCGATGCAGGTATGGGAAGCGAATCAGACAAGTCTACCGCCTGTGGCAAGGCGCCGAGGGGAACATCAAGGGCAAGGTCCTCGTGTTGGAAGCGATACTGAGCCGCACCGCCGTGCAGCTCGAGTTCCTGAAGCGCGTCGCGGGCTCCATGGGGGAGGAGCACTGCAGAGTCCATCTCCAAGTCTTGGAGACGTTGAAGAGCCATCTCCGCATGGCCGCCGTCAAGATAGAGTCGGTGCTCAAGAGCGACTCCTCCAACAAGTCCGGTGTTAAGCCAGTCAAGTATCTCTTCCTCCACAACGAGATTGAAGAGTCCATGGCGCAGCTGGAGCAGTGGCAGAGGGTCTTTGACCCGACTTGGTACCTGATCCTGCGCATCGGCGACAAGGTCATCGACGCCGAGTTGGCCAAGTCCCCCGACCAGATGCAGCCTGAGGAGACCGACTCGTTGAGCCTTTCTGGCACCACGGCCGGGAGCGTCGATGTTCTTGCTCCCGCGAAGAAGCTCAGGAGCAGTCTCACCGGCGGCGGGCTCAGGGCCGACGCCCACATCTACCTCCCCGAGGACGGTCTGGACTGGCAGCGCGCCACGGCAATTGCATACTCGACCACTCGCCTTATACCACGAACGTCCAAGGGCCAGCGCGTTTTCGCAGTCGACACCATCGACTGCACCAAGGGCGTTGACCTTTCCCAGACGAGGGCCGATGCGGAAGCTCTGGCGAAGAAGCTCGACCAGATCGACCCAGGCACATTCGGGCTCCTGTCCTGCCATGGCTTGGTCAAGCAGAAACAACCAGAGAGTCGCCAAATCGCCTCGATAAGTCTGATCTTCCAAATGCCCGCCTCCGAGCGCGAGCCAGTCAGCCTGCGATCGACCCTTTTGCACAGCGCCAAGGATAGCCTCTCTCGGACATTGGCCATTGCGAGGCAGCTGGCAAGAGCCGTGAGCTTTGTACACACCTGCGACTTTGTCCACAAGAACATTCGGCCCGAGACAGTGCTCATCTTTCCAGACGAGACCGCAACGCCTCCGTGTGCTCTGGGGGCAACGTACCTCGTCGGGTTCGACTCGTTCCGCAACGTCCGCTTCCAGACCCTGCGCCGCGGCGACGCCGCATGGGAACGGAACCTCTACCGCCATCCTTCGCGCCAAGGCATCTTCGCGCAGGAGGAATACATCATGCAGCACGATGTCTACAGCCTGGGCGTGTGTCTCCTGGAGCTGGGACTGTGGGAAAGCTTTGTGCGCTACGAGGCAGACAATGACGCCGAAGGCGACCCGACCGCACTGCCCTCGGAGAGCCTTGGATTGAGCCCCGGCGACTTTGAGTTCTCCGACGGCGCGGGGATGCAGCAGTCGTCTCGCATCAAGGACCATCTGGTCGATCTCGCGAGGGCTCGCCTGCCCGCGCGCATGGGGGACAAGTACACGGCGGTCGTGCTTTCTTGCCTTGCATGTCTGGACGAGGGCAATGAGGATTTTGGATCCGATGGGGAGATGCGCGACGATGATGGCGTGTTGATTGGGGTGCGCTTCATTGAGAAGGTCTTGCTCAAATTGGGTAGCATCTCAATGTGAAACGGCTTCCTCCGCGATGCAAGATAAGTTGAGGAGACGAAACCATTCAGATAAGCTCGCGTAGTTCCGCTGGCGGTTGCTTGCATAAATGCCCGGTTTCTGAGCCTGGGGAATCGTTGTGTTGTGCTGGCCGTGCGGCTGCCGCCTCCTCTTGGCTATTCACTACCCTTGCTTGAGAAGTTGAGACAGCTCTCCCCATTCCGTAACCGCATAGACTTCCGGGTATCTCAATCGCGATCAGTGTCCCACGTTGCGGATATAGCCTCCGCGTCGACGCTGTTGTCCTGAAGATGGCCAGGGATCGTCATTGATATCCCCCGCGAGCCACCACCCGCATGAACTAATGCCTGGTCGCTGACGCTCCATGGGCTTCAGGTGTAGCGCTGACATGACCCCAGCAAGTGTCGAGGCAAGCCATGCTGCATGAATACCTGAGGCATGCAGACAAAGCGCGGCTGTGGCCAGTCCAGCTGAAGCCTGGAAGGCGGGGGGACAGCCGGGCTCAGCCTCGGGGTCCTGACGACACCACATGGTGGCTCGCTCACTCTTCTCCTCCAGCCGTGCTGACAATTCCATCCATGCTTGTGTCGTGTAGTCGTGATTGCCTAAAGGTTCGGCTTGCGGCTCGGGTACTCCAACCACCTTCAACGAGGACCTGAGGCCGAGCTGCCACACCCCCGGCGCGAGATCCGAACATACACTGTTCCTACCTCGTAACCGTGCCGCAAGCCAAGCGAGGTCCCCGCCCCTCGTCCCGCAGCCAGGCGGCCCGGTCCGCGCCCTCCCGCCGCGCCTTGATGCGCTTCGTCGAACCGAGCCGCATGGCCCCGCGATCGATCGCGCGACCATGCCGTATAACATCCTGCACTCCGACCTCGTGCGCGACTCGAAGCTCGAGACCGAAGTTCTCGCGTCCTGCCTGCAGCATGTCTTTTACGACACGGGCCAGTCGGCGCACGAGCGCCGCGTGCGCCGCGAGGAGCGCTGGGTCCGCAAGACCTTTATCGGACGAGGGGCATACGGCAGCGTGTACCTGGAAGAGTGCGACCCTGGCCAAGGGGACAAGAAGTTGAGAGCCGTCAAGGAGATCAAGAAATCAGTCGCCCCGGGAGATGATTTGGACTATACCCGAGAACTGGAGGCGGTGGCCAAGTTCTCTCATCCGAATGTAAAACCTCCCTCCTTATCAATTCGTCGCATTTTGCCTCGATTTGCATCCTAGTGCGGCGCTGACGGTATACAAGTATTGGCATTGTTTTGTTCGTTCTCACGGCTGGTTCGAGCTCGACGACTCGGTCTTCATCACGATGGAATACCTTGAACATGGCGACCTGGAGCAGCACCTCAAAAGCCCGCTGCCTGAGGTCGAGGCGAGACAGATCACAGGGCAAGTCCTCGAGGGCCTTAGCTTCATGCACCAAAACGGCTTCATTCATCGGGACCTGAAGCCAGGGGTACGAGAAGCCTGCATTGCACTGAATGGCTTGATACAATGGCCCCACGAGCTTCGCAGACTAACGAATCTCTCAGAACATCATGGTCGTCACGGTCGGACCGGGTTGGTTCGTCAAAATTACGGACTTTGGCATCAGCAAGCGCCGCCACCAGGGCGTGACGACACTGCTCACGCTGCAGCGCGGCACGTTCGGGTACGCCGCCCCCGAGGCTCTCGGCTTCAACGAGGGTGAGGTCTACACGTCGTCAGTCGACATGTGGTCCCTAGGGGCGGTAGGCTACCGGATGCTCACCGGGACCTTGGCGTTCCCTGGCCCGCTCGATTTGTTCAGTTACTACAAGGGCCTCCAAAAGTTTCCCATGGCCAGCTTGGAGACTAATGGCATCTCACAAGAAGGGAAGGAGTTCATCACCAAGCTTGTCAACCCCGATCCGAAAGGCCGCCTCACAGCGAAAATGGCAGTTCAGCACCCATGGATGACGATACAGCTATCGTCATCAGCGGGGAATTCCACCTCAGGGTGAGTTAGCAACATGAAACCCTTCGTGTAGCTCAACGCCGGATGCTAATTCGGCCATGCAGTAACTCTGCAAATGTTTCGAGCACGGCCGATAGCGATACGATAGTCTCGGTAGCATCGAAAGCATGGAGCACCGACAGCAATATGACTATAAAAGCAGCACTGCCGATAAGGAACCCAAGGCACCAGCCGCCATCAGTTGTCGACAGTGACACGGCAGACGAGGCGACGAAACGCACCAGTGAGGCTAACCATCAGCCGCCATCCGTCACGGACACAACAGACACGGACAGAACAGACGCCAACACAGCACACGAAGCGCCGAAACACACCGGCAAAGCCAACTACCATCCGCCGTCAGTCTCCGATTGTCCGGAGGAACCTTTATCCCAAGGCCCCAAACTGCCGCCTGACTCTGCCATCCTCCTTGAGCCAGCGAATGCACCACCAGATATCCCCCGCACCGTTTATCCTCGCAGGAGGAAAGAAGAGGCATCCAACCGAAGAGATTTCCCTGAAGATGACGCTGGCAAAGCTAGAAAGGACCCCAAAGTCTTTGAGAAACCCACTGCAAAGCCTGCGCAGTGGGCGAAACCAGGATACATGTTCAACAAACCACCCGAAAGCACACGGAGTGACGGGCAAAACGATCTCGAAAGCGACGAAGACGCGTCTAATGAGTCATGGATCGAAGAATCCTCGGACAGCGAGGGGAGTTACTCAAGGCACGCCTTACGGTCCTTCCTGCACCTGGCCCATTCCTTTGCGAAGCTGACTCGCATCCTCTAGTGAAAGTGAAGTTGTCGACGAGATTGTCACCTGCGACGAATGTGGCTCTAAATTCGACTTATTCACGGACCCGGTAGAGTGTCTCCCCTGCAAGCACTATATGTGCCACGACTGCCTGCTGGGGCTGGTGGCGCTCTCCCTCGTCTCGCCCAAGTACATGCCCCCACGGTGCTGCGACGACCCGGCTGGCCTGGGCGAGATCAACCCGCTGGCGATCCCAGAACTCGACCTCGACTTCGAGGTGAAGGACGTATTCACTGAGTTGCGGAATTTCGCCGCACTGTCACGAACCAAGGACTGGCAATGGCGCTGTCCCATGGGACATCCGACCGAGGACGGCTCGCTCCTCGTGTCTACTGGGTGGACCCCCGTCTGGAAGACGCCGATGAACTGCAGCCTATGCGTCGTCAGTACGACTTTGCCCATCCGGGAGGACCTGAAGTATCGAGAAGGACAACGATATCAGGGGTACTGCCTCTTTTGCTGCGAGAGGGCCAATATTCTCGAGTGCGGCTGCATCGAGTACTTTAAACTGGTTACAGACAGCTTCGTGAATAGCCTCCGGAGGCGGGACGCACTTAGCCAGACACTAGCCAACAAGATAAAGCTCGGCTGCGAGGCGAGAGACAAGATCCTGGCGGGCGAGTATATGCAGTATCGGGCGTGGGAGGACGTGCCGTGGTGCTGCGAGCTGCCTCCCCTTAAGCCCCTCGTCGACAGAACGCTGCGTGGCCTTGGCGGCACGGCCGCGGGAGGGTATCTCACGTGGAGGGAAACGCCGCCTCGCTCACAGGAGGACAGGTTCTCCTGCTGTCGCGGATTCCGCAGCCAGGACAGGATGCTCCGGGGACTGGACAACTGGGAAGTCGACGACTGGATGAGCCAGCTTCCGGGTGACCTCGACATCATACAGTCAGACATGCCGTCGTGGAGTGACGAATACCTGTCCTTAACGGACGACTCGGAACAGAGCGTGGCGCCCAATGAGGATTGGCAGCAAAGTCGATCGGACAGGATAAAGGAGCGCGAGCGTCTCAAGGCCGAGCGCCTAATGGAGATGCGCGCAACCGCCGCAGGCCTAATGGGCGAGCGCTACCAGGACTGGCAGCCCAATCGATCGGACAACACCAGGGGCCGCCCGCTACCTGAGCGCCCAAGGGCCGAGCCCTACGAGGACTTGACGCCCCGGAGCAGATATGCACCAGCCCCAAGACGGCGGGTGAAGGTCGCCCCTGCGTACACCGCCGACGACGTCCAGTATTCGTACGGCTCCACACCAATTCCTTCCCAAGGGCCCCCAGCAAGGTGGCCGTCACCACATGCACCATATCCCGAATACATGTAAGAGGATTCGCCATCTTAGAGAGGAAGTGGATGGGTACGGTGAAGTAGAGGCACTTTTTCTCGCATGCCCAAGAGCAAGAAATCCACATATAATGCCTCTTGAGTCTTGACAACGGTCTCACTATTCGCATTGGTGTCATGCTTAGGGCCTGGCCATGGGTTTGCTCCACATACCCCGGCCGAGTCGACTCACCTTTTTTCATCTCGTCTGCTAACGCAAAAACACCTCCATCGCCATCTACGGAAACGCAATCTAAGCGCTGCCGCTGTGTCCATCTACAAGCTAAAACGTCGATGTCGCACCCGGGCCCGTCGGTCATTCGGACTCCTGCGGGTCGAGAGACGGGGTGGGACCCGGCGGGTCATGCCGAGCAGGACGGCGGGGCCGGGGGGTTGTCGGGCGCGTGATTGGCTGGGTGGGCCGGCGTGGCCGACTGTAGTGCCGGGGCGGTGGCCGGTGGCCGATCCCGATGTACTGGGCCGCCAGGGGGTGGGCTGCAGACTCAACAGATATGCAGCGTAGACCCATGGGGAGGCAGTGAAGCTCGGTGCAAAGTGGACCTTTTCTACCTGGGGAGGGAACAAGTATGGCTCCTGGGTGTTGGTGTGTGAGCACGGACTTGATGAGGCGGCGCCATCGGGACGGGTTTCGGTTGTGAGAGTGCTCCAGTAGTCAGCGTCACCGTTTCAGACTACATGCATGATAGGGCATACAATTCGGAGTTTTGGCAGCGCAGAAGAGGAGAAGAGCAGGCTGGCGACGGCGCATGCAGTGGAAAGAGGGGCCGATAGATCGCATGCCAAGGCGGGAGTTGGCAGCCGGGAGTTGCCAGGGGGGCGGGGGCGGATGAGCCCTACAGCTGAGATATTTGAGTGGGAAACCAGCTAGAACGGAGCATATAGGCTTCATGTTGCAAAGGGACTGGAGTGGTATTCTAGATCGAGCAAAAGAGGAGCCGATTTGGATCGCGAGATCATTGCGGAGGCGCCCGCCTGGGATGCACAGCCCGGTGACCGATGATGCGGAGTGCTGCCGCGTTTTCAGATTGGTCGGAGAAGACCGAGGGTCCGAGTATGCGGATCGGGGGGATGACGATGAGATGCACCGCGGAGAAGACGGGGTCGCTCGGCAATTGGCAGGATGAGTATATAAGACCCTGGATACTCCAGTTCTTGTGGGAAACGCTGCGACTAATTCGCGGCTCACTGCTTTCTCGGGACTAGCAACAGGACTCTACATTACACCCCAGCAGTCGATTCCACGACGACCCATCGAGACCTGTGAGGTACCACGGCACCCAGATGTCCATCACAATGCGCAACCTCGCGTTGTCCCTTGCCGTAGCCGCGGCGGCCATGACAGGCCACCTCTGCGCCGCGCGCCAGGCGTCCAACTTCAACATCACGGCGTCCGAGGCCCGCGCCCACGACTGCGGCACCGAGTGCCAGCGCATCCTGAGTCTGACGAACCCTGCGGACCTGGACATCGTGGGGCATGGCTTTGACTTTGACTTTTACGAGACGGCGGCCAACTTTTCCGGCAGCAAGCCCGGCGACGTGCTCAAGCTGAAGCCCATTAGCCCGGAGGGGGAGGAGCGCACGTTCCGGGCCGGCACGGCGGCGTTCAAGTTCCAGTACACGACGGTGGGACTAGATGGGAAGACCGTTCCCGCGACAGGATTCATTGCGTTTCCCTTTTCCCGCAACATGGGGCCCGACGGGGCCTCTACTGGTAGTCATGGCGCCAGCAAGCACAACGGCCCGTACAAGCTCGTGGCATGGGCCCACGGCACCATCGGACTTTTCGCCGGGTGCGCGCCGTCGAACGGGCCTGACATGTTCGACTACAACAGCTGGCAGGCGCTGACAACGCGTGGGTACGCCGTCGTGGCGACCGACTACGCGGGGCTGGGCAACAATGCGACGACGCACAAGTACTGTAGCTTCGACTCGCACGCCACCGACGTGTATTACAGCGTTGTCGCCGCGCGGAAGCTGTTTGGCGGCGCGCTGAGCCGCGAATGGGCCAGCGTCGGGCACTCGCAGGGCGGCGGCACGGCATGGAAGCTGGCCGAGAGCGAGTTTGTGCGCCACGACGAGGGATACCTGGGGACGGTCGCGCTGTCGCCTGCCACGTACGTCGTCGACATGCTTCTCGGCGGCATGAGCAAGGGCGGCAACGGTAGTAGCGGTGGCAAGGACGACGACATCGACCGCAACGTCATCAAGTACCCCGGTTACTTGCCCTACTTGCCCCTGGCCGTGGAGCGCGCCAACCCGGCTTTCCACTCAACCCTGCTCTCGCCCACGATGCAGAAGCGCGTCCAGCTTGGCAAGACGAAGCAGCTATGCACCAACGCGCTCATGGGACTGACGTTCGACCTGTACGCCAACAGCGGCCCGCTGGTCAACACATCGGGTGGGCTCGCGCACGACACCCCCTACATGCTCGACTGGCAGGCGAGGCACGCACCCGCGCTGGGCGCCCGCAGCCCGGCGCCGGTGCTCGTCGTGCAGGGGCTCAACGACACGTCGGTGCTGGCCCCCACGACGGAGCAGGCCTGGAACGCGAGCTGCGGGTATGGCAACGCCGTGCACCTGAGCGAGTACCCGGGCGTCGAGCACAGTCCACTGCCGGCGACGGCCGAGGCCGAGTGGATGGGCTGGATCGACTGGCGATTTGCAGGCGGGCGGTATGCTGATGGTAAATGCTCGCGCGTGACGAGGCGAGCGCTGTTCGGTGGCAAGTGGACCAAGACGCCGCCCGAGTTTAGGCTGCCCAAGTTCCTCGGCGGCGGTAGGGGCAACAAGACGTCGTGGGCCGACGAGCTGTAATGGGACAGTATAGAGAGGGATGGAGCGACGGGAGGAGGGGGCTCTCATACTACATACATACATACATACTATACGGCCAGGAAAGAATAGTAACTCTCAAAAGAAAAGTGGTGGAGTGATTGAAAGATTACTGGTCGTGCCGTACTGGAACGGGGTAGCCTACATAAGTAGTCTCGACAAATATGGTAGGCAGGCATATATGCAGAGTCGCGCGACCTGGGGGGGGGAGCATCGTTTTATTCTGGCAAGTTTACTAAGTACGTGCATAGATACATAAACACACATACACGTGTATATACTCATGAGTCCGGACATGCCTTAGCTGTAGAAGAATTGAGGGTCCACGCACCGCAAAACATAGACAAACGTGAACCCATTGAATCGAAACCACCTGGCGAATGGCCCGATTCTTATTTCTCGTACCAAAAGCCACCATGTGATGAATGTAGTTATGGCCCACCCCAAGTCATAGTTTATTTTGGTGCATACATAGTTTGAGTCCACGTGCGGTTGTATTGACACGCAGCACCGTGGGTCATGTCATGCGCGCGGGTCATCATAAGAGCTATCAGGCTAACGCCCAGCGTGGAACTGGGCAACAGCGTCGCCAAGAGAAGACCTGGCCATGCATTCGTCTCTCGTTTCATGCAGCATCGCACCATGGCATCGCAGCAGCTGCTGCTTTTGGGCGGACAAGGGCTGCCAGTCGGCCTATCTGCATTGCCCGTCCGGTCCAGCCAAGGTCATGGCTATACTGGTGCCATGCTATATTCTCCCAGCGAGGAGATAGTCGTCCTTGGCTGCATGTGTTCTGCTAAGGGCAAGGGATACCCAAGGCCTGACGTCAACTTGTCTAGGTCTATATAAACCTGCATCGTTCGCTCAGGACATCTTTCAGTCGTTAGCTCGACAACAAGACTTGCTTCACAACGCCTGCTTCCCCTTTCACTGGCGAGTCAACCGAGGTGGAAATCACCCAGACGGCACTATGAAGTCCGTGCTTCTCCTTCTATTTGCCGCCACCGCCTGGAGCCGCGTGCCGCTGGCATCTCGGCAGGATTACCGCAAGAATTGGCGACCAACTGCTACACAATGCTCGATGGGGGATATCGAGTCATGCGGCACAGACGTTTATTGCTTTTTCTACACCAGACGCCTAGACGGCGGACCCATGTACGAGAACGATGGCAGGTATCACAGCCGAAAGTCTTGCCTGGAGAGCTACAAGCCAAACCCAGAGGGCCCGCCCAAGAGGGAGCTCAAGGTCTTTCAGTTTCCCCTCAAGGGCTGCGATGAATTCCGATGCGACGCGACGAATTTTCACAAGAGCTTTGAATGGAGATGCGGCACGCCCAAGTACTGCACGCTTTTCAACAACGCCACGGTGCTCGAGAACCCGGACGTCTCTTATGGGAGCGAGCGGGAGTGCCTCGATGACCACGAGACAGAGGAGCAGGCTAGAGCTAGGTCGACCCGAGGGGGCCTGCATCCTTTCCATGTCCCCGACTGCGCGAACTGGAATGGCGACTACGGCAGGGGCAACGACGAGAGAAAAATGGGGACCCGTGCCTGGTGCAGCAAGTACAGACATGCGCTCTGGCGGGTAGATTCCTACCGCGAGCCCCTATCGGGGTACGCCTCCGAGGACGAGTGCCTCAAGGCTCGCCGGCTGCCCTCGGCGGAGCAGCAAGTCGACCCTGACGCGCCCACTCCGCACGCGAAGTCACCCGCCGACGCAAAAGCAACCCCAGCAGCCAGCGGTGTAAAGCTTCCCGACGCAAAAGCAACCCCAGCAGCCAGCGGTGCAAAGCTTCCCTGGATACCATCCCGTGGCTGGAATCCCCAGTGCGTGAGATATCGGGTGGTGGACGAGAACAAGTGCGGCAGCGCCTCTTACTGCCGAGCCTTTGACGGAACGGACGCCATGTCCAAGGAGGACAAGCCCGCGCACCCGAGCGAAGCGGCCTGCCTCGCTGCTCGCCAGACCCCGTTCGAGTATACGCACAAGAGCACGAGGCACCTCCCGTGGGTGAAGGACCCCTTTGGACCCCCTGAGGTAGACTTATTGCTGCCGATATGCAACCACCTGCCTTTCAAGGAAAGCTTCTGCGGCAGCTGGAAGTTCTGCGTTGCGCAAGACACCCAGGATGAATACAGGCAGCGGTTCAAGGCGTATGTCTCTGCGCAGGCTTGCTTCGACGCGCGTCAGAAGCCAAAGGGTGAAAACTGGAGGTATTGGTAGAGCTCAGACTGCATGTGGCCTGCTTGGCAGCATGGGGGTAGGGCGCGGCCGAGAAAAAAATATAGGAGTGCTCTATAGCTAGCAAAAGTTGGCTCTACGAATAGCACTCCTCTTATTTTAAACCTTCCTTGCTGGTCCCGAGTCAGACTTCATCTAGATGCATGATATAAGGCGACGTGGTCATGCTCGCAACGCCGTCACACCAACGACATGGAACCAGGGGCGAATTCGCCAAGAGTCCAGGACCATTCTGTGTCAAGGGACTGAGAGCGCCTCATGCATCCATTTCTGGTGTCATGCGGCATCGCGCGATGTTAATGGGCGTGATGCTACGCATCCCGCGCATGCTAGTAGCTCGTATCGAGGCTTACAGTCTGTCAAATGCCGACTCCGCCAAGACAGTCGCAACATTCGGCAGTGGTGTCACGTCCATGCCGCGGCAAAGCAAGGGGTTGACCGTCTCGCTCAGACTAGCCTGCGCTGTAACGCGAGAGAATTTTTCACTGCGGTCAGTCCGCCATACACCAACTCTAGATAAATCTCGTCATCTCACACCGTTGACGGCATTCGTACCCATCAAGCCCATGCAGCCATCTCGACAATCTTTGTCTTGCAGCGTCGGCTTTCCCGATCGTACACCCTCACTCATTAACTCGGCCAAGACTCTCGTTCAGCACCATGAAGGCTTCAATCGTCCTTCTCCTTGCCACCCCGGCCCTGTGCCGCGTGCCGTTGGCGACACGGCGGGACGACATTACGGAATTGCCGCAGCCCGAGGAGTCTCATCCCCCGCAGCAAAGCTCAGGCACTCCCCCTAAGCGGCTCGCGGTCACGCAGTATGCACGAGGGAAGGGTGGTAGAGGTTGGGCGTTCCCTGACGATAAGCGTCTTCAAGGGGGACAGGGCAAACGGACAGCGCAAGCCAAGTCCCAAGCCGAAGCCCAAGCCCAACACAGAGTCTGAGCCCAAATCTGAGTCAGAGACGACTGCGGCCGCCGGCCCGAAGCCCGCACAAGAAGAAGGTTGGACGTTCCCTGACAACTCGCGGCCTTACGGCGGCAAGCCAAACAGGCAGGGAAACACAAACTCGGATCCCAGCCCACCTTGGATTCCAGGCCACAATCCGAGCCCGGACTAGGCTCAGAGTCCAAGCCGGAGGCCGCGCACAAGCCGCAGGCCCGGCCTTCCGAGAACAACATGAAAGTCCCGGCCGCCGCTCCCGAGAAGAAGCTACTGCCCTGGATCCGCTATACTGGCTGGAAACCCAACTGCGGAATGCGAGGCCTCAAGGAAGAGCGACTGTGCGGGAGCCGCCCTTATTGCGCCAGCTTCAAGTCCCCCTATTTGGAGAAGATGCACGAGCCTCCATACGCAAGCGAAGCCGAGTGTCTAGCTGCCCGCGAAAAGTCCTCTGACGTCAAAATCGAAGCGCCGAGGTGAAAGCCGTGGATCCCGGGGAATCCGACAACAGGGCTCATGTGGGATTGCAAAACGCTGCCCGCCGGTGAGAAGGTGTGCGGCAATGAGGAGTTCTGCAACGCGCACCGGAATAAGGAGGGCGCTGTCAAGAGGGATTATGCCTCGGAGCAGGAGTGCTTCAACCACCACCAGCTACCAAAGTGGGCGCAAAAGATAGAAGAAGAAGACGGCGGGAGATATGTACATGTGGGCTAGGAGGATGGTATCTGTGATGACGTTGTTGTCGACGATCACGGTACATGCACAGGGCCACAGAAGAGAAGAATACATGTAAAGGGGTGGTGGAGATGGGGTGACTGGGGACTGGGGTAACGTACGAGTGACATGAAGAGTTGACGAGCCATTCGTACATGTATGCGGACGGATTGTGCGCGGAACAAGAAGCATCTAGGACGAACAAATCTTGCGACCTCACACCGGACGGACAAGCATTGTAGAAGCACATATATACTGGACGTCCTTTTTCTTCCTGAAGAGGTTGGTAACCTCCGAGCGTCAACGACCGATGTCCCCGGCTAACTGGATGGAGCCTTGGGGCGGATCATTTCCCCCCTTTGGCGCAATGGAGTAAAGGTGAAGCACTCACCTCACTACAAGTAGGGCCCAAATGGAGAGGTTCATTGCGTATTGCAGCATAAATAACGCCCGTTTTGTCTGGGTTTGACGGCACCGCACAATTAATGTCCATGCAGGCGCCGCGGGCTTTGACGAGCGAAGACGCCAATTCCCTTTCCAAAATGTTATTGTTTCCAGTCACCGCGAGCGCTTGCAAAATCGCCTGCGAGCGACGTCATGTTCCTGTGGTTCCTAAATCAGCGACCAAGTTAATGTGGAAACGTGCCAACTCGGCGGGTGATCCCGCAACTTTCGGAGCCAAGAGAGTCCCACTCCTCCCACCGCACACCAGCCCACACAGACATGCACTGTCCAACAGTCATCCTTCGCAGCCAGCCTCACAGGAACTGCTACGGAGGAGGCGAGTCCAAGTAAGCTTCCCGCGAGGTTGTGCATATTGGCACTATCCTCTTGACCTACCGTTCACGGGCAGGCCTCTGGGACAGAAACAAGCAACTAGCATAGCTTCCTCAACAGCCTTGCAAAACCGAGCTGTCAGTTTGTTTCCGCCCTGCGGAACCCGGAAAGCCGCGGCGTTGCAATGCCAGAGTCCTGTTTCCCACAGCTTCCCCTCGCCACATGCACCGGAAACCCGCCAGGCACTACTTCCAAGATCCAAGTTGCTTCAAGACCATGGACGCCAGGAGCTCACGTTGCAATGAACCAAGCTTCAAACAGCGCCATCCATTGCCGCCGTCGCTGGAGGGCGGATGGTGGTATCCAGTGGCGTGCTATCGGGTCCGGAACGGCGCAAAGCACAGCAGACCCAGACATGAGTCTCCCCAGAGATCGAACTCGGTGGCGTTTCCCCACGCGCCTGTCGCCCATCTGGCAGGTCGCTGCACGGCTCGCTGCAGCGGACCGCACGACGGCGTCATTGGTCCGTCCGTCCTGTGCAGCCGCAAGGCGAGCCACAGAACAGACCCAGTGTCATGTCTTACAAGTTCCGCCTCTATGGAAGGCAGTCGGCCTGTCGAGAAGGGACTTCGTCAAGGCGCCTCGTCAAAGCGGAACCGGATGGCTTAAACCCCACGCTTCCAACATAACAATGCCGACTCAAGCCTCCCGTGCCGGCGGCGCAGAGGATCAGCGCCCAAGAAACACAAACACTCAAGCCAAAACGAACACCATCGGCTCAGAGAACTAAAAAGGCGCCGCGTCGGGGAGCCTGGGACCTTATCTATGCATACCCCGGCCCCAGTACCTAATCTGGCAGGTCGCACGCCGGCGCCCCCTTGGCGATCGGCAGTTGAAGGCGGGCGCATGACGATTGCGGGGAGGGGGCTTATCCCGAAAGATTCCAAGTATAGAAACCCCAACGCGCCGCCGAGACCACCCCACGCAGTTGCTTCTCCTGTCCTTTCAAGAAGGTCGGTAAAGCACAACGACACCGACCGTCCGGGATCTCGTCGTTTGCCCCAGACTTCAGCGTCTAGTCCTGAACCATTGCCACCCCCCACCCCGTCCCTCTGCAGGTACGAGTAGTCGCCATGTAAACTCCGACCGACAGAGGGGGGAAAAGTTCCTGCCGGCATACAAGAGAGGTACGCCCGAGGGCTCCACCCCGAAAGGGGAAGGTTACGGGGCTCCGTCGCGCAGGGTTGCTGACCTGCTCAACACGGCAAAGACGCGACTTTTTTCGGTTTGCGCCTGCTTGTGCCCATCTTGCGTGATGACGAGTGCAGACGGGACACGCTGTACCACGTGCGGCGCCGAAGCAAAGCCGTCTGGTTCCGAGTGTCTCGGCCGTTATGGCCGTGGACAGGTCAATACGTCCAGGATCAATCCCGTGCCCGAGGGCGATGAATAAAAGGTTGCGGTCCCGCCCTCTCTAGGGCTTTGCCGTCTGAGCCGTTCCAATCCCCCGGCTTGAGCGAGTGTTGAACAAGCTTCAATCGTCGTTTCCTATTCCATCGTTGTCCAATTCCCCAAGTACCCAGAGTCAAGAACCCCCGTTGGTGAAGCAGTGTTTGAGTGCGAAGCGAGTTGGTGTAGAGACCGTTTTCCAGAGCATAGAAGAAGAGAGAGAGAAAGTGCAGACGCATAGTTGTTGAAGACATCTGCATAAGTCAGTCAAGATGAAGTCGCTCGCCGCCCTTTCCACCCTGCTGGCCGTCACCGCGGCGGCCGTCCCGCAGCCCACGCCCACCAAGGCCTCGTACGACGGCCACAAGGTCTTCCGCGTCATGGTCGGCTCCAAGCCGCAGCGCGTGTCCGACGTCGTCGACCGCCTCGGCCTCAGCTTCTGGCAGCACCCCACGCGCAAGGGCGCCTTTGCCGACATCGAGGTGCCGCCGGCCCGCGTGGACGAGTTCCGCAAGGAGATGGAGGGCCTCGAGCTCATCACCATGCACGAGGACCTCGGCAAGTCGATTGCCGACGAGGGTGCTTTCCACATCTACGCCGGTGAGTCCGTCTCTGCTGCATGGCAAACAGCCGAGCGAGGGATTGTGTCCGTGCTGACGAGGTTCGCCCGCCCGCCGCAGAGGGCTCGGCCAACTCGACGTGGTTCAACTCGTACCACCCCTACAATGACCACCTGCAGTTCATCAACGACCTGGCGTCCAAGAACCCCAGCAACGCCGAGGTCGTGACGTCGGGCAAGTCGCTGCAAGGCAACGCCATCACCGGCATCCACTTCTGGGGCAGCGCCGGCAAGGGCAAGAAGCCCGCCATTGTGCTGCACGGCACCGTCCACGCGCGCGAGTGGATCGCTTCCATGGTCAGTAAAAACCTGAAAGCCGGTCTCGAGAAGACATGCTGATTGGGGATACCTTAGGTTGTCGAGTACTTTGCCGACACTCTCGTAAACGGATACAAGACCGACAACGGCATCAAGGCTCTCGTCGACAAGTACGACTTTTACCTGTTCCCCATTGTCAATCCAGATGGTGAGCTTCTCCCCCTTCACAAACGTGCCTCAGATGGGCGCTGACGCCGAGTCCGACAACAGGCTTCAAGTACACGCAGGCGAGCGACCGCATGTGGCGCAAGAATCGCCAGACCACGGCGGGCTCCAGCTGCCTCGGCCACGACATCAACCGCAACTGGCCGTACAAGTGGGAGGGTCCCGGCTCCTCGACTAACCCGTGCGCGCAAGACTTCCGTGGCGCGTCGGCCGGCGACGCGCCTGAGACCAAGGCGCTGTCCGACTTCCTCAAGCAGGTCAAGAGCGCCCAGGGGCTGAAGCTGTACATCGACTACCACTCGTACTCGCAGCTTTTCATGACTCGTGAGTCTTCTCTCCGCATCGCGTGCGAACCAGGGGCAGCAAGTTAACCAGACAACAGCGTACGGATACACGTGCAACGGCGTGCCGCCCAACAACAACGAGCTGCAGTCTCTCGCCGGCGGTGCAGTGGCGGCCATCCGCCAGGTCCACGGCCTCAACTTCGACTACGGCCCCATCTGCACCACAATCTACCAGGCGGCGGGCAGCAGTGTCGACTACGTCGCCGACGTGGTCAAGGCCGACTACACGTTTACGTCGGAGCTGCGCGACACGGGCCGGTACGGCTTCGTGCTGCCTCCGGACCAGATTGTGCCGAGCGGCGAGGAGGCATTTGCGGGTTTCAAGTACCTGTTGCAAAACATGAAGTAGGATGTTTCGGAAAAGCAATTGATGAGGGAGGATCTTCGGAACTGTTTCACATTGTACATCATCGTTCTATAAGTGACAACGATGCTGGCCACGATTGTTCTATGCCGTTCCTTACGTGCGCAAAGGACAATCCATCAATAGTCGGTGTCTCCCATGGCAGACCGCTTTGCCTCCTTGCCGCCTTTGACGCATTGTGTGAAAGCACACCACCAATGCTTCTTCTTCGTCTTCGGCATTGAGCCCTCATCCATCACGAAGTCGCTGACGTCGAACATGGCCGGGTCGCTCCACACACATATATAGAAGGCCTTTTGGTCGTCCATGTCCCATTTCTTGTCCGGATACTTAGATTCGCAACGTTCAAATATTTCCACGCACTGTGGACTGAGACCCTTTTGGCCGTAGCAATGGCCTGGCAATATGTCGGCGTATTCTGCATACCTTCCGGCCAACTTGCAGCGGACCCCAAAACCCTGTTCGTATCAGCATGACCACGCAATAGCGCTGAGACGGAGCACTACGAACAAACTGCTCTTTCGTAGCCCGGCAGGTGCCGCACTGGATCCTATGTTAGCTTATGCCGTGCACATTTACGCCGTCGACATAACTTACGGCATCGTCACCTCCACAGGTTTCGGCCATTAAATTTGGACGCTGTGTTGAGGCGAGTTAGTAGAGAGTTGGGCAATCTCTGCATATGGGATCGCGTGAGGCAAGGCTTCAACTATAGCGGCATGAGGTACGGGTGCAATGTCGCTCGACCTCTGTAACCTCATAGGTAACTAGAAATGCCAACTTACTGGCCCGTTTGGGTTTTCAAACTGTTGCAAGTTAGAGTCAAATCCGGCAGAGGGGCCGCCCTCGTGTGAAAGGGCGATTCCGATCACTCACCGCGAACAGTGTACAAACAACCTCAGGTGATTCCTTTGACACGGCAATGAGCATTATTTCGTCAGAAGTTGCAAGATTATACAGCGCAAGATGAACGTACGCGACGACATTCGAGGCTCCACCCTTGAAGTTCAGAATCCATAGCCAGCTTAATATCCTCTGGAGTCCCAGTCTGCGAATATGATCAGCCGATTGCTTCGCACGTCAACGCATAATGTGGCATGTACCCATTTCGCGTCTGTGACAGATCCTTTGCTGGCTTCCCCTGGTGCGGCAATAGCCAGCCCGCATACTAGGGCGAGGTATATGATCAAGTTCTTCATGGTCGTTCGGTAGCGCTGGCTGATCAGGATACTGAATGGGTCTGATTGTAGAACTACAGGAGCGCGGCGTTGATCATCATATTTATAACCAGACCATTGCTACATCAAGGCGAAAATCCATGGCAACGCGACCTAACGTCAATGCGGCCCAAGGCGTTTCGCGCATTGCAACGGCGGGAATTGGCCGTTGTATTGCCGCCAGTATTCCCAAGCTTGCTCATGCGGCCCCCGGAATGCATGTCTATAGAGTATCCATTCGCATTACTATAATTCTGAGAGGGTGGGAGAGACGCGCGCTTTTGCATGCACATCCATATTAGACAGTGACCGGATGTGATGCGAGCAGAAGACGTAGTGCCGTCGCTCCCAATGAGACGGAATCGAAGCAGCGCTTCCAGTCGGCTATATGGGCCGCAGTGGCGCGCCGACCGAGGCGCAGAGCTCGCGGGTGCCTTGGCGACACCGGGTCTTTTGGAGAGGCGCATGCGGCACTTCCGACGCGTCGACAGATGCCGAAAATTGCGGGCCAGCGGGCTGACCGAAGGTCTTGACGAACAGGTAATTATACGGTCCAATGCGGAGACATGAACACGTTCGAACTGGCCACGGCCGCCAGCAACGACGGCCAAGTCTGCTCCGCGTATCGGGTTTCATACTATGGGACGCAATACGGCAGCTCGACGCGCGGGGACGTTCGGGCCATCGCTGTCAAAGTCGAGAGAATGGGCATGTGTCGTAAAAATTCAGTATCCGTCTATAAACCCGTACAGGCTGCCCACCTCGGTCGCTACACGTCGGCGCCGAAAATGTCCTTGTGCCGATGTGTCGCCTCGACGACGGCGGAGCACAGGCCAAAGTCTGCAATCCGTCAGCAGTCTGCGCCGTGCCTGGGCGAGTGTTTCGAGTGTAGGGCTGCGCACCAACTCCCGGGCCGAGGTCTCTCGAGCTCAGGACCTTGACAGAGAGGTCGGGGTTGACCTTGCCAATGACCTGGACGGCGTTGCCATTGACCAAGTGCGCATCCTGTCACCGTGAGCTTCTGACATCTTCACGGGACGGAATTGGGCGAGCATACCCTGTTCAGGGCCACCGTGACGACTCCATCGGCATCAATGGTGGCCTGCTCGCCACGGAGCTGGGTCACTTTGCCTACAATCGTGACGAGGCGGCCCGTGAAGTTGTCGAGGTACGCGGCGGTGATGCGCGGTGAGGCGAGTTGTTCGGCCATGGTGTCAGTATCAAGCGTTGCGGATCAGAAATCGTAACGTGTGATTGACGAATTGTGCACCCGGAATTGGCGTGTGTTAGATGTGTGCAGGCGCAGGAGCTTGGGAAGCGCCGTGAAGCTCGAGATGCCCCTCCTCTTGGTGTGCAACGCGTCGCGGGCTGGCGGGACACGGTCGCGTGTGCACGTGACTGCACATCACCTGACCCGCGGTGCAGCGGCAGCCGGACTCTCCAACAATCCAAGACACTCGTCCCACCCCCGCTGCGCTCCGTGGAGTTGCTTCACACGAGGCCCGCCAACCCTGGTCCCACGCTTGCCACGGCAAGTTGCGGCCTGCACGGCGCACGCAGTGGCGACACCCAGATCGAGATCGCTGGCCGGCCCTCCCCCCCCAACGTTTCGGAGCTCCGCCCCGCCCCAGTGGAAGGCCGCCTGCTCGCGCGCTGTTCAGAGGCTGGCTGATCGTTGCCAGCAGGCCTGTCGTCGGTCATGTCAGGCTGCCGGACGCGAAGATGCTGCCGTCCAATTACTCAACAGGCCAGCACTCCAGCGACGGCGACGACATGGCATCATGGTTGAATCATGGGCCTCGGATTGCCCCTGGGCGGCCTTTGTCAAGGGACCGCACCCCTGGAAGGACAATGTGACGTGTCTGACACGGCGTCCTCGGCCAGAGCGCGCGACGTCAGATGGCCGACCCGTTTCCCATGCTCGCGGCCATGGGGAAACTGGGCATCGTCGATTGGCATCGCAGAAGCCGGTCCTGACCTGGCGGTTCAGCAGGAGCATGCACGTCGCCACCGGCCGCGCAACACAATCGACCCGCCATGTCCTGCCATGACCTGGCTCTCCTGCTTGTTTGCCTAGCCTGCCAAAATGCAGCGACGTGGCCGTGGATGTCCCAACAGCCGTGCCATTGTGGCGACTGGAGGACGCGGCGTCTTGTCGACTTGCACCACCGAGTGAGCTTGACATGGGCTCTGGTGGCACGCAGACTTGCTCGTCAGGCCGCCGCAAACGACGAGGGCCTACATATTCCCCCGCGGCCTTTCTTGGCCTTTAACAACGCTGTATAACAACGCTGTACAGGACCAGGGAAGCTCCAACGGCAGACCTGCTGGGGGGACACCCGAGACGCCGTGCCCTGCGCTGCCCTGCGCCGACGCAAAATAAAGTTTACAGCCATGCCGGGGCCACCAGTGTCCATCCGACAGTGTCAGTTCAGTCGCTGCGGGCGGGCATTCAGCCGGGAAGCGGGGGCGCGCGGTGCTGCGATGCTGCGACGCCACGCAGACGCCGAAGGCCGAATGCATCGAAGCACGGAACCGAGCTGCAGGCCCAGTGCAAGTGCCCACCGCGCCAAGAACGCCCACCCCTTTGCTCTCGCCCGGGCGCAGGAGCTTCCCGTCCAGTCCAGTCGAGCACAGTTGACGAGTCGACCACGGGAGAGCATCCGCGCCCGCTTGTGGTTTGCTCCGGCACCGCCGCCGGGTCAGCGGCCCAGAGTATGTGCTGATCATTTGCCAGGTTGTTCACAGCCACATCGACATCATGTGGCGGGGCATCCATTCGAGTACGTTCAGGCGGAGGACTGTTTGCCGCGAGGCATGGCATTGCCCAGGCGGCAGCTCGCGGTGCCCACCCATGACGACGACGCAGGCGGCGGTTTGGGGTTCGAATTGCATTCCGCGGGCCCGTTGGCGTTGGCGCTGGCCTGTCCGCTTTATTATCGAAAGAGAGACCACCACCACCACCACCACCACCACCACCACCACCAAGACCCAGGAACAAAAGCTCCTACAAACAAGCTTTGGGCCAGTGTCCCGTACGGTGCTTCGACGCAAGCCCTGCACATGCCTGTGACAGGCCACGCCAGCTTCAGGATTGGCCTGCCCGCTATCCTCAGGTCGGCTTTGGTGGGAAGCCAAACGGTCGCAGCCACCAGTGGCTCCCCGCCCGCCCTTGACATCCGCCTTGCCGCCGGTCCTGATTTGATGCATCGGCCCATGTCCCTCGCGCGCTCCCTCCCTCCCTGGCTTGGCTGGCTGTCGCAGCACAGTACTGCACGGTACGGTGCGATGGCCACTACTCGAAGTCTGGAAAAGCATGTACCGGAGCTGCCGGCGGTACTTGGCTGCCCGTCCCGCCTGCCCCCGGCCGCTCATGTATCCGCGACAAAGCCCCTCCTTCCGCTTGGCTGGTTCCATCCAAGTTGTTTGGAGCTCAGCTGCGGAGGCGGGCTGGAGCTTCCAGGGAATAAAACCAGTCGCCCTCCAGGTGCCTGCGTGGGCATGCGTCTGAGGGAGACAAATCGTGCCATCCATCCGTCCGTGACACAAGTCGGTACGCTTCATCTTCCGTCAAACCAGAGCGGCGTCTCGGCATACTCGTGTCCTCGCCGTGCCATTCAGTCGTTTGCCCTCTCCCGCCACCTCGCGCCTGCGACGACACAGCTCCCCTCCCCGTGTAAGCGGCGACGAGCTACACCCGAGCGCACCCGGTGGCATCAACGAGCAGCGACAACGGCAACCACCACCACCACCGCCGCTTCTTCGATCTCCGGAACTCACGGATTGGATCGCTCCGCATTCCATCTTATCTCTTTGAACCTCATCCCCTTGCAGCACCGCCAGCGGCGCTCTGCCATTGACCGGGCCGCGCCCCCGTGAAACAGTTTGGCACTGCTGCCGCCGCACCAAGTGCAAGGGCCGAGGGCCTCGGACGCAGCGAGTGGCATGGCCACGGCGATACACGCGCCATCCAGAGACCTTTCCCAACAAAGCTTTCCGCTCTATCCTGAGCAGCAGCAACACAACATGGCGACGATGCAGCAGGCGATGGACGATGACATGCTCATCGACCCGCGCATGGCTCTGCCTCTGTACGGCATCAAATCGGCGGACAAGGACGCCGCCACAGACTCGCCGGGCCAGTTCATGATGACCCCGCGCATGTTTGCCTCGGACAACGATGACGCCCTCGACAACCCCGTCGACTTCATGCTGCAAGACGCGGCCGACGGCGACGCAGGCAGCATTGAAGTAGCGGCGCCGCACATCATATCGCCGCCAGAGACCGTCTCTCACAACACGCCACCTTCGGACGAAACGTCCACAGAGGCCGCAGCTTCCTCTTCCAAAAAGTCTTCGTCTTCGTCGTCATCAGCGACACCGACGACAAGGGCGAGTAAACGAAAGCGCACTCGCGCCGCAGCCGCCGTCAGCAACAACGGGAGCGCCAATAAGCGCGCTGCTCAGCAACCCGCCACCGCTTCCACATCAACAGCGCAAGCGCAACCGTCGACAGCGCCCAGGCGAGGATCTGAGTCCCGAGGCGTGGACGCCAAGCGCACGCACTGCCTCGAGCGCAACCGTATCGCCGCCAGCAAATGCCGCGAGAAGAAGAAGCAGTGGGTGCACGACCTCGAGGCCCGCAAATCGGAGCTCGAGGCCCAGCACGCCGGCCTGCACGCCGAGCTGGCGAGCCTCGCCGACGAGGTGACGCAGATCAAGAACTACCTCATGGGCCACGCCGGCTGCGGTGACGCCAACATTGACCTGTGGATCGAGAACGAGGCGCTGCGCTTCGTCCACCGCAGCATCAGCGGAGCGGATCAGTCGCAGGCGCAGGCGCACGTCGACGTGGGCGCGAGCCGCCATTCGAGCATCGGGAGCTTGGCATCCACCGCCATGCACAGCCGAAACGGTAAGGATGCCTCCATCGTCTACTGACTCTCGACATAAGCTCAACGGCTAACTCGGGCATGGTGACAGACTCCATCGGCCAAGCATCGACGGCGCAAACAGACAATTCGAGCCTGCCATCGCCGGTACTCAAGACGGAGCCTATCAACTACGACTACATGCCCGAGGAGATGTTTCAAGACGCGACTTGAGCAGCTACACATCAGCAGAGCGCGATAGCGTCGAGAAGAAGACCATGCGGGGGGAACAGAGCAGATTTGAGGCAAGAATTGTACACCGACAAAATGACAGGAGATACCCGAGGCAACGTGAGGAGCCTGCGCCGAGCCGCGAGATGAGGACGTCTGGCATGCGTCTTGGGGAAGAGAATGGGAAAATGACCTTATGAAACAATGATTTTTAACAAAGCCCGCACACACGCACAAAACGGGCAGTCAGACGGTTGCTGGAGCCTCACGGCCTGGGCGGGCAATGGACGGATCGACGATGGCAACGCAACGGCGACCGGGCAGGCACGGATAGCCAACACGCGTCCTCTCGATTACTCCTCTTTACGCTTCTTGTTATTTCTCTTAATATCGCTCCGGGGACGCGCGGGCAGGTTTAGTTTTTACTTCAGGTACGCGGGCCGGCTATATTTGAGTTCGCAACGTGCGTGGCACGCGGAGAACCGGGTCCGCGCGAGGAGGGACATGTCTTTCAACATTGGTTTTGTGCGTGGGATGGCGTTGGCGACTCGGACTGAAAACCAACGGACGGGCGACTTCTCTTTCTTTCACCTTTTCCTTTTTGTTGTGTTGAGGGTCATTATGGGCTCGATAATCTTTGGTGCGAATTGGGCGGGCTTCCACGCGAGGATATTCTCCCTCCGCCGGGAAGAAACGGAATAGTCCCGCCGAGGGTAGAAGAAGGCTAGGTTACTTGGGCGACAGCGTCGTTCTCGGCCTCGATAGTGCATTGGGGGCGAACCCAACGCCAAAAAACAGACTCAGATTTGACATGTGTGTGGATGCGTGTCTGTATGTGTGTGTCGTCGAACAAGGCTGCATTATGATGGGCGTGAAAGTACAGATGATAGACTGTGGAATTGATGAATGATTGGATGATTTGTCGATGAGCATCTATGGTGGTCATCTCTACCTACACTGACTGGCAAAAACTCCCTTTTTACATGTACATGCGTCCACTCCCCCCGGGCTGACTGATTGATGTAGTAGGTAGCAGTATCGTACAAAATCGTCTCGGCTAGACGGGGCAGCAGTCCCGAACCCGAGCCTACCTCTTCTTGATCCAGCCGCGGGCGTTGGAGATGCCGCGGATGCGCTTGGTGTACTTCCAGAGGTGGCGGTACTTGGGGCCCTGGCGCTTGGCCTCCCAGCCGCGGGGCTTGACGGGGGGCTTGAGGCTGCGGACGCGGGCGGGGCGCAGCTCGACGTCTGCGCCGGGGATGGCGTGGCGGGCCATGACGGCGGCGGTGTTGTCGTCCCAGACGGAGCGGAACATGGTGAAGCCAAAGGGGGCGAGGGCGAACCTGTCGCGCAGGGACTTAAGGGAGAAGCCGTCGCGGGGCAGGGCGCGGAGCTTGTCGACGTCGAGGGGCGGCTGGCCGGGCGTCTGCTCGAGGAGGACGACGGCGAGGCGGTGGTAGGGGCTGCCCTTCTGGGCGGCGGGGGGCAGCCAGGGGAGGGCGAGCTGGTCCTGGGGGCGCAGGCGGGCGAGGGGCAGGGAGGCGCTCGTGGGGCTGAGGGGCACGTTGGCGGCGAGGAAGTGGCAGCGCTTGGAGAAGGCGTCGGCGGCGAGGTCGGGGACGTCGGCGTCGACGACGGCGACGGTGACGAGGCGCTCGCCGCGGTCGAAGAGCTGGACGCGCAGGCGCGGGGCGGGCTCGCTGACGGCGCTGTCGACGACGGCGCCGGGGGGCACCTTGGCGCGGCGGAAGAAGAGCTGCACGTCGGCCGTGGGGTCGAGCTTGGGCAGCAGGTCGGGGACGATGCTGAACTGCTTGATGCGCTGGGCGATGAGGCGGCGGTCGTAGGCGCGCCACTTTTTCTCGGCGTAGTGGCGGTAGATGGGCTTGTTCATGTCGCCTGCATGATTTCGACTACTTGTCAGTCTTTCTGCTCGTTCCATGGTAAAGTCGCCCCATCAAGGGGGACAAGAGTCATAACGCACCCAGTCCGTCCTCGAAGCGCTTCTTGACGAGCGGGTCGTTGGCGTCGGCCAGGATCTTGAGGCGCTCGACGTGCCTGCGCAGGCTGGCGAGGCGCGTGTCGCGCATGCGCTGGCCGCCGCGCACGGCCGCCGGGTCGGCGCCCTCGAGGCGTGCGATGCGGCCCAGCTGGGTGCGGATCTGGCCCAGCTTGTCGGCGCGGTCGGCGGCCAGCACGGCGCGGGCCTCCTGGAAGGCCTGGTAGGGGAGCTGCTCGAAGGGCAGGCCGAGGTCGGTGGTGCTGCGGAGGGCGACGCGGCGGCGGCGCGAGCCGACGGGCATCTTGCCGGCCTTGATGAGCGGGGCCTCGAACTCGGGCAGGACGGTGTCGGGGTCGAGGTCGAGGGGGGAGGGCTGCTGGGCTGGTGTTGACGAGGAGGAGGTGGTCGAGGCTGATGATGAGGGAGCTTCAGACTGCTGTTGCTGCTGCTGCTGCTGCTGTCGGGCTGTCGTTGTGGTCGTGAAGCGGCGCAGCGGCAGCAATTGCCGTGCGAGCGGCCTCGCGACGGCCCCGCACCGCGACATGCTGGGCAGCCCGGGTGTGTGTTGTGTCGAATTGACGGGAAACGAAAGGGACCGCTCGTCGTCTTCCGTGTCGATAAATGGTGTTGAAGTTGCCCGAAGCCAAAAAAGCTGGTCAGGGTCAATGGAGTTGCCGGGACCCACATAAAAGTTGCCAGCAGCGCTCGCCATTGGTTGGTTCGCGAGCCTGTCCACCGGCTGGGCTGGCTGCTCGCCGAGTCACGATTTTCGACGTCCAACTCCTCGAAACCAGCAATAGCTCGCAGAGCAAAACTCCCAGAGGCGCTGCTGCATCACCAACCCTCGACCCCGACCGACCCCGGACCGCGACCAATTCATTGTGCATGCGAGGCTGAAGGAGCGAGCGAGGTCGCAGACACACACATACACACACACGGCATGGCCTCAAGACGAGCCGGCTGCGTGGCCGAGGCCATGGCCGCGCTCAAGCTGTCGCCGGCCAAGGTTCGCTCTCTCCACAGATCATCAATGGCTTCAATCCGGTGGGCTAACAATCTCTACTAGTCTTCTTCTCCTCTCTGCTCCGTCGGCAGGTCCTTTTCTCGATCCATGGCCACCGAGGCGGCGCCGCCCGCGCGGGACCTGACGCGCTCCGCCTCGGGCGCGCAGTCCATCCTGCAGTCGTGGAACCCGGGTACGTGCCTCCTCAAGTCATCCCCAGCCTCTTCATTGACGAGGGCGTCTCGTCCTTGCCACCCCGAACATACGCCGCTGACAGTAGCCTCTAGTGTCCACCGTCCCCGTCACCGTCCACGCCTTCCCCTCGCTCGAGCCCACCGCCCTCGACCACCACCCCGTCGCGCACCTCCACCTCCCCCTGCGCCGCGACCTCCTCCACGCCGCCGTCGTCTACGAAGGGTCGCACACCCGCCAGGGCACCGCCTCGTCCAAGACGCGCTTCGACGTGCACGGCTCCCACCGCAAGGTCCGCCCGCAAAAGGGCACCGGCCGCGCCCGCCTTGGCACCAAGCAGAGCCCCGTGCTGCGCGGCGGCGGCAAGACCTTCGGCCCCCACCCGCGCGACTTCGGCATCGGCCTCAACCGCAAGGTCTACGACAAGGCCTGGCGCACCGCCCTGAGCTACCGCTACCGCCGCGGCGAGCTGCTCGTCTGCGAGGACGGCATGCGCCTCGACCTGCCCGTCGACTTTGAGCTCGTCGCCGGCAAGTACCTCCGCGACGGCATGCGCGAGGCGTATCTGAAAAAGTACATGGGCGGCGTGCTGGCCCGGCTGGGGCTCGGGCGTGCCGACGGGCGCACACTTTTCGTCACGGCGGGGGACAGCGAGGCGGGCAGGCTGCACGAGGCCATGGAGCAGGTGCCGTGGGACGGCCGCGCGCTCGACGTCGACGACGTGGACGTCAAGGACCTGCTTGAGACGGGCAAGGTGGTCATGGAGCGCGCCGTGCTGCGCGAGATGCTGGAGCGCCACCAGAGCGACCTGGTGAGCCGCGTTTTCGTCCAGGGGGTGCCGCAGCTGCAGCAGCAGCAGTAGTAGCGCAGCGGCACAGGAGCAGGAACGGGGTGAATGGTGTGTTCCCGGCTGCCCGGGGGCCGTCTATAGAATGGGCATGCGAGCCGTGCACTGTACCATATGTACCTATTACAGAGCAATGAATGTTTGGCATATATCCCGTCATCACAGACACCTCTTCGTATTTCATGTTGTACAGCTGCTCTCCAACAACACCCAGCAGCAATCTAGTCTATCCAGGGGGTATCGCTAATGCACCTGTCCAAAGCCCACCCGCACCGCTTTTATATACTACACAAAGGACGTCGATATCGACGACGATGACGCCGACTGACGCGCAGAAACGCCGTTTGCCTCTACGAGATTCCAACTCATGCTCGGCTCTCCGCGCTGAACCCGCCCCGCCCCCTTACAGCGCACCGCCCACCAGCTGCACGATCCACATGGCGATGCGCACCTTGAGCCCGACGCGGCGGTCGTTGCGGGCAAAGTCGTCGCGCGTGACGGTGCGCGCGTGCTCCTGCAGCCAGCGCTCCTCCTCGCCGAGGCGGCGGCGCAGGTCGGCGTCGCGCGTCACCACGAGGGCGCCGACCTCGAGGTCGAGCGAGTAGCTGCGGCGCGTGTAGTTGGAGCTGCCGACGAGGGCGACGGCGGGGTCGTCCTCGCCGGGCATGGTGACCCAGAGGCCCTTTGCGTGGTACGTCCACCCGCCGGGGTGGCCGGCCGTGCCGCGGCGCCACTCCTTGAGGGAGACGTCCGGGGGGTCGCGGCCGGCGCGGTGCGCGGCGTGGACGAAGCGCCGCGCGAGCAGCACGTAGGCGTCGGGCAGCAGGCCCGAGACGCCCTTGCTGCGGTAGAAGCCGTTGGCCTCGGGCGCGGCCGTGATGACCACGTTGCGCGACGAGGCCGTCTCAAGGAGCAGCTTGCTGAGCGACGGCGCCGGGTTGAAGTAGCCGGCCGTGAAGGTCCAGCGCGAGCCCGCGTACGCCGGCTGGGCGAGGCGCTCGAGGATGCGCGTGAGCACGGGCAGCTCCGTCGACGTGTCGGGGCGCATCACCTGCGACATTTGCGCGAGCATGTACACGCGCGTGTCGGCCAGCTCAGCGTCACCGGGCCCCGCCGCCAGCTTGTGTGATGCGGCGGCGGCGGACGGGGATATCAGGCGCTCCAGCGTCGCCGTCGTGCTCTTGACAAAGGCCTTGGGGTGCTGCAGCGGCGAGGGCGCCGAGTTGCTGCGCGGCCAGGTGAGCGCGAAGCCGGCGGGCTCGTCCGACGGCTCGACGAGGAAGCTAAACGACGCGACGCCGCTGTGGATGTTCCAGAAGTAGTCGGTCACCTGCTTGGAGGAGAAGAGGTGGTAGCGGTCCTGGCGGTTGGTGAAGTAGTCGGTCGACAGGTTGGCACTGCGCCGTTCCCAAGTCAGCAAGCCGGGCCTCGTCTTCGCCCCCAACGTCCCACACGCCATGAAGGCACTACACATACCCCGAGAGGATAATCTCGTCGTCGACGCCGTACAGCTTCATGTGCTGCAGCCCCCAGCCCTCGTTTATGCGGCGCGGAATGTAGCGCTTGCGTGCGCCCGTCAGGTTCGGCGTGTGGTACATGCGCACCTCGACGCGGGGGCCAAACTCGGCGACGAGGGGCGCCAGCAGCGACGCGCACGACGGGTCCGGGCTCTCGCGCGTGCCGCGCAGCGCGTCCGTCAGGATGCTGAGCTTGAGGTCCGGGTTGCGGGCGAGCGCGTCGCGCAGCGTGTCGATGAGCTCGCGCTCCGACTTGCCAATGTACAGCGTCGAGAGGAAGATGCGGTGCTTGGCGTTGCGGATGCGGTCCTGCGAGAAGGTGCCCACGACCAGTCAGTGCCACTTTCACGCACAGCCATTCCACCGCAGGGGGAGGGGATATGCTCCATGTCCCACGTCCCATGTCCGTCTCACCTTGAGCGTCTCGTAAAAGTCGGTCGGCGTCCGCAGGATGCGAATGTCGCCGCCTCGCACGTCGAAGCTCGGCGCCATGCGGTCCAGCTCGCTGACGAAGGGCGCCAGCGCCCCGACGGCGCTTCCCGAGCTCGACGCAGACCCCGCCGCCGCGTCGCCGCCGTGGGCCGACGATGTCGAGAACCGCCGGGCGGGCGAGGCGCGGGCGAGGCTCGTCCTCAGGCGGATGGAGGCTGGCCCGCGCGCCTGCGCGACGCAGCGGGTGCAGCCCCGGGCCAGCATCGTGGGCTGATTGTGGCTCAGATGGGGGGGGGGGTGGCCGGGGGAGCTCAATTGGCTCGGGCCTGGGTCGTGGGACGTGTCCGGACGAGGTGTCGGGTGCGTGGGCGGGAGGAGTGAGGTTTGGGTGAAGTGAAGCTCGCTGGGATATTCCTGGTCCCTGACGTCGCCTGGCCCGCCGGGGTTTATCCGCCAGTGAATCCCATCCACTAAGTCAAGCTCGGGCTCCAACTTCCAAGTTTGCAACCCTACACCAATCAACAGCACGCTTTCATGGTTCCAGCTCCAGCTGCAGGGGACAGCGGCACGCAGCAAGCTGTTGTAGATGAATTTCGAATGGGTCTGCATGAAGTAGGTATTGCTTGTCAGCAAGTAGTCAGAAAGCATCGACTTCGTCTCATATGTTTTGCATGGCTATGGGCGGCGTCGTCAGCCTCAGCTTCAGCATCGGCCCCACGCCGTGCCATGGCGCCCACGCTTCTGTTCAATGCGGCCGCCAAGACGTAGCATAACGTCGGTCAATGCCAGGCGAGGTTTCACTGGTCTGGACTCTCATTCGTCTCCATTCATATCCATATGCTCTGCACCACTGGCCACTAGATCCGCTTTCTAGACAGCATGACTGCGGGTGTATCCATGTCCTCCACGATGATCTACCGTTACATCCCGTGGCAGAGTCAGGTACGCTCAGTCCGCTGCACTTCAGGCCACCGAGAAACGGATCCATGGTCCCATGTAGACTGGTCGAGTCGTCCGTTCAGCGTGAGGTACGTCAACGTGCAGGATACGTTGCATGTGGCTCCACCACTTGACATGCAGCCATCAGACCAGACCCGAATCACAGTCTGGCCTCAATATGTTGTCGACACGGCTCTGGCTCAGCAAACATGGCACAAGTGACGAATGTAGAACATGAATCATGTGGATCATGGCTTAGAAGTCGCGGGATGCGAGCTCGAATTAGCACAGAACCAATTTCTGTCCGTGTCAGTTGTCATGCATCCAGATGCTGCAGACGGGCCTCATCGCCACCCGGTGATGTTGTCAGGACACGATGTCGACGCGCTGGAGAGGTCCTCTCTTTGTGTATATAAGCCCGCCATCGGCCTCGGTATTGATGGAAGCTGGATATCTCAACGTCATCCAGACTTCAACCGCAAGCAGCTCATTACTAGCCATCGCTCAACTCGGCCCTCGATCATTTCTTACATTTCCAATTCCTAATCTGTTATTATTACCAACTTCAATCTTTCGAATCTTCAGACCGTCAGCATGAAGGCCACATACACCGTTCTCGCTACTCTGCTCGGCGCCGCAGCTGCCGGGCCCCTCGACTCGCGACAGCTCGGCCTCTCCCCGGCCGAGGTCACCGAGATCGGCACGGATGCCTGCCCCGACTACTACTACGGAGCCCGGGGCAAGTGCGACGAGAAGATCAAGATGTGCTTCAAGGCCACGGGCAGCAGCAAGGACAAGGCCAAGGTCACCAAGTGCGTCAAGGCCGCCAACGACATCTGCCCCGACTCCGACGCGGAGTGCAACGAGCAGGTGAGCTCCTGCATCTCCGACCTCGGGGCCAACAGCTCCAAGGAAATGGCGCCGTACAGCCTGGACAAGGGCGTTCTGAAGGAGTGCGTGAAGCAGGCTCAGGAGAAGGCCGCGGGCGAAAAGCCCGCCGAGACCAGCGCGGATCCCACCCCGCTCGAGAAGCTCAAGGCCAAGCACTGCGCCGGCCCCCAGACCGAGCAGTCGCTGCCCGCGGAGGAGTGCGAGGCGGAGCTGAAGAAGTGCATCGACCAGGCCAGCAGCGGCGAGAAGCTCGACGAGAGCACGGTTGACGGCTGCATGGCCAACAAGAGCCCCATCATCGGCAAGTGGAAGGATCTCATGGCCAAGCACTGCCCCGGCGAGCCCGAGGGCTGCGAGCACAACCTTGCCTCGTGCGCGAAGATCGAGCCCGGCAAGAAGCTGGACGAGAGCACCGTCGACGGCTGCATGGCCAACAAGAGCCCCATCATCGGCAAGTGGAAGGACCTCAAGGCCAAGCACTGCCCCGGCGAGCCCGAGGGCTGCGAGTACAAGCTTGCCTCGTGCGTCAAGACCAAGCCCGGCGAGGAGCTGGACGAGAGCGCCATCCCGGACTGCATGAAGGCGACCCAGGCGCCCGGCGAGAAGGCTGAGGGCCAGTACGCGGCGGCGGAGGGCACCAGCAGCGGCCGTCCCAGCTGCGGTTCCGCTTAGACGGGGGGAGAGATGTACCTCGCTGCCTACGTGGGGGTGCCATGAGGTGAGCGGGGGCTCGTGGAATTGGTGCCATCCAGGTTACGCGGCGGCTCAAGTTTTGGCCACACATCGATTCATTCCATGTAGCATTGCTCAAGTGTATTGCTAGCAGGAAACCCTTTAATTCACAGACTGGCGGTTTAGAAATGAAGTTGCCAATGCAATCATTGGCCTCTGCCGTCCTCGGTTTGACATGTGAGTCGTGGGAGTATAGAATGCAGAATGCCGTTACCGCCGTGAACAACAAGTAGGATATGATACACTGGGTGAACTTTCGCCTAACTTCAATTTGCCATGATGGAATCGGGACTTACTCTGTTCGTACACGTATATGTAGTGGCTGTGGCCTGTCGGACTTCCAGATTCGGCAGGTCTGCCGCTACCAAGCTTCCGCATCAACCTTGAAAGGAAAACAGGATTCTTGGCCGCCAGTAGATCCGGCAGATCGCCCTGGCTTGTACCGGACATGGCAGATTTGCCCATGCTCGTTTCAGATCCTGACATAAGCCCCGTCCGTCTGCCAAGAGATCCCGGATACCTGGCCGCTTCTCATTTCCGTCGCAGCTCTTGTGTTAGGCGTTCAAGGGCAGCTCTCGGCCTTGAAGAGCTGTCATGAAGTTGGTGATTAAACGGGATGGCCGGTTAACGTATCATGACAGACCATGTACGTCTAAGGTGCTATGTCACCGACAGCTTCTTTGTCGTACCTCGACCTTGGCATCTGTGGTGCCGGGTGCAGTTCGCGCCACATCGGCTTAGCCCGCTCTAGGGTGCGGAACGGTAATCGCAATGTCGCCCGTCGCGGTCAGAGCTGGCTTTATTGTTCCCCCAATAGCCGGAAGCGCGGAATCATTTCCCCCATCTTGTCGGCAAGCAACATGGCAAGTGTGGAAGGCCGGGAAGCCTGTTTCGAAACAACAAGGATGCCAAGGTTTGAGTTCATAGCTGAGCCTCACAAGCAGAACCGGTCAGGAAGGTATCTTTTGGTACAAAAGCTGGTTGACCTGTAACCTGAGATGAACCTGGCATAAACGTGCCGGTCTCCCGACATCTCCAAGGTTCAGGGGACTTCAGAGTCACTGATATATGCTGCACCTACTTGCCGAGGGCGAACTTCATCCATATAGACCAGGACACCGGCGAAATTACGTCCTGGAATAGGGTTTCACGGGACATAGAGGTGAGCATCGCGTGCTGAGAAACAGGTATGCTGGAATACGACCCCTATGGTCCGGTACCTTTCGAACTTGGCGATACAGATATATGCGACTATCAGTTCATCACACTTGCTGAGAATCACCGAACGCTGTAAAATAATTTACAGTAAAGATTGTAGATTTGACATATGAACGAAGCATGTTGAAAGGTACATCATTTAACCTGGTAATACGGTGCTCCTTAGCTTATACACATTTTGATGTTTTATACAAAGGCTACAGTGCGTGGTGCTCACATTCAGCCATTTCTCGTCAACGACACAGGGCTAAAAATCGTGCAAGATAATTCCTTCAGTGTATTTGCCTTGCGTTTCAATTGACGTGGCGCCCTCGGCATCGCGGCACCTAGTGCAGTCACAGGGTTCAAGGCAACTCCTTGAACTGTTCAAGTCACCAGCAACCTCAAGCTGTCAAACTGCGACCATGATCCTGTGCTCTCATTGACCCATGGTAGCAGACGAACTGCGATGTGGCGGCTTTAAGCCCGGGCGGCTTCCGGTGTGGGGTGCGTTGAACCTGGGGGGGAAGGTCGGCAGTTTGATGCCTAGCGTGCCCTCGGATCTCGAGACCTTCCGCTAAGGGCAGGTTGCTGACGGGATCGACCCCTTAGCGCATCCGATGCCTAACTATTCGGGACAGTTGAGACGGCCGTGTAAGGAACGATCAAAGCTTACACGACACGGGCCGATCGTCGGTACACGATAACCGTGGCGTGATGCGTAGGAATAATGCGCCCCGAAAGGATTCCCGTAGCAATTCTTGTAGAGATATATATCGAGCTGTGTCCCTCTGTGGGAGGAATTCGCGTTTTGAGCAGCATCTCATTCTCAAGGCCAACTTATCCGATCACAGCACAGCACAAGCAAGCAACATGAAGACATCTGCTGTTGTCGGTCTCCTCTCTACCGTGGCCGGTGTCCTCGCCGTCCCGACCGAGGAGGTCGCCCGGGAGGCCAAGAGGCCCTTCTTCGGAGGCCCCTTCAACAAGAACAGAAACGCCAAGAGCTTCAACGCCGACTCCGTCCAGAGCCCCTGGGGTGGCGGCGTCCAGGAGGGCCAAGGCTGGCGCACTGTCACCGGCACCACCGTGATCCCCTCCGTCACCGGCCAGAGCCCCAACGCCGGCGCCGCCGCTTGGGTCGGCATTGATGGTCAGTTCCTTTGTCACCTTCTACGTCCAAAGTCGGAGATGCTTGGGATCGAGCTGACCCATGGCGTGTATAGGCTACTCCTGCCAAAACGCCATCCTCCAGACCGGCGTCGTAGCCTGGGGCGACGGCCGCGTCCAGTCCTGGTACGAGTGGTACCCGGAGCCGCCCGTCTACTACGGCGACCAGCTGGCCGTCAAGGCGGGCGACGAGGTGCGCATGAGCGTCAACGCCACGTCGGGCACGTCGGGCACGTCGACGCTCGAGAACCTCACCACCGGGCAGAGCGTCACGACGCCGTACGAGAATATGCGCGAGTCCCTGTGCGGCAGCGACGCCGAGTGGATCATCGAGTTTGGCGGCGGTGCGCAGGAGTTTGCCAACTTTGGCGAGTGGGACATTACCAACGCCGCGGCCAGCGGCGACAGCGGCCAGGTCAACGCCCAGGGCAGCCGCATCACCAATGTTGAGATTGACGGCCACGTCTACACCAACTGCCAGGCCGACTCTCGGGGCGTCGAGTGCACCTGGCAGTAAAGGAGGGTGTCGGGTGGTGCTGGTTGAGATGCTGCTTGTAAAGGGACAGACTGAAACGATACCGGTACAACGGAGATGCCATACTTGTTTGTGAATAGTAGCTCTCTTCTTGTGTACCGTTCACCATGGTTCTCTGTGCGTGTGACATCGCTCAGATGTTTCGTTGCGCGTTATCGGATGAAAGACCGGGCCGGAGCCATTGACGATCTCCTCTTCTGGGCCTCAACCTGTCGGCTCATGCCATTATCCTGCGCCCAAGCCATGCTGAAGCACCATTGTCTGCAAGTAATGCGTCGAGACTTGACGTTGCGTGTTGAACCCAGACCTCTGGCCACGGCTGGACGAGCCGGCCTAATAGCGGAGACCCTCAGAGCCAATTCAGGGAGACGGGCGTAACAAAACCACGAAAACGAGGCAATCGGAACGCTGATACTAAGCCCATGTGCTCAGATGCCAGCAGGATGCTCGTGGTTTGGGAGTTGTCTGGTGACTATGGGTAAGAAATGCAGCGGGAATATGGTGGAGTCGTCGCCTGTTTCACGCTGCCGCAGTTCGAGTTGAGGAACATGAAAAATTACATAATCAGGCGCAATGAGCTGGTCTCTACCGCAGTTTACCCGTCCCGGGCCAATGCCTCCATCGCCAATCCGACAACCTCCAACGCCGCCATCCGCCGAACCCAGACTTCCGCCTCAATCCCTCCAGCGCCCCGTCGCAACCGCACCGCCGCCATGTCGACCATCACGCGCACGCTGAGCAACCTGCGCAAGGTGGGCATCAAGGTACGTCCTCTGCCATTGGCGCCTCCCGATGCGCCCCCCGGACACACTCTCTCTCCGTCCCCTCTGTCCCTCTCTCTTCCCTACCGCGCCGCCAATTGATTGATTGAGCCCGCCGCATTGTTGCTAACTCTGTTTTTTTCTACTGCAGGACTACTTCCGCCAGATGCTGGTACGTGGAACGACTCCTTCCCCCGCCACCCGGACGACGACGGCGACGACCGGATAGATAGCTCCCCCGATGTCGACGGTCATAGTGTCATGCTAACGATTGCGCGCGCTGCCCTCCGCGAACAGTACATCGGTAAGCAGCGACCTCTCCCAGACGTACCTCCGCTTCCTCTACCACCGAGCGTTCCCAAATCCTCGACACCCACGACCGTCGAATCCTCCCTCCCCTCGATCGAACTCAAAACAAGCACAGCACCAAAGCCCCCTCCCCTCCCCTCACCTCGTCTCTCCTCACCTCACATACGCTACCCACCTCTGGAACGTCTTGGCTGACCACATGTGAACGCGCGCAGGTGACACAAAGTACGGCCGCCTCGTCGGCACCGACCGCGCGGGCAACCGCTTCTTCGAAAACGGCGAGGAGCTGCCCCTGCGCACCCGCTGGGTCGAGTACGCCCAGCACGACTACGACGCCGCCCAGATCGACCCGGGCTGGCACGCCTGGATCAGCTACTCGGTCGACGCGCCGCCCACACAGGACGCCCTCATGCAGTTTGGCCACCGCGCCTTTGAGAAGCCCGGCGCCATCCCCAACTACACGCAGACGAGGGGCGCGTTCAAGACGTATAGCACGTGAGTTTTTTGCCGCCCGCTTGCCTGCCTTTCCCCCTTGCTCTGCTCTGTTCTCCAATTGGGGCAAAGACGAGGCAATGGGAGATGGGAGAGGAGGGCGCGAGTATGCGCTGAGGGAAACGCCGGAGAAAGTTCGTTGCTGACTGACTTGCTTGTATAGGACGAAGCCCAAGATCAAGACCTGGGAGCCGGTGGCAGCGCAGCGGGCATAGACGGCCCCTGGGGAAGGAAGACGGGAGGGTTACACACTTGTACATATGTATTCACCGGAATAGACGCTGGGTAACTGCAGCATCTTCCACTCGGGGCCGGACAGGACCCGACCAGCCGCCATCCCCGTGACCCCTCATCATCTTCACCGCTACCTCGGCCCTCAGACACGTGCCGTCACTTACTCATTCACTCATTCAGTCAACTAACTGCCCAGCCATGTATATTCGTTGCTACGCGATGATCTAGCATGCATCCAGCTCCTCTAAGAGTCGCAACAGAACGAAACAGAGAAGGCGAGAAAAAAAGAACGAGAGGTTGCCGGGACATATATACGCAAAATCAAATCATCAGTGAGCATCACCGCGCGTCTACTCTACTGCTGCCTACTGCCTACTGCCTGCTGCTACTGCCTACGACTCACTACTGCTGCTGCTGGGCCTTGCCCTCCACGGCCGTCTTCAGGGCTGTCATACAGCGTCAGTAAACGATTCACGCACGGCAAAGTCGCGACGACTGCGTTGCTTGGGGCACAGGTGGGGGGTATCAGGGGACGTACCTTCGCAGCTTGTCCGCGCGTCGCCAAAGAGCATCCTCGCGTTGGGCATGTAGAACATGGGGTTCGGGACGTCGGCTGTTCGGCTGGGGTCAGCACCGCGACCATCACGAATACTCACTCACTCATGCACACACAGTATGCTAAGCGGAGGAGGGAGGGGTGGACGGGAAAGAGACAACGTACCGTAGCCGCTCGACATGCCGCGCTTCATAATGACCACCTGCTTGCTCTTCCACGCGTGCAGCACGGGCATGCCCTCGATGGCGCTGCCCTTCTCCATGGCAATGGGATTGACCGTGTCATTCGCGCCAATCACGACCGTCAGGTCCGTGTCGGGAAAGTCGTCGTTGATCTCGTCCATCTCGAGGACAATGTCGTACGGGACGCTCGCCTCGGCGAGCAGCACGTTGCACTGGCCGGGCATGCGCCCCGCGACGGGGTGGATGGCGAAGCGCACCGTGATGCCGCGCGCGCGCAGCAGCTGCACGATGCTGGAGATGGCGTACTGCGCCTTGGCGACGGCCATGCCGTACCCGACCACGAGGATCACCGACTCGGCCTGCAGCAGCGCGTCGGCGAGGTCGTCGACCGACGTCTGCGTCACCTGGCCCTGCGGCTTGTACTCCTCCATCTGCTTGGGCGTCGAGAGCCCGCCGAACAGCACGTTGGTGAGGGACCGGTTCATGGCCACGCACATGATGTACGAGAGGATGGAGCCCGACACGCCGATGAGGGCCCCGACGGACGTGAGGAGCGGGTTGTCGAGCATGAAGCCCTCGGCGACCAGGGCGAAGCCGCTGTACGCGTTGAGGACGGTGATGACCACGGCTAGATGGATAATGGTCAGCGCATCGAGTGGCACGTATCAAGGCGGATGAGGCGACTCACGCATGTCTGCGCCGCCAATGGCTGCAGTGGTGGTGTAGCCCTTGACGAAGCTGAGAACCGTGTTGGCGGCCAGCGCCCCCGCGGCAATCATCGGGCTGCCGGGCGCCATGGTCAGGAACGCGCCCATGGTCGCGACGTTGGTGGCGACGAGGCCCGAGTTGATGAGGTGGCGGCCCGGGAGGATGGTGGGCCGAGACGACATGCGACCGGCCAGCTTGAGGAACGCGACAATGGAGCCCGTGAAAGTGATGCCACCTGAACAGTCAGCTAAAAGTCCATCTCAAATCGCGAGGCAGATCCTTACCAATGAGGACACCGAGATAGCCAGTCACCATGTGTAAAGTAGACAAGTTCGATACGTCTGCCATGACGCTGCCAATGCTGGTCAGCACGGCGGCGAGACCGACGACCGAGTGCAGCGCAGCGACAGTCTGCGGTAGATCCGTGGGGGTGATGCGCTTTCCGATCAGGAAGCCTATGTAGTCCGTCAGCACCGGGTCGCAACATCGCCATGGCCGATGAACGCACCTGCAAGAGCGCCAATGGTCGCCAGGCCGCCGAACTGGGCCAGGACCTCGGGCGAGAAGCCAGCGGCAAGCAAGCTCGCCAAGACGCCGGATCCGACGCCGAGGATGCCCAGCATGTTGCCCATGCGCGCCGTCGCCTGCGAGGCGAGGCCCGAGATGGAGCCAATGCAGAGGACGGAGCTGGCCAGGTATCCCGCCTGCACCAGGCCGGCGGCGCCAGTGGAAGCCGCAGCGATGAAGCCACCGCCAAATAACACGGCAGGGATGCCGTAAAGCCACGGGTACTCGGGAGGGTCGGTTGGTCCTGCTGTGCGTCAACACCCAGATCCCTCGAGAACGCCGGAATACCTACGCTTAAACATGTCCAGCATGCGCTTCGTAATGACAAAGCCACCTCCGACGTTGACAAACGCCAGCAACACGCTCAACGCTCCAAACAGCTGCGGCACCGTCTCGGGCAAGAAACCACCGCCGAGGATGAACAGTCCACCGACGCCGACCATGCCAGAAATAGCGTTTGTCACGCTCATCAGGGGCGAGTGCAGCGCAGGCACGACACCCCAGACGACGCGGTATCCGATCAAGCTGGCCAGCGCAAAGGTGAAGGCATTCGACATGAAGAGCGGCCCGGTAAACTTGCCGAGGGCCAGAACGCCACCCATGCCGGCCGAAATCGCAGTAACCTCGCGCGTCTTCTTCTGCCACGGCGTCAGGGCCACCGTCTCGACGACAGCTTCGGCAGCTGCTGGCTTGGCGGGGGCAGGCGGTGGCGCCGGTCGAGGGGCGGGCGGGAGGATGTCGCCATTCTGCGTCACGATGGAGCCGCGGACGACCTCGTCAGTCAGATCGATGCCGAATTCCTTTTCTTTGGGAGTCATGGAGAGCAGGAACTTGGTGATGTTGTTCGAATACAGCGTGGAGGACTGCGTGGGCAGACGGGACGGCAGGTCGGTATAGCCTACAGAGCATAAGTCTTGTGTCTTGCACATGCTCGGAAGACTTACCAATAATCTTGACATCGTTGTACACGGCAAGCTCCCCCTTCTTCGTCGCCTCGCAGTTACCGCCAGCCTCGGCAGCCAGATCAACAATGACGCTGCCGGGCTTCATGACGTCGAGCATGTCCATCTTGATGAGCTTGGGCGCGGGCTTTCCGGGAATGAGGGCCGTGGTGATGATGATGTCCACCTCTCTGGCCTGCTCCTTGAACAGTTTCATCTCGGCCTCGATGAATTCCTTGCTCATTTCCTTGGCGTAGCCTCCAGCACCGGAGCCATCTTCCTGGATCTCGACCTCGATGAACTCGGCGCCGAGAGACTGCACCTGCTCGCGCGCGGCGGGTCGCGTGTCGAAGCCGCGGACAATGGCACCCATGCGCCGGGCGGTGGCAATGGCACTCAGACCGGCGACGCCAGCGCCGATGATGAGAACCTTGCAGGGCGGGATCTTTCCGGCGGCAGTAACCTGGCCGGTCAGAAACCTGCCAAAGACATTGGAGGCCTCGAGCACGGCCTTGTATCCGGCAATGTTGGCCATGCTGCTGAGGGCGTCAAAGACCTGGGCACGAGAGATGCGGGGGATCATGTCCATGGCGAAGCAAGTGGCACCCCTGTCGGCAATCTTTTGGACCAAGTCCTTGTTCTGAGCGGGTTGGAGAAGCGATATGACGGTCTGCTTAGCCTTGATGGAGTCGACCTCGTCCAAGCTAGGGCCGCGGACCTTGAGAACGACGTTGGCGCCCGACCAGACGCCGGCAGCGCCATCGACGAGCGTTGCGCCGGCCTTTTCGTACGCCTCATCGTGGAACTCGGCAGCAGTGCCAGCCCCGCGCTGCACGAGGACCTTGCCAAAGCCCTTCTTGAGGAGCAGCGCGACATTGGCGGGCGTGAGGGCGACTCGGCGCTCCCCGGGAAAGACTTCCTTGGGGACACCGACGGTGAGCTGACCGTAGGGCGTCGTCGGGGGCACGACGGCCGTCGAGTACAGCTTCGGGGCCGGGGGCGGGGGCGTCGTCAGCACGGACGCATGACGCACGAGCGCAAGGGTCCTGGCCGCTGCGGGCACGAGGGCGCGGCGGCTCGCGCCAAGAGTGTTGTGCCATTGACGGCGGCTAGCAAGCGGCTTGAGGTCTGGAGCGGTCAGCCAGGCAACCTCCACGGTCAACAGGCGCAAGAAGGACTCGACGGGGCTTGGCGATGCAGTCTTGCGGGAGACAGGGCACAAACCTTGCAAAACACCACCGCGGCGCGCAATGCGACCAGGCGAGACGGACGAGGAGAAGCACAGCTCGGAGGCGAGCGGGCGCAGCAGGTTGGACGCCATTATCGCGCGGGGACAGTCATCTGCGGCAGTCTCTCACGGGGACCGAGGGAGCAGCTTCGGGTTTACGAGGGGGAGCGGCAGCGCGAGCGGGAGCGGTGGACGAGGGCGGCGTGCGAGCTCGGTGAGCTCGATGACTGACAGCTCCGATGGTCGGGATGGGGCGTGACAGGCCCCGAGAGCGAAGCCAAGGTGACGATGGCGGCGACGATGTGCTGAGCGCGTCGAGCAAGAAACGCAAAAGAAACAAAATAAAATAAAAAGAGGAGACAAATCTCGGTCCTCGGGGCGAGGAGTCTGCGAGGAGTGGAGGAGGAGGAGGAACTGGAGGGTGAGGGGAAGGGTTGTTGGCGCATCAGGAGACGCGACCAAGGACGACAGGCGACTCGGTGGTGGTCACTGGTCGCTGGTGGCTGGCCCGCGAGAGGCGAGGTACCTGTCTCGGAGCCGCAGGTACCTGGACGGGTGTCCATGGATGACGGTCTCACTCATCCGCCGCCGCCGTCCACCAACCATCCACACGAATATGGATGCTGTGCCTTGCCGACTCGGCGAAACGGACGGCCGCTCGCAGGGAACGACGCCCGCGCACGCATGCCGAGCAGGTCTTGTGCCTCGCCCGCCCGCATCATCCCCTAACCCTCGGGATCCCTGCGCGTGCATGCACTGCATGCGGTGGTGACATTGGGTTCTGCGCCGACGAGTCAGTGGGCAGACGAGTGGGCGCGGCTCAGGCGACAATGGGATTTCACGGCGGAGTTGCATCCATTTTCCATTGCAGCACAGCAGCGTCTCCATGGAACTGAACCTGCCCTCCAGGATCCCCTCGCTCTCCACCCGGACAGGTCTGGCGGCGGGAGTCGCGTCATGGGCAGTGAGTGCCAGGCCCACTGAAGAGACCCGACGACGAGAAGGGGAGGGGTAGCTCCCGCCAGACGTCAAGTCACTCGAGTGTCACCAGCCCAAGCGTGCAAGGCCCGCCCGCACGTCCCGGCGGTCCCCCAATGCCCACTGTCCCAATGCGCCCAGGGGACGGGGAGCCAGCTGGAGAGCTACGGCGGGCGATGCGGGGCTCCCGGCGCCGGGCCGACGCTAAAACCTGGGGGAGCGACAGGGAGTTGGAGGGGGATGGAAGCTGCGGGAGGAAGGAGGCTTCCAGGTTAGGTTGGAGGGGGAGGCGCTGGACGGCCGGACGGAGACGCGGGGGAGGGACACCTGACTGACTGACCCCCCCCGGGCCCACGTCGCACCACCAGATCGATGGTGGGTGATAATACGTTCCATGCGTTGGCGGCCAAGGCCAAGAGGCGACGGGAGCTGCCTGATTGAGCGGGGGACGGAACCTTGGGAGGCGCACCGGGCGGCAGCTGCGGGACGGACAAACCAGGGCAAGGACGGCAGGCAGACTGAGACAAGGTACAGCCACTGTTGAACGATGGAACGCTCTCCGTCTTCGATTCCAGATTCACGTCTGCTTACCCTGCAAAGGCACACATCAGGGCCCCTTTGGCAATCTCGCGCCTGCGATGGGCGACATGTTGCTGAGAACCCAGCCAATACATATCTATTTCTGGACGTGTAGCATACAACCGTAAGGAGAGCGAGGACCTGGGCGACAACCACTCGGCACAGCGCGGGGGCACGCAAAGAACCAGTCTGCGATCTAAGCAGTCTACACGGAGCTTTCATTACCTCATGGATCTCTTCATCTGCATCAATACCTAACCACCCAACTAGCCCCCCGCAAACACCCACTCGAGCCCACCAACAGCCACGCCCAAACTTGCCCGAACGATGACGACCACGCACTCAGCTCACTTTGCCTTGCAGCTCCCCGCGTGGCACGGCTTGTCGCACCGCCCGCGGTAGTCGGGCCCCACGACGAGGCACTTGTCGCAGCCGCACAACAGGTGCAGCTTGTTGCCCTCGCGCGCGTTGGCGTCGTCGCAGAGGCACAGGTACAGCGCCGACCGCACGTCCGTCCCCGGCGAGCCGCTGGCGCACGCCGCGTCGGGCGTCTTGCAGTACGCCTCGGCCAGCTGCTTCTCGCTCCAGGGCTTCTCTGCACCGTGGGGCCAATGCCGTCAGCCAGCTGCCGTGTCTTCGATGCCACGAACCTCAGGAGCAATAACTACGGCAAGGGGGACATGGAGGAAGGGGTTCACAAGGAAAAGGGGGCCGCTTACTCATGCCCATGAGCACAGAGGCGCAGTACGTGTAGCCGCACTCGCAGATGGGGCCGGGGGGACCGCCGCCTCCGGTCTGGGCCGGCACCGGGGGCTGGGTCTTGGCCGTGGGGGTGCCGGGGGGGCCGGAGACGGGAGGCGGTGCGGGGACGGCCGGCGTTTGGGCCTGCGGTCGGGTCAAGCCCAGAGCCATGGCGGTCGCGGCGAGAAGCAGCAGGACGAACTTCATGATGTTGACGGTCTGCGGTTGAGATCAATACACAGACAAAGGCGTAAAGTGGTGTCGAGGGAGTGAAGAAGAGAGGAAGACGGGAGGAGAGGCAAGATGATCTTTATACTGTCCGGAATGAACCTGTCATGATGATGGGTAAGCCGTCTCCATCGTTCCACGGACTAGGCAGTGACGCGCTGCTCATCATGGCGTGAGCTGGCCCAGAGCTGGTCCAGAGCTGGGACTGGGCCGAGCGAGGACGTGGTACGAGCACCGGCTCGTCATGCCAAACCTGTAGCCATGAACGGGTATTGTTTGCTCAGATTGTGGCATGTAGTCGACGACAGGACGGATGACACTACCGGGAGCACGAGCGCAAGTGCCCAAAGAAGATGCCGACTCCTACGAATGCGTCTCGCACGAACGGCAGAACATGACCTGCAAACTTGGTTGTGGAGATCAGGCACAGAGCCGTAATCGCCACAGCTGATATGAAACTCCAGGACACGGTTGCGGGTGCTGGCGACTACGGTCAGGTCGTTATCATCGCAAGTTCGCAGCTCGCTATGGTCTGTGACGCTGTATTACTTATTGAGAGTGTACTCCGTTCCGCTACGCGCTCAGATGTCAGGCTGTAATAGTTCCAGTCATGCAATTGGAGTAGCTACAAGGCCAGCCTCAGCCCCCCTGAATTGTTATGCAAATGAGACGAATTGCTGCCTGATGGTGTAGACTATTTCACGAAGTTGTCAGACAACTCAGACCGGGGCACCAGACAAGCCTGCGTGCGAATTGACCAAGACACTGTATCGCACACGGTGCAACCCCACCATGGCCACTCTGCACAACCGTTTCGGCCGAGCATTTGCTGCCCCTCCTTCGCATCACCGACGACAACCTCCAGCCCTTGCTTGCTCTGCCTTCCCGCGAGGCACACACGCCATCTCAGGAGCAGCAGCAACAGCAGCAGCACACGCCCCCGGCAGCATGGCCGACACACAGGACGCGGCCGCCGCGGCCCCCACCAAGGCCAACACCTTTGTCGTCGGCACGCGCAAGTCGCCCCTCGCCATGGCCCAGGCCGAAATCGTCGTCGCCAGCCTGCAGGCCATGTTCCCCGACCACTCGTTCCCCATCCACGGCATGACGACGACGGGCGACCGCGACCAGAACACGGCGCTGTACAACTTTGGCGGCAAGGGCCTGTGGACGTCGCAGCTCGAGGACAAGCTCGCCGCGCGCGAGCTCGACCTCGTCGTCCACTCCCTCAAGGACATGCCCACGACGCTGCCCGACGGGTGCGCCCTCGGCGCCGTCACCAAGCGCGAGGACGCCCGCGACGTGCTCGTCATCAAGCGCGCGCACGTCGACGCCCACGGCTGGCGCTCCATCGCCGACCTCCCCGCCGGCAGCGTCATCGGCACCAGCAGCGTGCGCCGCATCGCCCAGCTGGCGCGCCGCTACCCGGACCTCAAGTTCAAGGACGTGCGCGGCAACCTGCAGACGCGCCTCGAGAAGCTGCGCACCGACGACGAGATGACCGCCATTGTGCTCGCCGCCGCGGGCCTGCAGCGCATCGGCCTGGGGCACCACATCTCACAGTTTCTCGACACCGACGGGGGCGGCATCATGCACGCCGTCGGCCAGGGCGCCCTGGGCGTCGAATGCCGCGCCGGGGACGAGCGCGTGCTGGAACTGCTGCGCGGGCTCGAGGACGGGGAGACGGCCTTGGCGTGCGCGACGGAGCGCAGCCTCATGCGCACGCTGGAGGGTGGGTGCAGCGTACCCATCGGCGTAGAGACGCGCTGGGTTGAGGGCGGCAAGCTGCGGCTGCGGGCCACGGTGGTGTCGGCCGACGGCAAGCAGGGCGTCGACGCCGAGGTGACGGAGGCGGTGGGCTCGCTCGAGGCCGCCGAGGAGCTGGGCAAGCGGGTGGCGCTCGACCTGGTGAGCCGCGGGGCAGACAAGATCCTGGACGTCATCAATGCGAAGCGGCCGCTGGAAAAGGCGGCGTGAGGCTTGGGAAGTGGCACAGTTGAGGGACAAGAATGACGCTCTACGACGGTCGCATGCGAGCTATGACCTGTACTCTATAGATGACCCCAAAAGCACGATTTTTATACCGGCTCTGGTGGGTGACGCATGCTACTGTCAATGTCTCCGAGGCCGGCAAGGGCAATGGGCCGCGCCAAATTTCCATTGCGAGCAGTCGAGGGCAGTGTTCCTGTCAACACAGCGAGAGACCATGTCCAAGTCCCGTCACAGCAGCGAGCAATGTCAAATCACCAACACGTCAATCCAAAACCACTGGCATCGTTCGCCTCGAGTCCCTATGTTAAAAAAAATCGAGCCACCACGTATGGTACACGGGATATGTATGTATGTGTTTGCAATGCCTGTTGCTCCCCGCCAGGTTGAACTGCCTGCCCTCCTCTCGCACGCGCGCCCGAGCCACGGACGCCCTCCACAGCTGTCCAAAGATTTTTGCGTCTCTCCTTGCGTGAGAGTGTAGGTGTGTGTGTGTCTCTCTTCCACTACACGATCTACCCCAAAACACGACGAAAACAACAACGACACCACCCGCACCAGTCTATAAAAGTCGAGTCTCCGCTTCCGAGGTTAATAGAGCTTTGTCTACTCCTCGATGAAGGCCTTGTAGGCCTCGGCGTCCATCAGCTCGTCGACCTGCTTGGCGCCCTCCTCGTCGACCTCGACGCGGACGATCCAGCCGCCGCCGTTGCTGTCGTCCTCGGGGACCTGGTTGATGGTGGCGGGCTTCTCCTCGAGCAGCTGGTTGGCGGCGACGACCTTGCAGCGCACGGGGGCGTTGATGTCGGAGGCGCTCTTGACCGACTCGACGGCGCCGATGGCGTCGCCCTGGTCGACGAAGTCGGAGGCCGGCGCCTCGGGCAGCTCCACGTAGACGACGTCGCCGAGCTGCTCGGCCGCGTACGTCGAGATGCCGATGACGCCCGTCTTGCGGTCGGCAGACAGGTCGACCCACTCGTGGTCCTTGGTGTACTTGCGGATGAGGCCTGCGCGATTGAGTCACAACTCGGTTAGCGATTCAGTGTTCTCTGCATAGTGAGGAACGAAGCACAGCCGGCCCGAAGGCAAGGGCATGGCCTAGAAGAACGGAGCAGGGCGGCGCGAGCGAGCGGGCGGCGCGGGCAAAACGTACTCATGCGAGAGGTGGTGAAGCGGCGGAACGACGGCGCAGCCGCGGCGGCGCGGGGAGCAGCCAGGCGCATGGCGGGCCGGGCGGCCGCGCGCAGGGACGAGCAGACAATCGAGGCCATTGCGAAGAGCTGTGAGAAAGAGCGGAGAGGAGAGGAGAGAGGGCGGCGAGTTGTGACGGGTTTTGGCGGAGGAATTGGTGACGGGAGGATTTGATCGTGAGCGGGTGGAAAGGGAAGGAGGGAAAGAAGTGGCACGGACAGGAGGAAATCGGGTAGCGTGAGGTAAAGTTGGAGCATGGATGGATGCAACAGCCGTGCCAGGCCGCCGCCCCCCGACGTCCGGCTCTCACCGTCGTGGGTAGGTTGGATTTCGGCGCCAGGGCGCGCGCGCATGCGGGGGCGGCGATGGCGGCCGCGGCGGCAGCGGCAGCGCTTCCACCTCTGGGGCCTTCCAGAGCGCAGCGCAGCGCAGCGCAGCGCGGAATTGGCGGGGAGCGCTGATGACTAAGGCGGCTGCTCGCTGCAAACGGGCACTGGCTGGGGGGCTGCCACAGCGGCCTCAAGCCCTGGAACACCTCCAGGCAGTTGCCTGTCGCCTGTCACTGTGAGGTAAGGTGGAATCCATCAGCCAACCGACCGCCTGATCGAATCCCATCCATCCCAACCCTCGGACCGAAGTGGAGAACGGGCGGACCGCGCTGGCGGGCCAATGGGCGCATTCGAAACATAATAGCTGCCGGCCGGCCTAGCACTCAAGAGGATGGAGGTACGTAAAGGGAACCCGCGAGCCCGTCGTCGGGAGCCGTTCCAAGGGAGGATGATTGGGGAACCTGGCGGACGGGACGAGAGACGGGTGCGGGGAGGGGGGTTTCCATCTGGTAATGGCTGGGTAATAAGTACTGCACTTTGCTGTTCGAATGGCGAAATAGGGGAACGGAAGAGCTATGTGTACTTCGTATCGGTGGGCGCTGGTGGGAGGTGGTTGACGCTGCTGGCGGGCGGCTCCCGATGTCGGGGCTGCTACATAATACGCTGGGACGATTGCCTCGTCAAACACCCGACAACGCGGTGCTGGACATTGGCACTGATTGCTTGCATGGCGGATTCTATCGTCTCCAGCCCGGCTTTCATTTCATAACATGATGCATCCGGCGCCGCCTCGAGGTGTATCTCGTTGAAGCCGCGCGGTAACGCTCATTGCCCGTGCCAACTGGCGATGCTCACCACGTCACATGTGCGTCATGTCTTGAGGGCTTCAATTGATGCTTCACCCGGCAGTCTGTGGTCCTGGGCACCTCCACGTCAACGACGGGTTTGAGGCGGATGCACAGCCTTGCCTTGCGCGACCGCCTGTTTGCGCCGAGTTGGTCAATCAGCTCTCTCCCCCAATGGCATCAATCTGCCGAGGCGGCCAGCGCCGGGTCGACGTCAAAAGTGCGTGTCACGTCACGTCGCGTCACGGCGCAGGGCAACGTCGTTGCTGTGCCTAAAGGGCCACAAAGCAAGCACAGATGGTGGACGACGTGCTACAAGGCCGCAGAGCAGCGCAAACAGGTTCAGGACACACAGATTGGGGGAAGCAATTTGGAGTTGCATGGCAATGCTGCAGGGCAGAGTCAAGCGAGAATCTCGGCTCCTGAGCCGCGCCACGAAACAGCCATTGCCCCCATGGCCGATTGCCTGCCCAGCTCTTGTCGCGCTCGTTCGCGGTGTGGAGACGGGGCAAGTTTGATGGGTGGTTCGTGGAGGCATCAATCGGGTTGGGCATGTTTATCAGCTCAGCTCTTAATCAGCCCAGCCCAGCTCAGCTCGTCACGTCACGTCACTTTAGTGAGGTGAGTGACGGGAGTGCGCTGTTCCACTGCGTGGGCGCTAACGGCACCGCCACAGGGGGTCGCTGCTCGCTGGCCCGACCACTGACGACGCCGCCAGCAGACGCGACCACCTCCCAAGCCCAGTCGCGTGCCTGGCGGGCTTTGGGAAAATCCGATCCGCACGGTTCGAGGGGCGCCGCGAGTTAGACGCCAGCTTGGCCCGCTGGCAGCAGCGCTGGCAGCTGGTTGGATCCCCACCTGAACGCTAAAGCTGCTGTGCCTGCTGCCCTGGCGCCACGACCTACCGACCGACAGACACCTCGCCTTGCCTTGGGCCTCGCTTCATCCACCCGCCCGCCCGTCGACCTCACCCGCGAGACACTCAACCAGCATTCCAGTCCATCATCCATTTCACGGCCGACGTCACGAAACACATCACCGCTTCTCCTCGTCTTCGTGGTGGGGCTCAGCTTGCATCTGCCCGGCCTCGACTCCCGTCCGCTCCGCACCGTAATCGCCGTCCACCACGCCGCCGCCGCCGCCGCCGCCATCGTCCGCCCACGCTCCACCACCCACTCGTCACGTCGTTTCCCCCTCGATGCGTCAGCACAGCTGAAGCCCGCACCGCACCACACCGTACCGCAAACCCCCCCGCGACACGCTCCTCCTCGCCTGCTCCCCCGACACGCGCACCACAGACACCGAGGCTCTGGCCTCGCCGTGCTTCAATCTGGACCTCCCGACCGAGCCCGCGGCCCCTCCTCCCGAGCAGCTCCACGACCCCGCCGCAGTCGACGCCATGGACGCAGATCAACAGCAGCTTCCACCGCTGCCGCAGCAGCAGCAGCCCGAGCAGCTGCCGGCCGACCAGGACCAGCTCCCGCCGCCCGCCCCGTCACAGGACGTGCCCGACGACACCCTGGGCGGCCTCGACGGCTCGCCGCATCCACAGACGGCCCCGGGCTTCCCCTTCCACCACCAGAGCCAGTCCCTCGACCAGGGCGTGCCCAGCAGCCCGCGGCAACACGACGATGACCCCGCGTCCAGATACACGCCGCCCGTCTCGAGCGCCACCTCGCACTCACGGCCCGCGAGCCGCATGTCGAACCCTTCCAACGCGTCCAACTCGAACCCCCCTCCGCCCCAGTCTCACGCCGGCGACCACCGGCAGGGCTCCAACGAGCCTCCCAACGGCCGCAACCACGTCGTCATCAAGGTCGGCATGGTTGGCGACGCGCAGATCGGCAAGACGTCCCTCATGGTCAAGTACGTCGAGGGCAGCTGGGACGAGGACTATATCCAGACGCTCGGCGTCAACTTTATGGAGAAGACCATCTCTATCCGCAATACAGAAATCACGTTCTCCATATGGGACCTCGGCGGCCAGCGCGAGTTTGTCAACATGCTGCCACTCGTCTGCAACGACGCCGTCGCCATCCTCTTCATGTTCGACTTGACGCGCAAGAGCACTCTCAACAGCATCAAGGAGTGGTACCGCCAGGGCCGCGGCTTCAACAAGACGGCCATCCCCATCCTCGTCGGCACAAAGTACGACCACTTTGTCAACTTTCCGCTGCAGGACCAGGAGGAGATTTCGAACCAGGTGGGCCCCTCTGCTGTTGGAGTCACTGGAATGCTGCTGACGGCATTCATCAGGCGAGGCGCTTCGCCAAGGCCATGCGCGCGTCCCTCATTTTCTCGAGCACGAGCCACAGCATCAACGTGCAAAAGGTGGGCCACCCCTAGCCGCCCTTGTTTCATCGTATGCAAGCTGACGCCCGCGGCAGATCTTCAAGATTGTGCTGTCCAAGGCATTCGACCTCAAGTGCACGATTCCCGAGATTGAAAACGTCGGCGAGCCGCTTCTGCTGTATCAGTCCGTTTGATACCTCCAACCATCCGTCCGCGAGCGAGTACGATCATACAGACGAGTACCATCTTAAACCAGTGGTGCAACTTTACCGACCACCCGACGACAAAAGGAGGGGGGGGGGTGGTTGCCCCTGACCCATCGTGCTTGCAGGCTCTGCTTTTAGCTGCCCGTCTGCCGGCGCCCAGTATTGCATAATCACGATGGCCGAGATCATGGCCGTGGATGGCCGATTGAGCGGCGATGAGAGGAAAACCCATGTTGAACTCCTGTAACCCTACGCTCGCGTCTGTTTTATTTTCTTTGTCTTTGTTGATGCTTGCCAGCCGCCGGCCTATCTCTCCTTCAGGCACGGCGAACAGGCAGGCCGCTAACCGTATAGAAGAAACGACGCGCACGGATGCTGCGCCGGCCGGAGAAGGAAAAACGAGATGGCAACTACTCGTGCGAGCCGCGATGGGGGCGCGCGCGCAGAGACGAGGGAGCGGGCCCGAAGAGTAGATCTCTGCGCATTCGCATTCGCCGGGTTGGATTTTGGGCTGGCCCAGGGGCAACAAAACGGTTCCTCGGTGTTTTCTGCCATCTTTTTCTTCTTGCCTTGTCTTGTCCTGTGTCGTCTCGTCTCGTCTCGAGTCGCTATCGTGTCTTGATAATAGCATGCATTGTACTTTTTTTGAACTAGGGGAGGGCAGGAGCTGGGGGAGACATTGCGGGAGAGAGGGAGAACGGCGTCATTCGCGCACGGGACGGCTCGGGGAGCAAGGAAGGAAAAGGGTGGAATGGAAGGAACGTGTAATGGGACATGCGCCAGGCAGCCCAGACAGCCGCCAGTCGAGCACCAAAAGAATAAGAAGACGACGAAAGCACGCGAGATGGAGAGGCGTGAGTGGTGATGTTATGGCGATGCTGTGATGGATCAGGTCGGCTCTCCGGCGTTTGCGCTCAAAAGCAACCCGATGGCTGATGATCTTGTGACCACTTGTGCTCCCAGCCTCGGGATTTGCGTCCTGCAATATGGTATCAAGTAGGTGTGCTTGAGCGATGAGAGGCAAGGCAACGCAAGCAAACACAACGCAGGAATGGGAGTAGCGAGCGTGGCGTTACCGTTGCCCTTGCTCTGCGTTGAAGCCATGCCCGGCACGACGCTCGTGGCATGTCTCTTGCGGTGACTTACATGTATGTTTTCCTCTGCCACCGCAAGATGAGATACCTGGCTAAGGTAAAGGTAGTAGGTAAGGTAGGTAGGCTCGTATATACGGCGAGGTAGATAGATGGACGTCTAGACGGAAAAGGCAGACGGGCCAGCGGCGCGGTAGGTGAGGCAAGATAGGCATTCGAGGGTCAACACCTACCATATCATCCGGCTCGTCGATGAACCGTCCTGTTGGCCAGGCTGCGAGCCAGGCAGCCAGCAAGGGCCGTACGTGGGTAGTTGACGATAGTTCGCCGCCCCTGCCGCCGCCCGGTGTGCAGATGGAGAGATAGATACCCTCAGTAGGTACGCACGCGGATAACAGGAGAGGGGACCGTACGCCCCTTGGCTTGGCTTGGCTTGCCTCCCCTCTCCTCACACCATCTCGCACCCGTGGGCCTAAGTCCATCTCAGAGTGCCACCGGCATGCATCATCCCCACCCTCATCCTCATCTACTTGACCATGGCCCGCCCCGCCGTGGTCCCGTGTTCTGCCCAGGACAAAACGCCCCCCAAGGCCCGTACGTGCCGTGCGCCTGCGTAGTCTATGCATCGACTACCTACCTTGTTGGGAAGCAAGATGTGTTCGACCTCACTGCATCACGGCAGTGACGGGCACCAGAGGAAGGCAGCAGCACACTTGAGGCACGAATAAAGTGTCCGAACCTGGATGGGCGCTCTCGTAACTTTCACAGCACGCCATCCATCTCTCGTGAGGGAGGGAGTGAGTGGGCGAGTGAGTGAGTGAGTGAGTGCCTCACCAAGCCCAGTTACGGGCCATACGAGTTCCGGGCCCTACCTAACTTACAAGGCACCCTTCAGTCAGTCGGTGGCAGGCAGGTGCCAGTTTCCATCAGGCGTGTCGTCCAATCCGCTCGCACCACACACATCCTTCTCCTCCTCCTCCTTGTCCTGCTCCGCAACTCAGATCTCACTCGGATGATAGATCTAGCAGCCCACCCACCCGCCGGCAATAGTAAGAATAGCAGCAGCAGCCAGCAGCAGCAGCGGCACCAGCAGCACCAGGAGCAGCAGCGGCAGCTCCCCTCACGCACGCACCGCACCGCACCGGAACCTTCGGATGCATCTCGCATCTCGCATCTCGCATCTCGCATCCCGCATCCCCTCCCCTCCCTCCCTCCACCTTGGCTCGCCCCGAATCCCCCGATCTGCCCGCCCCAGGGGAGGCGGCGGGGGCTGCAGCAGCACACATCCACTCCACGCCGCCGCGAACCAATCCCCAGCAGCCCTCCCCGTCGTGCCCACCAATGGCCTCACGAGCCAAATCTCACGCATCCCATCCCATCCATTCACAGATCCTGGGCCGCGGCGGGCGCCATTTTGGCCCCCGCTCGTGCAGGAACAGCCGCGCGACGGCGTCAGCACCCTAAAAACTAACCTCTTGTCCTCGTCGCCAATGGCATCACACCGATTTGGGCGTGCTCTTGCAGACGTCACCGTCACATGAAGAGCACGCGGCACGACAAAGTATATACCTCCAGACATCACAGTGCCAAGCACCACCAGAAGGCCGCGTCGAGGCGCAACAGATATTAACTTTGATTGTCTCGGGCCGCGTGGCCGCGTCTGTACATACGTACGAGCTGTAGCTGCGGGCTCCGTCCGGGCGGATCCCCCGGGCCCAGCTCGTCTTGCAGTAGTAGTAAAGTGAAGTGCGTGCACCTGCCCTCTGTGTCTAGATGGACGCCGCATCTATTGCTCTCGCCATAGCCATGGCCTTGCCCCCCGATGCCATCGAACCCGGCCGTACAAAGATATGAAATATGATGCATTAATATCCCTCGCGCGTGCGCAACGACAGATGATCCGTCCCGCCTCCGCCTCGACGTCCAACGTCTTGTGTAACGAACGAAAAGCCAAGCTAAACTCCAAACGCCAGGCTGTGCTTGTTTGTGTTGTCATGTCGGTCCGCCGTGTCGGCAGCCGCCATGTTGCCCATAGTGTCGACGCGAGCAAGAGCTCTATGTACATGGGTCTTTCAAATCTGCTCCGTGATTAAACGGGCGTTGTAGAAACAATAGTCTGGTCGAGCCGTAGCTGCCATCGTCTAGTTCTGCTTGTTCTTGTCGCCCCAGATGGGCGCGCCCAGGGGCTTGCTGACGCCAAAGCCAATGGCCACGGCGGCGCCGACGACGAGCAGCACCAGCAGGACCTTGACGGCGATGCGGTTGCGGCGGCTGAGGCGGGCCATGCACTTGCAGCCGCGCTGCTTCTTGGCCGCCTTGGCCCGCTGCTTCCACTGGTCCTGGCCGGGCCAGACCTGGCAGTCGTTCTTGCGCGTCAGCACCACGCTCGAGCGCAGGCACTTGTCCGACGACGAGTTGGTCACCATGGCCTCAACGTCCGTGTCGAACGGGTTGACGTTTTCCGACCGGGGCGTCGTCTGGCCGCTGTACGACGGCGTCTTGTCGAGGGCCGTCGGGCACGCCGTCGTCACGTTGGAGATGGCCACCGTCTTTTCGGGGACGGCCGTGTCTGTAACTGCCGTGTCGATGTGGAGGCCTGCCTGAGGAGTCTTCTTTTCGTCGAGCGTCGCCATGTTGATAGACGTCGACATGGTTTCGTGGGAGGATCGGGGTGTGTTGTTGGCGAGGGGTTGCCTGCTGGGCGGTGTCGACACTTGAGCGGCTGCCGAGCCACGTCAGGAGTGTCTGATCCGACTGAGCAAGGCTCGCGGCTAATTGGATGCAGTTGGTTCTGCGCAGGGGAGGAGAGTCAGCGCGGACTGCGATATCACGGGCGGCGGGCTTCGTAAGCCGTCGTAGAGCCGTCAATGAAGCAGAGATGCAGGTGATGAGTTTGCTGGGCTCCTCGCCATTCAATCGAGCCCAGTCGTAGGTAGGGGCCAAGAGTAGGTACGTACCCGCTGTGACGCAGCCTGCGGCGAAGCAACGAGAATCGATCGTACGTGCCTTGCCTCGAGCGAGCGGCGATAAAGGGGATTGAACCGGGCGACAAAGAGCAGGGCGGATCGCACCAGTTGTCGGGATGATAAACAAGGACCAAGTGTCCACGCTCGACAGCTGCACCGGTCGGCGGGCAATGTCTGGCACGGTCGGTGAGTGTGGAGGGTCAGGTGGTGAGGGATCAGCGGCGCAGCATTGCTGAGGTACGAGTCGCAGCAGGTAGGTAGGGAGCCAGGCCAACCGACGGGGGCGAGTCGAACGAAAGCGGAAGGAAAAGGGGTGGGGAGGGGGGGTGTCTGGGTTTTTGTCGAGAGGCGACGGGCACCGGTGACAAGAGACGAGAGAGGCAGAGTGTTGAAACGTCAATGCCTTGCCGCGATGAAGCGTGGATGATTCTCCTTCAAAGGAGGAGGACAGGAGAGGGAGAAAGAGGGATGGATGAAAGTGCGAAGCGGGCCTCTGATACGGTACAGATTGCACGGAGTACAGTCCCGGCAGAGATGTCACGTCAAGACCAACCTCGGAAGGGAGGGAGGCGAGAGACCAGGGCAGCCAGATTGATGAGGCACGACGACGAGGAGGTGCTCAGTGGAGGACAAGGAGGAGGAGGACCAGGAGGCCTTGCACGGGACATTGCGCTGGGGCATGCGACAAGGGCCGCGCGAGGTACCTGGATACTGCCGCCCGCACCTCTTGGCCCAAGGTTCAAAGACCGCTGCAGGCGGGCCAGAAGCTGCCAGGGCCGCCTGCTAGGGTGCTGAGCTAGGGGACAAGTCAAGGTGATGGGGCCCTGAGGTGGTGATGGGATGGAGGTGGGGGGCGCACCTGGCAGGCCGGGATTGGATGCAGCCAGGGACGCATGGGCGGGAGATTGGCTGGATGCGGCGGGCGGCCCAGACGCTTGGGCCAACACGCACAGATTCATGGATTCATGGATTGCGGCCAGCCCAGCATGGATGCATCTTTGAGCACCACCACCATCTCTCGTCAGTAGGTATCAGTTAGCGGGAGGGCACGATGGGGGCCGCGGCGGCAGCCACTGAAGCCATTGCGGCGGCGCCACCGACAGGGTGAGTTGAAGGCGCACGGAGATGCAGCACCTCGTTCGATGGCCTCGCGGACTGCTCCCCGCAGCAGGGCCCGCCCGCCCAAGCCACCGCAGGATGGACCCTCCAGAGCACAGCACAGCACAGCACAGCAGCACAGCACTGGCCAGCCCAGCCGAGCCCACCTGGACAGTGGAGCACGCCCGGGCCCAGCGAGGTCGCGGGCCGGTGCTGGGCCCTCTTGGCCCTCCACTCCACCCACTGCAGCGGCCGCTGCCCTGCAAGCTCCCACAGCATGGAACCTGGAAACAGCAAGGTTCAGTTCACCAAGGTGCACGCCAAGCCAAGCATCCCAAGGTGCCTGCGGGTGCCTCCATCCATTTCATCGGGGGCGAGCGCCAGGCGCACAAAATGTCAACCACCAGGCACCTCGCCCAATCGAGCATGTAAATGTGACCCCGCCCGTCCGCTAGACCGCTGCGCTACTGGCAATGTAGCGAAGACTGTGGTTCCTTTGCACCACCACAGTTTGCATCGCATCGCATCGCAGCCAGTGTCGACGATGTGGTGACAGCGAGTCAAGGACCCGCCCCAAGCCCGTTCGTGGGCGCCAGTGATCCGGACCGTCGGTGGCGGTGCGGGAGGGGGCCAGAGAGGCCCAGGCCTGCGCAACGGTGTGTCCGCCGTAGGTAGTCGTCGTAGTGCAGATAGACAGACTCCAACGCCGTCCTATCGCCTCCGTTGAACAAACGGGCGTCGACATCGGCTGCTGCGTCCGTCCGTCTGCTGCTTGCCGAGCACATCGCATCGCATCGCATCGCAGCCCATCGGAGGCCATTGACCCAACAACGCCGCATCGTCGGCAGTCGCCGTGACAACTGCCTCTCTCGATGTCTTCGAGGGCAAAGACTTGACTTGATGCGGAGGTGCTGCATTCCAACCGCCCGTAGCATCAACAGCCACCCGCCGGGACACGCCGCCGGCGGTGACGTTGCGACGCCTCGCACAGAAAAGTACGGTGCTCGTCTCCGTCCACTGCAGTGACTTTTGTTCCGAACCTGCACCCTGTCCTCCCAAGAGGGGTTGAGCACCTTGTGCACGGCAATTGCCCCCAAACGGCGCGCGAGTAAGGCACGAGTCACGGCGGCGCTCGAGGCGCCCAACGCTTCCAGGTTGCCCTGCCCCGGCTCAATTCCCACGCGGCACGTCACCGTGTGGTATTATGTACCATTGGGCCATTGGGTCTGTGTCGCCGTTTTGATGGCAGCCGCTGCGCCAAGCGACACACACCACCATGGCATGACGCCGCCTTGGCATTCTGCGCTGCGCTTCGTACTCCACGAGTCTATGTGCTGCGACACTCACACGGCCCTCGTATCGTGTCCCGCCTCGAGTGTCTTCGTTTTCGCTTGGCGCAATTGTCGGCAAGCCATCAGCCGTGATCCCCATCTGCCTGCTGACGAGATGGGCCTCGGGTGATCACCGCGTCGTTTCGTCGTCGTCGAGATTAAGATCTGGCACACCCCCGACTTCAGTCGCCGTCGCTAATCAGGAACGGCGTCGCCCGCCCCTGCTCGAGTCGAGGCCGCAGTTTGATGAGGATGCGAGCGTGGGGCAGTCTGCGTCTGAGGTGCATCTGCGTGCATTGCACTTGCAACGAACGACCAACGGTGGCGACGGCGGCGGCGCCCAACAGAATGGCTGCTAGCCACCAAAACGGGCAAGCAAGGGGCCAGCCAGGCGTCGTTGGGCCGGGTGCGCTTTGTCTGTCACACAGCACGCAGCACACGGTTCCTCGTGCTCGGGTACGCAGACGTTGTCTGCAGGCAGGGCAGGGTTCGTTAGGTCATACTCGTAATACTTTGCAATCGGGTGCACTCTTGCCTCGCGTGTGGCCGCCGCCACATCCCGAAGGCGACCTGCCGCCGCGGTGTCGCCGTCGAGTCCCAGTGCGGAAGGAGGATGAGGCATCGCGGCTCGACGCCGCGTCGTGTGCTTGCGCTGCTGTCGAGGAGCCCGCTGCTTGCTGGCCGTTGCTTCCAATGGTCGCATCTGGTCGTGCCATGGCGTCGTGAACCCAGGCGAGATGACGATGGGCGGGGCGGACAATGGATGCTGTGTCGAGACGTTCCGCTGGATTGGCCAAGGGTGAGCAGTGTCAGGTGCTGCCCGCCCGTGGTGGTGCTGGTGGGCCTTGGAGAGCCTGAAGAAATCCCATCCGGCGGGCACCACCCAGACGGCACCCCGACAGGCACCCCGACAGGCACCCCGACAGGCAAACCCGCAGCCGGGGGCACCACCTCAGCGGTCATTGAACCCACTGGGCTCGTCAATTGGCGACTCGCGTCGACGCCGACAGCCGCCGCCACCCACCCGCTCGCTCGTCGAGGCCCACCTCAATCATCACCGCCAAACCCACTGCGGCTTGCACCACCGCGATACCCAGATAGGCAAACATCATCCGGCCCCAGGAACAAAGACATACTGCCTGATGTGTGTGCGTCCGCCACCAGGCCCAGGTGCATCTGGGCCCTCGACGATGATTGCCTCGATGCGACCCGGGTGCGCTGAGCACGCACGCTGATCCGCGCCAGTCGCGGCCCGGCCTTGCGATGCGGCCCCGTTCGTCCTCGGCTCGGCCACTGACGCTCGACGCTTGACGCTCGACTCTCGATGCGCGATGGGAAGAGGCAGGCTCAACTCGATGGTGCCTCAGGCGGGGACATCATTGCTCAACGGGAAGAGGCAGGTCCTGCTCAATGATGCTTTGGAGTAGGCATGAGCCCGCTCGAGGAAATGCTTTCCATGCCGATGGCGGATTGAGTGTCGGCCTGCCGCTCGGAGAAGGAGAAGCAAGGCTCGCCGCAGGTACTGGAAAGAATATCCAAGTCGATTGTGGGAACGAGGCGATTTTGTTACTCGCTCGACAAGCTCGTGTGCCGGCGGCTTGCCTACAACGGGGACCATCATCTACAAGGAAATGCAGCGGCAAGCTTGAAACTTGCTCACCCAGGAGCTGATGAGCTCCTTGCCTCTTGCCCTCGAATGGATTCGCACCAGGTCCCATGGCAACATTGTCGCAAGAAGTCGTCCGCAGCATCTTGCCTATACGGCGGGACCACCCACAGAGGAAGTCACGATGGCATCAAGTCGCTCTTGCCTCGTCTAAACACACAGCCCGCCGAACGCGCCCCCAACTGCCCGACTTCTCAAATTCCCAACTTCCCAACTGCCCTGGGCTCCGCCTGCGTCCTGCAGACACATCGTCTCTGCCCCGTCTTTGCTCTCTTCCGCCGCTGTCCCATTCTACTTTCGTCTCGTCTCGTCTTTCTCTTCTCCAGCATCTCTAGACCCAACATCTCTGCGTCTGCATCCTTTCGCTTCCGAGGGCTCTCTGGCTGGCCACCCACACTCGCTCCATCACGAGGCGTCTGCCCTCTAGCCTTGAACGCTTGACCACATCGCCCCAACGAGCCTCCGCCATCCGCGGAAACAGAAACCCTTACTCGGCGACGCTCTGCTCCCTCCGCCCCGGCAAACGGCATCCTTTCCGGGGCCATCCTCCGAGTATGGCTCGCCAGGAATCCCTTCACTGGACAGCGGACCCCCGGTTCTCCTACCTGAGGAACCCTCCTTCCTGGCACCACCGCCAGACCACCTTCTATTTGAAGGCCCCGTCGGCAAGGATGGACAAACACTCCGCAAGCGAACGCCACAGCCAGTGGCAGTGGCAAGGCTCTGATAGAGCCCGTGATGGCTTTTCACCAATGCTCGCCGAGTCTTTTTGCATGCCTTGCGGTGTCTACTCGCGTACTTGGTCCCGTCTGCGAGCTGCCCTGGGAGGCTACGATGCCCAGAGTGTCAGGCACAAGAAGAGGAGCTGCACCTTTGACTGTAGCTCATGCATCTTGTGCTGCCCATGTGAGTATCGTTGTGGTCTGGCAGAGCGCTCCAGCTGACTTGTCGCAGTCTATGGCTGTTTTTTTGCCCGCCTTCAAACCACGGTCCGTACCTTTTACGGCATCAAGGGTGACGATGCACACGACTGTCTCGATGGCTGCTGCTGCCCCTGCTGCACCCTCATGAGGAACGAGCAGGAGATTCTTCTTCGCGAAAAGCACCACAAACGACTCCGAGACGGACATGAACCCCTCGGCTCCGTCACCAGCCAGTACCAATCCTACATGCCCATGACTTATACGCCCTCGAAGTCTGCCACGGCCTCGCCCAAGGCAGCCCCCGTGGCCCCCGACAAGCGGCCCGCAACCAAGGCTTCGGACTCAGCCAAGAAGGAACGGGGCTCGGCCTTTCCCCTTGTCCGTTATCTGGAGAAGCAATAGTACTTGGTTCCTACTGGCCAGCAAGGGGAGAGCTCCTGCCAGGGAGCATTGGGCGACATCAGTGAGGCAACCCCCGAGTGTCCTGTGCCCATGGTCGCCGCCATCGTTGGCCAGCACGACATTACAAACGATCAGCTCCTCGCCCGTGGCCGGGAGCCGGACGAACATGATCTGGAGGCGGACAAGACTACGCAGCCAACAGGCAAGTTCATCGAGCACCTGCTTGCGCGAGATCCGGTTGCGGCCACGCCAGGTTCCGAGCCCTCGCATCCAATTGGCAAGGACCCCACGACGACGCAAGATCCGGGCTCGTCACGTCACGACATGGCTCGTGACCAGGTGGCCCAAACTGGCCTTCGCAGCCGGCCTCATACCCTCAAGGACGACGACTCGTTCGTCCTCATGCCGCCAAGGTCGAAGCACATCCTCCAGTCCGATCCGGCCGTCACGACGCCGGGTCACGAGACGCCCCATACCTTGGACCGCGACGCCGTCAAGGTCTCGGTCGGAAGCCTGGTCCTGCCACACAGATTGGGGGACGATGCGAGGGTAAGCCAAGGGTCGGAATCGTCAGCGCACCCCATTGAGGCAGACAAGGCCGTGCCCGCGAGACACCACAGCAAGCCACATCGGCTGGGCGACTGAGTGAGCTGTTTCGTGTGACTGAAGGTCGCCACGGACAGGGCGAGCGACGATGGAGGAGTGGGATATGACGATTCCCGAGAAGGCCCTGAGTGACTCCAATAGCAAGTATTTTCTAATGCACTGGCTCTGTCCATGTCTCGAACCTGGCTCTGTGATGTGCCTGACTGGACGTAGCTGACTGACGGGACCGTAAGTAAAAGGGTTGGCAACTCGCGCATTAGATGTTGAACGGCCATGAAACGTCTGACGATTTGCTCGCATTGCCTGCTTGAGCAGGGGCTCGTGGGCTTTGGCCTGAAAGCCGCCGCAATGAACGAATGGGCGGGCGATTTGCGCCGCGCCCGGGTCTGGGCGGCAAAAGCCCAGACGCCGGCAGTGGATGATGCGTTGGCTTTGCTGGCATCTGGCTCTCCATGGTGGTCGGCGACGACGTCCGCGGCGGCCGGAGGAGGCCGGCCGGGTTTGGGAGCGGGCCCCGTGACGGGCCCGATGAGACACGATGGGCTGGGATGGAATGCAGCCGTGAGGGCCACGGGGCGGAGTTTCAACGCGGGGTCAAGTCGAAGCTTGGACAAGGCAGAAAAGGCAGGGAAGGGCCGGCAATGATATCATCTGAGCTCGGGGTCGGTTTAAACCCGTGTGAGGGATGGCGCAGCGAAGGCAGCAGAAGTCAAGAAGCTCTGACGTTTGGGTGGTGTAAGTGGATTTGAAAGGGGTTTACGGCGGGGTCTGGAGATGGATGGATGGATGGATGAATGGATGTGTGAGTTGGTGATGTCTTGGGGAGAATGCGCCTACCTGACTGGTGCGTCACATCCAACGACCTGTCAACCTGGCCCTGGGGTGGGATTGATGGGCGGTCTCGCACAGCGGTTGGACGGACGTGAGACGGGCTGAGCGGTAACGCACTGAGTGACGGAGGTGACGTCCATGGTGATGAGGTCGATTGGTGGGCGATGGGGATGTGGTTGCTGCAGGATGGGCTGCGTACGAGGTCGCGTTGGTGCAACGGCGGCTACGCTTATGGTGGGAGAGCTATCTATATCTTCCACCAAGTTCAGATGGTAATTTCAGACGGGTTTCAGCGGCATGGCGTGCTGCATTGGTCGGCGTCAGTGACGGCTGGCAGTTGGGAGGGGAGTGGTCGGGCACATGGGATGGGGAAAGACGGCCAGCGACGGCCAGAGGGGGAGTCTTGACCTCGGCCGGCGATGGGACGGGAAACCGGCGGCCATGTGTGGAGGGACGCGGCGAAGGAGGCTCAATGGCGGAGAAGGAGATGTGTGAGAAGGCATGTGGGCTGTTGCTACTGTGCTGGAGGTGGAAGGGGAGCCGGGCCATCGACTGGACAGGACGGGACGAGTGCGAGCGAGAGATGGCGGAGCGGTAGGAAGACGACGATGCAGGAGATTCGCCAGACATTGGATCTACATTGTGCTGGCTGTAGCCCGAGGCCGTCATAGCCGTGTAGTACGGTGGGTGGCGAAGCGGCCAGGAGAATGGCATGGGCTGAGGCAACGGGGTGAAGCAGGTGAGCAGGAACGCGGGTGGTCGCAGGAGTGGCGGCGTTGGCGCGCATCGCCAGCTGTCACAGTCTGTCCGTCAAAACCAAGTTACATGAAGTTGCAAGGCATGCTCCTTGGCTCCTTGCCCTGCGGTGGGATGGGGCTAGATGGAACTGGATGGATGACCTGTCCCACGACAAGGTGCGTGGCCGAGGAACGGAGACGCTGCCGCGTAGCTACGAGGTCGTTGGAGACGTCTGAGCGAACTTGCGAGGCATTGTCATTTTTGGAGCTAATTGACGTCGACGGAGGCAGGGCAGACCGGGCAGAGAGCAGAGCCAGAGCAGGGCCAGAGCAGGGCCAGAGCCGGAGCAGAGCTAGAGCAAATCCGCGAGGTAAGGTGAAGGCGGAGGTGCTGTGCGGCGCTCGGAGCACAGCACGGAGGCGCCGAGAGGGCGAGATGGGGTGGCGCCGCCGGGGGTAATGTAGGTGCAAAGGCAAGCTAAGCAAGCAAGCAAGCCAACCTGCAAGGTCGCAGGAGACACGAGCGCCGCCGCGGCCGCGACGCGCATGGCCGGCTGGCTGTGGCCGGCCGGGAACGCGACATGGCGGGTGTGGCGTGGTTCGGGACTCGGGGACGGTGGGCACGGGCACGGGCATGGTGACGGGTGATGCTGGAGGGAGGGCAAGCAGGCACGATGCAAGGGAGGTTTGAGTGGGTTGAGGGAGAGCCAGGCCGGGTGGGGGTGGATGGCATTCGATAGAGTGGGTGTGTTCGTGAGTCTTCTGGCCATGTGTGCTTTCTTTGCGAGGTTGAGGTGAGATGAGGTGAGGCGATGGTGGGTTGAGATGGGGGTGAGATGGGATGGCGGCAAGGTGGTGGATGGGCTGTGCCTGACAGACAGAGGCGGCAGAGGCGGCGGCGGAGGCGGAGGGTGGAGGGGGGCGGCGAATGCAGGGAGGGAGATTTGATGGAGGAGGGCGGCTTGGGGCCATTGATTGCATGCAAGTGTGTCTGTATCGATTGGATAGATGAATGGATGGATGGATGGTCACGGTCGATGGATGGACGCCCACAAGACGGGCCACGAGCCATGGCCGACGAGCTGAGTGGTCTTGGACGGGCTGCGCTCCTTGCCGCCGCCGCAGTGCGCGTGTGCGAGACGAGACGAGGGGGGAAGCGGCGGTCCTGCGCGCGGTCCGCTCGGTACCTTGCAGAAAGGTGTGTGGTGAAACAGGAGGACGAGAGAAGTGCGGCGTGGTTTATTGAAGACGGGCTTCAGCGAAAAGAGGGCCATTTAACTTGTGTGAGACGAGCTGCGGTGCAGAAGTCTCGCGTTGATTACAGGCCCGGGAGGAAGCGAGATGGAGGACAGACAGACAGACCGCGCGAGACGCTGGAACTATGGCATGAGGGCAGGATACGACAATTGGCGTGGATGAACACCAACACTGTAAGTTGGTTCAAGCAGCGTCGTGTTGTCACCTTGAAGCAATGACGTGTGGGCTGCGCAGGTGGACAGACCAGCAGGGCAGCAGACGACGGCGGGCCGTGCATTCGTCGCCGTGGCGGTGCTGTGCTTGCTACGTACGTACTCCCGTTTGTCAATCCAGGGATGCCCCCTCGGGTTGACGCAGATTTTGGGAGGGGGTGGACGTGAGACATTTGCGTGCGGGGGGTACGATGTAGAAGCTCGTTTGTTCGTTTGCTTTTTTGCTTTTCTGCGATGAACGGATGCGAGATGGGCGATGGATACCCGTGTACCCCGTTGATGACGATGAACAATGACGGACCGGCGGGCGGGCGAATGCGGGGCTGTAGGTACGGACGTTGTGCGTTGTACGGTAAATTACACGGGCGCGGCAGTTGCGTGAAGGGGGATGGACGGTGCAGAATCGCAATTGTCCGTCTGCCCAACGATGAAAAGGTGAAAGTGTAATAAATCGCCGCCGCTGCAAGTGCGTGCGTGCGTGCGTACCATGCAATCGTGTCTGTCCTGCTCACCAGTTCAGTCATTTTTCTGCGCGCCTCTGCTGCCCCTGCATGCAAGCGCCAGTGTCGTTTTATGAACACCTAGCAGCGAGCGGCTGCGGGGTGGTCTCTCTTATAATATGCGTGGGCTTGCTTGAGCAATTGATACGCGATGACGGATGTGTTGGAGCAGCAGCCGCAGCTCCGTCCATCCATCCATCCTCCACCCACCCATCCATTCATCCATGCCACCCTGCCTTCCCTCCCTTGCAACAGATGGGGCGAGAGTGGGATGTGACGAGCGAGCAAGCGAGCGAGCGAAGAGAAAGCGAGGGATAGGGAGCGAGAGGGAAAAGATCCATGGATGGTGCATCTCGTTTTTGGCGTCATCAGCGTGCTGTGGTGCATCGCGACGCGTCCATTGGCTGCCGTCGCCGCGCCGCGCGCGCTCCTCATTGGGCCGACGCGGGATGCGGTGCGCAAGGGCAGGTCAGATCTGGGCGGGGCAGATGCAGCCCGCTGGGGGGCCCACCGGGACCTTGTAGGGCCACTGACGCCCACTGGCAGGGGGGGTTCCGCGGCGGGTTGGCCCCACTGACACGCTGGCTGGCGCTGGGCCCGCTCCAGGTGCGCGCTGGAGACGCGTCGTGCAGCAGGGCAGTCTGGTGTGCCAGTCCAGTGGCCACAGGCCCTGCTGCTGGCCTGCTGTAGTGGTGTGCTGAGCCCTGCTGGCCGCCCATCCATCAGCTCCTGCCAGCTCCCAGCTCCAGCTCCCAGCTGGCCCCGGCCTAGTGGCGGTTTCTGACGCTGGGCTACTTCGTAGGCTGCCGCTGGTGAATCAAGCGATTCGCGCGCGGGCTGCAGAAACGGCGGCCACGCCAGGCTGTTGCAGCATTTGGCGCCCGTGTCTGTCTCGCCGTCTCTCCGTCTCTGCCACCTACCTGTTCTCTGTCTCGCCGCCAGTTCCAGGAAAGCTCACACACGGGCAGCTCACCATCCGTCTCCCTCTCCCTCCTCCTCCTGCTCTCATATACCCCCCGGCCCGCGCCGCACCCGCCCTGTCCGCCGCCCTCTTTTCTTCCCTCTTCCTCCTCCCCCTCCCTACCGGCTGCTGCTTGTTGTTGTTGTTGCTGCTCCTACATATTCCTATTTTTTTCCAATTCATCACATTCGCTCTCTCTCCTCCTCGCTTTCGGAGACCCTTGTCTGCCGAGCAGTAAACAACCGGGGGTCCAAACACGCAGCAACAACATATCCACTGCAGTAAGCTGCAGCTCGCTCCATCAACAACATCCACATCCACGTCCACCACCCCGGACAGTTCCAAGGCCTGAGGCACACACGCGCACGCGCACCCGGCAGTGCCCCGCGCAGCAGCAGCCCGTCGACGAACAACACCATCCAGACGCGCTCACTCTCGCAATCAACCCTTGCCCTCCTGCGCGCCCGGGGGGTTTTCTTTACCCATATCCACCATCCACCTCCGCTCGTCGACCCGCGTCGCAGCGGAAAACTCTCGCCCCTCACATCAACACTTCCCCCCTCCGCCCCGACGGAAACCCTCATTAGGTTGCCGCCCGCCGCAATGGCTGCCGTCACCCGCCAGCCGTTTGCCCCCCTCGACGGGGCGCGTCTGCAGAGCCTGACGAGCCTCAAGAACAGGCAGAACGGTACGTACGGTTTGACTGTGCATGAATCTTTTGCCTGAAAGTGAAATGAGAGGAACCCGCCTCCGGCGCGTCATCCACTCGCTCGATAGCTGTTGAGCACTGGCGGCCCGTTGGTGCGTCGCCGTTGCGCCGTTGAGGATGAGCCAACGCGAGATGGATCTCCAAATGAAATGACATGAAATGACATCTCTCTCGTCCGCTGCAATTGCCACATCGCTGACGCGCCCTCTCCAGCCGTCGCTCCCCCAAGCAGCGGCAAGCGCAAGGCCGAGCTCCTCGACGTCGACGACGACTCGGAAAACGTCGACCCCGTCCTCTTCGCCAAGCGCTCCAAGGGCACCACCACCGCCTCGCCTCTCAAGGACGCCCTGCTCAAGCCCGCCTCCTCCTTTGTCCTCACCAGAGCCGCCGCTCCCTCCACGCCCGCGGCGTCGGCATCTACCTCCGCCAGGCTACCGCTCAAGCACAGCTCCACGCCCAGGCGCACCCTCCAGCCCAAGTCGCCCGCCGCCCGCCTCAACACCGCCATCGCCAAGTCGTCGCCCGTCTCCGCGCCCGCCGGCCGCTCGCCCACCCGCGGCAAGCGCTCCGGCATCCTCTCCAGCCGCCGACGCTCCGGCCCCTACGCCCGCGTCGACCCGCCGTCCTTTAGCCTCGGCAATCCCTCCTCCGCCGCTCCCTTCTCCCTCGACGCCGCCCTCAAAGGCACCCTCTCCAGCTATGGCCCGCCTGCGGCGTCAGCCTCCTCCGCCCGCGTGGCCAAGCCCGCGGCCCGCCCCAGCAGCAGCCTGCTCGACGAGCCCGAGGCCAAGGCCAGCTGGTTCTTTGACATCCACGAGGACACCCCCGAGCAGGAGATGACCAACCTGCTGCAGCACAGCACCTGCGTCCTCGACATCTCGTCGGACGAGGAGAGCGAGCGCAAGGCCAGCCGCGAGCGCGACGAGGGCCGCGACAAGGAGAACGTGCCGCCCCCGGATGACGTCTCCCAGACGAGGAGCGCCGGCGCCGGCACGCGCCAAGCGACGCGGCCCCTCTGCGCCGACGACATGGTGGTAGAGAAGGAGCGGGTCGCGCTGGGCGAGATGAACGCCGTCGACTTTTACGCCGATGGCTGTGACGAATCGTCGGTCGTGCTGGTGCACGAAGACGAAGAGCAGGAGCCGCCTTCGCAGAACTTTGCGTTTGCGCCCGAGCTCAAGGCCCTGAGTGCCGACGCGGATGCCGCCACGGACGAGACGGAGGCCGAGACTGATTTCGTCGAAGGCGATGCCGTCACCGAGGTCGCCGCGCTCATGGACGCGACAACCAAGGGGTCCTCCAAGGCGGCCGTCCTGCAGCCCATGGACGGTACCGGCGAGAGCTTTGAGCTGTGGGAGAGTGGCAGCGCCAAAGACGACGGCGAGGGTGAGGCCACCGTCATTGCTGCGTCATGACGCTCATGCCTGTCGCTGGACCTTGGTTGCTGCGAAGCGACTGAGTGAGCGATTGGACGAGTGACTGAGTGGGCTATATATCGTTATGAAGTTATGGGCGGCACGATGCAAAGTATAAGTGATTATGTGTACGACTGGGGGACTACTACTGGTGAGGGACCACGGAACGGCGTTTGCTTTTCAATGCTTTGAGTCTTGGATGATCTTGGCCGGTTCTTTTCTTGGAACACGGCGGATTTGGCGTTATAGGCGTGGGGAAACGCGTCGTTGCTTGGCTTTGCGCGTCGTTGACGCATGTACGCATGCATGGGTCGCTTGAATGGATGGATGGCTGGTTGTGTGTGCGTGCGCGCTTGCCGGGTACGGGTAGTTGATTGACTATGTTAATTGACTCTGTTGAAGCTCAACTGTTACGTGCTTGCCTCTTCTGTGCTCGACCTCATGTCCCGTCGGTGTAATCGTGTGTAATACAATGTGCTCGCTCAATGGTCTATCCGTCTATAAATCCGTGAGTCTTGCCTCTCTCGCCGTGGCCACCAGCCTCATATCTGTCTCATTGTTCCCGTCACTCACTCCCGCTCACACTCACTCACTCCACGACGCCGACCGAGGCGCCCAGCTCGCCCCCGTCCACCTGCCGCACCCGCGCCTCAACCCGCCGCCAAATCTCATCGGCCACGTCCTCAACGCTACTCCCCGCGTCCACCACGACGATGTTCTCCCCGCGGCCGCGCGGCGTCGGCTCAGCGGGCTCAGGGGCGGCTAAGGATGAGGATGAGGATCCGGCGTCCGCATCGGCGGCCATGCCCCGGAAAATGTCGCGCACGCGCGCCTGCATGGCCTCGCGCTCGTAGCGCTCGTCGCCGAAGCCGCCGCGGGCGCGGGCCGCGCGCTCGTCGAGGTCGAGGAAGAGGACGAGGTCCGGCCGCGGGAGGCCCTTCTCGGGGGCGGCGGCCCAGGAGAGCGGCAGGGAGGGGTTGCGCTTGGCGGCCGAGTAGGCGATGCCCGAGAGGTGGAAGCGGTCGCAGAGGATGGTGGTGCCGGAGGCGAGGAGGGAGGATATCTGGGCGCTGGGGCGTTGAGCACGAGCATGGTCTGTTAGTCGTTGTGATTCTACGAGGAGGTTGGGGTCTGGAGTCTCAGGGCTGGGGGAAAGGGGGGAGAAGGCTGGCTCCTTCTGGGATTTGCGAGGGAGGCCATGAGGCCGCACAAATGGGGTATAAAAGGAGATGAGGCTGTAACGAGGTGCGAGAATGAAGAGAAGGTCACACGATGTAGCGATGATGAGAACATGACTGAGTGAATGATCACCGCGCAGAGCAAAGGCAACTTACGCAGCTTCCCAACGGTTCGCGCTGAACAGCAGGTGTATGACGTGGTCCTCCATGGCGACGTCGCTCTTGAGGTACGCGTCTATCATTTGCCCGATGGGCGTCGACCGGTCTGCAGACGACACATCAGGTCAGTATTCACGTCATCAAGCACCAACCCACGCTGGTTTGGACTCTTCGGCGCTCCCGTAGCAGGTGGGAGTAACGCCATTGGCTTCGCTACACTCAATGCGGCCCCCTTTGACTGGTACAGGAAGAGAAAAGAGAGTTGCGAGGAACTCATCAACTTGTGGGAGAGGGCAGAGAGGGGAACGCAACGTACCCGGAAACCGCATCACCTTGACCGGCCGCCCCGCCTCAACAAAGCGCTGCTCCAGGAGTTTGACCTGCGTGGTCTTGCCGCTGCGGTCGAGGCCCTCGAGGACGACAAAGGCGCCGCGCGACGGGCCGGCCGCGGACTGCGCCTTTGCCGGCGTCTGCGTCTGGGCCTGGCTCAGAGGCGGGGGCGAGGAGGAGCTCGCGATGGCCGCGGTCGCGAGGTCGTTTATCGAGGCCATGCCGGGCTGTCGGCGCCAGGGAGCCCCGGGGGCTGTCTCTTATACACATCTAGATGTGTATAAGAGACAGGGCTTGAGCAGGGCGTCCTTGAGAGGCGAGGCGNGGGGTCTAGACCAGCTGTGCCGGCAGGCAGAGAACCGACGACGGACGAGGGATGCCCGATTGGCGAAGGTGAATTGAGGGGTTCGATGAGCTGATGAGTACGACTCGGGCCGTCGGGTGATGCCGCTCGCGGATGCTCGGATGTATGCAAGGGTATGCAAGGGGAGAACCGACGCCAATGAGTGGACGGGGATGGCGTGCCGGCCGAGTCTACAAGGATTGTGGTGAGTGAGGGCTTTGGTGAGACGCGGCTGTGCGTGTAAGAGTGAGTGAGAGTGAGAGTGGTGGTGGGTTATTAGTGGATGCTTGAGTTTGGCCTCGCCGACGAAAATATTAGGTAAGCCACTGACCTACCCTACGACCAAAGGTCTACATCTTGTTTTCAAGATTGACTACTGCGCTTTGCATTTAGATATAGAAGGTATAAATCATGAAGCTCCAACTTTAGACTGACTCGGGTGGTCTCGAAGCTGTTACAAAGCTAGCTTGTTCTTGTGCATCTGTCAACAGGAAAAACTTTGGTCCAGGATCCTCACACCCGAGTTGCAACTGCATGTGATACCCAACACGGGTCTCGATCGAGTCATTCCACGCAAGCTGCTCCGGCAGGGTCACACTGGCGTCGGCGAAAGGATGAAAACGGAATACTTGGCCGTCCATGGATGTTCACTCCCGAATTATGCCCCGCCGAAGACTGAAAACCGCAGCGTCGCAGCGCGGCGGGGATCGAGACGACGGGACCTCCGGTCCCTCGGCGAAGTTTCTTGGCAGATAGGGCTTCTTTGCAACTGCGATTATGTGGCGAAGCGAAACTCCATGCCAGATGCTACGTGAGCTGCCAGCTGTGCCGGGCTTAGCTAGCCCGGGATTGAAGTCACCGTCAGGACAGATGACACGGTTCTCACGATAGTACTGGATCACGCGATGCCGGGAATGTCCGGTAACAGGCTCAGGGCAGAGACAACAGGCTAATAGAGGGCAGCGGCAACAAAGTTGTCCCTCGCAAGCACTAGCGGTGTTGATGAGTGTGACGATAGGTGGCCGAAACTGGAAATCCCAACGTGGACTCGACAGCTGATGGAGCACTGAACAGATAATGTGACGTAAGTGAATGGGACCGTCGGCGAACTGTAATACCCTGAGCATATGCTGGCGAGCCACGATGACATGGATTAACGAGGAAACAGATCCGTCGTGCTGTAGTGTTCAGTCAAGGTCATCCAACCAACGCATGTGGGTAAGCAGATCCTGTGGCAATTCTGTTGATAATGCACCGTTCAAGAGCTGGAAGAAATTCACAGCGCGTGGGGCAGTTGGGGAGTGGGAAGACCATGCAAGGCAGAGGCAAGGACCCCGTACGATGAAGGAACCGAGCTCTGCGGCTGAAATAGCATCTTGACTGGTAAATGTTAGTGGACTGGACCTGAAGGCAATGGCTTCAGCTAAGGACGGTGAAACACTGCCCCAACACCTATGCGAGCCAAGTCCAAGGAGTACATCTGTTCTCCTTGGCTTATTGCATGGCGGGCAGGAATATATAAAGCTATTCCAGCCGCGCTGTCTACTTGCTGGCAACCCTCTTCACACCTTCGCCACAGCCTACATCTCGATAACCATATTCAAGTCCTACGCAGTCAAGACTCCCAACCCCTTTCCACCATGAAGACCACCGACTTTGACTTCGACATCAAGTCGCGCGTGATGCCTCACGACCCCATCGAGTTGCGAGGAAAGACGCGTGAAAGCGGCAAGATGATTGTCCTGGACCGAACCGCCAAGACAATCGAGCACAGAGTCTTCTCCACTATCTGCGACTACCTCCGCCCGGGGGACCTCCTCGTCGCGAACGACAGCTATATGCTGTCCAACACGTTGGATTTTACAAAGGGCGACAACGCCGTGCAGATAACGCTGCATGGGCACGAGCCCGACAGCATGGCCCTTGTCAGCGTCAGGGCCGTTGACGGCCATGGCGTCGTCATCGAACCGGGGCTCGTGTTGCAATCCAAGGACGAAGACTCCCTGACATGCACGCTGGTGCATCAGAATGAGGACGCGCTCTGGAGTGTCAGATTCGAACCCTTTGAGCTCCAGATGGCGACACTCGAGAAGTATGGGCGGCGCCTCAACGAAGTCGTCCACTTCAACCCGGAGTTTTGGACCACCAAAAGAGACGCCTACCGCTCCGTCTACGCCAAGGTGCCGGGCTCGCTGCAGATCCCATCCGCCGGCCTCCACTTCTCTAACGGGCTTCTCGCCGAGGCGGTCGCCAAGGGCGTCGAGCTGGCCTTTATCACGCTGCACGTCGGCGTGAGCGAGACGTTCATGGTGCGACACATAACCACGGAGGATATTGAGAACCACAAGGTGCGGTCCGAGTACTACGAGGTGGGCGGGCAGGCGGCCGCGCAGATCAACAAGGCGCGGGCTGAGGGCCGCCGCGTCGTCGCCGTGGGGACGACGGTGATGCGCACGCTCGAGACGCTCACGCTCAACAAGGCACCGGCGACTCCTATTGAGGCGCGCTCCGGGTGGACGGACCTGTACATCTACCCGGGCTTCCAGTTCAAGGCGGTAGATGTGCTCCTGACGAATCTGCATCGCCCGCGCTCGAGCCATATTGTGCTGACGGCGTCGTTTGCCGGCACGGAGCTCACCATGAAGAGCTACGACGAGATTGGCAAGATGGGCGGCTACGAGTTTGACATGTTTGGGGACAGTATGTTGATTGTATAGTTCTGCCGTCTTTGTCGTGATGGCATGGGGGTTTGCATCCTTGAGTTGCGACTTTAGTGGCGGCATGCACTGCAGCCCTCAACGTACGAATCAATAACGCGTAGTTGAACAAGGTCGTTGAGCCAGATGGCTGACAAAATCATGAGATGTGTGAAGTCGCGAGCAACCTGGCGTTGGCATGGGGGGCGGTGACTAGTGGTGTCGCCTGGCTCAAGATCTGGACAAGCGAGGGAGTAGATGCGCTCTGAAACCGTCTCCTGGCCGTCATGAGTCGTTGCGTTCAAGCATCCTCGTGAGATTAATTTCTCATCGCGCCCATTCTGACGCATAACTGGTGTTGTTCCGCTGAGGGACCGCCTTCGCAGGAGCTCCGGTGGGGTGCCGGCATAGACGGCGATGCCACAACAAGGCTTAACAGCCAAGCTTGTGCTGTTCCCTGAGCGCCAACAAACGGCAATCGCCGAGAGCATGCGATCCAGATGAACATCCATGTATTCCTTTATAGGTAAGCCGCTCTTGACAAGGGCACATCGCATCTCCTGGTCTTGTTGCATGGGTCGGTCCAACCGCCAGCGTATAACAGCACACCCGCCACCAACTTCCTCGGTCCAAGGACATGCGGGGTCGTGAACGTCCCGGGCGCATCTCGACCAAATCCGTCGCATCAATCAAAGTTCCAGGGCATTGATGACGTTCGCGCAATCATGGGCCGAAAACTCCTGGGGCACGTTCAACGAGCATTGACGACTCGCCGCGGGGGATCTGTCCAGCTTGTCCGACCGCGCCAAGGCAGCCGCGCAGGCCTGGCGATGCTTATCAACTCAGACACTCGCGGCGACGGCTTCCACTAAACCACCCGCCGGCGGAGACGGTGACGTCCTCTGCTCCGTCGACGCCGCTCCGCCGGGCGGGCAAGGCACTGTCGCAACCGTCACGCTCTCGAACCCACGTCGGCTCAACAGCCTGAGCCGCGAGCTTATCGCCAAGCTCACCTCGACACTGCGATCCCTGGCCTCCGAGCCTGATGTTCGCTGCGTCGTGATCCAGGGAGCTGCACCAGCAACCGGCAAGAGCCCATCTTTTACCACAGGTGCAAACATCTTCGAGATGACCCATCTCAAGTCCTACGACGACGCGAAAAAGTTCATCACCGAACTGCATCACGCGTGTCAGGCAATGCGCAACGTGCCAGTGCCGGCCATAGCGCGCATCGACGGCCTCTGCCTCGGCGGGGGGCTGGAGCTTGCTGCCTCCTGTGACTTCCGGTACGCGACGAGCAGGTCGACGTTTGGCATGCCCGAGACCAAGTTTGGCATCCCGTCGGTCGTCGAGGCCAGGCTGCTCGCCAACATTATTGGCTGGCAGCGGACCAAGGAGATGGTGTACTTTGCCAAGTCGTACGACGCGGTCGAGATGGAGAGATGGTGGCTCGTCGACCAGAGCTGCGAGTCGGCCGAGGAGCTCGACGAGGTCGTCATGGATGCAGTCACCACGATTTCGTCGTTTGGGCGCCAGGCCATGAGAGAGCAGAAGCGCCTGGTGAGGATTTGGGAGGAGAGTGACCTAGTTACCGGAATCGAGGCTGGGGTTGACTCCTACGCCCGCATGTTCAACGACGGTGGCTCGGAGCCGGCGCATTACATGAAGGTGTTCACGGAACGAAAGAAGTAGCCGTGTACAATACCATGCGATATAAATAGCTAGAGGGATTGGGTTCTGCATTTTATGGCATGGGTTTAATTGAGCTGTCTTTACACGCGCCGCACTTATACGCCGAGGGCCTCGCAGATGGCCTCGCCGACAGCCCCAGCCGACTCGGGGTTCTGACCCGTAATCAGCTGCCCGTCAACCACGACGTTGGTGGATGACGGCCGGGCAGCAATGAACTTGGCGCCCAGAGCGACGAACTCCGTCTCGAGCAGGAACGACAGGTACTTGTCTGTCGCGTCTCGGGTCTCCTCCGCGTTCGTGTAGCCGGTGACGCGACGACCCTCGACCAGCGGGCGGCCCTCGGGGGTCTCTGCGTGCACAAACGCGATGGGCCCGTGGCAGACGGCGGCGACGATATTGCCCGCCGCGTAAAACTCGTTGATGAGCTTGATCGAGTCGCCGTCGCCAACCAGGTCCATCATGGGGCCCTGCCCGCCGGCGTAGAAGACGGCGGCGAACTCCTTGGCGCGGCCGAGGTAGTTTCGGATCGGCTGCGTGTTCTCCCAGATCGACCGCTTGTTCTTGAGGAAGTGCTGGGACTCGGCGTCGTAGGCGCTGCCCAGGGAGTAGGGGTCTAGCGGGGCGACGCCGCCCTTTGGCGATGCGACCTCCAGCTCAACTCGCCCCTCCATCTTGTTCCACGGATGGCTGAGCTCGACCTGTGGAGTGAAATGTCAGCTCTATCGCGTACAATCTTGCAGGTTCAGCTCAGCTCCATCCGCCTTTATTGCGCTGCCAGCTCGGTTTGAGCCAGGTCAGACGCAAACATCACTCGTCACGTACCGAGTACCATCCTGTCTCCCTCTTGATTCTCGGCTTATAATACCGATCGGCACTGGTGAGAATCACGAGAACTCGTTTAGACATGGTTGCGGTTCGTTGAGGATGGCGGGCGCGCGAGACCTATGTCAACAGTAAACCTTGGGTTCGAGAGGCTTTTAAGATTGCAAGACGCATCATCTGCCCCGCGACACCTGCCGCCAGCCTTTTATACCATGATGCTCCCGACCAGTTGGCGCCGGCGAGCTTGACACCCAGCTTTCGGAAGCCGCATGAGGCTGCATCAACCGTTGGACGCGCACTGGTGGAGCACTGGAGTTTTAAGGTTTCCTGGCGCCATTGCTCAGCATTACACACCCCAACCTCTCCGCTCCAGGCATGCAACTACCGCTCAGGGGTCAGGTTCTAGTGGCGGCATACTAGCGCAAGCCTGGAGCTTAACGTTCAGTGACCCGCAAGTGTGGACGAAACGGCCGGGGATATACAGAGTGCGTCTTATATAGATGTTACGAATTCGCAAGGATCATGTTACTGTTTAGCTTAGAAGGACGTCAGCGGCGTGCGTTTGGCCGTTCTTGATAGATGTGGGAGCGAGAGCGTCTTAGGTCGCCCTATGTAACTACAGTGCTCGCTTGGATGGCAGTGCTGAGACTCGGCTGCAGTCAGATACAGCCAGGATTGAACATTAGGATGAGCATGTCCAAGCTATGAGCAATCTTTATGGTATTCAAGATGGACTCCACTTGGTCCTATTCTAGAATACAAACTTGGTCCCTGTTGATGAGCATGTCGTTCCTTCATGTTGTCCCAGGCGTTGTACGCTGTCCCCATACTTGCATCAAAGTCCAATATGCAATCCGAACAACGCGGTACCGAGTCACAGTTGTAAATGCAGAAACCGCCACGCCACTTTGCAAGTCTAATCTGTACTCAGGCACTGCTTGTTCCTGCTAGTTACCAGCTTTGTGCCCCTTCATCGCACCGCTTCCGGGCGAACGAATGGACCCGTTGAGAGAAGAGGCTACAAGTTTCTGTGACATGTACATAGTGACAAGCAGTGCGCACTTGACGAATCCTCCGTCTATCTTCTGACATTGGTGCACTTGACTCGGCCGAGATCCACGGCACTGGCATGTCTCACGTCAGGAATAACAGATGCAGAGGTCCGACTTGGACCTGATTGCATCAGTGAACTGGTGCGAGCACTGCGGGGTCAAAAGATGTCGGCCGGCACAAGCTGTCGTGGCCGCCCCGTCAAACTCGGCGTTTGTTGCTGCTTTGGGCTCCCATTTGGCTTTCTCAGCCCCAACGGCGTTCCGCATTGCCTCTGGCGCCCGTTGTGGACGGCTGAGGCCGGAAACCTGGGAACCCCCGTCTAGCGTCGAGTCTATCTGCCGCAGGACAACCATACCCCTACTGGTAATACTAGAGTCGAGCTGCGACCTGTAAGACAAGTGGTACGTGTGTCCGGCCTGGCTCACGCGGGGTTTGTGCCCCGCGATGAGGGGAGCTGCCGCTATGCTCTCATGGTGACATCTTTCTCAATCCTGCTTATAAGAAACGGCCTGATTCTATGCTACTTTCGGCTGGTCTTAACCGCTCCGAAGCAGTGCAGCACCTGTAACAAGACAAACCAGAGGTCAAAAGTCGAATTCACAATGGCCACCGACGACATGTACGAGGGATGGGTGGGCGAGGACAAGTCCTCCGCCGAGGGCAAGATGGTCTGGAAGCAGTTCGTGCCCAAGGTGTGGGAGGAGACGGACGTCGAGATCAAGATCACGCACTCTGGCGTCTGCGGCTCCGACGTGCACACCTTGCGGTCTGGCTGGGTGAGTACGAGGACGAACTGAACGGGATACCCTGGCAGGAGCCGCGTACTGACAACGGCAGCGTGATGTCCCGTACCCAATCGTCGTCGGGCACGAAATCGTCGGGGTCGCCATCCGGGTTGGCTCCAAGGCGGAGGGAGACATCAAGGTCGGCGACATTGTGGGCGTCGGGCCCCAGGCCGATGCGTGCCTCAACCGCGATGCCGACTACTCGTGCGTGGAGTGCGCCGAGAAGAGCGAAAACTACTGCGCTCGCCGCATCGTCACCTACGCGGGTAAGCACCGCAACGGCAGCAAGACGCAGGGCGGGTACGCGCTCTACCACCGCGCGCCCTCACACTTTGTCGTCAAGATACCGACGGGTCTGGCGCCCGAGTTTGCCGCGCCCATGCTCTGCGCCGGAGCAACCGTTTACGCGCCGCTGAAGCGGTTCCATGCTGGGCCCGGCAAGAGGGTTGCTGTAGTGGGCATCGGTGGCTTGGGGCACTTCGCCGTCTTGTTTGCCAAGGCGCTCGGGGCGGACGAGGTTGTCGGCATCTCGAGGAAGGACGACAAGCGACAGGATGCGTTGGACCTGGGGTGCGATGGGTACATTGCGACGGGCGCCGACCCCGACTGGGCCACCAAGAATGCGCGCAAGTTTGACATTATTCTCAACACTGTCGCCTCGACCAAGGTACGTCCAGATCGTCGGCCATGGCATGCCGGCATTTCCTCAATGCACCACACGACGAGTGCAGATACAGTTACTCATCTTGAGACAGATGCCGTTCGCCGAGTATCTCGGTCTCCTCCGGCTAGACGGCACTCTCGTGCAGGTCGGTCTGCCCGAGGGCCCAATCCCGTTCATGCCCTCAGGAATGAACGGCGCCCGCCGCACGGTCGCCGGAACGTACATTGGGTCCCCGAGTGAGATGCGCGAGATGCTGCAGGTGGCTCTTGAGAAGAACATCAAGCCGTGGGTCGAACAGCGGCCGATGAAGGACGCGAACAGCGCCATCCTGGATCTGGAGGCGGGCAAGCCGCGCTTCCGATACGTGCTGGTAAACTAGACGCGCATGCTTTACAGATCGCGCACATTGGAGTATGGAGTGAAAAAGAAGACGTGGTGAAGGGTTTGAGCTGTACCAGATGATAGTGCCGTGCCGTGAACGGGGAACGGTGTGTCAATTGGTGGGATTTGGGGGGGGGGGGGCTCCTGTCGTGCCGCAAGGGACTGAGAGCTAGACTGGCTTTCACCCAGACTAGGTATTGATCAATAAAATTCTGCGCGTGGGATCAATTGACGTGGTGCCCGTTGGCGGCGGTGCCCCGGCTTGCACGCCGGCGGGGAGTTGGACTCCGTGCCCCACTCCACCGGCCCGGAGAACCGGGTCCGACGCTTGAATCCGGGCCAGCCGGCAATTGACTTGTTTCCCAGTTTGTCTGCAGGATCCTTCAGCTATTCACTCCGGACACCAAACTTAGCCAGAACTAGAATGTATTTTCTTTAATTAGGTAGCAGCTGAACAGTGCCTTTACAGGTCGGGCACAGGCCCAATGCGAGAATGCTCTTGAGCTGTCCGCTGGTGAAATGTCTGGCAGCCCATCATGTTTTATCTCCCGTCACCTAGCGAATCTAAGCCAGGACCTTGCAGTTGGAAAAGAGGTTCGCCTGTCGGTTATACGGCGACCGGCCGGCCACGCCAAGCAGCAGCTGATTATACTCTCCCTTCTTGTAGTTGACACCCAGCCCCTGCGGCATGGCCTCATACAGGCCTGCGGGCTTGATCTGCGCGGCCACGGGTCCCTGCTTAGTCTTGAGCGTGCGGATGTCGATGTTTGCAATCTCCGTCTTCGTGTCGGCAAACGCGCCGCTCACCGCATCGCCCGTCAGGACGTACAGGTTCTGCGCTAGGACCGCCCACCCGCGCACCGTCTTGGACGCCGTGTTCAGCGCCGGCACCTGCACGTCGTACTTTGGCTTGGAAAAGTCCTTCTTGGAGGCGCTGACGGGGTCGTACGCTACCATGCGCGTCTGGTTGTTGAGCCGGTAGCGGATCGCGAGGCTGTCGGTCGCGGGGTCGTACGCCGAGGAGTAGTCGGCGCCGCCGCTGATGGGGGAGACCTTGACGAGACCGGTCGATGGGTTGTAGAGCTTGATCTTGGGCAGCCAGAGGAAGCCTGCGAGGCTCTGCGCGTGGCCGCTTGCGTCGGGGTCCACGTCGAACCACAGGCGCGTGTCGTTGCCCTCGGGCACGGCTGCGAAGGAGACGTTGCCCGGCCCGAAGCCGTACAGGTACATCTCCTGGTACGACCCGGCGGCGCCGGCGGGCTTGGAGAGGTCGAAGCCGATGAGACAGTTGTAGCCCAGCGGGTAGTTGGGGCTGTCCGGCACGGAGAAGAAGAGGCGGCGGTTCGTCGCGTCAAAGGCAAACGTGTAGGGGCCGACTTTTTCGTAGAGCGTGCTCGGGATCTTGAACTCGTTGAAGGGCTGCGTCAGGTCGATGCTGGCTTCCACGGCGGCCTTGACCTGCGTCGCGACGCTGCCGAACCAGCCATACTTGCTGACGATCTTATGAGCCGCCGCGGATGGCTTCACCGGCGAAGGTCGAGCGGCGGCGAGGCTGATGGACAGCGCGCCGAGAAGTACCGCCTTCAGATTCATTGCGAAATATATTAGAATTGGACGATTGTAGAGCTATGAAGAAGAAGTAATGACTGTGAGGTGCTGCAATGCACAAAAGCGAATGGACGGCCAAGTGAAGATGGCCTAAGTAAGGGAACGAGAGTCGATGATGAAGGACGAGAACGAGAGCATCCGACGGAAGGTTTCTCCAATTTCCCCCATCGACGAAACGAATGTGTTTTTATCTGGTGTCTGACATTTGACAGAGCCGCAATATCGGCTGGATGTTGGGCCGCCTTTACAGCCTCATCCTGGCCGTTGCGTGAGCACGCTTACCTGCGTGCAGCCTAGCGGTCGTTCGGCTCCACGGAAGCCTCATCAAACTCGCATGTCTGCATGAATCTTTTGGGCATGCAATGCGTGCGGCTCTTGCGTCTTTCAGAGGGCGTCTCCTTGTCCATGCTGGGTGAGAATAAAACATGTTCTTCCCCGCGCCACGACTGCATCGCGCACCACGACTGCATCGCGCACCACGACCACCGTCCCGCCACAGCACGCCGATTGCCCAAACAACGGAACGCGTTTTCATTGCCTGCTACGTCGCCAGTTGTACCTCATGTTGTTCGAGAGCTTTGGCCAGTCAGAAGGATGGACGGTCATGCGCAGCGCAATGCAAGTGTTGCCAGTATCGATTATATACGGTTAGATCCTTCGTTACCTCCGATAGCGGCTCCATCCACTTCGTACACGAGACAAGACGAATGGCCGACAGTATGGCGCATCCCCTGGCCAGCCGCCAGTAACGTCCAGGCCATTGTTTGATGTGATCCTCACAAGCCAGCTGTACGTGACCCGCCATGCGCGTTGCTACTAGCCGCTGGTCAGCTGCGACAGTTCTTAAGTTGATATATACTCCACGCTCATTACTTACAGAACTTGACCCAAAAGTTAGTCTACTACATTTTACTAGGTCGCCGCCGGGTATCCGTTGAAAACGAGCAGGTTAGGCGAACCCGCGTCCTGGATGTTCTTCAGGATGCCCTTGTTGGCAAGCGCCCTGATGCGATCGCAAACCGCACCGCCGGAGATCCCCTCCAGGGCACCGAGGTAGGCCGCCAGGCCGACAACGTGTGGAGTGGACATTGAAGTCCCGTCCAAGTAGTTCTGGCTCGTTGGTCAGTATGCACATGCTAATGCCGCCCTCTCAGGAGCAAGGAGCGGTCTGTTGGGAATACGAACCCATCCGCCATCGATCCAGGTTGACTGAATATCCTGGCCGGGAGCAAAGACATCCACGACCTCACCGTAGTTGGACCAGAGGAGGACGTTGTCGTCGTTATCGCTCGCTCCGACGGTGCAAACGGTCGGCTCCGCGCCCGGCGAGTACGACCCGGCGTTGTCGCCGTCGTTGCCGGCCGAAACGCCGACAAACACGCCGGCCTTGACCAGAGCGGCGGCTGCATTGTTAAACGCGACGGAGAACCTGCCCCTCAAGCTCAAGTTGACGTATACTCCCTTCGGACACTGGCCGCAGCGGACAAACTTGGCCACCCAGTCCATGGCCTCCATGATGCTCGTGTTGTTTCCGTTCCCATTGTTGTCGAGGACCTTGACCCCGTAGATCTTGGTCTTCTTGGCCACTCCGAACGACTTGCTGCCAATGGTGCCGCTCACATGGGTTCCATGGCCGTGGCCGTCCGTGTCTTGGCCTGGGACATACGACTTGAGCATCTTGGCTCGGCCTTCAAAGTCCTGTAGCCTTATAAGCACAAGGACCCGAAAGTGAAAGACGCGAAAAGACTGGGCGCACCGGGTGCTCGGCAAAAACGCCGGTATCGAGCACGAAGGCGCAGGTGCCCTCGCCAGCAGTCGAGTCATACGTGTAGTTTCTGATGTGCGGCTTCAGGTGGGAAAGCCGCGAAATTCCCCAAGTGGCTTTCGACTGGGTTACATATTCCGTTATACTTGATACGGCGTCTTGCTCGATGAAGTCAACCTAGTTGCCCAGTGAGCCATTATGAAAGCCCTGCTTGAGGCACGGCAACACACGTTTGGGTCGTTGCGAAGACGTGCAACGGTCGCCGCATCCATTCGTCCTGCGAACCCCTTGAGCACATTGTTGTACCGGTGGGTAGCCTCATCGTGGGCAGATGCCAGGGCGTCGCTGACGGCGGCAGCACCGCTGTTATCCTTGAGCTTGACGATATACTGATTGGGAATTAAGGCAGCCCCTCTTGGAATGATCAACGGGGCTGGAGAATCTCGCTTCGTTGCTGGCGCCGCTAAAGCGCCTGGGAGTCGCAAGGCGAGGGCAAAGGTGGACAGCCGCATGATGAGAGCGCAAGGGCAGACTCCGCTGATTATTTGACAAGGGTGAGTACACAAATACGAATGCTGGCCTGTCTGCGGTCGCAAGGGCCTCGGTTGGTATTTATGATGACAGCGACAGCCATGGGCCTGCTGCAGTCATCATGCATCAACGCATGATGAATGCTGGCACACGGCATGCATCAGCGCCTTCTGTATACCATCCGGCCAACTGGCTTTCTGCAAGTTCGTTCAGGAGTGGCCGTGCGGGATGTTGACTGGCGAACAGACTCGAACGCTCCCATGTGGCTTCGTTGTACGAAGTCTATTTTCTGCGGCCGGGATGCACTTACTCAGGACGGGCAGAGTACCTTTGCCGAGCTGGCCCTCAGTCAGCATGCAGGTATCCGCGAATGCTTGTACCAGTTCCAATGGTTGCAGCCAATAAAGGGCCGGTCGCGTAATGCACCCTGTTGTCGTGTTGTCGCCAGGTCAGTAAGCGGTGCGCCTCAGTACCACCTGGGACTTTCGACAATGCGTCCCGGCTGGCACGCGGCCACGCCGTATAGCTTTCCGGTTCCGTCTCGAGGTGGTGCTAGGCCGGAGACCGGCCGTTGTCCATGCATCTGCATGCACGGGCCACGCCGGTAGAGCTTTCGGGCGTGACCGATCGCATAAGTCGCTCTAGTGTAAAGCTCGAGTTGAGGCCCAGAAAAGAAGAGGGTGAACAGGCAGCTAAGCGAGAAGCGAACGTGTGGACCCAGAAGGACACTTCTAAAAGGGCCAAATGCATCTCGACGAGACCGTTATTATCTGGGCATCGAGAGATGGGTTGGGGGCCGGGCACCAAGTCGCTGGTCCGAGCTCCAAACGTCTTCGGACGAGGGGTAGGAGATCGGGATGCTCTCTTTCGACGTTGCCAGCAGCTACTGCGCGCTTGCCGTCGGTCTGGCGAATCCCGAGCGGATACCGAAGGGCTGGTTGCTTCGGCGGGCAGCGATGGTCTGCTCTGGCGTTGTATGTCCTGCTTGGGTACCCTCGAAACGTTTCCCCGTTGACCTACTCCTGCATAGGCACACTGGCAAGCACACACACTACTCATTCGACAAATCCGTGCGCAGCCACTCAAACGTGTCAAACAGCTCAAAGTTAAAGTCGAGCTGCATCGCGTCCAAGGCCTCGGGTGGCCAGCTGCTGGATCCCGTTGTATTGAGCGTGTGGTCGAGCACATGCTGGATCACGGCGCTGCAGTTGGCGCACAGGTTCCCGTTGGCGGCGCCCGTGCCGATCCAGTCCAGGAAGCCGATGAGCAAGCTCAGGTTCTGGATGATGCTCGAGCGCGTGATCTTGGCGTTGCGCGGGTGCGCGCCGGTGAAGGACGGGTTGAGCAGCTCCATGCACAGGATGCCGCCTGCGGGCGTGGCATAGGCCATGACCTGTCTCTTGTCAGCGTCGGTTCAGACCTGGTATCCCACAGGACCATGGGACTTACTAGCCAGGCGAAGTCCGGCCGTGCCAGGGCGAACCTGTCCTTGTTCGTCCAAAACAGCAGCGTCAACGAGACCATCTCGAAGCTTGTCAATAGCAAGTCACCCTGATCGAGATCTCCTCTCCTCAGCAGCAACCGATCCGCCACAAAGAGGTTCTGCAAATGCTCGAGTTGTATCAGAAGCTTGGCGTATACCCTTCCGGGGCTTGATGAGCGAGAGTCGAGCTCCCCAGGCTGGTAGATGAGGGAAAGCGGGAACTCTGCCATTGTCTGTAATTGCCGCTCTTTGATGGCCCTGTTGCTCTGGTAAGTCTATGGATCAACAGCGACACAGGAGCGATCACTCACTGCAGCTTCTCAAAGGGCGTCTGCTTCCACCGCCCCAGAGCAATCTCAATGAGCTCGTCACGGATCAAAGCAATCATCAAACGAGATCGGAGGCTGGTCGATGAGTACAGACCACCTTCTGTGTTCCAGCCCCTCTCGTCCAGAGACTCCGAGGCTCTGGCTATGGCCTCGTCGCCGGCGAGAAGAACTTGGTCTGGGAGATCTAGCGGCAGCGGTGTGGACGCATAACGATGGCCAATTAGGGGCGGCCGACCGGTGAACAAGACGACAACTTTGTCCATGATGAAGACGTGGGCGGCAATCCGTCGCCTCGATTCTGAACTCAGCGTCGGACGATAGTCGGGGCTCTCTGTCTCGTCATGAAGACCCAAGAAAGTCATGAGGGAGACGGATTCTGCGAGACATCTCCAAGTAGAGGCGCCTTGGGACTGGGGTCAGCACGTCCGTCTAGCCGTCGGGGATTTCTCAATTAACATACTTGCGTCGCCGGACAATATCGATTCGGCCACAGTCCTCCTGATGCACAGCTGCAAAAGCAGACTATTCCCGTCCGAAAACCTCCGCGTGAGGTCGACGCAGAGCCCGAGGCATACCTGGGCAACTTCAGGCCAGTGCTTGGTCAGCCCACAGGTAAACTGATCAATGTCGTGGTCCGCGTCGCTTAGGGGCTCGCCACCCAGTTCTCTGAATGTGAACAGCAGGCCCAAAGACTCCCATCGCAGGTTTTGGCCGGAGAATTGGCCCATCCATCGGTCCGGGTCCGGCTCATTGTCGTTGAACGGCCTCGCAGTGTTTCTGCTCAGGAACAGGGCCATCTCCTCGAGCTGGGCATTCGTTCGGTTGGTGCCGAGGTGCGACCCGAAGCGCTCGTAAAGACCTGCAAGCACGCGCTGAGCGGCCACGCGCGCCCAGCCATCGTACGGGTGCGGCGACATGCGCAGGGAGATGTGGCCCTGGGGAGGGCAAGGAATGCTTCGCAAGACGACCATGCACATCTCCCGCACTGGCGATGATAGCACCTGGGACGGATCACGAAACTGAGCTTGCGCGGCGTCGCCGTGGCCGGGGAGGCACGGCCGGAAACCTTGCAGTAGCGACAGGGTGTTCTTTGTTTCCTCGTACACGGCCGAGTGGCTCAGGATGCCGAAGAAGCCGGGCCCTGGCCGCGCCGAAGGCGGACCGGATGCCTGATCCTCGGAGCTGGGCGAGGGCGTCACCACATCCGAAGGGGGCCCATCCGGGAAACCAGCGGTCGGGAGGAGCGAGGCGCGCGGCTGTGCTGCAGGCCTTGCCTCTGCCGCGCCTGTGCTTGGTGAACCCTGGCTGAGGCTCTGGCTCAGGCTCTGGCGAGGGCGTTCGCCTGCGACGGGTCGTGCCGAGCCGACGGCCCAAGCTCGGACTGGCCTCGAGCTGGAGATGGTGTAGGTGCATTCGCCCTCGCGACCGGTGGCGCGGCAGCGGTTGCACACGGGCTGGGTGTGGTCGCAGGCGACCTTGCGACTTCGGCATTGATCACATGCTTGCGGGCGGCCGTTGCGCCGCCGCAGAAGGGGAGCGCCGGCGGAGGAGCTCATGGGACGGGACGATCCATGGGCAAGGTCGGGCAATGGGGAATGGGCGGGTGGTGTGATGGAGATGCTGGCGGCGTGGGATGCGCTGTGAGATTTGTAAGATGTGAGAGCGTGAATGGTGTGACGAGATGGCAGTGAGAAGTTGGACTAGTCGAGCTGTCGTCGCCACAGACGGAGTCATCCTCTGCCATTTCTAGGACGCTACGGGGGATCAACTGCCCGGAGATGGCGCCGCGACCGGCCCACCATCAGCGACCTCCAGGCCCTTCCCTCCCGAGGCCCGGACGGCCGGGGGCGTCGGGAGGCGGCGGCTCACCAGGTCCACTAACTTATTGGCGCCGCCATCCTCCCTCGATCCACCGCTGAAGAATACGCCAGCTCCCCTCCCTGACATCCCCTGGAACGATATGGCCCGCCCCGTCAACGCCCACAAACACCAACCTTCCATCGTCAGTTCCCTTCCAGAACCCCTCGGCCGCCAGCTCCCGCGGAAGCTCCCTCCAGCGCGCGAGCCGATAGTCGGCCTGCCCGCTCCAGCGCACGAGGTAGTCGTAGATGAACTTTTGCCCCGGCGTGTTGACGATGTAGTCCTCGTTGCCGTTGAGCACCAGCACGCGGATGTCGCTCCCCAGGCCGGGCTGCTCGTACGCGTCCAGCACGGCCGCGAGCTCGCGCGTAGTCGGCTTGAGCGGGTCGTGGCCGCGCACGTACGCGTCATTGAGCGCCAGGTTGATGCCGCTGTACACGAAGGACGAGGGGAAGCCGAGCGCCGCCTTGACGTGCTCCTGGTTGAGGTACCGCGTGAAGTCGCCCTTGCCGGGGTAGCAGAGCGGCAGGTTCGGGCATTCTTGATGGACTGTGTTTTCCGTCAGTAAAACAGGCAGTCGTTCTTACACGGCTTGTAAGGTCGCTTACTGTTAAACGGACTGCGCTTTCCGGAGTTGATGAGCTCGCGGTAGTATACGTCGATCTGCCCCATGTACTGCTCGTCCAAGGCGACGCACTCGTGCCCGTCCTGACTCAGATCGCACGACATGCCCAATCGCTCCACCTCGGGGATCGCATGGCGAATATTGTCGCACGCCGTTGCGTTAATGATGTCCCGGCCGCGAAAGTCGGAGCACAAGAGCTCATACGTGCCGACGGCGTTGCCTGTCCAGTCAAGTAGAGCATCGACGAGGATGAGAGACGTAATGTTGCCCCGGAATGCCGACTTGGAGTCATATGCGCGCGAGTCGAGGATGTGCTTCAGATAAACCGGTCCGTAGTGTCCCCCGTACGACTCGGCCGCCAGGTGGATGGGCAAGCCCGCCTTCTCTGGGAATATCTCGCCGAAAAAAATGTTGAGGAACGACTGGAAGCTCTCCGCGCCGTCCAAGTCGGCTGCAGGCATGGGCGCCCCCTCAGCCAAGGACGCAAAGCCCACGCCGGCCGGCTGATCGAGAAACAGCAGCGACGCGTTGTTGTTCCACGCCCACGGATTGACGCTCGGCTCAGCCGAGTCCAAGTCGAAGATGCAGGGGCCCAATTCGTTGAAGAGGCCAACCATGGACGACCCGCCGGGACCACCGTTCATCCAGACGATGATGGGGTCGTTGGCAGGGTCGTTGCGGCTCTCGAAGAACCAGAAGAACAGGCGATGCGCATCGCTAACATCGACTGTGCCGGTCCACTGAGACTCTCCGTGCGTGGGACACGTCTTGTTGTCCTGTGCCTTGAGGGTATACTGGCCCGTCTTGAACGGCGCCGAGCCATGGGCCGTTTGGTGGTCGCCAGTGCCCATTGGCCGCTGGTGCGTGTCATGATGGCTGGTATGGTCATCAACTGTGATTGCATGTGGACTTGTCGGCGCATTGCTTCTTGCGTTCCAGATGAGCTGCGCCGAAGCTGAAGCGGCTAGCGCAGCCGCGACAGAGGCTGAGAGCAGCATGATGCTCGATAAAGAATCCCGCCTTCTGGACCTCGGCGAGAGGGATTGAGGACGTGGTCCCTCACAGTCGAGCGAAGGAGAGAGACCATTTCATAAGGATAGGCGTGGCCATAGCGCCGTAGCACGGGTACCAGGCCCGGTACGACGTACAAGTGCCGAACGAGATGGTTTGGCTGGCTGGCTCGGCCAACACGAGCAGGCTTTCCGCCTTCCAGAACAGGTTGAGTCTCATGCAACTCGGCAAGTTCCAACGACTTTTGATGACCACCCGTCCCCAAATGGACGCAAGCCGGCGCCGTTGCTGCCGTTTCACTCTGCAAGGCATTTGCTTACAAGCTACTGACACCAGCAACCACAACGAAGACTCTTTACGAATTGCGCGGCATGTGCTCCAAACGCCACGGAAGACTGGCTACCTATAGGCTATCGCTACAGTTGGCTGTGGTTGGCGGTGGCCCCTTCAATGAATCAATGGCAAGGGCATGCGCTGGTGGCCGACGCACTCACCGCGGCGGGCTTTGTGCAACGGTTGGGAGGCGGCGCTGCAGCAATTTCGGCGAGCTCTTCCAGGCAGGTACAGGGCCAACAGAAGCTGTGTTGCCCCTGCGAGAATCAGCCAAAGCAAGCTATAACACGCAACGTCAACCATGGGATACGGAGTCGACTTTTTCAACCCTAGGGTACAAAGTGGCACTTGCAGTACGAGACGCGGGCTTGCGTCGAGACCTGGGCAGTCGTGTGATTGACCATGACTCTCCATTCTGCACGCTGTGGGTGAATGTGAACGCAAGGTAGTGCCAGCTGGCCTGCCTTCTGGTGCTTGCAATTGAGCCTCCCGATCGATTGAAGCCACCCGATGTCCACGGACCTCCCAAGTAGCTATAGGCAACGTAAGCACTAAAGGTCAAACGGGCCGGCCGGACGGCTGGCCCGTCAGATGCGGGCCGAGACGTAGTGGGGAGCGGAATGGGCAAAGAACGGCGCTACAAACTTTGGCGGGGAGGGATGTTCCCGCGTGACGGGACGAAAACTGTGTACTTTCATGAATGTAGGAAGGGATACTATTCATGCATGGGCCAGTTTCTGTGTCTTATTCTCAAATATACGCATCAACTTGAATGATGACTGCCTACAGTAGCAGTAGTAGTAATAACATTGGTAGTAGTAGTAGTACTGCAATAGCAGCAGTAGTGGCAATACATTAGTAGAAAACAACACCCACGCCAACGATATCGATCTGAGCATTTCCCGAGCCCTCTACCCCCACTGTCACATTGATACCCCACTCAACTGTCTTGTCAACTTCAAACTCACGATTAATGTGAATGTCATTTGGGCTCGTCTCGTTGGCTTCCTCGCCATATAGCCTGGTGCTACCGTCATACACCTTTATGAAGGAAATCCGGGATCCCGGATAAGTTTTGAAACGGATAAAAATCTTGCCGGCCTTAAGGCGCTGGCCATTGACGATAGTGGGTGAAGCGATAGGGAAATGGAGATGAGTCGCACCATTCATAGCAATAGTTGCGCGGTCAGATTGGCGAGTCACCCTCGCCGGGGGATCCGCCTGAACCGCGTTGCCATGAACTTCGATTTCATGTTTAATATCGGCGAGTTCATGCATGCTGTCTTTCAAGATGGCTTTCAGCCTTTTGTAAGAGCCTTTTGTACGAGTGTTTGGAGATTAACAGCTGCCAGAATTGAATGTGACTGCGGAAGTAGGGCATATGTGCGATTGCGAACATCATGTCCTGACTGGAGGTTGTCTTGTGCTCCGGATCGTGCTGATTTATACATTTTTCACTTCTCAACTGCGGACTACAGTAGGGGGAGGGGTGTTAACTCAATTTCGGCGCCGCAGCTTCTTTGGTGCGAAATATTAAACTATTTTAGCTTTGTGCTTTTCAGCTCTGGCTATTCATTGTGCAGGCAGCCCATCGATCTGAACATATTTGGACGTCGTGGCAGCAAGCCCATTCTAGTATTTCCGAGGACAAGACCTCGATTGCGAAAGATTGTATTAGACTTAGAACTAAGGTTAGAATGGCAAGGTACAAGTTCAGCCAGAACTCTTGTTGTCTGAGTTTCAAGCATACCGCCACCATGACTTACTCCCCAAACCAACCAACTACTGGAACAGTGTCCCGGCTTCGCGAACTCGTAAATAAAGGTGAACCAATAATATTCGTCAGCTTCGCAATCACGATGCGCAACAAAAAGAAGGTTTCAGCCCCTCACCGAGCTATATGCGTTGCAGTTCGGCTGAAAGTGAATGCGACATGTGCTTGGTTTCTTAGTTCAAGTGTCGCCAACGGCATCGTTTCTAATTATTCTACACCACGGATCAGGTTCTCTTCTGTTTCTATAAAGGGCCGCGCGATGAGATGCATGCAGCTCAATCTCTCCGAGAAATCCGCATTGACATCCTGACATGAAAAACGCGAAAATCGAAACGGGGCGCGCTTCGCGGGGGCGAATGCCTGCGCAGCTCAGGGTGCTCGCCTCCCGGTAAGTCAAGTTGCTAGGAGCCCGCACGAGGCCCCATTCCGTGAAGACGCCGTACTGCCGTAACGTGCTGATAATGCTCGCACCCAGTCCCGTCTGCGAACTGCCGAAGTGAATGGGCCGTACAAATGGCCCCGGATCATGAGAGTAACTACTCTGTCGTCTTTCCGCCACAGCGTGACTTTGCTTCCGACATCTACCACCTCGCCTGCGCCGTCTGAGGCCGTCCAAGGGGAAAGGGTAGTCGTCCTGGTGGAATTGATAAGAGCTCGTTTAAGAGGCGCAATAGAGAGATTAACCTGCCCTGGCAATCATCAAGTCGCGAGACTTCAACGGCACGGCATGGATCCTGACGAGCATGTCCCATTCGCCCAACGTCGGGATGGGTGCGTCCTCAAACTTGGGACCATCAAACCGACTGTCTGTACCAACCACCCTCCATTGCTTCAAAGACGTAGCGGGCATTCCGTGTGCAAGCAGGACTCAATTGTTCAAATCGGCGGCCTGAGATGCTACCGGCATGGAAATGAATAGGCTGTCGCGGGGATCTGGGTGCTGAAATGGCTGGTCTGGATGAACGAATTGCTACACGTCATGTTCGCGGAGCAACTGAGGCTTGGTAATTGAATGGAATTATTAACGCAGCTAGACTCCGTAGCGGTAGTCCAACCGATTGTCTGCGACAACGCGACAACGGCAAGCTGCCACTCATCGACCGGCCACTGATGGTGAACAATATTTAGGCGCGATCGCGATCACTGGTCACGGCCACCTTACGGCCAAGTGTCTCCGTCCACTGAGCTACACAGAACAGGCACAAAAACGACATGCAAGGGCCGCGGGAGGCCCATAGCGAACGAGTAGGATGTGTTGGCCCCCATGACGCGGTACTATCTGGATCTTCTCGAGTGGGCGAGGCCCGCCATCACCCTGAGCCCGAGCGCAATGGCGCTCCAAAGCAGTCCCTTCAGACATAATAAAGGCATTGGAATCAGCTCTCGGCTTCTGCAGCCTAAGCCAGGGGTAACTGTGAGACTGCTGATGCCATGATCCAGTCAAACAGAGCCCTGGGCTGGCGGCGTCCAGATGCCTTCCTATCCAGCCTCTCTCAACCCATGGGTGGGCTTCCCGGTAGTTCTCGCAACTCCCCATCTGGCCGCGTGGTTGGCAGCTCCCGAGGTTCGAAGTAGCCCCCGCCATAGTTGGGCGGCGGCGACACCGACGAGCTGCCTCCGTTAAAGGTCGGAGGATATGGCGATGTCGGTGAACCCATCCCCGTCGGTTCTGACACCGAGGTTTTGGCCACACTGTAACGGTAGTCTTGCGCCATGCCATCGCCAGCTGCACCAACGTTCATCATCGGTGGATTGTCAGTAGCAGCAGACGGCTCGGCACCAGGCTTCGAAGCCTTCTTCTTCTGTCTCCAGCGGAAAAGGAAGTACCCTACGAGGCACAGCACAATGAGGCCCGCTAGAACATAAGTTAGCCTTACTCTTTACTCAAAGCAAGTGGTACGTACCGATTCCTCCGACTACGCCGCCTACAATGGCACCCACGTTTGTTGACGGCGGCGGCGGGGGCGTCGTAGTTGTGGTAGTTGTAGTAGTTGTCGTGGTGGTCGAGCTGGTCGTTGTAGTTGGGGCCGTCGAGTTGGTGTAAATCTGGAAGATTTCCTCCGTTACGCCGCACCCGATGATTGAGTAGCCGTCAAGGTCTGAGTTGAGGAACTTATACGTCACACAGGCAGGATATGCCGAACTCCCACTATCGCCACAACGGGTCAGCAGTCTGTTCGCGTTGTCTAAAGCAGCACAAGATTACCCACCAATGCGCGGTGATATTGTTCGAGGGCGACTGGGAGGCAGATGGCACACATGCCGTCGGAATGACGCATCCGCTCGTGGCGGAACAGCAGCCGATGGCACTTGCTGAGCTATCGTTGAAGCATCTGTTCTCTCCCAAAGCTCCTGTGCATACGAACGGGACGCCTACCAAGTGTCAGCAAGTCAGCAGATTAGGGAGGAAAACGTGGATGAAAATGCCACGTACCTTTGGCCGGGCCACTGTTGATGAAGCCACATGTCTTGTCGTCGGTCCTGTCATCGCGCCTCAAGGGCCTGGCATGGTAGACAGGCGCTGCTGTGAGAGGAGGACCGGCTTCGGACAACACGTGGGATGTGATGAGCGGCTGGTCTGCACTGACAGCGGCCGGAATCAGTCTGGCGCAGACTCCCGCGATAAGAAATGATGCAATTATATTTCCTTGATAACGGACCATCATTGAACCGTTTCTGACGCGTGAGCAAAGACAGTCATTTAGATCAGGTCGCCAGGTGGAGCTCGGTTCGTATAAACCTGATCGTGCGGTTTGATCTGATTGACGTGCGCGCCTTGCAGTCCAGTCGTACCGTCTCGGCCATATATGTGGCGCGGCGTCGGAAGAGGAAGAGGCGGGCTCGGGGCGTGGAAGCCAATTCAATGCTCAGAGCTGGGGGGGCCTTGGCTCAAACATGCCACTGCGAATAGAGTTGAGCTGAGCATCTGCAAGGCTCCCTACAGGCGATCGTGGCGGCATTGCCCCAGGTGACAGTGCCTTAGTTTTGACGGAACAGACCTGAAGGCATGCTGTCGCAGTTGAGTATGCCTCTGGCTGGAGTCCTTGTGCCACACCAAGCATTTCCAGGCACCGTGCGTCGGATCCTCGCGAATGGGATATCCCTGGCACCGTCCAGTCGGGCGATTCTCATGTGCCATGGAGTGCAAGTGTACGTGTAACTTTCCGAACGGGAATGCGGCACACTCCTGAAGGCTGACCTATGAGCGAGGGAGTCCGGATTAACAGGAGCTGTGGTCAGGATTCCGGCCCCTTTGTACGTGGCATATGCCTCCAAAGCCACAAGAAAGCCGCCACCGGGACCTGGACCATCTATCAAGCTCGTCAGTCATCTGGCACTGGTCACTGTAACGGGGCGGCGAATTGGAGACTCCACACTACATCACCGCGAAGGCTTGTATTACAGCTGCGGGAGGACCCGGTAAGTATGGGACGTTATCTGCTGCGCTGGAGCGGTCCTCTGTGGCCATGCGGATTCCGCCAGCGGAACTCGACCCGTAAGGCAAGACGTGCACATGCTTCCTCTTAGGCGATGCGTATTTGGGTGAAGTCTCGAGATGGCCCGTAGCCTTCGTCGCCCGCAGGAGCAAGAAGAGTCTAAGTCGCGCCGGTCCTGAGCACAGGGTGGCTTGGTGGGCAGCCCAGCGAAGCGAAGCAGCCACCGCGACGCCATCAATCGGAGCTGGAATCTGAGAAAGGACCAAGCAGTACTGGGAGTCTCGGGAAGAGCTGAGTGCCACGCACCACAGTAGGAAATATTCCCGGAGGTCCTGGCTGCTCAGGCGCCTTGCAACACGCGGGAATACGAGGAACAGAGGACATCAACGACAATGCCAACTGTTGCCCCCCCCAAAGCAAAACGCCGGGAAGCGAAATATCAGCCCTCGAGCACTTATTAACAAGACCTTCGGTGCAGAGAGCTGGCCTCAGAATACATATGCCCTCACAGTATGCGGCGTCAGTGATTGTGTGGCTGATTCGGGTTTCTCCACGGTGACAGCCTGTGGCGCATCGCCAAACTTACTTCAGCGCCCGGTTCGGGGGTCCTCCCAAAGCGCTTACAACGGTAAGGCATACGAGAAGCCTCCACGGCTGCGCAGTTGTGGTGGCGCATCTTCGACTAAACATCTCTCGTATTTCACCAGCCCCTTTTATGGACGGGGCCATTGACCAATCTTGCCAACGCACACGGCACCCGTCTGCACAACTGCGGACCGTGCCTCGGCCGCCTGTGGCCGGGTGGCTAGCCGGACCTGGCTTTCAGCTCACTTCAGCCCGCCGCCGCCAAATCCCACCGGATGGCCAGCTTGTGGTACTCCTTCACCATGCCTTGACAGCGAAAAGCAACACGATCCTGGCTTTCTTCAATTCTGGGCACCACATGCACACCGGGTTCTTGGACGGCAGGGGCATTTAGGATCCATGCACTTTGCTATGTTTAGCGGCCCTACCATTTTGACTTTCACATCGATTTGTACGAACCTGTGACAAATATATCTGCCTGCCAGGAAAAGTGATGGCGATGCGCGCCCGTTTGAGGAAGACGCGATTCTTGTATTTGCGGTCCCTGTGGGCTTGAAGCGCGGCAGGCCCTGCGTCGCCAGACACTCTCCACACGGAGAGCGCCAAGCGGAAAGCTATAAAGGCACGGGTTCTTGCATCCATGTCGTGCATGGCACGTTTTCGGGAGGGAACACGGCAACCCGGCATCCCAGTGGCGTGAAGAACAGTCAGATCTTCAGCTCGAAAGAACACATTCAGTCCAGCCAACGCTCGCAGGGAATAGATGTACAACTAGGGCGTCCGAACTTGTCTACCGTTCGGCCCCCATATCACCGGTCGCCGCTTGCCCGGATATGACGCTTCTTCGTCATTGACAGCACTTCCCTTCCCTGTCCATCGGCAACTCCTGGAGCCAGAGAAAGAAAAAAAATGGCATACGAGACAGCTACCCCGTTCCTACCGCATTACCCTCCTCCGCCCCGCCGCGTCCGAATGTCCAGGTGGTGGCCCGTATCCTTTCTCATACTAGCTCTGGTCTTGCTCATTATCGGTGGAGCCTTGATCGGCGCATCGGCTTATAACGCGGAGTACTTTGACGACAACTACGGCGAGTTCTATGGCGGAGTGGTATTACTGGTCTTAGGAGGTATTTGCAAGCTCATCGGATGGGTTCTTCTTGTCATCTGGTGCGTTCAGGGACGTCGTCTTCAACAACCGCCTCCCACATACGTCAGTCAACCGTGGGAATACGCTGCGCCTCAGCCTGGCTACGCCAATGTGCCGATGTACTCGTCGGCCCCCCTGCCGCCATATCAGAACTTGCAGACTGCCACGAATGGGCCGGCAACGACGAAGCCATATTGATCCCCTGCGGCACCCCTGGCCCCGGTGTTCCACTGTATTATCAGGACCGAAGAGGTTCTCTGTGTACTTTCATGGCATAGTGTGGATCGAGTACCGACCGTAATGCTATTTATTCAGCATGTTGCAGGACATCAAGTGCATGCGGTGTATGTAGTGAGTTCAACAGACGAGCCAGCAGTATACAGCTCTACAATATGAAGCCGCCGCCACTTTCACTGCTCATCTCCCTCACCACGCCCTCAATGTCCACCCGACACCCAAGCTGGTCTTGTAGTCGGCGAACTCGGCCCATCAATGTTTGAACCCGATTGACACTGCTCACGTTATTGCCGCGTTGACCGCCATTCCCGTGCAGCTCCCGTCCCTTGGCCGACATGGCCACTTCGCCACCCCAAGAGGAGGTGACCTCGTTCATGAAGCCCCGTATCCAGTCCGCATGGATCTCATCTGTGGTCTCCACGCCAGCGACGAACAGAGGGAGCGGCCATAGCATTGACCTTGGCATCTTGTGCGGCCATGACGTTGTTGGGCTCGAAGACTCGTGCGCCCGCCGCAAGTGTAAGGCAATGTCAAGGATTGACTTGACTGCGGTTGCGGCGGAGCTTTCGCTGCGAGAAGTCGGATGTAGCAGTCGAGACCAGAGGATTTTGGCTGTGAGGAAGACGGCGTAGCATGCCAACCACTGCGATGAGGCGCGGTTCAGTGAACCTTCCGGGGCAGCATCCTCCAACATCGAATCCGGTCCTGGTGGGGTTACGCCCGTCGAGCCCGGGGAGCTCACAAGCTGGAGATTTGCGAGGGTGGTGACAGACACCGGCGACGCAGTCGGTTTGACGTTGTAGTAGCTGGTCGGGTGAGCTGACCGGGCCGATGCTACGTGCATCACAGGCTGCTGGAAGCATATTTCACGCAGTATGGCAGCGGACGGATTGGTCGCCATGGCCAGTCCAAACTCCACGTCCATCCTCCTAATGTCAACGTCAATTGCCTCGACCTTGGCGTTTTCCAGCTCCAATTGGGTCGCCGCGTCGCTCTGCTGCGCGGCCACTCGCTTCCACGATCGATACCGCAGCATGTTGGCGATGAGGCAGAACGTCTCGTGAGTCCGGACCGCCACGGGAGCCTTTTCCGCATCCTGAAGCAGCTCCTCTGCGGGATACGAGTCACCGAATATTTCCGATAGGTAGGACTGGGAGCGGTCGAGGATTTGCTGGTAGTCGGAGTGGTTCGCAATGGCGTCCAGAAGGGTGGTCGATACACCGTGACTGTTGACCGCGGCGGAAGGGGTGAAGATTGAAACCCGCACGTGGAGATAGCCGAGCCAGAGGAGGATCTGGCAGGCAAATGCAGAGAGGTCCTTGCCATCGAGGTGGACATTTAATCGCTGTTTCAGCGTCTCGAGGTGGTCAAGAATTGAGCCGAGGTCGTCGTTGAGGACGTCGCAACGACAAAGAAACAGACTGGCGCATATTTTGACCTCGGTGGCAGAAGCCATTACCTTCTGTCCTGTAAGAGGTGCGTCTGGTGCGCCAATTGCGTCCTGTTCCTCTAGTCTTTGCAGGGCCGCTATCGCCCGAGAGTAGTACTGTTTCCAGGTATCGTCCCCAGGCTGACAAGCCACTGCCCAGTGCTTTGCCGTCCATGCCAGAACGGCGAGCCGGAAAGGCGACTCGGCGTGGCATTGAGGGTCTCGTACGAAGTCCAAGACGAACCGGAGATAGTTGCCTTTCCCGTCATCTTTCAAGGAGTACGCCCAGCCACTGATGCAGTGCTCGTAGTGCTGAAAGAAGAACTCATCTTGATCGATGTTTTGTTCCGGTGTGGGGTGACTGTCCGGCGCTGGGGTTTGTTTCAGGCGTTTTGCTTGTCGATGCTCAACTGTCGCGTCGCGCACAGCCGGCGCAATGGGTTGTGGGGTTTGTATGGACTGCGGGTTCGAGGACGAGACTAGGGATGTTGGCGTAGACAAGGTTGCGTTGTCTGGCAGGTGGGTGTTGTCCAGATTCCAAGACGAAGAGTCAGAAAAGGGTGTGGTATAATCGAGCCACGGATCCAGGGAGAAGTCGAAGTCCCAGGTGCTGTTCCACGGCAGGAGACCGGCATTGGGGAGGTCAGTTGAGGGCGCAGATTCGGGAGCGTGAAGATCTTGACCACGCTGTGCGGGCTCTTCTAACGACCATATTGGAGCTGGGCCGGGCACACTTTTGCCATGCGGCTCGTTGTTCGTGCTAAGGGACGTTTCTTTTGCCTGCTCGCGTGAAGGTGCATCGCAAGTCTTCGACGTTGCGACACCGCGGCTTTGCCGCACTTTTCGCGGCTTGGCATTGCCGGCCTTGCCTTTTTCCTCGTCCAAAACACCAACTGAGACTTTCCAATTGGATTCGAATGGCGCCTGGCAGGCAATGTTCATCCGTGAGCAGTTCTGGCAGGGGTCTCCGCCAGCGCACCGAACCTTGCGCCTGCGACACGTCAAACAGCCTGTCACAGGGTCAGCGCCCACGATAATATGATCCAAGCTAATGCAAACCGGCGAGTTCATTGACGCTTACCATGAAAGCTACGCCGCAGGTGTTGGCTCATCAGGTCCGCAAACACGACTTGGCTGGAGGTGCCAGAAGGATGTGTGTGTAAGTCCGGGGAACCAAACCACGCCGGCAGGCAAACAGTCTGGTCTAAATACGATCTGGGGATTTGGGGAACGCCCACCAGCTGACGCAGTAAGCCTTTCAACTCCACCACCCCCTCACCAACCCCACCATAAGATTGGGGTTGGAGGGTCAAGGCGAAGCACAGGGTGCGGACATCCCTTGCCGCAGGCGACCGATAAGTCCAGTCCCTTTCCAATCTGCATACTCAAGCTAATTACTACACAGTCGCACTACGCCTTGCGGCGGATTGACTACAGAAATGTGCATTTATCGGCGGTTTATGTGCAAGCCGTTGTTGTCGGCGGCGGCTGCTTGCCCTCCGGCTCATGAGACAATTACAGGGCCCTAGTAATGCTTAGACTCAACGATAGGGCTTCAGTCGCTAACGCTAGCTAGAACTACAGACTCATCCCCGGCCGCTCAATTCACAAACAATCACCAGCTGTAGCGAAAGTACGGCAGCTCCCTATCCGTCTTGTCCAAGAAGTCGTCCTGCGGCTCGTCCGGGTCCACCTTGCCATACACGCGATCCCGCCGCCTGTTCTCCCAAATCAGGTAGCCCATGAGCGTAAAGGCCAGCAGGATGAGCACGACAAAGGACGCAATCATGCCGCGAAAGCCCGTCTCGTAGCGCGGCGCTTCGGTGGAGATGAAGAGCTGCGGGGCGACGAGGTTGCCGGCTGAGTAGGCGAGGAACATGCCCGCCGCGACCGTCGTCTTGCGCGACATGCCTGCGATGTTGGACGCGACGAGGCTCATGGTCATGATGTAGCTCACCGTGCAGGTGAAGAGCAGGTACACGCCCGCGAGGCGCGTCAGCTTCTCCGACTCGGGGATGTAGTTGATGAGAAGGGCTCCGACGAGCGGGGGGATGTTGGAGAGGATCATGATGGCGCAGCGGAAGTTGCGGATGTAGGAGCCGGCGATGCCCCTTGGCTTCTGTCAGATACGTTCGTGCTCGATGCAGTGGGTGCGGAAGACTTACGCGCTCACGATGCTGACGAGGTGGATGGCGTGTTCCGGCATGGAGTACACCGTCGCTTCGAGGTTGGTGTATCCCAACCCGGTGAGGATGAGCTTGTTAAACTGCGAGACGAGGGTCAGCTACTATCGCAACGAGGGATGAGCGAAGTGATGCTCACAGCCGTGAGGCCTCCTCCGGGAAGACACTGGACAAACACAATGGCAAAAAAGATCCACGCCTGCGGGTCCGTAAACACCGACAGCGCCTGCTCCCACTTCCAGTGCGAGCTGCTGATGCCCGTATGGTTGGACATGACGCGCAGCACGGCAATCTTCCTCTCGCGCTCCGACAGCACCCTCATCTTCCACGGCGAGTCGGGCATGAAGACGGCCAGCACGCCCGCCCACAGGACCGTGACGCCGCCAAACGCCAGGAACATGTACTTCCAGGGCGACAGCGGGCCGTGCCCGTGCCCGATGCCGTACGCGATCAGGTCCCCGAAGAAGGAACCCACCGCGTTGCCGGACCACCAGGCGCAGGCGCGCAGCGAGTGTTCCTTGCGCGTGTAGTACTGCGCCGTGATAAGCACAAAGGCCGGGTTGTTGACGGCTTCGAAGAGGCCCAGGAAGAAGCGCGACGTGGCCAGCGCGGCGAAGTTGGTGGCCGTAATGGCGAGGAGGATGCATGCGCCCCAGCCGAGGACGTTGCCTGCGAGCCACTTGCCCACGGGGACGCGGTGGAGCATGTATGCGTTGAGCGGCTGGCCGATCATGTATCTTTGTGTATGTCAGACGACAGACTTTGCGAGGAACGGGGTCATAAGTCCTCACCCAAAGTAAAAGATGCTGGCGACCCAGCTGTACTGGCTCTTTTCGAGGTGCTGCGCCTGTATTAGCCACTCCCTCTAGGTAAGGGCTTCAACCAGGGACTTACAGCATCCTCTCGGAGCCCAAAGACCGAGGCATTGGACAGGATGCCCTTGTCCAAGAAATTGAGCGTGAATGTACCCAGAAGCTGCATAGAGCTGTCAGCTTGAACACACCGAGACAAGAGGTCGCAACGACAGGCCTCACCAGTGGCATCATGTACAGGTCAATCTTCCAGCGCACCTTCCTGGCCTCGTCATCCGTGTAAGTAAAGTTGTCGTCGCCAGTCGAGCGCAGAAAGTCGAGCGCGTCGTCGTGCTTGGTGGGCACCTTGTCGGAGAAGAGGTGCCCGTCGATGTGGTGCACGTCGGCAGTCTGCGACGGGTGCGCCTCGATCTCATCATGAGGTGCTGCTGCTGCCGTTGTCGCCGCCACGGGCGCATTGGTCTTTTCCTCGTCGTGCATCTTGGAGAGCACCCCCAGGAATACGGTGGCCGGAGAGATGAGGAGAGGCAATGCCTGTAAAGGACTGTTACAGGACGGAGGTCTGGACAGTGAAGCAAGCAGCGAACGACAGCTTGAACCCGATCTTCTCATCCCCAAGGAGGCGGCGATTGCATCAAGATATATGCCGTCCCTCTCGCCCCAGCACGGTCACTCGTCCCCAAGGTGCGCGCGGCATCCGAGCAAGCAACACGCACCGCGCCCAGCCAGCCACGCAGCGCAGGGTTATCGAGTCGCGGGGTGCATGTGCGAGTGCGGAGAAAAGATTGTGGAGCGCAGAATCTGGGGAAGCTCCCGTCGCCATGACTACCGCTTCAGGTTAAGACGCCGAGCTGTGGACACGCTGACGCTGGGGTCGTGTAAGTCGGCCGCCCAAGCGGGCAGTCATGCCGACTGAACCACACTAGCTTCCCCGAGGTAAGCACTCTTCTCAACGGTCAACAGGATTGACAGGCCCCAACTGCTTGAGAGCGACGGGGCGGACCATTAGATGGGTCAACACTATCGGATGGGGCATGCCGATCCGGAGGACTATCGAGGGTCACCGAACGAGGCGGATACTTGACCGTGGTGGCTGCAGGGCCAAGAAAACAAGATAAGTAACAAGGGGGAAGACACACCGCGACCAGTTGCGATAGCTACTTTACCTGTGCCCATGGCTATTATCCTTACCACAACTGACACCCGCACAGACAGTTGTTCAAGCCACACATCAGTCAGTCACCATGGGTTCCCTCGCTCTGCCCACCAACTACCAGCACGTCGTGGTCCGCGGACCGCCGTATGAGCGCGGCCTCTCGCACGGGCAGCAGGCGCGGGAGAAGATCCTCGCCAGCCTCGAGCACTACAGCCAGCCAGGCAAGCTGCTGCCATGGTACGTTCCACTCGAGCTCGTCACTTTTCTTCCTCTACTCCAAGACTGGACCCCTTCTCCAGCTCCAGCACCGCATCCCCTTCTCCTACTCCAAGACTAGGTCCCTTTTTCCTGCTCCAGGACTTGAGCAAAGACCATGCGCTATGATGTGAAAGGCCTCGCACTTTGAAGCGTCTGCCGCTGATGATGGCCACAGGGACATGTGCCAGCGCATCATCCACGAGGTGTACATCCCCGGCGTGGAAAAGTTCTTCCCCGAGGCGCTGCCCGAGATGCAGGGCATCGCGGACGGCGCGGGCGTGGACCTCGAGAAGATTGTCCTCCTCAACGCGCGGTACGACCTGGCGCGCGTCCGCGGCGCGGGCATTCGTGCTTGTCCGTCCGACAGCGTGGAGGAGGCGTCGTCTATCCCCTCGCAGCCTGAGATCGCCGCACCTATCGCCAGCGCCATCGCCGTGGAGAGTCTCACGCAAGGCATCATGCCCAACGCCAACGGTTATACCAACGGCCGTAGCACGAACGGCACCACAACCACCCAGCTTGTCGATGACGAGTCCTCGCACGACCCCGCCCTCCAGGAATGTACCGCCGCCGGCATCCTCGCCGAGGCCACCACCTCAGGCTCCGTCTTGCTCGTCCAGAACTGGGACATGTCCGCCAGCGTGTACACCAACGACACGGCCCTCCTGCTCGAGGTGCACCCCGACCCCAGCGAGGGCATCCCCGCCATGTTCCTCGTCACCGAGGCCGGGCAGCTGGGCCGCTCGGGCATCAACGCCGCGGGGCTCGCCGTGTGCGCCTGCTCGCTCATGTCCACCGAGGACTACTTCCCCCTCCTGGTCAACGAAGAGAAGCAGCAGCAGCAGCAGCAGAAGCAGAAGCAGAAGCAGGCGCCGCTGCTGCCCATGACGCTCATGCGCCGCCAGTTCCTCCACAACATCAACTTCTCCAACGGCCTCATCAACATCCGCAACGCGCCGCGGCATGTATCCAACCGGCTCGTCGTCGGCACGGCGGACAACTTTGTGCTCAACATGGAGGTCACGCCGTCGGCTGTGCATCTCGCGTACCCGTACGCCACGTCCTCGACCTACACGCCCGTGGGGCACTACCCCTTCGTCGTGGGCGCGAACCACTTCGTCAACCCGGCGTTCCATGCGAGCGGCTGGGCGGATAGGAACCCGGGCGGGAGTACGTGGTTCCGCGATGTGCGTGTCGCGCAGGGCTTGCGGCGACCGGCGGGTGTGAAGGGTGCGGTGGCGCGAAAGGTTAACACTGCGGAAGGGGATGGTGATGCGGGCGGTCTGCTCACGCCCGAGGATGTGACGCAGGCGTTTTGCGATCACCTCTCTGCGCCGTCGTCGGTGTGTCAGCACATGGAAGACTGTACGGTGCGTGGCGTGCCCGACTACCCGTATCGCGGGAGGCAGATCACGCTGGCGCACGTCAGGTACGACTTGACGCGGAGGACGGCGACGGTTTGCAAAGGACCGCCTTGCATGGGCGTGTTTCAAGAGTTTGCAATCCCGCCTGTGGCTAACTGCTGAGCCGCCACGGAGAGTCATATGGATGTGGAGTACACGATAGCATAGATGGGCATCTAGATAATGTAGATTGGTTCTGGGTATCCTTCGTCCTCGTCGTAAGACCCGCCACGGCATGTCTTTATTGGAGTAGCAACGACTCTTCGTTGAGCACTCCAAAGAGGCTCTCCATCTCTCGCTCTGCCACCTTGAGCTCCTCGGCGACCTGGCCGGTCACGAGTGCGTACGCGTAGAGCAGCGCGTAGTCCTTCTCTTCCACCACAATGTCCAGGCCGAATTCCGCGGCGGACCCTTCACCGCGGCGCAGCCCCGGCTCTATCACCTCCTGCGCGTTGCGGAACTCAAAGATTTTGCTGAGCAGACGGTCCCGTACGCCGTCCACACTCGGCACGGCGTCGGTCAGTGGGTATTCCAGCATCATGGAGCTGGCCAGGACCTGGAAGACGTGGCACATCCGGTCGCACAGCACCGCGCGTTCCGGCGCCGTGTACTGCAGCAACGCCCGCTCGCCCGGAGTCAGTCGGCCCTTGAGCTGTGTCACGAGACTCATGGCGTAGAATCCGTCGAGGATGCGATTGGTGCTGCGCATGATGCGACCGCTCGTCTCGAAGGGAAACGGCCCTCGAAGCTCGAACTCGGACGCCGCAGCCTGTCGCAGCGCCTCGAGCCGGTCGGCGTATCGCTGCATAGCGTCCTGTTCGCCCGAGCGAAGGTAGCTCTGCGTGCAATCGCTGCGGAGGAGAATCGCCAGAGGTCCGCGTCGCCAGATCAGTCCCATCTGCAGGTACAGCATCGAGATGCCTTCCTTGAACTTTTGGCGAGCCGAGATGGGCCAGATGAGCCGGCAGACGATGAGCCCCCACAGTATTCCTGCAATCACCGACATGGCTCTCTTCTCGGCGATGAAGATGATGAGCGGATGCCGCCCTCCTTCGCCTTCGTCATCGTCGTAGTCGTCGTCGAGCTTTTGGCTGAGGCTGTATGCGTACAATGTCGACACGTTGTACGCCAGTAGCGTCATGCGGCCAAGCGGCGCCTTGCCTCGGGCCACGATGAGGTAAAAGTTCCAGAACGCCACGAGGGCACCCAGAGCTGCCAGAGCAACGGCGTTGCCCTGGCTAAGGTTCCAGTTGACGACGGAGAAGACGGCGCCAAAGAAGGTGCCCAGGAAACGGGCCCAGCCGGTCGTGTTCGACGCGCCCACCGTCATGGAGCAAACGATCATGAACGACAGCAGGCCCCATTCGCCGCGATAGTACATGTACCAGTCGCGGGTGACGTCGATGAAAGCCCACATGGCCCAAAGGGAGGCGCCCATGCCAACCTTGAGTCCAAAACGAACTGCGCATGTCAGCTTGACTGGACTCCGATGATCTGAAGTAAGACTTACTCTCGTCCCTCGCCAGAGTCCGCGTAAACTTGAGCACATGCTGTGAGACGGTGGCAAGCAATCGACTGGCCTCTGGTGCCGCCCTCCACGCAAAGGTATCCCGGCGCTCCACCATGGATTCTGGGATGCCCTTGGGGACCGCCGACTTCTTGATGGGCTTCACCCAACTCGACGTATCGGCCGACTCGTAAGGCAAGGCTGACATGGACAGGCCCCGAGAAGAGGGCTTTCTGAACCACAGCAGCCACCGCCAGCTCCGCTTGCTGTGGTCGCTCACGTACTTGAGATCGTCGACCACGTCCAAGTACTTTGACATTTCCTCTCCGAGGCTCTGCAGGCTGAAGCTAAAGTGCCCGCAAGCCGCGGCAATCTCCTCAAACTCGGCCTTTGCCTTGTCAGACCGGGATCGACTCTGGTCAATGAGCTGATACAGCTCCGCCAGAGCAGCAGCGCGGGTGATGTTGAAGCCGCTGAGGGCGTCCGACAAGTGGAACCTGAAATCGTCCATGACTCTCACTTCGTAGTCGGGCGCACCAGCAAAGGGCGGGTCGCGAAGCACGCGTGAAAGGATGTCGGCGAGGGCTTCCATGTGAGGCCCCATCATCGTCACAAAGACCCTGAACGTGTCCGTCGGCGTCTGCAGGGGTGCCTTTCCAGCCTTTTTGCTAAAGTACGGCCCGTTGTCGCCATCGGCGCCAGGTGACGTGTAGCTCGAGGACCGGCTGTGCAGCGGAGAAATGAGGTGCGGGACGGGAGAAAACGGCGTGCCTCGCCCGCGGATCTCCTTGAGCAAGGCAGACTGGGCGAAGGCGGCACTCCGCAAGCCTCCAATGGACTGAGCGAGCGTGCCAATGGCAGTGGCGGTCGATCTCTCGAGGGCGTAGAGCTTCTCCTGTCCGAGGAAATAGCGCTCAAACTTGGCCTCGCGGAGGTTGGTCATGACCTGCGGGTATGCTGCGGCGTATGCTTTCTGCGCGGCTGCCAGCTCGGCGAGGGACGAGGGGTCGCTTTCCGCACCTTGGAGGAAGTCGCTCGCAATGACGGACAGCATCTGGCCAAGCGACGTCGAGGCGCGATTCATCGACTGGCGAAGCGAGGTACGGGCCGAGACTCTCCAGAGCAGCAGGTTGACCGCTGCGGCCGTGGTGATGCCCATGATGAGCATCTTGAAGACTTGCACAATCTTGTGGTTGGAGAAGACATTGTCGACGACGGCGTTTTCCTTGGTGACGACGCCGATGATGGCGAGCGAGGCCAGCGTGCTGCCGACGTTGACGAGCGGGTTGGACATCTTTTGCTTGACCCAGCCCATGAAGCCGAAGCCGCCGCCGATGAAGACGACGACGACAAGGACGTGCGCCAGCGTGACGAGGCCGAGAACGGAGCCGACGAGCACCGAGGTGGCCATGGAGAGTATGGATATAACCTCGGCGTAGGCGACGGCGACGCTGGCGATAAGAACGGCCTCGATCATGGAGCCGGCGGAGCGTGAGGCATGGAAGTAGACGGTGATGGTGGCGACGACGTGCTTACCGTCGGGCCGGCCGAGGAAGTCGGACAAAGGACCGATAAAGGTGGCGAGGCTGGCGATGGTGTAGGCGATGGTGCACTTGAGCACGCCACGGCCCTTGGGCGAGGCGAGCCAGTGGGCAAAGTCGGTGGCGGGAGCATGGAGCCTGCGGCCGAGGGCCTTGAAGGCACGCTGGAGGGCGGAGTCTTTCGAGGGCGCCCTCATCGTGGTGTCGCCGTTCGGTAGGGTCGCATGTTCGGGTTCGGACGCCGGCGATGGCGGCTCGCTCGGCGTGCCGGACGGCGTGGGAGAGGCATTTTCAAGATCCTGACGATCGACGGACCGTCAGCGCAGTCACAAAGAGGACATGTTTGCATGTTTCGATGTACTGACGCGGCTGGGGTTTGAGAGATCGGCGTCGGGCCGCTCTGGTTGTTGCGCGGTCCGAGCTGGCGACGCGGTATTCATCAAGGAGGACGCGGGTCGGCGGCGCCGGCGGCGGCGGTGGAGGGAGCGGGAGCGGGAGCAACAAGGGACATTCGAGTGTGGTGGGTGACCGGTGCGCCAGACGTGCCCGGGTCACAGCGGAGGGTTGCTTGCGGAGGGACGCTGCAGGCACGACGCGGTTTGGACGGACGTCGTGGAACGCGGAGAATTGGGATGAACCTGAAATGGTGGAGGCGGGATGGCGGGATGGACGGACGGACGGGAAGGTGGAGGAGGTTGGAGACGGGGATCCGGTAGATCTCACGCTGTAGGGATGGGAGTCGGAGCCGTCCAGCGGGTTGACAGCTGTAAGTTTAGCGGGGGAGCCGAAGGTTTTGGGGGGGTGGGCAGTGCAGCGCCGTCTCCGAGCACGGCGGAGAGTCTGGTCTGGTCAGCTGCGACGACGTCATCTGCGGCTGCCACGTGCGCCAAGTGCCAGAGCCGCAGACATGAGGCAGTTCAACCAGTTGGTACAGGCTGCTTGGGAAGAACGCAATGTGGTTGGCGAAGCGCCTGGAGGGCAGTCCCGCACCGCCCGGGCGGGCTTGGCCTGGGGACTAGGGACACCTCCAGCTGTCCGGGCGAAGATTTCCACCTGTTAAGCACGGCCCCAGCAGCTTGCAATCCGCCAATCCCACTTGAGCCACGGTGCTGCCCGTGCCCTGAGCAGCCCTGGAGTATTCCTCCACTGGCCAGACCAACGATAGGGTTGGCCGTCAAACAAGCGAAAACCCCGAGTAGGTACGCAGCAGCAGAGCCGACTCAGAGAGACCAGGAGCGACAATTGCGACTAGAACCCGCTTATGCATCCGGATTAAATCCCAGAATGGAAGACTTTCCAAATAATATGCGACGTGAACGCCGCCACGGGACTAACCAGGCATTCGTCACCCGGCGGCGTCGTGTAATCTTCTGGACCCCGCCGGCTGCCTGCTAAACCGTCCACTGTCCAGGCTCCAGCAGCGGCTAATACCACCGCCAAGACGAAAAGAACCACTTAGCAGCACAGCGACTACGCGATCCGGAAAACCCTTGAGATGAAAAAGGCATCCGCCGAAATTTGGCTCGCGGGCTATATATACCCACGACTCGAGCTGGTGAGGCAGGGAAGTGTCTCGTCCGACGGCATCACAAGAACGGCAGCTCCCATCCCATCACCAAGTGTGAAACAGCCTCGACAGCCGACGCCATGAGCCAGCAAGACTCGTCCCCGTTCGTCATCACCACCGTCCTGGGCAGCAAGACCTTTGACTTGGAAGCCATTCAGGGCGGTGCCGGTGGTGCCACTGCGGGCGCCTCGGAAACCCAGGAGCTGGCCTGGCCGTACGTACCCTACGACTATGAACCTCCGGCGGGTGCGCAAGAGGATGCTGTGAGTCAAGGTGCGCGTGCCTCTCAACTTGACCATCTTGACTACCCCAAGGTCCGACTGACGCGAGTCTGCCAGTTGCGTACATTGGCCTGCTGCTCAAGACGCATGCGCCGCCTCACGCCGAGGACGACCTGGAGCTGCTCTCTCTGCTGCTCCTCTCGCTCGAGACTCGCGGCGACCTCAGCCGGCGCGTGCTCCAGTACACAGACGCCGAGCATGCAGTCAAGGCCGTGTCCAGGAAGTGCGACAGCCCGGAAGCCAACGCCCTCCATCTCGCGACACGGGCCAAGGCATTGGTGGGCCACTGGGACGCCTGCAACAGAAGCGACGACCCCAAGAAGGACGCCACCGGTGACATCTCGTATCCACCACTGAAGAGCCCCTCGGCCGCCGGCAAGCCGGATAATTGGAAGCTTGCTCTTAGCGAAAGCGCCTCGTCCGACGCCGACAGCATCTTCAAGGCCATCAAGATGGAGCGTGAGCACGCTTGCTCCTACTTTCGGCAGCATCGCCCCAAGCCCATGGCCTGGCATCCCAAGACCGCCGATGCGTGGAACAAGGTCGATCGCAAGGCGGCTCAGTCCGGCGACATGTACCACTTGGCCGACTTCATCCCCATCTACATGGGCTACGACCTGCAGGCTATGGACGTGCCGTTTTCATGGAAGAACCCGGACTGGGACGAGTCCCAGGCGGCGCAGTACGCCGAGGCCTTGGACTTGAAGCGGCAGTTTGCGAACACCAAGGGGTCGTATCCCCTGCGGAGCGAGGACATTCTCCAAACCCCGTAGCCTCACACTGACATGAGAGGCTGCTCAGTCTCATCAACAGGCAGGGAGTCAATCGAGTTGCTAGGGAGAGGGCACACCTATAGGACAACACGTAGTGAACAACAGAGCGGTGTCGCCCACGCACGGGATAACGCGAATCCCAACGCTGCATTTGTCGCTGCGCGATACCCGCTGCCGTTCAGCGCAGCGCGTGAGGCCGCAGGCGTCGCCTCTCATTTCGCGGGCTCGCCCTTTCGCGCAAGTATCCACTGAAACGGAATGATGCGTCCATCCTCTTCCTCCTCAATGACCTTGTTCTGCACGACGTGAAAGCCAGCGCCCTCCACCATGCGAATGTTTGCCTCGGGGTTGCACTGGCTCCAGTACATCTGTGTCCCCAACCAGCTCGCCACAGACCCTTCGTCGTCCGACGTGCCCAGATTGCACAGGAGCATGCCCCCGTCCCGAAGCCAGGCGTGGATGCGCCCAAACATCCTCTTCTGATCCTCCCGCGGCAGGTGAATGATCGAGTACAGCGCGACAACGGCGTCAAGAGAGCCATCGCCAAAGGCCAGCTGCGTCATGTCGCCGGAGACGAACTCGACGTTGTCGGCGCCCGCCATGTGCGTCTTGGCGAGGCGCATCTGCGCGTCGGAGATGTCGTTGGCGACCACGCTGCCGCACGTCTGCGAAAGGATTTGCGTGCCCGGCACGCCGGCGCCGCAGCCGAGCTCCAGCACGCGCGCCGACGACGCCGCGCCCCCGAGCTCGCGGAACAGGAGCTGGAGCTGGGCAGGGCGCGGCGTCTCCTTTTGCGTCGCCCACTTCAGGTACGTTTCGGCAATCTCATCGTAGCCGCGCTGGACCAAAGTCTGGGGTGCGTCGGTCATGTTTGCTTGTTCAAGGTGCCCTGTGGATTGTTTGCAGGTTTGAAGATTTGGTGATGGTTCAATGGTTGGTGCTGACACGGCGCGGTGGTTTTGGGCCATGTGAGCGCGAATGAGTCAATCGGCCAAAGCAGCACACGCTTGCAATGTCGCATTGGCCTCACGACCGGCCTCGCGCAAGTCTCACGTAAGTGCAGTAGTAGGCATGTAGTTCATTGAATCAGATCGCGCGCCTTTCCCGGCTCGGGCATTTGATTGCGTAACGATGGTGAAAGCAGAGGCAATGCACTACCGCCCGCGCACACAAGCCCACGTCGCTCTGCGTCTACGACTCGGCATCCTCCAGTGCCGTCGACCATCAACACTGGCTGCGACAGACACATGTTCACTCCGAGGACTGCATCGAACGGACATCTTTGTCTAGATCGCACGTGAATTAACGAAATATCTAGCCAATAAATGGGCACAAGGAGTGTCTAGTAGTCAACGGCAACAAGAGAGTGAAGATGGAGCTCAGCAAGCTGCCGAGGTCCTCCAAAGCCAAAACTGTCTACCCATCAAAAGCGCGAGCCGAAACCCATCTGTCTCATTCTATTCCCGCCAAACACCAGTCTATTCCGCCGTTCGATGTCCAACAAGACCGTTTCTGTGATCGATCCAGCAGGCCCTAGTGGCGCATTTACTTGGGGCACTGGTCGGGAGTATCCGCGCAGGTGTAGAGGGTGCAGCACACCTGGCCGGGCTTGCAGAAGAACGAATCGCCGCACTTGGGCCCAAAGGTAGGGGTCGCCGGAGGCGGGGCGGCCGTGGTGGTGGTGGAGGGGTACTGGATCGGGGGGCACGTCTGGCCAGCCACGCACTCCAGCTCAAGGTTCCCGTCGAAGTAGACACCGCAGCAGAGGGGCTTGTCCGTGGGGCAGACCATGTCGCCGCACTTGTTGGGGTATTCGGCCTGCGGGCGCGCGCTGACGCTGCTGCCGGCGAGGGCGACGGCGACGATGGCGGTCTTGATGATGGAGGCGTACATGTTGACTGATTGGGCGTTGGACTTGTATAAGTGTGATGTGGTTGTGAAGTTGTATAAGTTGGAAGATGGCGACTGAATGAGTGCTCAGTGTATTGCTTTGAAGTGTATGATTGAGGAGTGGTGATTGCAATGCTGCTGTGGATGCTGGATTGAATTGATCGGATTGACAGGAACAATCAGACTCTTTTATACCTGGGATTCAACTGCCATGTCCATCAAGAGCCATGAAGCCAAAGAGCCTCGAAACATCGTGGCTAACACTCCAACAACAGTCAGCTCCCCCGTCGGCACCGACGCGGCCGAGTGCATCCTCAGCCCAGCGGAGGGCACTCGCCCGAGCTGGCCCCCTTTACACACGCACACGGGAAATGTTCGGAAGGCGGGGCCCCCGGTTGAGGATGCGGATGGCAGCCGTCTCGCCGGGGCTGGACCCCGCGGCGGCCCCGTTCTCAAGCCGCCGAAGAAGGCCCCACGATGGATGGGTGGGGCCGGGCTGCCAATTATAGCAGCCGCCTCCCATCAACTGCCATGTTCAAGGTTGCAAGCCACGACACATTCAGCTTCGGCCACCGGCACATTTCGGCTACGAACTTGGGTCTCTCGAGTGCCAAGCATCTCCGAGGACCCTGTGCCTGCGTGGGCGCCTTCAGGAACAGGTGAGGCTACCGAAATGGCTTGAGGGTAACATCTCCGCTGCCCGGCCATTGGAGACTCTCGTCGCCGAACCGGTCCCGAATGCAAGCCATGTCGAGATGGGAGCCTATGTCTGACTACATGTGCCTGTGGCTGGCGAGAGAGCCCCCACGATGATGCTTCGGGAATTGTTCCATGCCGCGCCACGTCTCTCTGGCAGCAAGGGAGGTGGTCAACCCCCACGCACAGGCGCCGGGTATGTCAGGCAGGATATTATCTAAGTCCCGTCGTCCCAAACAGATGACCGGCCCGATGGTCGACGGAAACCTGCATTCCGCGCCACGTAGGATCAGCAGAACAGCTTGACACTGGGAAGCCCGTGGCTTGTTCCGCTCCGTCGGGGCGACGCCGTCTCGTTGCTAAACGCATGCGGCCGTGAAAATGCACCCACTGTTGGACACCGGCCGTTCAAGCTCCGTGTATATGGTATCAGCCATTCTTCCAGGATGGCCACACCAACATGCGAAGTGTTCCACGTCGCTTCCACTCGCCGTTTTCCCCATTGCCACATCATCCCATCCCCCCTCTTCTATCGCTGATGTAATGCCGCTCCTGGTACTTACAGGACCCAGACTAGGCAGTCACATTGGCACCCAGCATGCGTTGTTAAAGCGGTGATAAGTACTCGGTCTCTGTGCGGGGTCCTCTTGGGCTGGTAGTAGCGGCGAAGTCATGTGGTATTGGATTCACCACAACGGCATGCGACACCTCCGAGGTGACCCAGCCCGTTAATCCTTCTTTCCACCTCTCTCGGGTGCCAATGCCGAGTTTGACATGCTGCGATCTCATAACTCTAACCGGAAAAGTATGGGAGAGTTCAGATGCACGTCGGTCCCAACTCTTGCTCATCTTGCAGGATTGGAGGCACCTAGGTTTGCGACTCTCGCTGTCTACAGAGACTGCCGTGATGATCCCAACTGCTATACTGCGCAATGAGACCTGGGAGGAAGTCTGTAGTAGCTTGGCCGCCGGAAAAAACAGCTCAGTGTCATGTGGCGCAACCCTCCGCCGCCGTCACATCGACTTGCTTTAATCCTGACTGCAAAACACGATTCTGACTCTTACGTCTCAGGCCAAGATTCCCCCTTTCGACCACTGTACCGACCGGATCCATCTCTAGAAATGCAAAGGTGCTACCAGTTCGAGTTTCCTACTATCGTATCCGATCCGATCTTTGAATGCCCCAGCTGATCCGCAACGTGGCAAACGCCCTTGCTGCATTTTGTGGGTGTGCTGAAGGATCTGTTCTAGCGTGGCATGTTGCTTGGACATTCCGCTATTGCCCTCGTACCGCAAGTTTTCCGGCTAGTGAACATCGTGCGCGGCGAGTAATTGCAGATGACCTTGGTGTTGATGTGATCTTAAGGGTAGCTGAAGGAGTAGCCAACTTAGCCTTTCTTGTTATAGTCTAGCGGCGGCTTATACTTCAGCATCACCAACCATCGCTATTCAACGCCACTGCGCTATAAAGCACTAGCTTCGCCCGTTGTTCATCGGTTCATCCTCTGGAATTCGAGGCGCACGCGGGTGGTCCGCTGCTGTTGGCTCAACTGGGAATGTTGCAAAGGCTGAAAGCTGGAATGGGAACCCAGCCGCCTCCAAACAGCCGCACGGTCACGAGCGAGATCGATTTACCATAGCGCGGAAACCAATGCTCTAATTTATGCTTAATGCAGCTTGAAGAGCGGGGTGCAGTCGTCTATATATCCCCGATGTCCTGCTAGGTGACTTGCAAAAGCACTGGCTGCTAGATAAGCAGGTTCAAATGCAGTCGATCAATCGCTGGAGACATCACCACCGACACGACCGACCCTCGAACCATGGCGTCCCAGCTGGCTAGACTGACGTTGGTCACCTACGGTGCCTATGTGGTCTCCGCGCAGCCAAGTCAGCTATCGCTTGATCCTATCCTGGCTACCACCCTGACCAAGGCGGAGGTGTGGGAGGTCATGATCGGCCAAGATCCCAGAGCCGAAGGCCTTCTAGAATATTGCCAAGCAATCAATATCGTGGACAGAGAAGCCTGCAGACAAAAGTTGTTCGACACGCCCCCGGGACTGTGCAAAAACAGCGATGGCCCTGGCTTCATAAACTGCGACGAGCTTTTCGATCCGACTTCGACCAACGTGTCGCCGCCTCAATCCGCCGTCGCCTTGGAAGCAGCAGCCATATGTCTAGAAAGAAACAAACTGTCTGGAAGCAAAGCATTGACGAAGATGTTCGAGCTGAACATGTTTGAGATGGCTCAGACTGCTAGCTTCAAGAACACGAGACCCGTGCCATATGGCATGGTTCAAGACGCGAGTGGCCAATGGGCGGAGTATAAATACAGCATAGAAGAGCGCATCAAGGCTGCGGAGGAGGTCAGGAAGCAATGGGAAGCCATGTCCAACTGGGCGTTCGACTTTGGCGGGTTGGGAGCTGGCGCTGCAGCAGCAAAGTCTGGGGCTTGGCCAAGCGCCGCTGCCGCCGCTGCGGTTACAGCCGGAAAGTACCTGACGGGCGAACTTGCCTACTGGACAGGATATGGTCATCCCGAGATCATAGGCCAGAGACCATGGAAGTGCCCCAGCGAGGGTACGCACTGTTTTGACCAAGATGGCAATAAGACCCCAAAGGAGACCTTCAACAAGCCGCCCCCGACTCAGGGTTCCGATCACGGCGGTGGTGACGATGGAGAGACAGGAAAGAATACAGATGACGATAACGCGGACTCAGAAGATGACACTGAGGATACAGAGGACGACAATGAGGATGATGAAACAGGAGATGGAGATACCGACACCGCGGAAGACGAAGGGGACGACGACAAAGACGACGAGATTTCAACACCTGCGAACCTTGATGGCGCAGAGAAGACGCATCTAGAACAGTGTGCAGAGCAAGAAGAGCTGAAGATATGGCACCAAATCGGCTCCACCACTGTCGATGCAGACAAGCCAACAGAAGACGAAAGACAAGCAGCAGCTGAGGCCCTACTAGCTACGGGTATATGCGACGCGACGTACTACGGAGTCGAGAAATGCAAGGCTTGGGAGGATGAACTTCACAAGCACAGACTCCCTCCTGAGTTCCCCGGCAAGGATCAGAAACAGGCGGAAGCCGAGCAACTTTTGGCCGCGGGAATATGCGACACGGGGTTCTACGGATACGAATTTTGTCAGAAATGGGAGAACGAGATGGATTCGACGCCGGCCAGCAATCCAGGAGACCTCCCACCGATTCAGAACATTGTCCCGATCTGCTCCGGCAACGTGCTCGCCCCAGAAGGTTGCGAGCTCTTGAGACTGGAGTTCCATGCACACTTTGTGACCTCGAAGGACGCGGCAGCAGCTGTGGATAAGCTTTTTACCCCGAGCGCGCCAGTCAAGGGACGACTGCCCACTGTTGGTCAAATTATCCTGGGGCAGCGTGAGCGAGAATTGGACTCTCGGAGACTGATGATGCGGGGGGGCATGCCGATACCCAAAAGAAGGCTGGATCTTTATCGAAAGGCCACCAATGGAACAACCGATGTGCGAAGGAGATTTGGTGCAGGACTTGGAAGCCGGAATCCGAATCGCGCACGTAAAGCCCCCAAGCCAAAGTATAGGAGCCACGATGAGCTGTAGTTACAGGTTCTCGGGAGTAGGTTACAGACTTGGTTCGTAGGATGTAAGGATTACAATATCTCCAGCCGAAGCAAAGTGTCGTCTGTCCACACGAACGATGGGGTCCTTCAGTCGGCCTGGTCCTAACGCCGGGGTATTGGTATCGTATGTGGACCTGCCATAAGTACTGCTCTTGTGACGCCGGACTCGCACGGTTGCGCCAGCCTCTTGCACTCCATTCATAAGGGCATGGTACCGCACAGCTTGCCAAAGAAACCCCGACCCCAGCTTTCGCGGGGGTGTGCTTAGGCAAGAACGGGCAGGTCTCGGTTCGCCATCCCAGTAGTCAACGTCCTGGCACCTTCGGCAAATGGACCAATAACCCAGCCCGGTCAACATTGACGACTCCGCAAACGCACCAGGCACATGCAGATCCAGGCTAGCCTGAAGCAATATGTAGACCCGGTCGGGACGTACCGAGACTCTTGGTTCAGGGCCTTGATCGGGCTGGTGCGGCGCACGGGTATGGCACAATGTGGCTTCGACGGACCCCTGTATCCCCTACGCCACTGCAAGTGTGCACGCTTTCAAAGCAGTCGTCTGCCTGTTCCTGCTGGCAAGTACTTTCCAGCTGACACGATGCCAAGCCTAGTAAGCGAATGCGCACCTCAGCCGCACTCGGGCGTTAATTCCTCGTCCAGTTTAGGGCGATGCTACGACGAGCTCCACGGACGAGGCTGGCCATAAAAATTCGTGATGTTTCCTTGTTCATTGCTGCAGTCAATAATCAGACAAGAAAAGCAGTGTCGCCGGTACTCTTGCCGGTTATCTGTCGTCAATATGAAGGCAGGTTATCTTCTACCCGTTCTTTTGGGCTTTCTTGGGGCCGTGGTCGCTTTCGAAGTGGGCAGTCTTTCTGGATACATCGACGAGATTCCGACCTGTTCCCTCTCGGCGTTTGCCAGGGCCATGAACCAAGAAGGCTGCGACACGTCCAAGGTTGATGGCTCCGACATCGAGTGTCTCTGCAAACACGCGGGGTTCATTGCCCGTGATGTGGCGCGCGACGTTGAGGCGCCCTGCGCCCTCGGTGTGTCAACCCTGTTGATTGCGTGGCTGACCGGGGTACTGACTTCAGGTGACTTGGTTCAGACTTCGGGGGTGCTGTCGGCAAGGCCTGTGGCGTCTGGATCGCCTGGAGCTCCTCAGCTACCGACTTTCCCCGTGCAACAAGCATTCTCGGGGATAAACTTCGCGGCAAGGGCTCAGCGGCAACCAAGACGTCCGATGGCTCATCCGCGGCGGCAAGCACGACAGCCGCGGGCGACAATTCGTCCTCATCAGACACTGTGACAAACACTCCCGGGCAGACCACCTCTCCGCCCGCTGCGGGGACAGCGACGCAGTCTGGGGGTTCGGCTGGGACAACGACTTCAGCAAACGGAGCTGCGATGGCAGCAGCGTCCTGGTATCTTTCGGGTGTGGTGGGACTTGTCGTCACAGTGGCAGCGGCATTCATCTGATCCCACACAGTGATATAGGCCACATCACATACCTTCCTCCCAAGAATTTTACCTGCTTGCATGATCCACTGTAGCTTTTCTGGTCTGTGTCTGTCGTCCGCGCCATTGATCATCGCAGTGCTCGGATTTTGCTTCATGGCGTTATCCACAAAACACCCATGCGTACACATCCGTGGTAGTGCATCGCTTTGAGATGTCCCTACAAGAAATGTATCAATGACTGCTGCGTGGCAAGTACTCACTACGCAACTATGACAGTAACAGGCAAATGTATCGGCGAGCAGTACGATGTACAGGCTTGGCCACTCAACCCTAGACCCTTACGCCAATGGGAAGCACCCACGTCTTGAGACAGAGCTCACCTCAACAGAATGAAAAATCTTTCGGAGGTTTTGCCATGGCCTGCTTGGACGCTCACGATAACTTCCAACATCTGGTCGCACCATGGACAACGAGGCTACGTTCGCCATCATTGGTGGTGGCATCGCGGGCACTGTGCAAGCTATATGTCTTGCTAGAGAATTCCCATCGCTCAGGATCTATCTCTTTGAGAAGGAAGGTCAACTGCTGGACGGAACCAGCGGCATGAATCCCGGGAGACCAACGCTCGGCTTCCATTATCAACATCTGGATACGGCAACCTTCTGTCTGGACAACACGGTCAAATTCACCAAGTTTCTCTACAATCTTGGCTGTCGAGATATCTTTGCCAAAGCGCCACAAGGGGGAGTATATGTCCTCATGAAAGGTTGCGTTCAAGTTCTAGGACAGTCCGTCGGACCAGTCTTCAGTCCAGAGGAGATCAAGTCTGTCTTTTCTGAAATCAGGGCCCACGCCATAATGAACTACTCTGACGATTGGCACTACTTGACACACTTTGGAAAGCCGGACGAGATATACAGAGAACTACAGAGGTCTGACTACGAGCTTCTACTTACCCCGTACCTCCTGCGTGGCGTAGATTCATGTTACGAAACCGCCGAAAAGACATTCAACGTGCCGGGAATATGCTCCTTTCTACGCGCCAACGTTGCAAAGTACACAAACATCACCGTTCTCACTGGATGCTTCGTGACGAACACCGAGCAAGTCCGACAGTCGGCGAGGCCTTGCTACCGGATTACATGGACTGACAAAAATGTCAATGAGGTCGGACATATGGTCACCCAGTTTCTCACCCTGGCTTGCTGGGAACGAGTCGGTCTCTTAAAACGGCAACTAAGCAAACACGATTGCCAACCCACATACAATCGCCTCAAGATGCTGGCTGTGGTTGAGATGAAAGTCTCACAGGAACGACTGGCAGCGATCCGGCCCATGTTCGTTGCGTCCGGGCCATTTTGCATGATATCGCCCCAGAAACTCACCATGACGGATGGAGATAGTTTTGTGTGCAAATGTGCGTGCACGTTGGCAATCAGGACCAATCTGATGACCGTTTCGGATAACAGTACCTTACCAAGGGACTACGTCCGGATACTTGAAGGTGATATTCCTCCCGACGAAAAGGAGAAAATGGGTAGCTCCGTACTTGCCGGTTCCAAGCAGTTCTTCAAGTGTCTGGAAAGTGCCACGCTCGTCGACGTGCGGTTCGGTACCGTCAGAGTTCCGTTCGGTTCTGGCCATCGAATTGACATCCACGACTCAGCCAGTGAGCATCACGCAAGGAATGATTCTGGCTGCTATCAACTTGGTGACCGGTTGTTTGTCAATGAGGCTATGAAAGTCATATACAGTGTCCACAATGCCGAGAAAGTAGTCGGATGGGTTCGTGTTGATATGGTTGGGAAGGTTCCTCGGGATATCGGCAAACAAGAAGAGGGTAGTTGAACCGTGACGCTTCGGCTGCCAATTTTTACGCCACATCCATCTTATGAATGTGCGCTTTATTCGTTGCGAATCAAGTCTTTGCAAAAGCTGGGTGAGCTTTCAGATGCCGTGGACCCACGGATTATGGGGTTTGGTATGGTCAGCTCTAGGACCCTGGAAAAGCAGCTTCGCTAACCACAAGCCTTGTTGTGTGCGTGCTACAAACAGTGCGAAGCTCTCGGTGAGCTATGCAGTATGCAGTTGCGAACATAGCCAAGCCGGCGAGGACATCACACTCACAACACACGGGTTCCTCGTCGCAGAGGCTGGAACGGAGTCAACGGACGTTGTTATCGCGCTCTCGTATGTGGGGTTCAGCATGGCGGAGAGTGCAGCCACTTTTTCGGCGATAAGATCGAGGCGTGGGTACCAGGCGAGGCGCGCCAATGGCCTGACACTTACCCGGCAAAAGGTGCAATACCATCTTCAGTGAGTGGGCTGGGGAACCACAATTGTCGTACCGTTTGACGTTCACTAATGCAAACGGCTTACGCACTAACCACCGCGTCGGAGACTCCCTGGTGAAGATTTGCGACGGGTCCATGACCAAGCGCAAGATAAAGCTCCGCAGCCGGCGCACTTGTCAGCAGGTTGCATATATGTACAGTCCCGCAACAGGCAGACAACGGCACTGACAAGAACCTTGCCTTTGTGGTGCCACCGATTCAGTCGACAATGTCCCGCCAGGATACCCCAGCAATAGAGCTGAGCTGGATGCCACACCAGCTTGGCGTACGAAACCACGACGAGGACTGGTCAGGCGTGACAAGCACGTCTGTGCGGCGGATGCTACAGAATAGACTCAATCAGAGGGCATATCGTGAGGGTCGACCAGCTCCGACAACGCCTTCATGTGAGCTGACCGGGGGGATCCGCATTTAGGTCAGAAAAAGCGAGAGCAACGCAAGCGTTATTCGTCGGCATCGACTCTAACAGACACGCCAGCTTGCAGCATCGATGGCCACGACAACACTGCAACAGCGCCCCCCGCAGACAGGGTGCACTTGTCCAGACGTCTGGCTTGCCAAAACCGGGAAGACACCGCGACCTCGGAGGCCGCCATCCAGCTGTTCCAGTACCGCGCGCACGCGAGCTACATGCATGGGGTCCCACAAGTCTCCCACTTGCCTGCCCTTGTTCAGTTTAATGTCATGACCGCCTTGGCGCGCAATGCCGAGCTACTCGGCTTCTCGAAGGAATATCTCAATTATGACGCCATTTCGACATTTAACAAGCAGGGACCGATGCTTGGCCTGACGGTGAACGCGAGTAATTGGCCTGCAAGCCTGCATCCCACGCCCTTGCAAGCCCTGCTCGAACACCACCCTTGGATTGACCTCTTCCCTCTGCCGCGCATGCGTGACAACTTCCTGCGAGCGATTCAAGACCCGGACATATGCGACGAGGACGTGCTGTGCCACGATCTGGCGCATTTCGATGACGTGGCCGGCAAAGCCACTCTCATAGTTTGGGGTGACGCCTGGGACTCGCGTTGCTGGGAGGCCAGCGAGGCTTTTCTGGAGAAATGGGGATGGCTGCTGTTTGGGTGTCCTGAAATATTCCAGGCGACAAACTACTGGCGCGACAGGAGAGGCGAGGGGAGGCTTTCGCCGCAGCAGATAAGCGCATACATGGAACGGAGCAGACCTGCACAGCTGCTCGCCATACGGCCGACGCAAGAGTAGCCTGTGTCTACAATTACTGTCTGGTCACTTTGTCGCCCGTCTTTTCCCCGTACATTTCGCCTGACACGGCTATGTCCGACCATCCGTCGCGACATGTGGGATGTCCGGTTAACCTCCGCAAAAGCCGGGGCTTACCGTTGTGAAATGCTGTGCTAGCGGTTAGTTGGGTGTAAGCGAGTCGCATTAGCGTGGAATCCCGTCGGTCTTGGCCCGTGGCTCAGACTCTGAAGGAGACACTCGTGGCTTCGCCGGCACGAAGGGACGCTCCCCCACCACCGGCAAGGCAGTGGCAGCGATAAAGTCTACTGGCAATTGCCTGCTAGCGCGTCGAGTCCCGCCGTACTGGCTTTCTAATCTGATCCACCATCATCTGTGCGATCTGGGGCTAAGCTCGCACCCGTCGTCATGACCTGGTGTCGTCTGTGAATCCCCGTGCACGTCCGTGCCGAATCTTCCATCATAGGTGTCCCCAGGCGTACGATGTGATCATTTTCTCCCTTCATTTGGCACCACCGACTTCAAGTGTCCCCTAAGCTGGGCTGTCTCGGTGGTCGCGATTCCAAAACTGTCATCCCCGATCTATCCGCTACCATCCACGTCTCGATCTCAATTGCGAGCCACCGCCGACATGCGCACGCCTGCGACGCCTCTTGGCTTTGGGCTTCTGAGCTTGCTACTACGCATATCAACTGCCAGTCAAGTTCGCCTGGGCTCCCTTGGGGGCACCCGAGAGGACCCCGTCGACGCCTCCTTCTGGTGCGATCGGGGATGCTACGAATTCGCGACGCAGCAGACGTATCGCTCTTTCAATGGCGCCGCTCCAAAGCTCAAAGTGCTCGTCTCCGATGAGCGCTGTGATGGTGGGCTCACATTCTTGGAACCTTACGGTTGGCAAGCCTATGGATCTGGGGCGGCGACTTATGACGACAAAGGCGACTTGATTTGGAAGCCAACGCAGTGGGCTGGGGTGAGAGACATGAAGGTACAAAGGTTTGACGATGCCTTGTACATGACATTTTGGATTCCCGACGAGGGCTCCGGCGTGGGCCACTACATCATGGTAGGAAACGCTCCGTCTCATTGACCGTGGTTACGGGGGCCTGAACCTGTTCAGGGAGATTGAATTTAAGGCTGACGGCTTTCCAATCAGCTGGACGACACCTACAGGGTATTTAAGGAGATCCGCCCTGCAGGCGGCATGCGTGGCGACGTCAAGAACCTTCTCATCACCAGCAATGGCACTGCCATCCTAACCATTGATCCGGAGACCCGTACGCACTCTTTTCGGGCGGGCTCGACTACAAGACGCAACTACGGGAGTGTTTTCCAGGAGATTGATCTTCACTCGGACAAGCTCATCTTCGAATGGCATGCCATGGATCATTTGAATGCCAGCGAGAGTATAATCGACAGCAAGGGCTCTTGTCGCTCAGGACGACATGCCAGCGACGATATGAACCCGTTCTCCATCGTCGCCATGGACAAGAACCCTGAGAGCGGTGCCTATCTCATTTCATCGCCGTGCACCCGCACAATCTCGAGCGTGAGCGCGGAAGATGGCCACCTTCAATGGCAGCTAGGAGGCGCCCACAACAGCTTCAGCGGCCTCTCCGATGATTTAGCAACGGCGCTTGCCGTGCACCAGCACGCAAGCTGGGACACTCTTGGCGACAGTGCATACCCAACGCTCTCCATTCTTAGCGGTGGTCGGGGGGTCATTGTGCGGCTTGACTTGGGAGAGATGGCGGTCGTATCGGCATCGGTGCCGCAAGGCCGGACACAACCCTTGTCCACATACGGCGATGCGAGCCCCGCGCAGGTTCTCCCCAATGGAAATGTCCTGCTTTCTGGGGGCGTAAATTTGGGCTTTACCGAGTATTCCCGGGACGGAAAGCAGCTCTGCGAAATGCGTCTTGATCATACTCGAGGGTCGACCCGGAAAGGCCGCGGCCGGGAACACCGAGCCTCAAAGTTCCCCTGGGTCGGTCGACCGCATACCAAGCCTTCAATAGTGGTTCGACCGGAGACAGGCGGTGATGAACTGGGCGGCAGTTTATATGTGAGTTGGAATGGGGCAACCGAAGTGGGTGCCTGGGTGCTCCAAAGCGGACCAAGCGCGGATGGCAATGCGTTCATCAACCATTGCACCGTCGAGCGCCACGGCTTCGAAACCAGGATTCCCCTGCCGCTAAACTCAGAAAATCACCTGCGCGTGCTTGCACTGGACAAAGACAGGCGCTTCATTGGGACTTCGGACAGTGTGCCGAGGCAAGGATAGTCCTGTTCAGGACAACGAGAGCATGATCGACAAGGCTGGATGTGTATATATGTGGGCGTCGGGCTATTTTTTACCGTACTGTTACTTGTGTTATTACTTGAAAACATGTCTTGAGTGTCATTCTAGCGACTTGTATTGTTGTGGGAGCTACGGCGGTTGACTTGTCAAGCCCCGCCGGCTCCCGCCGCTCCCATGTCAAGCATTTGCGCCGCCATCTACCGCATATGATGCTCCAGTGACGTACTTGGACTGGTCGCTTAGAAGAAATGCTATGACACCTGCAACATCCTCGGGTGTGCCCAGTCTTGGTATCGGGTTGTTTGGCGTCGGATCTGGCATGTCGCTTTGCATATTGCGTCGATGCATGGGTGTGTCGATCGCGCCCCTACGTAGTGATGCTCGTCAGCGCCAGATCACGACCCGCCGAAGCGTCTTTAGCGAAGCACGTACGGCTCGACCACGTTTACGCGTATACCCCGCTTGCCTGCTTCCAGCGCTGCACTCTTTGCAAGGCCCGTCATGGCGTGTTTAGAGGCTGCGAAGACTGCGCCGCTTTTGAATCCTCGCTGGCCAAACATGCTGCCAACACATACAACACTTCCATCGGGTTCGGACAGCGTACCGGGTCGCAAGGTCTCTCCGAGGGCGATAAACGTCGCACGTACATTGAGGTTCATAATGAAGTCGTACTCTTCATCACTGGTAGCCGAGACATCTTCGTGGCCGAGGCGATGACCGCCAGTGCCCGCGATATTCGCGTATCCATCCAGCCTCTGGAATGCTTGCAGCGTTGTAGAGATGAAGGAACGGACTTGCTCGCGCTTTGTGACGTCCAACACATCGTGGTGCAGTCTGTCGCCGTATCTTGCCTTCAGGGGCGCAACGGCGGCTCGGAGCGTGTCGCTCTGGATGTCGCCAACGCTGACGGAAGCGCCTCGCTTAAGGAGCTCTCGCACTGTAGCAAGGCCAATACCCGACGCGCCTCCGGTGACGATGAAGACTTTGCCTTGCATTGCAGAATCCATGGTGCGTTGTGAAGTCAAAGGGAGTCGAGGCAAAGCTCCCCGACTTATACAACAGCGCCGCTCCGGGGACCCACAATGCGCACTCCTGCTGTGCCCGTGGAGTGTCGTGCGTGGCTCCAGGCTTGTCAGCCAGTTGCATTAGCGTCAGGCCACCAGCGAGAGCGTGGGGTCCCTGAATCTGGGAGACTCCGACACGTCCCAGGGTCATCGAGTCCACTGCGACGGGCCAACATGCTCACGCGATACTGCAGGCTCGAAATGTTGGGGGCTTCGGCGAGGACGACGCAAAAGTAGTGACCGGGTCCGGCCCATGAACATCATATCAGCACGACATCTTCCAATCGGGATCTGACCGACTCCACCGCCTCGCCGTCCATCATCCCGCTGATGTAGCAGGTGCAGACCAACTGTCGTCGCGGCCCGGCTGCCCGTCCAGCACCCTCGCTCGACGCGGCTTCATCAGCGGGCCGCAGCACAGCAAACGCATGCAGCCCAGCGAGCAGCCACACCTCATCGCCTGGCTTCGCCGACAGGCCCGCCATGCCCAAGTACCTGTCATTGACCGTCACGAGATGCCGCCCGCCATACACCGCCGAGTACGCCGTGATGAAGGCCTGGCATTTCCGACCCCATTTGGAGTGCAGCATCGCGTAGCCGTTGCCGATCGGGCGCGAGTTCTCCTGCGTGACGCCCGCGGGCAGGTAGTAGTCAAACGGCCCGCCGTCAGCGTCCATCTCCGTGATCCGCATCAGGCTGCAGCCGAAGTCGTTCCAGTATTCGAGGACCTCTTTCCGGGTGGGCATCCAGCTGCCCTCGCCGTCGTACTCCTCAAAAGCGTCGAGATCTGCCAGCACGGGCTCCATGTCGCTTGTCATGGGGTCGTAGTCGAGGTGGCTGAAAATGTGCTCCTGTTTCGTCGTGATCTCAAGGCCTAGCTTCTCGCGGATTTTGCCGTCTGCGGCTGCCAGGATCAGGAGTATCATGAAGTATCGAAAACCAATGCCTTGCTCGAGCGGAGCACTGTCGCCGTATAGGCCTGTGTCGAAGAGACTCCCCGCGGACATGTTCATGCACAGCGTTGTCCACAAAATCGACGAAAGGCAAGGATTCTCCCCGTAGCCGCCTTTTTCTCGCAGGGACAGTGGCAGTGTCAGCCACGATCGGTCGAACAACAGCTTTTCTGCAGGTCTAGTGCCTGACCGACCGCCAACCTGGGAAATCTTCCCCGCATAAGCTCCACGGACATGAAGCTCGGGGTGATCAGGGTCCACCGCTATCGGCACGGTGAACTCGAGTCCCTTGTCGGCGGTAAAGTTTGTAGAAATGGCGTTCATCGCGGGCAGGCTAAAGTCCGGCACCCAGGAGGGGAGGCCGCTTCGGCGCTGCTCGTGAAACACGCAAAGCGAGAGGGCTCGGAGGCTTTTCTCGCTTGCGATAAGCTCCCTCGCCGCAGTGGTATAGATGCGGGACACGGACAAGCGATAGTCCACCTGGCGGCGCTCGGGGGCAAACAGATTCAGCAGTCCATAGTACGCAAACACCTTGTCCCGGGGATCCGAGGCGATAAAGGTCAGGAAGTTGGTGAGAAGATGTCGCAAGGTGAAGAAGTCTTGATACTCCTGGGCGGTATCTTTTTCTTCGCTGGCGTAAGACTTGAACCTCCTCCACTTGGAGACTTCGGCCATGTTCCAATTGACTGGTACCGCAGCGTCTTGTATTGGGATAAAGGCGGTGGACATGTGCGTGCCAAGTTTGGCTTCCATGTGCTGGATGGCCTCGCATACCTGCCCGAGGTTGCGCCATGGCACAAGGGTCGTCCCAATGTACATGAGAAGAGCACGTGGCAAGACGGCCTCTTGGACAATCCACGCGCGGCGAAACCACTGCCTTTGGAAGAGGCTCGCGAGGGCGACCCATTCCTTCCAAGAGATGTAGGGGATATCTGCCTCGGCATACTTTTCTTTGTCTTTCCCGCTGTACGGTTCAATCTGGCTTTCCTTAAACTTCTTTAGGTGGCTTTGGAGGGTGTTGAGAGTGCGAATGCCTATTTCGGAGTATTCATCGAGCGGACCCAGCCAGGCGACGACGTACGAAGCATCCGAGTAAATTCTGTCCATCATGGTGACCTGGGCGCTCTTTTCTTGCACGTCGTCCTGATTGATGCAGATGGCATCAGCCCAGATGAAGACGGTCCCTTCGGCGGGTGTGATTTTTTTCTCGGCTTCGCTGTCACCGGTAATCGAGCTGTTCAGCAGAGCAACCATGTCTTCATGACCAGATTTCTTTGCAAGATCGATGGGAGTCTCGCCGTTCATGTCCTGCACGTCGGTCCGACAGCCATTCCGCATCAAGAGTGAGACACACTCTGGCTTTCCGTTGCCGGCGGCGTAATGCAGCGCGTTATGGCCCTCGTCGTCGAGCTTGTTCACGTCGGCGCCACAACGGAGCCACGTCTCAGCCGTGGACGAGCGACCGCGACCAGCAGCAACGTGCAGCCAGGTCCGCCCGTTGGTGCCATCTAGCGGGCTATTGACGTACTCTGCAAATGTGTTTTGCGGTATCAAGGTTAGCGCGTCGTAGAGGTTCCTCTGTATGAGCATTTCCTGCTCATTGACGAGAACGCGCAGCTTATTGCAGTGGTCGTACTGCGGTCCGACCGTCTCAAAATGTGACTTGAACTGGTTCCCGTGCGCAAACGGGTTCCCCCAGGTGTATGACAGGCAGTAATACGGCCTTCTCGGGTCGTTCTCGGCGTCATGGGCCACGAGCGAGAATCGCAGGGTGCCGTCATTGGCGGGGCTCAATCTCTGAAGGAGCCGGATGTGAGAAACGGTTGGGAGCGGTTCGTACTGGAACGAGGTTGAGCCTGAACTCGAACCGCCCATCATGCTGAAGTTGCAGGTACGACTCTGCCATGTGCTGTTGCGCTCCACTGAAGCCCCGCGCTGTCCGTGGGAGGCGTGCGGGGGTTTCGGGGTGAGACATCAGCGTCCGACAGCTATCACCGGCCGGGAGATGCGTCGCGGCTTGATTGCGATGGCGATCGAAGCCGCTCCCTGCAAGTCGGTTTTGCAGAATCACAGTGATAATTGATGGGGAAAAAGAAAAGCGACACGGTGCTTTTGTGCGACTGCAGTGGCAATCACGATAATAAGCGGCTCTGGCAAATGTTCAAGGGTCTTCATCAGGGCCATCGTATGGCTCGTATCGCCTGGGGCAGCGAGCCGTCAGCAATTGATCACTTGCCGTGCCTTTGCATGCCGACTCTTCTTATTCCCAATGAAATGCTCACAGCAGTACTCGACAGCAATGAAACGGAAGGCATCAGGCAACATGCATTCTTTTTTTTGTACGCCATGAACCACGCTCTATATCGCACCTTGACCTAACCCAAACTTTTGTTGTTGATGCGCCGCCGAATTGAGGACTCGCCCGCCTCAATCAAACACGACCGTCTTGACCCCGTTCAGGAAGACCCTCTTCTCCGCGTACCACCGCACGGCGGCGGCCAGAACCTGGCTCTCGACGTTGGAGCCCTCCTCGGCCAGCTCCTTGGGGTCCATGGCGTGGTCGACGCGGGCGACCCGCTGCTCGATGATGGGGCCTTCGTCCAGGTCGGCGGTGACGAAGTGGGCGGTGGCGCCGGTGATCTTGACGCCGCGCTCGTAGGCCTGGTGGTAGGGCTTGGCGCCCTTGAACGACGGCAGGAAGCTGTGGTGGATGTTGATGATGCGGCCGGACATGGCCTCGCACAGGGTGGGCGAGAGGACCTGCATGTAGCGGGCGAGGACGATGAGCTCAATGTCGTGCTGGCGCGCGAGCTCGAGGACGCGCGACTCCTGCTCCGACTTGGTGTCCTTGGTGACGGGCAGGTGGTGGAACTCGATGCCGTAGCTGCGGGCCAGGGCCTCGTAGTCCGGGTGGTTGGAGACGATGACGGGGACTTCGATGCGCAGCTGGCCCGTCTTCATGCGGAAGAGCAGGTCGTTGAGGCAGTGGCCGATCTTGGACACCATGATGAGCACGCGCATCTTGCGGGCCGTCGGGCGAATGTCGTAGCTCATGTCCCACTTGGCGGCGAGCTCGTCGAAGGGCGCCTGCAGGTGCTCGGTGGTGATGCGCTCGCCGGCCGGGCCAAAGTGCACGCGCATGAAGAAGCGGCGCGACACGGGGTCGCTGAACTGCTGCAGGTCGAGGATGTTGTGGCCGTGCGAGGCGAAAACGGCGGTCACGGCGTGGACGATGCCGGGCTGGTCCGGGCACGTGAGCGTGAGGATGTGGTCGTCGGCGATGGCCATGGTGAGAGGTGTTTGGCGTTGAAGCACAGCGAGGGGCGGAAGTGAGGCTGGTGGTGATGGGGTCGACGCGCCGAGTTGAGTCGGGGCTGTCTGCTGCGATGGGGATGAGGCGGCTGAGGTGAGATGAGGTGAGTCGAGGTGAGAAGCAGAATCGCCGACAATGGACTCAGCTCCTCGAGAATGACTCTTTTCCGGCTCATGCGGTCCATTCTTCGGCGGTGGAGACGTGGCTTCACTGCCGACTCCGGCGATTGGGGGGTGACGGCCTCTCCACTCGGTGCGGGCTCCAAAACCCTCCAGGGGCGCGGACTTTTGTCGGCATCTCGGGGGACAAAATGTTTGCTTCAGATACTTCACTCGACTTTGGCCGGTTGAGCGGCATGAGCCATCATTGAAGCAGGCGTCGCGAAGGCATCAAATCGCAGCGTGTGTGCTGTGTAATGGAACATTTGACGACTGTTGTCACACAGCTGGAGGACGCCCTGTGTGGGCATTTCAGTCCGATCTCCGGCCGCCAACATGGGATCGTCGCCGTCAGCGCCGCCCGAACAGGTGGGGTTTGCACCGCGGCGAAGGCGGCACACCTCCGTGTGTCCCGTGTCGCGTTGCCGGCGGGAGGCAACGGTAGCCGCCGTTGCTCCGGGTTACTCATGGTCAGCACCCCGTGCTGCTTTTCATGGCACGGCAATGAGACTGTGGCGCTCCCAGCGTCCCTGAACAGCACCTCTTCACCCTTTCCACAGCTCAACCACGTAGCCTGGTACAGTACACGTCGGCGCTGATTGCCCACTTTTGTACACGAGGCCATTCAAGTCCGTCTTGCCGCAGAGCACGCGCAGAACAAGGTGGCCGCCCTACGGCCGATCTTGCTCCTTTCCGGTCCTGCAGCTAAGTGCAGCGATTCGTCCACGCCTGTGGTCGCGCGATGCTTGATGTCTGGTGTTCGCCAAGCGACCCACGCGTCACGATTCAGATTAGTTGACACCAAGCACAGCCGTATTGTAGTGCGCCTGCTGTGCTGCCATACCAGCACCCCTTGGGTCCCGTGCTCACGGAAAGAAGAGCGCTGCTCCCCATCTCTGTCAACTTCACCCTCGCCGGGCCGTTTGAACACCCTTCAAAGAACGGAAGGTAGGAACCGCGCCACGCCCCGGCTTGCCCCTGGAGTTGTGCAAACTACTGGCGCCACAAACTGCTCACGCATGAAGCAATTCCGTGCCGTCTGCAAAGCACTGTACAGTACAATAGTACTGCACCGACTACATACATGTGCGGGCCAACAGACTTCTGGGCTGTTGGCTCTCAGCCTCTCGTCGTCGTCCATCGCGTGCGCTCCAAGGAGAGTACAGTATGCAGTCAAGCCTGGACCGTTGTGATGTCAGTGCTTGGCGAGCCTTGGCTGCATGCCCTCGGCGCAACTTCCCTCTGCGACCGACGGCAGAGATGATATGGGCCCGTGGCGTTGCGGCCCAGAACCGCCTGCCATTGCTATGGACATTTCGTGGGGCCACTGGGGTTGTATGCGGCGCGTTGCATCGTGAGGTTGCCAAGCCTACGTAGCCCGTGGGCGTTGACAACTTGATTGAACGTCTTTGATGGGTGGCGCTGGGTATGCGAGACCGCAGCGAACCTTTGAAGCTTCCACTCCTCATGTGCACGCTGTGTGAAATGCTCGTGAGTCGTTGTGTGCGTTCAATGGCTGGACGTGATCTCCGTTTTTTCGTGACGCAAGGTCTTCTGTACTTAGCACGTCGTGTGGAGGATCTGCACTGCGACAGCCGGGTTACCGCGTCCTCGGCTTTTTTGCGCAAGCATGCCCAACGCCGAGACACCATGGTGCCCCCAGCGGACAACTATTACGGTGTCCCAGAGATAGGTCCACTAATCCGGGGCAAATGCCATTTGTTGACAAGACGTCCCGGACGCGGGCGTTCTGGCCCCCGCCCCGCACTGTCGAGAAGGGCTGTGCAAGCCACCCGACACAACTCGTCCATTGCATGGTGCAGCTGTGCCTGGTCACCCCAAGCTATGGCCCCTGTTTACCTTCCTCCTTGAGCAATCGATGGCGTGGTCCCGACGATATTAGACGCCAGTGATTCCAGGGGCCTAGTAGTGGGTGTACTGACGCGACCAGACTCGGCAGTTGGTAGCACTTGGCTTGGCTCTGCTATCTTTCGGGGGGCGATATCACATCGGCAAGTGGGAGAGCTCACATTCTTCCGCCTTTCCGCCATCTCAGCGACCTACAAATTTAGCACTGCACTGGGTTGCAGAGGCTAAAAGATCATCCAAACACGGGCGCGGCCTCGAGTGCTCCTGAGTTAGCTGTTGCCCGTGGTAATGAACGGCCCAGCAGCAGCAGCCCTGGCCAACTGCAAGGTCGCAAAAGCCAATTGCATGTAATTGGGCTCAGGCTTGCCGCTCCATTCGTTCGTTACAGAATGTGCGATTGGAGTGATCTGAGTTGGCATGGACCATCCGTGTTCAGCGAACCGATGGAGCGGCTGGGCGCGGGGTTGATGCTTGGCGTCGGTAGCCTGTACGGATTGTAATACATAAGCGTTCGATGGCATAGGTTCCAACCGCCCGTCCTATTTCAGCGAAACGAGCTCCCGCTGGTTCGATCATGCGTGACGAATCCAGACATCGCGTACTTTGCGCGGTCGTGACCGTAGTAAACGCACTCGATGGCGCGATCAATCTTCTGCAGCCTTCATGGTTGCAGGCTGCGCCAAGACACCTTCAAAACATGCCACCAACAATGCACCGACGAATCCTACAGACAGGTTACACTCAGATCGTCCCAGCCAGGCTGTTCCACCAACAACCCCGCTCGTAGTACTGCCTGAATGCAGGGCCCCGTCCGATCCGCCCGTACGTGCCACCCACCAACCTAATCTCAACGACACCACCAACTCAGCCTCCTTCGGTGAGCAGTCCATTCTCGGAGCTATCATGCATAAACAAGGCTTGCTCCCCACTGTCTCTACGCCACGGAACTTGCCTATACTTTGCATCTCCCAACGCGTGCGCCATTGACTCTACCATTGCGCGCTTCATGCGGCTGCTGTATGCATGGAGTCGAAGGATCGCCATATGGTTGGTTCGCCTTCATGGCAAGGGAAAACACAGCAACGTGGTAGCCGGTTTCCGTCGCTTTGGGGAGCCCCCTCAAGCCGTATTGCGGTCGGATCGATATCCTTATCTGTAAGTGTCATCAGTATCCTCGCCATCCCAACATCTAATCGGTCTTGGCATATGTCCTTCTTGGCATGTACTGTATTATGTACGTGAGCCGATATTATTGCTTCATCCTGCTGTTGGGAGCGGAGCGGCCGACAGAAGTCCTTGGCATCGAAAAAGCGACTTGCCTATTATGTGCCGCCACATTCGTGTCAGGGCGGGTGGATGAGGGCCATCTTTCGGCGCGCATGCCCTTGGACGGTGTCATCCGCCACATGACACGGCGAACGACAAAATATAGCAGTGTAAGTGGGCAGACACAGCACAGTATCACCAAGATTATGCAGCCACAGTTCTGAAGAGGGCAAGCCTTATGCTCCACAGGCCCATACATGAGCCGCCAATGGTGCAGTGTTTCACTTGTTGCACGTCCAAGGGAACTTTTTTACCTTCCTAAACTGCCCAGTCGGCACGATAGGTTATCATCCCTTCCCGCTGTTTTCCTGGAGCTGGGAACGGTACAGTACACCTCAATGGCGAAAGTCAATTTTCCATATGAAGCTGTGCTCGCCCTCACTTAACACGCCGTTGTTGAGCTTGCCTCGACTGTAGCTTCTCCCATCTGAGAAGAGTATGTTCGGCTATTGATACAGCCATGAACAAGACATCCCAGCACGGAGGTGACGGAAAAGATTCCGGGGATGGAGTCTTTCAGAAAGCCCACGATGATGCAGTCACTGACACCATCGTTGAGAAGATGGTAAGCCGTCCGACAGATGTGCCAGAGAATGCGCCCGGTAAGACTTGCTGCTAACACTGGTCAGTTGACGGAGACGGAGGCGGGGGAGGCCCATACGCTCGAGGGGTAAGTCATGCCTTTCAAGGCTCGATGACAACTATGCAAGCTAACCTCCGCATAGGCACCTGAATGCCACAGAGGATGACATCCTGGAGGCCAAGGAACTCGCCGCATCAATGAGCCTCGAGACTGTCCGCAGCGTACGCATGACCATGTGCCGTTCTACTGCAGTTTGCGCTGAAAGTTAGCAGATGATGCAGAACGTCTTGGCAATCCACGATGGCGACCCCAACTTTCCCTTTGTAACGCTCCAGAAGATCAAAGAGTTTCTCGGTATGTTGAACTAGTATCCCAAACGCTGCGCGATCTCCGTTCTCTAACTTGACTAGGGAACGATGACATCATGGAGAATCCTGAGAAGCATGAGGGGCTCGTACAAGAGATGAAGCTAGAAGCCGCGCTCATCACCAACAATAGCCCATACGCCGAGGTTCGAGCCGTTGTTGATAACCACGATGACCCAACGACGCCGGTATCCACGATCCGCGCCTGGACTTTGGGGTGCTTCTTTAGCGTCTTCTTGTCCTTTGTGAACCAGCTCTTCTCCATCCGACAGCCCGCTATCCGATTCGACACCAATATTGCCCAGTTGCTCGCTTTCCCACTTGGAAAGGCTTGGGAAAAGTGGGTTCCGAACTACGAATTCTCGCTTTTCGGGCAGAAAATTGGTCTCAACCCGGGCAAGTTCAATAAAAAGGAGCACATGCTTATTGCCATAATGGCCAATACGTCCAGGAGCCTGCCGTACACCAACTACATCATCTGGACTCAGGTTCTTCCCCAATACTTCAACCAGCAATATGCCCGACACTTTGGATACATGTTCTTGAATGCCTTTGCCACCAATTTTATTGGATACGGTCTTGCTGGCTTGACTCGGAAGTTCCTCGTCTATCCTTCCTATTGCGTCTGGCCAATGTCACTTGTTACGATCGCCCTCAACACCGCTCTCCACAACGAAGAGAACCAGCCTGTACAGGGCCCATTCGGGCGCATTTGGTCCATGTCCCGCTATCGGTTCTTCTTATACACATTTGCCGCCATGTTCATATACTTTTGGTTCCCGAACTACCTGTTTCAGGTGCTCTCCTACTTTACATGGATGACCTGGATTGCGCCAGATAATCTGAACCTGAACATTCTCACTGGCATGCAGAATGGTCTCGGTGTACGTTACTGTCATTCCTTTTTCCATACTAAAAAGTCACAGTCCATACTAACACTATGTCTAGCTCTTCAATCCTGTGCCCACCTTTGACTGGAACGTCATCTGCTTCAGCACCGATCCACTTGTAAGGCCTACGCGTTTTCGGCGCACTTGCACCTAACCCCTGAGCTGACTAGGTGCAGATGATTCCATCCTTTGCTACCTTCAATGCCGTTGCGGGCATGTTTGTCACTGGACTCTTCGTACTGGGAGTGTGGTACACTAACACGTGGAACACGGGATTCTTACCCATCAACACAAACCGCGTCTACGACCACTTCGGAAAACTCTATAACGTTTCTCGCACACTTGATGATCGCGGAATGTTCGACCTGAATAAGTACATGGGCTATTCCGCTCCATATATGGGAGCGGCCAATGCACTTCTTTATGGCTTTTTCTTTGCCATCTATACAGCCATCTTGACACACGTTGTCTTATACCAACGCTACGAAGTGACGATGGGTTTCCGCAATCTTTTCAGGAGTCTAAGATTCCGCAAGAACAAGGCAACGAGCGAGAACTCCAACTCGCAAACCACGGAAGGGGAGTACTCGGATGTACATAACCGGCTGATGGCAGCGTATCCGGAGGGTAAGTTTGCCTTGCCAACACTCCTGTTGTTCTCGGAGACAACGAAGCTCGCTTCTAATATCTTTATTCAGTGTCTGAGTGGTGGTACTTCAGCGTTCTTGTCATATCAATTGTTTTTGGTGTCCTCGGCATAGCGCTGTGGCCAACCTATACTTCACCTGCAGTTGTACTCTACGGCATCTTGTTATGTCTCATTTTCGTCATCCCAGTCGGCGTTACCGTCAGTATGACTGGCATTGAAATTACGCTGAACGTGCTTGCCGAGTTTATTGGTGGCATGATTGTCGAAGGCAATGCACTGGCCATGAACTTCTTCAAGTCCTACGGGTACGGGTGCTTGTCATTAGAGCCACCCTGGCCATGTTTCTGACTTGTTGCTGGCAGGTACGTTACTTGTGCGCATGCAATCTCGTTCGCCAATGACCTTAAGATTGCCCACTACGTCAAGGTAAGCCGATTTGGAGTGCCATTCCATATCGTAACTTTCGCTGGGAAGCTGACTCGATTCAGATCCCGCCACGAGTCACGTTTGCTGGCCAAATGATTGCCACGCTTATCTCTACCCTCATTTGCACTGGCATCATGAAGTTCCAAGTAAGACTGCTTCCACCTGAATCATTTCCTGCTGTTCAGGCTGACCCTTCTAGATGGACATCAAGAACGTATGCACGTCGGCTGCTCCGATGCGTTTCCTTTGCCCTGGGCCTAATACCTTCATGACGGCTTCGGTCCTCTGGGGCACAATCGGGCCGATCAAAGTCTTTGGCAAGGACGGCCAGTATAAGTGGTTGTTACTTGGCTTCCCTCTGGGCGTCGCTTTGGTCGTTTGCATGTGGGGTCTCAAGAAATTGTGGCCGAACTCTCGGGCTCTTCGGCAGGTCCACATTGTTGCCGCTATCGCTGGATCGCTCCAATGGGCACCCTACAGCTTCTCCTACGCCTGGCCCGCGGTCCCTGTTGCCTGGTTCTCCTGGATTTTTATCCGCGGCCGCTACTTGGCGTTCTGGTCTAAGTATAACTTTGTCCTTTCCGCGTCGTTTTCCGCTGGAGTCGCCATTTCCGCCATCATTATGCTTTTCTCGGTTCAATGGGCCGGGATCTCTGTGGATTGGTGGGGTAACACGCAGCCGTTCAAGGGATGCGAGGAGACCCCCTGCACGCTACACCAGTTGGGTAAAGGCGAGCGGTTCTTCCCGTGGTGGGACGGCACTAAGATCCCTGCGCCGTAAACAGACCACAACCCCCCCGCCTTCAACCCCCTTCAAGGATCTGGGAGCGATGAACACCAAGTTTCCCAATGTCACCAGTTCTTTTGGCAAAGACCAAGAGCATAATTGGCAGTAGTATATAGTCGGCCAGAATATTGAGGTGCTGAAACTCACTGCAACCCAATTGAGCATGAAACACGGACGGTCAGTTCGTACCATGTACTGCCCCTCGGTCTGGCATGCGACTACGGACAAGTGTAGTAGCCTATCAACGTTTCGTGGTACAACCCCGAGTTCATTTTATAGGAGAGACAAATCAATCATCCAAGTTTCACAGCCTGGTATCTGTCTGAATCATATCAGATACGCCAGACATTCACCTGCTTTAAGCTCTCCCTTGGTCAACTGTTCCCAGCCTTGCCTGACCGCCTCCATACCTGAACCCCAGGTGACGTCCAACCCCCGGACGCCATGAGCTCTGAAGGACCGCCAAGATGTGTTAAGCTCGCCGAAGTACCTTTCCTCACCTTGTAATGCAATAGCCCGATCGCGAATGCTGCTCACGCTGACACGGACAGCTTGGACTGCCGATGAAGACGTCAGTGACTTGGAGAACTCTTGCGGGGTCATTTCCGCAATCTCATATCCGAGGCTCAGTAGAAGCACGTCTTTGCCGCCGGCACGAAGTTCGGTAGCCCATGATTGCGCAACGCCGCCCCGACCGCCAAAGTCAACGAGTACAATCTTCTCTCTAGATGCGGCACCTATTGCAGTTAAAGCCTCCAGTGCACTCTCATCTGTGCTTTTTGTGTAATCATATATGCCAGTCGCTTCAACGAAGCTGTATGAGGATGAAGTCGGTGCGGCCACTAGCCTCCTAGGTCGGGCTGCACTCCTGCTGTACTTGAGGATATGCGCAAGGGACAGCCCGGCCTTTGAACCCGGTGCAAAGTTGACAACTGTTGCAGCTGTTAAATCGGCCATGTCCGCAGTCCAAGGCGTCGTCATATCTGGACCTGGATGTACTTGGTGTCCTGGAACTGCTGCAAAGACGAAATGCGCCAACAAGTACGACGTCTCGTACATGACCCTGATGCACGCGTCGTAGCCGATAGACGAGGATTTCGATATCACAGCTGGCTTTATGCCGCTAGAAAACTTGATATACCTATTGTAGAATGGAGCGATATGCTGGCGGTGGGCGCTGGTAACGATAACATGATCAGGGATTCCGGCATCGCGGACCTCGAGATCCTGCGCCAAGGTGCCGATAGGCTGGTAACCCCAAAGATAGTCACCCTTTTCCACAAACGGAGCGGTAGATTCCAACACTTCTGCATAGCCCCAAGCACTGGTGCGGCCATATCTTGACGAGTCGTTGAATGGCGCAGGAGTGGACTTGGGCAATGGATGCACGTCCCACCAGCCGAACAGAAACCCGACTTTGGCAACTGTGATATTGCTTGCTGTGAGGCCAATGACCTTGGTTCGTATCCGAACTGACGACAGTCCCAGTTGTGAGTTGGGGTCTTCGTCAAGGATTGGGATCAAATGTTGTGTAAAGTATTGTTCTCGCTCGAGTATCTGGACTTCGGGGATGAGCGACATGCTTGACGGCCGACCGATGTCTCGGAAGGGACAATGCCGTTTGCCGCAGAGTCAGGCTCATGGGCCTTCCAGCATACAGGTTCTCGAAGCTTTCTGAGGAGGCGTGTCCACTCTGTGGCGGAGTGGTCGGGTGGTCTCTGAGCGCCATGGTCGCGCTCTTGAAGCGGTATTCTTGGGTACGAACACATTTAAACGAGGACGCGACTAAAAGACGCACCATCTGGAGATCGGGGCTGACGTGGCAGCGCGCTGACTGGGTTAGAGACCGTATTCTATCCGAAGCGGGCAACATTAATGCGAGAAATACGACTTAGCAACCATGGTGTCACGACCCTGGGGGCCTGATACACAATCTGGTCTAGGCTGGGGGTACATGGAGCAGCATCGGAAACAGATAATGTTGCATGAACAAATTCTGACCTGCTAGTCTTGCCTGCCGCTAATCTCCTACGTATCAGGATATCATGGCCAGGTCTTAGGCCATGTCGTGAGCCCTTCCCAGATTCAATTAGTTTTCTCGGTCCAGGGCACCCTTATCGAGCAATTCGGACCGGTTGGGCACGTATGGAGGGGGATCCAATGATGTCGACGATTCCGATCGTGTTTTGATAGCCATGCGTTTGTCCATAGAATCAGACATGTCCCCGCCCACATTGAGTACAGGCATCGTCCATGGCGTTTCGTGATCGTGGCTGTCAGGGTGAAGTTGAACTACCACCGACCGCGAGGAGGGAGGTTGGCTGATGTCATCACCGTCGCTGAATGTCTTTCGAGATTTTGCTTTCTTTCCCATGACGATCATTTGCCGGATCGATAAGCCAATACTGTAGAAGTACGACAGACTTTTGGCCGAGCTGAGTCAGAATGGGATATGAAGCAGACGCAACGTTCCCCGGACATGCGGCAGGGCCTGAACTTACATCAAGATAATGGACAGCCAAAATGACGACTTTGGTATGCCACAGTATTGATCCAAGGCGCCCCTTTCGCTGCTGTTGCCGAAACCAGACGTGTCAAATCCGGATCTCGGTTCTCCTGGATCTATGGAGGGTCAGGGGGTTGACGATAAAACAAGACGAGCGACCCAGAAACAATGACGACGTACTTGTGACCGTTGTCAACCCTTCACAGTTCCAGGGCAGTCCCGCCACTGCGAGGACAATTATTTCCGGGATTTGTAGTCCGATACAGCAAAGGTCAAACACGATCAACAGCGACAGGCACACTCGCTTGAAGTAACCTGCAAGGTGCCAACCGCACCAGTTACTCAGCAAAGTCGTGATTAATGTCAGCCCGGCCTATTCGTAGCAGTTGTCAGCTTCAGCGTTTAACGTCTACGAAGCAAGCTGAGGGTACCGCAATGCATGTGACCGTGAGGCCACCCCCAATGCTCTGTGAAGTATGCGAGCTGATGTATCCCAACAGGAAGGCACTCGTTATGAATACGACTGCAGAAATAGAGCATTGAAGGACCTTAGTCCAGTAAAGTCGTCTTTCAAGAGGCCATCGAGTGTTGGCGCATGGAGACATGTTCAATATTGGTTGAAAGGACTCGATTCGCAATTACCTCAGGTTTCATCACCTAGATTTGAGATCCCAAATCTTTTCGACGCATTTCTTTTAAAGGGCCTTCTTGTTTTTGATCATCTGCGCGATATGCGTCTCAAGTGTGCGTCGCCTGCAAGTTCTGGCCCCACGCCCTGCGCGTGGCGCTTGTGCCGTCAATACGAACCCGGGATGACGCGTCCAGTGGCAGAATCCGAGCGGATTACGAGTACCGGCATGTCGACGCTGCAAGGCCTTTACCAATTGCTGTACAAGCCTAGCTATGGCTTACGACGGCTTACTGTTACCGGAGAGACTTCAAGCCGATGTGAAACCCGATCTCACAAATTGAGGTCGCAGGGCGAAGTGAGTGCAGAGTCAGTCGGTGAAATGACTTGTCTTCTCAAGCCTCACTCCCTACATACTATTTCTGGACGCACGGTGTATTGCATCTGGTTTCCTGATGTAACAGTATTCACTGAAGTATTATACTGTGCAATCGCGCGTCTGCGTCATCTGCTTGCTCAAGTCAGCATGGCTGCTTGGCGATACACCCTCACCACTGCCATTTAGCGAAGTACCTGATCAGAGATGCGACTACCAGCTCTGTCTCACATTTTAACGACGAGGTCCATGCTCGACACGCTGTGGCGTCGTGGATGCGGCCGCAGCGAACAAGCAACAAACGGGACTCGGGCGCAAGGTAAATTCCAACCACGACAGGAAGAGGTCAGACCCACTGCGAGGTAAAGGAGTATGAAAACCTCACTTGCGATCGCGGATAAGTGTTGCGCGAAGTACACTGAAGCCAGGGCCGAAAACCCAGCATAGGTTGACGTATATTGCAAGGTAGGCCCGGAGGTGAGTTGGATATACTTATACTTGGCCGCGTACGAAGTTGTCACAGTGGGAAGGGCTGCTGATGGCAGACTTATAACGACCTGCGTACAATGAAGCACCACGTGAATGAGCGTCTCTGTGAAATGGGAAAATACCTATGAATCCGAAACGGCAGCGAGAGCGGAAGCATCGTCCAACGTTACCCCAGACGGTCTTCGATATGGCCACGAAGACAAAGACCAACAGTTAGGCCACATAGAAAGGTAGGCCATGAGAAGCGGCTACAGCCAGGAAGCCATTACTGCTATTGCTCGACGTCGAGGTACGACAAAACTGTGGTGTTGAAGCGAGCCGGATCATAAGACGCACGAGATAATATCGGCGGGGAGACAATTAAGAGCCGATCGGGACGCCTGGCCAGCAGCTCATCTTCCCTTGGATCGAAGTGGCGAGACATGGCACGGTCGAGAGCCGCCGGCGATTCGCCCGGTTCATTCGGCAGAACGTGGCATATCGCTCGTTCCCCGTGGGGAGTCGGCCGTTCTTCGTGGGACAGGGTTTGGGGGCCTGGAGAAGTTTGTGGTTGAGAACCCAATTGGGGGCGATGGGTGAATTTGGGTTGGGGCAGTTTGGCCCACTACGCCAGGCGCACACCAGGGGCACAATTGAGGGTCAGTGGCGCCCGGATCGCATTCGGCTGGCTTCTATCTCGATTCAAAGGCTTGGCTGTACTTCACTGAACTTCGACTCCCTCACCGGAAGCAATGTTTGGCCTAGTGGAGCTGCGCAGGCCCGACAATGCGAAGCGGGAGAGCGGTCGCGCATCACGGAAGCACCTTGGTACCCCCCCTGTTATCAGAGCACCCTGTTGCCTGAGGCATTACAGAGTACTTCGGAAGATTACTGTTTCACCGACATTCTGCAGCCCCGCGTTACACGACATGGCCAAGCACACCCAGCAGGAAGTGACTGCCACCGGCAAGGCCACCCCCCCAGCACGGAGGTCCTGAACGAAGAAATTGACCAACAGTTATGGAGAACCTTTGCAATTCGCAGCGCGCAAGAAACTAATACTTCGGAACGGAGATGTTCTCATTGGCAAACACTTGGTAGTTGATGTAGGGTAGCGCCGAGCGGGACGGGACGCCACGTGAGATACCACGTGGGCTGGTTCCCCTCACAATGCTTGGGCGCGTGTCAGCACTGAGTAGCACCACAACCCCGCTCTCCAACCGTTGGCCAATCCATGCTATCACCACATCATGAAGCCGCTTGGCTTTTGCAGTCACTTGTTGGTGCAGTTGCTCGGTCGCCTCTCGACCCTGGTTGCTGCCGAGCTCCGAATCGACCATGAATGATGCTGGCCGTGGCCTCATGATGAAACCCAGCTTCCCGCATGCATTGCACAGCTTGCCATGCTTACACGCGTGTATGAGCCCCTGAATGGGGCCCAGAATGGCATCCGCGTGGTGCGGGTTGCTCCTTACAACAGCTTCGGCCGCAATCCCGTAGTTTGCCAACTTGAGGAAACAACATGGGATGCTTGCGAGTACGAAGCCCTGAGCTACTGCTGGGGCAAGCAAAATGACCATGCAATTATCCAGCTGGGCGGGGAACCGTTCAAGGTCACCAAGGATTTGGCAGCGGCGCTCGAGCAGCTCTGTCTTCCAGACCGCATCCGCACCATTTGGGTACTAATCGCCAGCTCGCCAGACATGTCCGCGATGGCTAATAGTCGCCACAGATTGACGCAATATGCATCAACCAATTTGACCCAGAAGAGAAGAGCGTACAGGTGAGGATGATGGGCAACATCTATCGCGCTGCGCAACAGGTCCTTGTTTGGGTCGGCTCTGCACGTGATGATACCAAGCTTGCTTTCAAGCAGCTAGATCGTCTAGCCAACGTCATTTCTACTCCATCCAATGCGGTTGAGGAAATTTGGGAAGAGCAGGACATGGGTTCATGGATCGAATGTCTCAACGACCTGATTCAACGACCTGTTTGTCTCCATGTATGATGGTCTCTACAGAGAATCCAAGCTAACGATTTCTCAACAGTACTGGAGTCGTGCGTGGACGGTCCAAGAGGTTGTCCTGGCGCGAGATGTTGTGATTCATTGCGGCCCTCATACGACGTCTTTCTTTAACCTGGCTTCCATTCTTGTTCATCCAGCCACTCCCAAATATCTGAACGTCACGTACGGACTATTCAGTTACCTGAAGCAGACCTTCGCTTTGCGGTCACAAATGTCGCAAGATCCCGATATCGGCCTTTTTGCCTTGGCTTACTCTTTTCGTCACCGCCTCGTTAGCGAGCAACGCGACAAGGTATACGCATTCATCGGGCTTCTAAATTCGCCGTCGTCTATGCCGGGAGGCTCGTTCACTATTGACTATCGTCAAGACAAACAGGCTCTATGGAGGTCGCTGTCCAAGGAGACCATGGCACGCCACCGGACACTTCTGCCACTCGCGATTGCGGAGCGGGCCAAGACATTAGATGCCAGCTGGTGTTTTGACTGGTCTGCACACCCGCATGACCCAAACCATTTCCAGGAACAAGGACAACTTTTTTGGGCAGGAGGCTTAGATGACCCGCGCTACTACCCACTACAGGCCAACACGTTTTCGGCTGCTGGCGGTCTCGAAGCACGCATCCGCATCGACCTGGAGGCTTCAAGTGTGATTGCTGTTGAGGGGTTCACCCACGGGAGGATTGCTGCTATCGGTGACAGCGTGAGCTCTTGGACTATTCCCATGGGGCGCCCGAACTATGTGCAGCTGTTCAAGAAATGGGAAACGCTGGTAGGCGGACCCTGGGAAGATGAGTCCGATATGGACATGGCGCGCAAGTTTGCGTTGACGGTAACTGGAGGCGCCTGGACTAATGAGCCACTTGACTGGAGAGCTTGGAACACCAGAGATTACTCTCAGCGACCCTGGAACTGGCACTACATAGTGGACCCGGACGGGCTGACGAAGGGTACCGGTAGCGGTGCAGGCTACAGGCAGAGTCGGCACCTTGACGACGAGCGAACTGACCAGGCTGCAAAATACGCCAAGGTGCGAGATGACGCCTGCGAAGGAAGGAGGATGTTTCTCCTGGATGATGGTAAGGGCTTTGGCCTCGGCCCAGAGGATGTGGAAATTGGCGATAGAGTGGTAGTTCTCCCAGGCTGCGACGTGCCCCTGGTCATTCGGAGGAGGAATTGGAGGCGTTGGAGGCGAATCTATGACACGGAAGACAAAGCAAAGCTCTATGGAAGCACGTGGAAGGTACTTGGACAGGCATATGTCCACGATATAATGCACTATCAAGGGAACTTAGCCAGCGACATCCATACAGGAAAGGTAAAGTTAGAAGAATTTTTAGTGGACTAAAAAGCTCCATAGGTTGTCATTATTGAAGCATTGGAGTCCCCAGCTATCATTCAACTTCTAGTCGCCATGGGCAATGCACGTTTGGCAACAGCTCCGCCACAGATAAAGAAATATTTTGAGTAAGTACCCTAGGCAACAGGTGAGTGACGATCTAATCGGGCCGTATAGTTCCATGACGAAAGCACACCATTTTGATGTCGCCTCCCTGGGCTATCCCAGCAAAGCGCCAAGATCACGACCCAGGTTTCGCACATAGCCTTCCGCCCATTGCCCGGTTGCCTGATCGTAGGATGCAGAAATATCTTCCGAGCCTTATTTGGCTCAGACAGCTGGCCGCATCTAGGCCTGCGACCAGGTTCCATCGGGTCAGTGCTCGTGGCCGTCTCGCCCGATGGCTGGCACGCGCAACCATGCGGTCTGAGCCATCGTCGTCGACTTGACGCACTTTCGCTCATATACGTAAGAGAAGCAACAAGCAGGAATGGAAATCTATATCGAGTTTAATCAACACCGAAGCGGAAATTGACTACTATGTCGGCGGATTTGTCCGATATAGAGTGCGCACCGCTGTATAAAAGCATCGCAGCTACCCACCACCACTCCATTCAACTCAATCCAGTCAACATATTCCCTAGTAGCTGCAGCTAGCATCAGCAACTGAGAACATGGCGTTATCTACCCCTTCGCTAAACCAGTACTGGTCACAAAACAACCTGGAAACGGCCGCGGATCGATGGATGAACTCCAATGTGCAGGCATTTACAACTGGAGTAAGACGGCACCAAAAGCTCGCTCTTTCAATTGCAACTAGCTAAATCATGGAGCAGAACTGCTTGGTGAGCAGCCAAACATGCCACCTTGACAACAGTCGCTATCAGGGAATGAGTAGCTTGAATGAGTTACTGAGTTCCGTCCCCTTGACTCCGAGGTTCAACACCACCTGTCACGAGCAGACGCCGGTGAGAAAGCCCACGTTGTGAAAGAGTCTATCATTTCTGGATAAATGCTGACCGAGCCTGGAAGTGTGTTCGGGATGGAGACTGGTGTTCCTGGAGAACCCATCCACCACAAGCTGCCGACTGTCAAACAAACCAGGTTGGTCGGCAATTACACATCACGCGCCGAGACCAAGGCGGCAGAGGCACCGTTTTCAACGGCAACGTGTACGGCACGAACACCGTTATCCACCACTCCAGTAGCAGCAGCGGCTTTTTCTATAGCTCAAACGGGGTGAGCTACCAGTCGAGCATGCATTGCATCTTCTCGTCCCGTTAGTGCCGATCGAGAGTTCTCCGAACCCGGCAGGGGGACATGAGTCGTGGGTGGGAGGCGCGGTGTGATCAACGTCGCTACTCGCCAACACTACACAGATATGGCTAGAACTGCTCAAGAGGACGGCTGAAACAAGACACTTGTTTTCGGAGCACAGGCCTGAGTAGACCAGGCGGGAGGAGATTTACTGAGTGCGGACGCCCGTTCATGATCTTTACATCTATATGTCTTTCAACAATAGACTTGCTTGGCACAAAACACCGTGCCGGCATTGCAACGGGCGCAACCCACCCCAACAGGTAAAACGGGGGTTGATCGCTGGTACTGGCACCGATGAGGAAAACATGTGCGGCCGCCGAAGCTTTCCTGACTGGGCAAGTTTTGGAACCCCCACACCCCGTGCGGGGCCGGGCCAAACCTGTCTCAGGAGACCCACCTCAACGGCTCGCTGTCTCCTGCAACATCTCCACGACGCCCCGCAGGAGTCTTTTCTTGTCAATTTACGGGTTTTGTCGCTTATACTCCGTCCATTGTGCGAACTGTAATACACGACTCCCGCGGGGCGATTGTCAGTATTGGTCAAACATAAGCCAATGGAGCTACTGCCGGATGACAGACACGGCCGCGGTAGTAGCGGAGTCGGCCGAGCTTCCAGGGGCTGTATCGTACGACTACTTCTCACAACGGGCCCATTGAGCATCCGCTAACAAAGACTCCATGAGGCTGTAGAAATGTCGTGAAAGGTACGTCGGCGCTGTCACTCCCGATTTTGTTACCGAGTCCCACGACCGCTGGTGCACCACGACTCACAGTCCTTCAACCGCTCATTGCTCTAGACATACAAAATGTGCGCTGCCCTAAAGTTTAATGACACGAGAAGAGACCGGTCAAAGCTAACATTGCAATTGGAAACACACTTTTAGGTGACGATGTCCGGCCAAGTTGCCAACAATGTATGAGGTTAGGCGTCTACTGCGAGCGGGAGGTCGTCCGCTTTCGACCTCACTATATGCCTCGGTAGCTCGCTTCCATGCTCCCTACCCGGAATGTTTGGCGGCACTTCTTCAGGTTCTGACAGTGTGCAACATCCAAGCCGCGCTAGAGCATCAACAGCAGCCCGTGGCATGAGCCAGAAGACGCAGGAGCGTCCACGTCATGCAAGTCTGTCCTGTCTCGAGTTCATAGAGGAGACTCGAAAGTTCTATTTGCGTGGAACAAAGAAAACAGAAGCACAAGATCACGGGTCTCATGGCGACACAAGCGCCATCCAAGATGCAGATTCTGGTACCAACATTGTCGGGAAAAATCCCAGCACCGAGGAGACTGGGTCACCGTCGCCGTCGATAGGCGGTCACAACCAACCGACTCTAGAACCAAGGGGAGGGCTAGGTTGGGGCGGAAGAACACCTCTTAGTAATGAAGAAGAAGTGTCTCACGCATTGCGTGCTGTAGATGACTGCAGCGACTGTGTTTCTTCGGAGGCTGTGGGCCAGACCGTGGCTACCGCAACGAGTGGGCTTCACCAGAGTCGAAATCTCTGGAACACTGGGTCTTTGCTGAGGCTGGACACACCAGTGCGAAGCCTAGCCTATTTGACTCACCGGGATGGCTCTGGAGCGCATCAAGGTTTGACTTCATGGCCGTTTGACAGTCCTGATGAAGCTAGGCTCATGCGATACTATATCACCGATATTTCTCGGAGATTCGACCTCTGCGACCCCGAGAGACACTTTGCCTTGGTAGTCCCATGGCGAGCTGCCTGCTGTCCACCACTACTCAACGCCGCTTTTGCACTGAGCGCGAGATGTCTGAGCCGGACCACTTCTTATGACGCCTTCATCGCCAACCGATACTATCAGAGATGTCTTAGCAACCTGATCCCAATGCTAGGTGACCAAGACGCCTTGAATAACCAAGATTTATTTGCTGCAATTATTTTGTTGAGAAGCTTGGAAGAGATCGAAGGTGAGTGCTTCTCTTGCGTGCTAACTTTGTTATTGTCAGGTGCTAATGGCTGACGGCAATTGATGAACACAGTCCCATTATACGGAGCTGACTCCCGCACACACCTCTTTGGAAGTCATTTATTTATATGTGCTTCAAAGTCGTCAACTTCTCCGCCGACACTCCCGACGGTGGCGGGCAATACCCTTGTCGAGAAGGTTGCCGTCGCCTCCTGGCGTGCAGAATCACGAGGTGATCTACGCCACGCGTCATTCCTAGTTGCCTTTCGACAAGAGGTTTACACGGCCATGACGTCGCAACGGCCCGTGGACAGAGCATTTTGCCCTGTCGATATCGACCGCAGTCTTGAAAGCCCAGCTAGTGATGCGACCTGGACCAATTGGCTGCTGTTGCATCTTGCGGATGTCCTTGACTTTTGTTTCGAGCAGGATGAGTCATTAACTCGATCTGAGATGCTGCAGTGGTACGACAGGCTGTCCGATTACGCAGACGAGTGGCATGCCAAAAAGCCACCCAGTTTTGATCCAATTTACCACGGGGTCAATGGCCATTATCCCGGATCGAATGGAAACAACAACCCTCAGGGACAACGCAGATTTTCTCTACAAACTTGGCTCCTCTCGGACAGTGTGGCAACCGGATTACTTAATTATCATCTGCTACGCATACTGCTTCTCTCTTTCGATCCTCGGGAACCCCGAGTTGGACATTCACGAGCAGTCTTCATTGAAGAGCAAGACAAGAGGATCAAGGACCATGTGCGACGTCTAATTGCAATCGCCAATGGAAACGACAAGTGCGCACCTCATTTCATGCTGGCAAGCTTGGGGATTGCTACAGCCGGCGATCGCTTTGATGATACGCCGGATCAGGACGAGCTACTGGCCTTCCTCAAGACAGCCGAGACGCTGCATGCATGTAGTACCACGGAAGCCCAATGCCATCTGACAAGGATCTGGTCCAGGGGGAAGTTGGAGTAAGGGTAGCTATCGTGAATTGTATGGCGTGCCACACTCTTTTGTCACCGCTGCAGCCTGTAGAGATGCAATCTGGCTAATTGCATTGTTACCTTGCTCTCTCCATTGCTGTCCAGCACCCCCTCTTTCCTGTTCATGCCATTATACCTTCCTCCTCCATACTTTGATAGGCATGTTCTTGATCAAAAGGTTCGTCCCCTCCGTTCTCTCTGGCTTCCAGGTCGGACTCGGAAGCGCCATCTCGTACCGGTGGACGATTGAAGCGAGGAGAACGGTTTGCTCGAGGTACGAGATGTTACGTCCGATACAGCCGCGAGCGCGAATGGAATGAATCCCTTTTGTAACTCGGTGCTACTTTCTCCCAGCCATCTTTCGGGTATGAACTTTTCTGGCTCTGGAAAGACAGACTCGTCCCGATGCGCCGTCCAGGATGAAACACTGACAGATGTGTCACCGGGGATGAACTCGGAACCCACAAAGCAGCCGCCCGGTGGCGTACGTCGCGGAAGATTGAACGTAACCGGTGGGAAAAGGCGCAGTGATTCATCCAAGACGGCACGAAGATAGGGCAGATGCTTGACTTTGGAATATTGGGCGACGCAGTGTTCGATGTCATTATGCTCATTGCTATAACTTTCGTCAAGAGCTGAGTCCACCTCTTGGCGGAGCTTGTTGAGCGTCGGCGGGTTCGCAAGAAGGTTGTAAAGAGCGTTTGTCATGGCGATGGCTGTCGTATCAGAGCCAGCATTCATCATGATCGAGACTTCTGCAAATATTTCACCAAATTCGGCATTATTAGGATTACCCGCCTTGTCTTCCATCAATGCCTGGAAGAAGTCGTCGAGCTTCTCGCCGTTATGATATCGAGATAGTCTCTTCCGTGTGCGATGGTAGATGATATCATTCCAGCTATGGCCACGATCAAGGAGCCAACGCAATCTTCTGGATAGAATTCGGGCTAAATATTCGTTAAACCTAAACCATGGGTATGACCAAACGAGGCAGACTTGGGCGAGAGCCGTGCTGTGGAGCGTTTCGCAAAAATTGACTTCGTAAGTGGTCCCGTCCAGACGCTCGGCTGTGATCCTGTCTGAGCCGGCATCGAGGAAACCGAGCTTTTCGGAGAGGCCAATATCGGCGATAGCTTCAACGGTGAAAAGGTTCGTCCATTTGCGGTAGTCGAACGTGAGATCCGCGGGATCGGGCTCCTTCATTCCCGGAGTCAGTGGCGTCGTACAGGCTTTGTCGCAGGCCTTAAGAAACCTCAGAGTCTTATCGGCTACTTTAAACTCCCATTCCTCGAGATTTTTGATGGCATACGCCGCCGACATGACCTTCCGCTTACGAGCGTGACTGCTCTTGTCCACGACGTCGGCTAGGTGTTTATGCGTTCCACTTGTGACTTCATAAAATAGGTCTTTAGAACAAGGTGTCCCGTGTCCATAGATATCCTGAAGACATATGAAGTTGAGTTAGAAGTGGCCATCCCGTGGACTATATTTCTACTTGGAGATATAGGGAATGGGCTGAAGTTAGGCAGTTGCTCACCTTGATCGCATCTACACCCGTGACTGAAAGTGAGTTGGGACCTATACGGACTATGCGATGCCTCTTGTGCATCTCCGTGAGAACTTGCGTGCGGAATCCTTTATGAGCCTCGTACATGAAGCCAAGGTCCGTAAAGCCAGCAAACCGATTCAGGGAAGGGTACTTCCTTAACCGTTTGCCGTCTCTGAAATAGATCCATGCTTGAAGGAGAATGAAGCGGCCAACTAACAAGACTGCGGTCGAAAGTGAAACAAATTGAAGATACATCATGTACTGCTGCTAAAGAAACGCGTCAATAATATCGCGCGTATAGAGCGCCATGCGCCAGGACTACAGGGCACAAACCGGCGAACTCGCTAAGAATCGTGATGTTCCAAGTTACAAGGTTAACTCGCATCTGCTGGCACATGCAGTCCCATATATGTAGATTCCGTGCATCGCCTCTCCTCGTCGGGTTGCTTTTACGTCACTCATAGAGGACACGAGGCTCTGTTCGGCATTTAAAGTCGCTTTGAGCTACCACTGTGGTCGGTGGTTCAAATTAGGCAAATCCCGCCCGTCGCATAACGTCAGATCGTGATCGGCCGATTCGGATGAGACCCCATGTGGGTCGCTTCCCCGCAGCGTGATGAACGACAACCGGCCTTGCAACAAAATAAAGACAGGATGGTTGCTGTACACTTCAGCTTAGTTCGGAATGCCGTGTATTCCCAGAGTGGGCTCTCACGGCCGAGCACTTGCACAGGGGGGCATGGAAAGAATTGAGCTGAACTTGTTATTCCACAACCAACGAAACTGGGCAGACTTGACGTCCCCAAGTGGGACAGAACCCCCGTCCAATTTGCGTCGTACCCGTGCCACGTGGCCCTCTTGTCGGGAGTGAAATCGCATGTAGAATGATTGGTCGCGGGATCTGGACTCCTGAAATACCCAGGCAGTTTGTCTGTCATGCGTGAAAGCGCGGTGCGAAGGCGTATCGCTCTGCCGATGTCTCGTTCCATAGCCAATGTTAGGCTCTGGCAAGATCGGAAACCAACGACCGGAATTTTCTTCCGTTTTCGGCTTGGTCCCCCTCATCAGCAACCGTTCGCCCCAATTGGCTGGATGTCTGCCGGCCTGGTTGGCTGCGCAGACCAAATCCTTACCTTCGCTGCGAGACTGTTGGTCTCTGCTAGGTTGGAGCAAATTTGGGGAACCCCAAGAGGTAAATACCCCCGATAGGTTTAGCGCACTGCATGAACCTAACTCCGTCAGCAGCTGTGGGACATCTGGCAGCGTGTAAGGGCAATGAGCTGTGTTACCAAAGTTCGTCATTTCATGCGGACCCTCGGCTGGGATTGGCAAGACCGTGCGTACCTGGCATCGCGAGACTCAGTGCATTCAACAAGCTGTTTGGGTGGTCTGAGCTTGTGTCCGTGGCTATAAGAGAATCTCACGCTCGCTCCTTGGACCTTGCCCTCGTAACAGCAAGCACGGAGATCCTTGTCCTTTATACCGAGTGTACATACCGAACCAGCACGACTGCAGTAGTCTAGTGCTGAGCCTGCTTTGCAAGACGGATTGTCATCTTATCAGCATCAATGGCTTCGAGTCGCCAAGCTATGCCTTCGGACACGCCACGAGATAGTGGCGGTGCCGCGATGAACGACGCCTCCTCGGGTGACTCTTCTCTTGAGCCGTATGGCCCAGCTGGAACGTCCCTCGCCTTCCTCTTAAACAGTATCTGGTCATTTTTTGTTGCAAGAAAGCGATGGCTAATATGAGTCTGCAGGCTTTCGAGGTATCTTTTCGTCGCCGTACGTCGCCTCATGCGCCGCTTTCGCTGCAATTGGAGGCCTCCTCTTTGGCTATGACCAAGGCGTCATGAGCGTCACACTGGTGATGGACTATTTTCTTCGGCGCTTTCCGGAAGTCTCTGATGATGCACCCGGGGCCGGGTTTAAGAAAGGTCTCATGACAGCCATGATTACCCTAGGCGCCTTTATCGGCGCCGTAAACCAAGGATGGGTAGCGGATTGGGCCTCGCGCAAGAGGTCAATTATGATTGCCGTCATGATTTTCACCATCGGCTCATCGCTTCAGACTGCCGCGGTCAACTACGATATGCTCGTCGCCGGCAGATTTGTTGGGGGTGTTGGCATCGGAATGTAAGTCACAAAGCCAGCCCTACCAGGGTTTCGTGCTAAACCCGTTGATGTCGAGCACCTGTGACACGTCTCGCATTGAGGAAGCTTATGTGTCTGACTCGCCTTACGTTTAGGTTGTCCATGGTTGTGCCGCTTTACATTTCTGAAATTTCGCCACCGGAGATCCGTGGCTCTCTTCTCGTCTTCGAAGCGTTTTTCGTTGTCCTTGGTATCGTCATCGCCTTTTGGATCACATATGGGGCTAGAAATATGAATAGCCACTGGTCTTGGCAGCTTCCATTCCTCCTCCAGATTATTCCAGGCTTGCTCCTTGGCTTTGGTTCTTTTGCACTTCCATTCTCCCCCCGTTGGCTTGCGTTCAAGGGTCGGGAAGAAGAAAGCCTACGTACCCTGTCCAAGATCCGTCGACTGCCGGAAACAGATTCTCGAGTGCGTAAAGAGTGGATAGAAATTGTGGCCGAGGCCCGTTTCCAAGCCAGTGTACTCTCGGACCGGCATCCGTCACTGAGCACTTCCACCGGCCTCTACAGTAAGACCAAGCTGGAGGTTCTTAGCTGGTTGGACTGCTTTAAAGCTGGCTGTTGGCGTCGCACCCTTGTTGGTGCTGGTCTTATGTTTTTCCAGCAGTTCATCGGGATCAATGCTCTCATATACTACTCTCCCACGCTCTTTGGAACCATGGGTCTCGACCTAGATATGCAACTCATCATGTCCGGCATCTTGAACATGATTCAGCTTTTCGGTGTGGCCACGAGCCTTTGGACGTTGGATCGTTTTGGTCGCCGGCCAATGCTTTTAGTCGGCACCCTACTAACCCTGATCCCACTGATAATCGTGTCCGTCAGGGTGGGACTGTTCTCGGAGACCTGGCCAAGTCACAGGGCCGCGGGATGGACAAGCGTTGCGTTCTTGCTCTTCTATATGCTGGTTTTCGGAAGCTCCTGGGCCCCAATCCCTTGGGCTGTTCCTGCAGAGATCTTCCCGTCAAGTCTGCGTGCCAAAGGCGTATCCATCTCTACATGCTCAAGTATGTCGACACTGCCTCTCTTTCTGCAGCTAACTTGCGCACAAGTTCGCTTGACTTGAGTTCAAATTACTAACCCATTCGAAAGACTGGATCAACAACTTCATAATTGGCCTCATCACACCCCCTCTCGTCAAGAAGACCGGCTTTGGGGCATACGTGTTTTTTGCCGGTTTTTGTTTAGCATCCCTGCTATTTGTGTGGTTCTTCGTGCCTGAAACCATGGGGAAGACGCTGGAAGAGATGGATGTTGTCTTTGGTGACAGGCGTGGCGTGGATGATACCGCGAAAAAGGACGCAATCTTGAGGGCAGTTCAAGTTGAAAAGAGCCCAGGGCAAGGCACTGATAATGCGAAGTTGTAGCGTCCTGCATGGGACGCGACGATCACAGCATTGATCTTGATCTGCGCGAAACGCAGTGGGAGGACTATATTCGTTACCGCCCGTTACCGCTGATCTTGAATTGCACAGCAGTCCCATATTTAGAGAAGGAATGGCCTTGCTTGTGGGAATATATACATAATGTTGGTTGCTGAAAGCCCTTGTCTACACTTTACGGCATCGGCACTATAGTCCCAGCAACGGGCTCCGAATCTACTGCGGCTGACAATGAAAGAGGCAAGACTCGCAGTAAACAGTGTCAGTCCGTCGAACTGACTTTTTGCATCCACATTCACATTTGCATTGCTTTTGGGAGCAAGTAATAGGCTCCAGGGTTGGAGGGGATACATGGCTGTGCGGTGTGGTTGGGAGAGGCCGTGACGCAGGCTTGTGGTTTGTTGCTGAAGTGTCAGAGGAGCTAAGGCAGGGCGAATCTGTGTAGGAAAACATGTCTAGAGCGTCTGAAATACGTGGCTGGGCTTTGGGGGTGTGAAGTAATGGTGAAGTGCAAAACAAAGCATGTGTTTAAGCAATTGCGGTTTTCGCATAGCCAGCACCCCGTGGCAGCGAGCATCCCACTTATAAACTTGTGGGGGACAGCGTGTGGCGGTGCTTGATTCACTGACTTGCGATCCCCCGAAGGTCTGTGACGAACTGCGTGTTGAGATGCGGTCGATCACCAAATGCGCTCGTCCGAGAAATGAGGCCAGGAGAAGCGGAAGCTTGTTTCATCGCCTGCTCAGCGTGGCGACGACTCGCTGCCAGCTGGACGCTTTCTACTCTACCAAATTTCATCTGGAGGCAATCGTCAATGTATTAGACGGCCGCTATGGGAAAGGGGAGTGCTGATGATCGGGGGTTCCCATCCGCCACGCTCGACTTCAAGCAAAAGGCGTTGAAAGTGGGTCGCGTTTCGCGAACAGGGCAGCGCAGCCTGGGGCAATGAGACCCGGCAACTCGCCCGCTGCGTTTCACACATGTTTCCCACTGTTGGCTGGGCGCCAGTAGCTGCCGTGACGGTTTTTCCGTCGCTGGGCGGGAAGCCTTTACCATTCAGTCGTGCCGCATATAGCGAAGCGCGCGGCCCGGGTATCTGTTGCTCTCCAGCATGCCCAGCGGCTGAGCACACCAGCACGTGTCGCCGGCCCTGGTGGAACGTGTGCCGTCGTACTGGAGTGAGCCTTTATGGCAAGCGCTGCCCGCCAGCGGCCGGTATGTGTCTGGCTGTAGGCGCTGTGTGTGTGAAAGAAGTGCCAGTCGACTGAATGGGCCGGGGGCCATCCGGAAGACCTCACAGTGTTATTGCGAGACGACCAAATTAAGAAGGGCCATTTCGCCCGTCCCAGTGTCCGGTCCGTCAGTTCCAGCGACAGTCGCATCCCTACATGCACAAAGGGCTGCAGATTCAGCTAATTCTTTGCCCATCAGGTTACCTGATGACGTGTCTCCGAATTTCGCTTCGCGAAGAGTTTATCGAAAAACCTACTGCCCATGGGCGCTCAGGTGGCCATGCCACCCCGACCACAATTCTCTCCACAAAAACACGAATGGCCCCATGCTTACATTCTGGCAACCTCTGGCACACCAGCAGCCAGCTGACAATTTTCACGATCGCTCAAGGTTGAGGATTTGTGTTGTCTTTACCGCCGGAACTTTTCGCCCATCATTACTGGTGCCACCGCCTCCATTACAGCCAGAGCCCTCACCTGATCGGGACTTCTCACGTTTCGTCGCCCCCAAAGCAGACCACCCATAGGTCATCCTATCATGCCATACCACGATTCTGTCAGGGGCTACTTCAATTGCGCTTTGCAAAGGCGTCGCGCCCGCCCGTATTCTCTCCACTCTACTGACCTCGCACGAGAGGCGATAATCCGCTACCATACCTACTGCTCCGAAAATCGCAACCATGTTTCCACCATTGAATGGACTCTACGTAGAACGTTGCTTCATATAAAGCCGCGACTGACACACATTGCATAGACACAGCCAACTCTCGAAGCGCTCAGTGATGAGAATATCGTGATCATGTCTCGTTCGACAGCGCATTTTCTCTAGTTCGCACCGTGGTTCCTTCGCAATGTCTCACACACGAGTATTCTTGCCCATGGAGACACACGAAGAAACCGACGGCTCGAGCCCTGAAGTCCTTGACGTTGAGCAAACGGGACACTGCCCTCATGAGCACGGCAAGGATGACCTGACCATCAAGGACGTTTTTCGCAAACACCCTGCCATAATATGGTGGTGTCTCTACTGGTCTCTGGCCGGTGTTAGCTAGTCAGCCTTTCTGCGCGGGCCGATGAGGACATGGATGACTTACTGTACTGTAGTGGCATTGATAACCAAGCTACCGGGAGCATACTCTCTGTGCGGTCATTCCGCCGCGACTTCGGGTACTATTTTGATGGCGACCCTGTTTTGCCAGCGAAATGGCAAGCCGCATTTAATACAGTTCGTCTCCCGCGTCTTTTACCACCGCAGTTCGAACTAAAGCGTTGAAGAGCTCTTTCATCGGGCAGTTCTTTGGGGGGTTACTTTGCTCGTATTTGACAGACCGTCTTGGTCGGACGTTGGCCCTTGGAATTAGTATCGGCATCGCAACCAGTGGCATCATCGGGCAGCTGCTTTCCACCGCCAATGCGGCTTTCCTCGCATCGAAACTCACTCTCGGATTCGGCCTTGGGTTCTATCTTACCCTGCTACCCCTTGCAATGTCCGAGTACACCCCTGTCGTCTTTCGCCCTATCGCTACCGCCAGCGTCCAATTCAGCATCAGCGTCGGACAACTCCTCGCCAACGTGGCTATCAAGGCTTTCGGAGAGTTGGAATCGCATTGGGCGTACCGTGGACCGTTCGCAGTTCAGCTGCCATTCTGCCTCTTTCTTGTGGCAGGTCTACCTTTCTCTCCAGAGACTCCGTGCTACCTTGTCCGCAGAGGCAAGAGAGATCAGGCCAAGGCCTCGCTCGCCAGGCTTTACGGGAAAGGCTCTCGAGACGACATCGAGACAAAGGTCTGCGCATTGGAGAACACCCTTGCAGAGGAGGGCAACAAAGACGCAAGCCTATCGTCTATCATGCTGTGCTTTCGGGGCACCAACCGCATACGCACTATGATATCGACGTTTGTCTTTCTTGGACTACATTGTACGGGCACCATCTGTATCGTGGGATACAGTACCTACTTCTTCCAGCTAGCTGGGCTGCCGACGCGTCGAACCTTTGACTTGGGCGTCTGTGTTACGGCTGTTGCGCTCTTTGGTGTCTGCTGCAACTGGGTTGTTATAAACAGACTTGGCCGGCGGAAGATCTACGTTTCGGGAATTTTTTGCCTAACGGCACTTCTCTTCACGATCGGCATCATTGATGTCATTCCCAGTGGAGCGGGCAAAACAGTGGAGGCGGCCTCTACTGTCGCTTTCGCGTTCATTTACACATTTACCGTGGGCTCTTGCGCCTTTGCCATCCTTGGCGAGGTTAGCTCCGTGTCCCTCCGGGCGCCGACTGTGGCGCTGGCAACGGGCATGCAAGCATTCTGTGGCATCACGTTCAACCTCATCATTCCCTACATGATGAATCCGGATCAAGGCAATTTGAAGGGCAAGGTTGGTTTCATTTTTGGCGTCTCGGCGCTTTGTGCTGGTGTTTGGAGCTTTTTCTTTGTCCCTGACCTGGAGGGGCGTTCATTCAATGACATTGACCGCATGTTTGTTGCCAGGGTACCTCCACGGAAGATGGGTTCGTACAAGCTTAAGGGGTGAACCTCCAGGGTCAATGGGCGGTCCTTGGTTCGTAACGAGACAGGAAATGTTCATGAACGCGGGTAGCGGATAGAGGGTACTTCGGATTTTTACGTACTTGTTCTGGGCCTGCCCATACGCTTGGCGGCGGCGGCACCAGAGGGCGCAGCTATAGCGACTTCAAGGCCTTGATTCAGGAGCATTGTCGTGGAGAGCATCGGTATTCGTTTGCGACTGCAAATTGAGACCATCTCAGCCTGCAACAGCCAAGTCTGTCGGGACTCAGCGCTGCCAGTCCTGCGACTGCAATTGGCAGAAAATGATGACATGCAGGCGACGACCGACTACAGCAGTAATCGAAGTGATTGAGAGTTGTCTGGTCGCGCAGAAGCTGGTCGTTGAAGCTGACTGGGCTTTCCCACCACCCGAGCTGCGCGAGTCCTTTGAGACTAGCCGTCTCCAACGTCGCCTGAAGTCTGGTGGTCGTGCAACCGGGTCCTAACGTAGAGGCCTGGAATCGACCCATCCGCCCTTGCTGTGATCGGCAGCAGCAAAAACAGCACTGTAGCCCGCCAATGGTGAGATTGTGACAGGGTCTCTTTTAGTGGTTGTGGCCGGTAGCAACCCCCGGAACCCGCATGGAACGCGGGGCGTCGGGCCCAGCTTACGAGTCACGACAGCAGGGCGCACCAGTAGCTGATCGCTTGGTCGTTCGGCTGGCTGGAGCATCGGATTGTGTCAAAGATATCCAGGCGCCTGTTTCGCTTTCTGGGCACCGCCCTGAGTGTTCCAGTTCCTCGTTGTGACATGTAGTTACGAGTACACGTGGACTCACTCGTCCCAGGTGGTGATGCTGGCTCATGTCGGCGGCCCTTTGTCGGCCGGGAGACTTGGACCTTGAGTACGCGCGGCCTTGAGGCAAAAGGCCAGCAACGGCCGCCGCCTGCGCCCAGTGACCGTGCGCGCATTACTCTTGACTTGAGTCAAGCGCAAACTAAGTAGAGGTAGGCCATATCAGCTGTTCGTCTAGCCCCTTGGATCCAGTCAGAATCCCAAGATCCTGAACACGGAGACCTGCTCGACCACCCCGTTACATACCGGACATATCCGCTACATGTGTTCTGCCTTCATCGCGGGACACAGTGTGGCTTGGAGGCAATACACTTCTTGATACCTGCACACAGATGCGACCGCTCTACGCCACTGCTGTTGGACTCTTGCCACTCGGAGCAACAGGACAGGAGTATCGAGACAGTAGTATGAGGGTCCAAAGGACGTCCATTCTTGGCGATTGCGCACATCTCAGTAAAGAATGTCGAACAGCGCAAACTGAAGTCAAAGGGACTGTTGCAGACTATCACGCCAAACTGGTTGATCGCCTTCCCGATGATGCGGTCTGCAAGGATGGGGAGTACATTGCCTGCTACAGGCTTCCTTCGAGGCGACAGGGGTTCTGCCTCTATTTCCAAGGACTGCCACAAGGAACTATCCGTGCCCAAGGTGAAGTTCGAGCTCTAACTTCGAGACTTGTCGCCTTGTCCAAGTCAGAAAATGCCTGTCACACGAGGTGTGGGAGAGCCTGGGATACAAACTGGGGTTCGGCAAAGCAACAAGGGGTGCTGAAGCTCGACTACGTGACCAAGTTATGCGTAGACATCTGCGCGAGGCAATTCAGCGGATAGTCGCAGGCCAGGTGCATACCACCTGTGACGAAATGTCCGCGATGGCGCCTATGACGGGGTTGCAAGTTGCGATCTGGTACGCTCTCACAATCGCACACGCTCTTAGCAGCCCTTCAATTGCGATACTGGAAGATCCATGGTAATCATTTGCATGTGCACGTTAGCGTATGCTTTGTCCATGTCCAGCTGCCTGCGCAGCGCGTACAGGTTCAAGTTGAGGACCCGGCACCCCAGGCCCACACCATTTCGTTTGACTTGCGCCACTTGGCCCTGCCATATTGCGCGAGCCCGGCGACTGATACGTGGTCCTTCGCTAGATGCTGGAGCGTGAACAGATGCGCCGGCATTATTCGCAAATCCGACCCTTGAAAACGTTCGTACAAGTCGACATGGACTCAGCAGTTGGGATACAACGGCCCCCAACGCGCCGAAGTGCAATCATGCAAGTTGCAACACCGCGCTAACTCGGCGTGGTGCCCGATGTCGATAATGGTCATATGGCCCGACGCTTACCTTGTTCATAGTTCACTGATTCGACAAGCTTGCCCCTGGCCGCAGCAAGCAACCCCCTCCTCACTTCCCGATGGCTTGGCGCGACATGCCCGGGGTTCCTCTTATTCGCGTTTCCTTCTGCCCTTTCTTTATCTTTCGTTCTCTTTCTGACTCTTGGCATTGGGGATTCAATGACGTACCAATGCTCTTCTGGTCTGTAGCCCGCGATGGCTTCCTCTCCGTGGTGGTATGTCATCGCCATTCTGTTGTTCTACGTATGCTACCGCTTTGTTTTTCTCCACGGCCGGAACCGACGTAGGCTGCCCCCAGGCCCGAAGCCCCTCCCCATCGTCGGCAACATGCGGGACCTTCCGTCGCCGGGCGCGGTCGAATTCCAGCACTGGCTCAAGCACAAGGACGATTATGGGACGATCAGCTCAGTCACAGTGATGGGCATGACTCTCATCATCATCCACGACAAGGACGCCGCCCACGAGCTGCTTGACAAGCAGTCCAGCAACACATCCGGGCGTCCGTCTATGGTCTTTGCGAACGAACTCTGCGGGTACGGGTCCATCGTCATCTGCCAGAGCTATACTCCTACGTTTCGTCACTCGCGCAAGCTGCTACACAAGGAGCTTGGTACCAAGACGTCTGCGTCTCGGTTTGCGGCTGCGCAGGAGTTGGAAGTCAATCGGCAGCTGGTTCGGACGCTTGACAAACCCGAAAAATTGCTCGAGCACTACAAGACGCAAGTCCATGTCTTTCTAAAAAATGCAGGCGCCAACAAATGCTTACCTGTAGTCTCTCCAGTACTTCCGCCGCCACAGTGCTGAAGATGGCGTACGGCTACACCGTTGAGGCCGCCGGTCTCGATCCACTCGTGGAACTCACGGACCGGATGATGGCCGAGTTCTCTCAAGCCGCCGCTCCTATGGCGTGGCCCGTTGACATTATTCCTGCCCTTCGCTATCTACCGGAGAGTATGCCATGCTTCGCTTTCAAGAAGGTTGCTCGCAGGTGGCGCCGGAGCATCCTCCAGTCAGCGTACATCCCGTACCGCTTTGTTGTGCGCCAGATGGCCGCTCATGCTTCTGCCGAGTCCTACGTCTCTCGCTTGATCGACGAGTTCAGCTCCAGTGATGGCTCTGGGCTGAGCGACAAAGACGAAGACGCCATAGTCTGGACCGCAGCTAGCCTCTATGGTGCTGCAGCGGACACGGCCGTCATCACACTCACTGCGTTCACGGCAGCCATGATCATGTTCCCAGAAGTGCAGCGCACGGCCCAAGAGGAAATTGACCGTGTTGTGGGCAGCGACCGCCTGCCGACTCTGGAGGATCGGGACAGACTCCCGTACGTTGACGCGCTCGTCAAAGAGAGCCTTCGGTGGTGGCCCATCGCCCCGATGGGGTTTCCTCATTTGACTACAGCTGCCGTGGCATACAGAGGCATGGAGATCCCAAAAGGCGCGTTTCTTCTGCCAGCTGTTTGGTGGTTTCTGCACGATCCGCGCGTGTATTCGGAGCCAAGTTCATTCGACCCGGCACGTTTCCTGAGTCCCCGGAACGAACCCGACCCCGCGAATGAGGCCTTTGGCTACGGTCGTAGAATATGTCCTGGTCGCTTCTTTGCGGACTACTTCCTATGGTTAAACATTGCCAGGTCGCTGGCCTGCTTTCAAATCAGCAATCGTTTGGATGCGTCCGGGAAGAAGATCGAGGTGGACGTCAAGCCGCAAGCCGGTGTTTTGAGTTACGCGACTGATTTCGAGTTTGAAGTGACATCCAGGAGCGAGGAGCACACTTGTCTCATCCGACGCTTTGAGGCAGAGAACCCTCTAGGTGTAGGCGATGCAGCACTGCTCGGGGACGAGATAGCGTAGACAACACGCCAGGAGTTGAATGAATCGTCAGATGGCTGTTGCTCTCCAGGCTTCCTTGGGTCGATTAGAACCCCATATGTGCTCGCTGCGATTGCCGGCGGCATGTTCACTGAACCAGCGCGCCGCCAAGGCCTGGACCATATCGATGGCCTCGAAGGTCGGCGGCGAGCCATCTCATGCACTTTGGCGGCGTGTGGCACGGTTAGGGTAGCTATGAAGCGTCAACAACTGCTCCAGGGTGTTTGGAGTTTAAGGCCAAGACGACTCTTCATAAGCACAGCGATGACACGCTGCCCCGCCCCAAGACCACCCCTTAGCGAGAGCGGTGCTGAGCTGTGGCAGATAGCTGAGCACTGGGCCTCATGGCTTTCCGCGCCGTGGTCCTATTCGCCGCGTGGTCAATTAAAGGTCCGTTGGCCGCGCCTTTGGCATCATGCCAATGCTCAATTGCCCTTGATGAAACTCGCACTCGTCGAAAGACAACCTGGGCTCGGCAGTATCCTCGCCTGGATTTGGAACGGACTACGGTTTGCGTTTCTGATGTGGATTGGCGTCACCAGTCTCGTGCCCGCCTCGTTCCAGGGCCCCCCAATCGTCTCACCAGCTCCCCCTGCTGCCTCAACCCCGCGTGGTCGTCCGTATTCCAGTACTTGGCCGCGGCATCGCGACGGGTCGAACGGTCTACGCCTCCGTGCTTGGGAGCATGGGCAAGGGCGACAGCAAGGTCTTGGCGACCGAGTCGCACATCGCTGTGCATCACAGCCCCAGAAACGCTCCTCGAGGGCGACGCGGCCCCCGGCTAACGAGTCGTGGGCGCACGCAACGACAGTGTCCACAACGACGAGCCCTCTGTCACATAATGCATCGCCTGGCGTTGGCAGATGAGCTCGGCCACGAGGACTGGGAGGTTCTGATTGACCCGGACGCGCCGCCGACGTTGGTTCCGAGCGCACGCCTGTTGAGATGCGCAACGAGATGGGCGAGCACCTCGGCAATTGGGTGCACAACATCGACGCGGAGGCTATGTATACCTCCGTCCCCGGTTGCGAGCTCGAGAACCGAGGCGGGGTGGAAGAATGCTAAACCTGGGTGCCTGAAGGTGAAGCCGCGATAGAGTGGACGAGTATGCGCTCGCGCCAGTGGTGGCCCGACGCCGGCCTACCCCGACGCAGGGGCTACAGCGCCCTGTCGCGGGGTCCGCCCGCCGGGTGTGGCGTTCGCAAGGTCGCTGCCAGTTCACTTACACTTCTCCCCGCTTGTCTTGGGCATTCGTCTCGGGACATCTCCTCTCTCTGAACATGATTGCGCCTCCATTAATGCCATTATCCTTCAAGGAGCCCACGTTTGCCCTGCCCACCTCTGCAAAGCCGAATCTGTTGTAGAACCCTTCCTTTTCCTCGGCGCTCACAACCGAGGCACAAATGCTCTCTTCATCGGCCGCGTCCACGCCCCACTGGACGAGTTCCGCCCCCAAGCCATGGCCCTGGAAATCGGGATGAACTGCCAGCAATTGTAGGCACCAGTTTTGCGACCGATGGCCACACCAATAGTGCGCGATAAGGGGAAAAGTTTCGTCGAGAATATGAGTCTTTGTCGGGTCTGCTGCTCGATTCGGTCGCAGATAGCTCACTCCTTCAACGAAATATTCAGTCGCTTTGTTCATGGCCTGACCTGTCGCGATGCATTAGGCACTGTACAGTGTTCAGGGTTTCGCGCAGGCCCACCAATGTCCAGGTACTGAACCCATGACGGGGCGACCGGATCATCGAGGATGCCCTGACGCTCCCACTCCGCAAAGCCCACTACTTTCCCAGAATGCCGGTCCAGTCCGACGAGAAATCGGCGACGAGGGTGGTGCCAGTTTCGGAGAATCTTTCTTTCAAACCCCAAGACGAAATCCCCTGGGTACTCTTTCCGGTGCGGATGCATGACCTTGCCCCAGAGTTCCTCGTCCATGAACGCGGCGGCTGCAGACTCCGCCATTGCGCGAATATCGCTCCGCCTCGCCTTCCGTATCGCGGGCATTTTGGCGTCGAGGCTGCCGTGGGTGCTCCGACCGTAGATGTCGGAATTGCGTCGTTTCGGTGCAGAGATGCGGGCGTCGATCCGCTCGATGGGTTTGGAAGAGCGATGAAGAACAGGCATGGGTCGAGCAATGCTCATCGGTGGCGGCCGGGGGCTTGCACTGGGGCAACAGGGCAGGGCGTGCGGGGTGTACCGGGCAGGTTCCAAGTTGTTACAGTACCTTACAGGCTTATTCTGACATCGGGTGACTGCCCAGGTGGGGTTCCAGTCGCTCGACACCGTCCCGACCTGGGGCTGCCTCCAGCGACTGAGTGCACGGCAGGCCAACGGATTGCGGCAGCATCTGAATCCCTCATCGGCCAGGTCGTAGCGCTAAAACGAATGCTATCGCGGGTTGATGTTTGCGTCGAGCTTTGCTGCAGCGGCGGAAGCCTGCCATGCCGCGGTTGCAACCAGCACACCAGCCTGCCTCAGAGATTGGCTCTACTCCTAGGTTTTACTGCCTCAATCAATCCCGAATAATATCACGGCCATTTCCCAACAGACTGTACGCTTTCGGCGACGGAATAGATCTTGTAGTCACCTGAGCTCCACTCTCGCACAGCCGGGGCTCAACCTCGCAGCGACATTTCCGCCGCGCCACTGTTCCTCTCCTGTGTCTCGGACTCTCGGATAAAGAGGTCCTGTGACCCATCGTCAGAGACTCGACGCACGCCATCTCCAGTGCTTTCAATTTCGGACACAGCACAATCGTGATCGGCGCTGCTGGAATCTGTCACCGCCTTCAAGCGCGCCTGATTCAGGTGGCTCAGAGTATAGCCTAATAAAGGGGTAAAAGGTTAGCAATTAAATCCGCACATGTAGGCTACCGACACTGAACCCACGGCAACCGGAACGCAAAACTCAACACGACCACCAGTTTCTTTTCGACTGGCATCATAAGGTTGAAGACAAGCCAGACTGACAATGCAAAGAGCGCGGCCTCAATGACAATGTCCAGCGCCAGGACCAATTGCCACCGGAGCCACTACTCCTCTATTAGCCTCGCCTGCCCTGAGGCTATGCCTGTTCTGAGGCTATACACACTCACCAGGTTAGGGCAATCCACACCGATCACGAGCCACGGGTGAGCCAGGTCACACCTCAAGGCAAGGGAAAGGGCTCCAGCAGCTCCCCACAAACCACAAGCAACGGCAAGGGCAGAGCAGGATTTTAAAAGGTTAACATTGGGTGTCAGTCGTCCCAAGAACCACACAACGGATAGTTTGGCCAGCGAGAGGGTAAAAATAAAGAGGATATTTGCCACAAATCCAAGCTGTCAATGTAGATGAGCTATATGTATTATGGCGACATAGACGGGGGTCAACGTACCTTCTGAATGGCCAATATGCTAGTAGGGTCGAGCAGACTGATTGATGTTCCGTAGCCCGACAACAGCTGGCAGATAACGATCAAAGTCTGTGCGAGGCCGGCCATCTGCCGAGGAGTTTGTCAGTACCCCGACAGTGGGTGGAAGCAGATTGTTGGACTAGGTGATCGCACAGTGGCCACCGTCAACGCTACCGTATCTCTGGACGGGTTCTGATGAACTAGATACACCCGTACGATGCAGCTGAGCACCGAGTATACCATGCTCAACAGAGCAGCAATCCAGAGAATGCCACCACGGTGGTCGCTATCGATGTCCGAGAAGCGAGAGTGGACGTCATACGGTGCATGGCGTGAAAACATGTCGGTTTCCGTGTGAATAAAGAGGCCTCATTGACTCCTTGTCAGATCACAACAAATAAACGCGTCGCTGAGTGGCCAAAGTCGAGATTTCGATGAATGCAGGATTGAGTTTGCACAAACTCGTCCTTCGATAATGAGATCGGTGCCTAGGTCATTAAGCACTGAGCAGTGGTCGGCACCACGCCGACGCAGGAAAAGCGCAGCAGAGCTCGCCTGCCATTGCCCCTGCCGGCTTCTGGACGCGACTCTCCTTGGCCTTGAATCAAAAACATCCGAAATCTCCTGGGGATGGAGGGTGGCACGTAGAAAACGAAATAAAGGGGTTGTAGTCAGTATCCAACACAGTGATTGACCAACGGGGCATCACATCGCCGTACTTCAGGATCGGCCCCCTGCCAAGCACTTACAGGCTCATGGTGCGAACCTGCAAGATTAGAATGACTACACCTAAACACAATAAGAGGGAAGTTATCAGAGAACGAATAATTGTACAACACCACGCTCAGCTATCACGACGGTCCCCGGAACGAAGCCGTCACGGCATGAACGTCTCCCGGGAATGTACTGGAGTGCGTACGCTACTAGTCGTCCAATGTCGTGAGCACAGTATCACATGCATGGAACGGCCAGACCTCTCACATGCATCCCGGAGTGGTCCAGGGAATGTAGATTGCAGCGTCTCATCTCCTTGTAGTAGAGGTAAGTGATTCACAAAGGGCATCACACCGTGGCCGAGCGAGTAGCGCATGCCACGCACAGGCGAGAGGTCCTGCGCTCCAATAATTGACTGACCAGACGACGCGTCAAGGCCAGTCTCCGCAAGGCACCCGAGTCGGCCTTGGCAGTGATCCGGCTCGCTTAGCTTATTGGGGCAGTGCGGGCCGACTAATCCTCGAAATTGAGGAGCCCGGCAGGGTTGCTAAAGCTTTCGTTATGTAGGATGTTCGCATTTTGCAAAACGAAGAGGTGTAACCAACAGTCTGATGACCGGCATATGCATCCTGCAACAAGGTTGGCCGAGCAAAGAATCCCCTGACTGCCGGTTCTCACGGGCTTATTGGCTGCGGCACGGGCGAACTTCCGTCTCGGACAACCTGGCTCTCTCCTACCCCCCACGGCTTCTCGGCAGCGCGATACCAGTTTAGGCAAGTCTTGGTAGCTGTGACCAGAAAGCCACCGGGTTGCGTGTCGGAGTCGCCTCCGCTTTGTGACACCGAGCCAGAAAACACTTTCAATGCGTTGGCCCTGCCGCAATCAAAGAAGGCACGCATGGCGGTGGCCTCGTTATTAATTCAGGCTCGAAGTCGTCACCTCGGCACAATATCTTAAGTTGATGCGTACTGTCCGCACCGAGTTCGAAACGGCACGTGCTTGTCACTTTTCCCATCACCTAACCGCACATCGAAGTCCTTCATCTGCTTCGTATACTCCATCATTATCCATCTCGGCTGGTGTACGGGTGTCAGCCAGGCGCACTTCTCGAAAACCGCAGCTGTGAATATGGAGAATCCACCAGTTCGCACGTGCACTGGCCAAGGCGATGATCCGAATGATCTCATATCTGAGAAGATAGGCACAAGACATGACCAGTATGATATGCTTCGGATGGGCAAGACGCCGCAGCTCAATGTTTGTGAAAGCCAAGCGCGAGGGAAGTTTGACCAGTGGCTGACGGAAACATACAGCGTAACTTTGGGTTCTTGTCTATGGTCGGGTTCACTTGCATATTGATGAGTACTTGGGAGGGGCAATTAACGTGAACAGCTCCGGCCCGTGTCTACTTACTGTGGACCGTGCTAATCCGAGGTGCTGATAGAGCGAGTTCCTTCGGCCTGTTGAATGGCGGCACCGCTGGCCTGATCTACTGTTATGTCGCAACTTTCGCCGGGTTCCTTGCCGTCATTGCCTCCATGGCTGAGATGGCTTCGATGGCCCCCACTGCGGGAGGACAATACCACTGGGTGTCCGAGTTTGCCCCGAGGAGCTGTCAACGCTTCTTAAGTTATATCACAGGATGGATTTGTGTCTTGGGTTGGCAAACGGGTATTACCAGTATTGCATTTCTGACGGCGTCCCAGATTCAAAGTCTCATAATCATTAACAATGTATCATATGCTTTTGAAAGGTGGCACGGTACGCTTCTCATTATCACGATCAGCTTCTTCGCCATCATATTCAACACGTACCTCGCCGAGAGACTTCCCCTTGTGGAAGGTCTCATCCTTATACTCCACGTTTGCGGGTTTTTCGCCATTCTTATCCCTTTGTGGGTTTTAGCCCCACGAAGCGACACCGTCGCCGTTTTTACACAGTTTAACGACGGCGGAGACTGGGGCACTACAGGCTTGGCCGTTCTCGTAGGAATGCTCTCGCCAGTCTTTGCATTTATTGGTGCAGATTCTGCCTCTCATGTACGTCAGTCAACGAGTTTTGATGGATATCCTAATACTAACAGCAGTAGATGTCTGAAGAAATACATGATGCCTCAATCACGCTACCTCGTGCCATGATGTGGACTATTGTCATTAATGGCTCTCTTGGGTTCGTGATGCTGATAAGTTTCTGTTTCTGCATGGGTGATGTTAGCACCATCCTTTCGGATCCCAACGTTATGCCGTTTGTCCAAACGTTCCTGATCGCAACAAAATCACCGGCCGGCGCCACTGCTTTGACAACAATTACCATAGTATTGACTGCGTGCGGCTGCATCACAAATGTTGCCACAGCATCTCGCCAAATGTTTGCTTTTGCCCGCGACTCAGGCCTTCCGTTCTCAAGCTTCCTGGCCCACGTAAGACCTACCGAGTTCCGCACCATCCATTCCATGATCATCGCTGATGAGTCTTCCCAGGTTCGACCGGGATGGAATGTGCCACTCAATGCCGTCATGGTGTCCTTCATTATCACGATCCTTCTCTCTCTGATAAACATTGGCTCTAACGTGGCATTTAACGCTATTGCTTCACTTGGAACTGCGGCCTTGATCTCCTCTTATATCGTGTCAATCACTTGCGTCACGATTAAGAGGTACCGCTCAGACAAGCTTCCACATGCGCGATGGAGTCTTGGGAAGTTCGGAGGACCGATCAACATCGTCTCAATCGCTTATATCATCGTTGTCTTTATTTTCTCCTTCTTTCCGCAATCTGTTGCTATTACTCCGGATTCCATGAATTGGAATGTTCTTATCTACGGTGTTACTCTTTCTTTTGCCGTGGCTTGGTATTTTATTCAGGGAAAGAAGCAGTATGCTGGTCCCATAGCATATGTTCGAGCAGAGCTGTGACGGTCAAACAAGTCAGGAATTTGTTCCGGCCTAATAAAATAGCTCCTGAAAGCCAAGGAAGTCGATCTGGGTTGGGCCCCACGTTGCGCCCACGCCGCTTGTACCCCACCATGCCCCGCGTCGTGACCCCCGTACCTCCCGTATCGATAACTGATATAAGCCTGACTGCCAGAGCACCCGACGCAAACCGGTGGCTTCCTCGTAGCGTGTGCGATGCGGACCACAGTGTTAGTATAACCCAACACAAACGTCGCCCTTTACTCTAGCGGTCAAGTGAACTTCCGCCTCAAGGTCAAGTTTCAGGCCAACGAGCAGCGCCGCGGTTTTCTGGTCTCCCTTGTCGTCTGTTGCTCCCCGCAAGAGCTGACCTGGGAAATGGATTCTTATTAAAACCGAGTGAATTGCGAGACGGGCATCGTCAAAGCTGACCTGCGGGTTTGGATAGGCCGGGTAGCGAAGGAAGCTGAGGCAGGGCCTGGCTGAGCTGGCTGTGCGTCCTGCGACCTCCCTGAGCCTGGCCATCCACTTCCGTCTCGCCCCCAAAAGGTCCGATGCTGGCATCGCCCTTGGGCGTCTTGGTGGCACTACAGCCTTTAACGTTAGTGTCTATTGTGGCATGTCGCTTCGCGACAACGACAAGAACGAGGATGATAGAGGACGCTATACATTGCAGCCGAGGACATTGTATGGAGCAGTTCGTCAGTGTGCAGTAGATAGTCGATGTGTATCGGATAGAATTTTAAACCATATTTACGTTACCACTGTATTTATGCGTTTGTAATGACCCTATGAGGTTTTTAAGAGGTGAATGGTACTTGATTCTAGAACGGTCCGAGACGCATAACTGTGTCGCATTTGAAACCCAATCGCGACGTGCGTTCAAACCCAGTTAGTTTTACCAAATCCAACTGGGTGGCATGCAACACTGAAAAGCCTTGATCCTCGCAAAGATCTGCAGTTTTCTGTCGCTGCAACGGTCTTGCATGGCCCTTATGCAAGAATGGTGCCAGAATATGATGATTTTACACCGTGGCCACTTCCATTGTGGTTCGATGTGGCTGCATCCTGAAACACTTCTTTCAGGTATTCCATTGCCGAAGACCAATGCTATACACAGATCTGAGAGTGACTTGGCAAGTACATACCCGGCTTTCTTTCTTCATCGATTGGGCAACTGATGGACAAATGGCGCTCCTTTCCCTGTTCTTTACGCAAAGGCACTCAACTATCGAGCTATATATCGTACCAAAGTTGTCATTAAACAGACCTTTACGTCCTGGCCATGGCCAAGATAACGATCGAGTTTAAAGATGCCGAGGATATTGCCATGGCTGTCCCACTGTTGTTGGCATTATCTCTCTGTCCAGCGATCCTCGGAGCTCAAGAGGGGATACGGCAGAGCCAAGGCCAACAAAGGCGTGAGGAACATCGATCACGCCGCTGTAATCTGATGGTGTCCTGCATTAAACCATCTATCAGAAAGCGTGAGATAGATGGCACATTGATCATGCTCAAAAACGGCAAGGTAATGGCCGACTCAAGTCCTATCTCAAAAATGTATTGTGGCTAAGCTTGCCAGTCTTCAGCTCCATCTTGCTACACTGGACTCTCGGGATGGCGATGCTCAATCGCCCTCCTCTGGATCGGGACACCTGTTCTCCGGCTACTACTTGCCATACCCGGACTCGGGCTATGAAGGGCTGGTCAGCACTATCAGCAATGATCCGCCGATGCTCAATTGGATATACGTGGACAAGGACACTCACGAGGTCAAGTACGGTGAGAGATCCGTGGCACAAGAACACGTCACGGGTCCCTTTGACTGCACGAGCCAGGATCGAAGACTAACGCTAGAGGGGTGGGAGGGGTTCGCTGCCGTAGAGGAGCCCTCGGGGGTCTGGACCCTGTATTTCGACCGCGACGATGATGGGCTCGCCACGAAAGTCCCTCTAGGCACGCGGGTCCTGGAGGTCGAGCTCGACAGACGGGAGAAGAAGGAACCCAAGCCGAGCAGTGATGAACCGCCAGCTCAGACGGGTGACGACAAGGAACGCGCACAACTGCGAGCAAGTGACGATGAAGTGGCCGGTAGTGCGTCTCACGGGCATCTTGGAACGGCTGTGGATCATGGCGGAAGCATGACAGAATCCATTCACGTCAATTCGTTGCCTGATGAAGAGGAGGCTCGGCGTCTTGCTCACGATAGAGTCAGGCCTGGTGAGACTGATGATTTGAACAACCTGCTTGACGCGTCTAGTACTACTGCCGGGGTTGAGCTCCAGAGAACCGTGGGAGAAAAAGACAGCAGAGATGCTGCACACTTAAAGAAGGAAGGTACTATACCAGCACACGATTCTCTACTGGCAGAAGACGTCATCCGAGAAGAAAAACGGACTGTATACGAAACTCCATATGTCGAGGATGAAGATAAACTTGCCTAGAGGATATTAGGGAGATGCGAGACGCCCGGCCCTCAGACCCTTTGAATATGTACCTATCTCTGGCTTCTTCGGCTACATCACCCAACAGGGGGTTACCCTTCTGAGGCCTGCACTACCTGCGCCCAGTCTCCAAAACCATACGCACCGGGTACACTCTCGCCGTCAAACAGGCTGGCCAAAATAACCCGGTCAGACTGCTCTCCTTCCCACGGTTCTCTTCCGTGTTGGGCAACGACATTATCATATACGAGAACATCACCCTCTTGCCATTTGTGGAGCACGCGAATCTCGTCCGTGATCTTCGCCAAGTGGGCCAGATACTTTTGTGGTATCTGTGTCCCATCGCCGAAATACTGATGTGCCGCATTCTTCCTTCCCGCCCCTGTTTCATTCTGTACCTCGAGGGTGTTCTTGTAGTACGCTGCCAGGCCGGTGAACAGCGTCGGAAGATTTGTTCCCGATTGCGTTCGAATAACCGGTAAGCGATGCGTGAGGACCAAGCCCTTTCCACGTTCATCTTCAGTCCACTCCCACGTTGTGTGCTCCCCGCGTCCGTATCGCGTGATCTGTGCCTCGATCTTCTTTCGCCTCGTTTCCTCGTCATCTCCATCCCGGATCTCTTTGCCGAATGCTGCTTTCAAGGTGGATCCACCCACATACTGCCTTTCCACGTGGTATGTTACCTTGCTGAGTATACCCTTTTCGGCCAAGAGGTCGATGAACTCGGGGACCTCCGCCTGGGCGCGATGGAACAGCTCCAAGCTGGATGAAATCGGCGTCTCTCCGCCCTTTCTGGGGGCCTTCTGAGCGTAAAAGAAGATGTATTCGGGCGCATGTGGCACCTGGGGTGACTCGTTGTGGTTATAGATTCGCACCTCCTTGGGCGCCTCATTCGCCGGCGCGACATTGGGCGCGAGTAGCGGGCGATCGACGACAATGCCGATAATCTCGTGCGGCTTGTAGGCGAAGGCATGGGCAAATTTACTGAAGTCGGTGGCGTCGCGGATGGGAAGATTCCGGAAGAGCAGGGTGCCGTGCCTGGCCAGAAGCTTGGTCAACGTGTTGTCGCGTTGTAGGGCTTCGATAGTGGACACTACGGTGTCGAGCGATGTGACATTTTCAGTCGGACGTAGGGCAAGCGGGATCTGTGTTTTGGGTGGATGGGGAGGTCCTAGCAGGCGTTGGTTAGAGGAGGGCAGATCGAAAGCCTCAAAAGCGACAGCGGAGCCTGCAGTGTCGGCAATTCTCAGGGAGGAAATCTGCAACGGTGCGACAGAGGCGGCCATGATGATCAAGCTAAACTGCTTTGTTCGCTTTCATCAGTGAGGAATGACGACCACGGAACACAGGCGGCTTCTCTCGTTTATATCCCCGCCCCGGGAATGCGTACGGTGCATTGTCTCATCTTCCCCTCAAGTGACGAATCGCTGCATTATCCCCGCAGTTGCTGACCCTGCCGGCTGCATCGGTATAAATTGGAGTGGCACAAGCGGGCCAGAAGCATGGCTCAATTGATGTCGCCATGTGGCTTTCCATTTGGTCTTGCAGATGGTGTGTGTCGATGTTTGAAGGTGACACCGAAATCGGTCTTGGCACGATATTCCTCATCCACCACTGCAAGCACGACAATCATGAACCCCGGAATGACGACCTCGGCTCCCAGCTTTTAACCATCGGCAGCACCCCAGCCAACAGCAACGCCCAGATGTAAGCTATTGTCATTGCAAATCGGCTTGACCACACCGGAGCAGTCATGGCCGCCAGTTCAGCAAAGTCCCTTGATGAGTCCCCTGGAGCTCTCAACCCCAAGACGGTCGCCGAGGGAAGCGACCAGGAGGTAGGGCACAGTCATGGAGCCACCAAACGTGTCTTTTTCCGAAGCACTCTTTTTCAGATCCTCGTTGTAGGGCTCTGTGCTTTCTGCGCCCCGGGGATCTGGAGTGCAATGAACGGATTAGGTGTCGGAGGAAGTCAGTCCCCGAACCTGGTCAACGCAGCAAACGCACTCCTCTACGCCTTCATGACAGTCACATGCTTCGCAGGCCCTTGGGTGACCAATGCCATTGGATTTCGCTATACTCTCAGTCTGGGTTCGATCGGGTACCCACTTTACGCGGCAGGACTCTACTTGAACAATCGCACGGGAGCGACGTGGCTAGTGTACCTAGGCTCTGTCACCTGTGGGATTAGCGCCGGATTCTTCTGGAGCGTCGAGGGTGCCATCGCGACCGGATATCCCGAGCAGCATAAACGAGGCCGGTACATTGCCACTTGGTGAGAGCTTCCTCATGATACTCACATGTGAAAGCGTGCGGGATGTCTAACCTGCCCAGGTTTACGTTCCGCAATTTTGGCAACATCATCGGTGGCGCCATTTCTCTGGGGATCAACCACGCCATGGACAAACCCGGTAAGGTCGGGTACAAGACATACCAGGGTTTCATTGCCATCCAATGTCTGGGTCTGTTATTCGGATTGCTCTTATCGAACCCAGAGAAGGTCCAACGCGACGACGGCACCCGCATCGAGACATCAACCGCTCCCATTCACTGGCGCACCGAGCTTCAGTCCATGTATGACCGGATCCGAAGCAGATCCATCCTCCTCCTGACGCCGCTGTTCTGGTATTTTGGCTGGATCCAGGCATATCCAGGGACCTATCTGGCGACGTACTTCACCGTCCGGTCGCGGGCTTTGGGAAGCTTCATGTCAGCCATTGTCGGAACGTTGGCCACCTGGCTGGGGGGTTCACTGGTGGACATTCCTTGGACCCGAGACAGAAAGTCTCGAGCATTGAGTACATGGCTCCTTATTGCCTTGCTGAACAGCGCTACCTGGATCTGGGCGGTGATTATACAGAATGAGTACAGACACACTCACCCAATTTTAGACTGGGGCGATCAAAGCACTTTCGGACGCGGATTCGGACTATATCTCTTCGAGCGCATTAGCCTGGGTATGGTAGAGAACTACATCTACTGGTGTATCGGCAACTTATCAGACTCTCCCGGCGAGCAGATTCGGTACAGCTCCTTGCTGCGTGGCATTGAGACAGCGGGCGTAGCGGTTGGGTTTGGCGTTCAGGCTGTTCCTACGGCGTTGATTGCAACGGCAAGCATTAATTTCGGCTTATGGTTCTTTGCTCTTCCGTTCAGTTTTTGGGCCACACTACAGGTAGTCAAGAAGTGGGATCAGGAGCAGAACAGACAGGTTGAGAGTAGCTAGCTCCTTACCTTGAAACAGCGCTTGGCGCCTTAGGTAAGATAGTCACTGGCGCCTTTCGTAATGCTCAGAAGTCCGTCTCAAGTATAGACACGACGCTCGCACAGCTACCACCCGCGGAACCAGCCCCGATCCTGGATTCGGAGTAACGTACCATGCCTTTCTCATCCTAGGGCGAAGCACCAGCGCATAAGCCAGGCACCCGATTCGCTATTCGCTTCGGTTTGTTTCGTACTCCTTGTGACTCACCAACTGGATCTGCAATACCTTCCCAGCTCCTTTTTCTCCAGGTTTCCGCAGCAATGAAGTTGCTCCCACTCTACTCTAGTACCTAGGAAGCTATATCACCATCCCGCGAACGGCACATGCTGTCACCGAAAAGCATCGGACCTAAGTGAAGCCACTCCGAAGGCCAAAATCTTCCAGCCGCGTCTAAGCCGAAGCAACGAAAATGGTCATATCATACGAACCGTGGAAGTCGGCATCGGGCTGCGCTGCAGGGCATGAGCTTGTGCAGCTCTCACTGCCGGTCTTGAATGCACTTGGTGCCGGAGATCTTGCCCTAGCACGTGGGATAAGCTCTCGGGACTACACTCAATACCTCGTTTCCAATGAATGTCGCAAGGTGTGGAAGATGCGGGCTGATCAAGTTGAGGCGGATTCCCGAGACAGCATCTGGATCACTCGACTCGTTGTTGCCACACAGCATGGGACCATTGTTGGGCGCGCGGGATTCCATGGACGGCCAAGTGAAGATGGTATGGTCGAGATTGGCTACTCAATCGACCCGCTATGTCGTCGTCAAGGCCATGCGCGGGCCGCGGTGAGAATACTCCTCGACGCAGCGGCGGGCGACCCTCGCGTAAAGACGGTCCGGGCATCAATCCGACCAGACAATGCACCATCAATGAACCTGATAAAAGGATTTGGCTTTCAGATAATTGGAGAGCAGTGGGACGAAGAGGACGGTTTGGAGTTAGTTCTCGAACTTCCATGTAACTGAGTGTGGATCTCATGGAGCCGTCCTTGACAACGGCATGTATCCAGATTGTACGAGCCCGATAGATAACGCAGAGAAGTATCATAACGCCTAGTAGAGAGCCTGCTATATCAATTTACGGTGTGAAGTACATGGAGAAGCACAGCGATTTGCAAATCGAATATTTAGCAATAAGTACGTCGAATATAGCTACACACCAGACCGAGGCCAGATAGATGCAGCCAAACGTAGGAAGCGACGACATAGCTCGCGGTAGTCACACAGAAATGCACTAAAGTATCGAGCCGAAAGCAACCAAGATAGCAAGCCGAACGCGAGAAATATAGCAAGCTAAAGGTGAGTAGAACGGTGAACTAAATGGCTAGTGGTAAATCGTTCCTCAAGGCCAAACTGCATAAGGCAAGAATTGCCTTGGATTCCACTGTCGTATTTTCGTAAAATAAAAGCCATTATGACACTATCAAGCAGCACTTTTAGTCTCTTGGATCTCGGCATGCGCCGCAGCCGGTTTCTTCTCGTTATCCTCACCAAGCTGTTTGTGAACAGCTGCGGCGACCTCATTGGCTTTGGCCTTATCCTCGAACACTGCATGTGATCAGCTCCATCTCTTGCAGGTAAGTAGAGAGGACAACTTACTGAACGACAGCTCTTCAAGAGTGCGGCCCGAGGTCTCAGGGAAGAAGAAGTAGATAAACACCAGCTCAAAAGCCAGCCAGCAGCAGTACACCAGAAGCCACTTCCAGGCAATACGCTCCAGACCGATCGGGTTCACGTAAGTGGCGAAGAAGCCTGCGCCGCGGCCGTAGAACTGGAACCAGGAGAGACCGCGTGAGCGGCCCATGTACGGGAACAGTTCGATTAAATACGCTTGGATACGTGAGTATACGCACACGAGTTGCAACGGAAAAGGAAGGGACACGCACTATAGGTTAGGGCGTTATAGCCGAGGTTGTAGGCTGGTGAGTAGGCGAAGATAAAAAAGATGGTTAAGATGGCTGCGGATTGAGCCTTTGTGCTTATGAACCGCTCCATGGAGATGGTCCATGCAATGTACACACACAGCAGGCAGCATGCGCAAGTGAGGTACATCGGGCGACGTTTGAAGCGTGGCGCTGTCAGTGCCAGCGCAGTACCGCTTACGAGACCCCAGCAGGCGATGCCGATGTTAATTTTTGACTTGGTCACACTGTCGGTGATTCCGACCAAGTTGAGGAGGTCGCTCAGATAGTAGCTATTACATGGGTGAGCGAAGCCGAAAGGCATGCATGGCCGATTTCATAGGTGAATACTTACGAAATGAGCGTGTTGCCGGACCATTGCGTGAATAGGCCGAGGAAAGCGGATATGAACAGTCGACGACGCATACCAGCCGTGCGAAACATGTCCCACCAGGACTGCTTTGATTCCTCGAGCTCCATCTTGATGGTGCGTTCGATCTGCGCCAGTTCGGCCTTGACGACAACCGAGTTGCGGTCACCCTCTGCGTGGTACTTGGTGAGGATATCGAAGGCCTCATCGTAGCGGTCTTTGCTGACAAGGTATCTGGGACTTTCCGGGAGGAACCTGGGCGCGTTTTAGTGGGAGCCAGTCAGGGTAGCGATGGGGACTGTCCTACATCACCGTCGCGATTTGGATCATGGCGGGCGCAATCTGAAGCAGCGAGGGGATTCGCCATGCCCAGTTGGACGTTATGGTTACCGTCCCCAGGCCCACAGATGCTGCAATGATCTGGCCGATGAAGTAGGAGGAGTTGAAAAGCGAGGTGAGAATTGGTCGTTCCTTCGGGTAACCGAGTTCTCCAAGCAAAGATGATCCTGCGACGATGCAGAATGGGATTCCGAATCCAAGAATGATACGCGCAATAACGTACATGGCCACTAGGGTCTGTTAGAGAGATCACAGACAGGGACAAGCAAGGAGTGAGTACCTCCGTTTGAGAAACCTTGAATGAGGGCTCCGATCAAGCTCACGCATGAGCCAAACATGATCGTCCATCGTCGTCCGATTCGCTGGTTAAGGTACGGGACAAAAGGAAGGGAGAGAATAGCTCCGAGGGAGTATGCAGAGCCCAGAAAGCCCTTGAGGTTGGCTTCGATCGCATACTGTGGGTTCCCATCCACGATCTTCCCCGTTGGATGACCAAAATCTATGTCGCACCATTAGTTCCTAGAGGGCTCACACTGGATCTAGAAGCCATACACTTGTTCCAGGTATACACAATCTGGACGGTGTTAATGATCTGCGAGTCGAATCCCGAGGTAATTTCGATGCCCATACACGCCGGAAACAAGATGAAGTAGAGTCGTCTCAGGTTCGGCTTTTTGTACCACGGCGTTCTGTCATCGGCCAGCAGGTTTGCCAGCACGGGCTCGGCAACATTCTCCTCGCGCTGTTTTCCTATCGCGACCATGTTGACCGGTTGGTGTTTGGTTGCTCACAACGGGGCTGATCTGTGGAACTCCTGAAGACTTGCCAGGACCGAGTGATGGTTATATATGCCGTCCGCTCTGACTCCCTATCCAGCGCAAGACTACCAATCCCGGCACGTTCGCTCAGTTTTAAGCAGCCCAAGACCAATGTGACCCATCAGATTGTGCACACACGTATGGGGGAAGTCAGTCCGGGTACGATCCCCGCTGGAGGAAATACAGTTTGTCACCCCACGGGGTAAGCTAGAGTCCGGGGGTGGGGGAAACCTCTGACGGCCCCTAATAATCAGCACCCCGGCTTGCATGGATTTGGATGTGGTTGGATGTTACTGGACGCCAATCCCACGGGAGCTTGGCATTTTATCTTAGCCTAAAGAGAGCAAGTCGGACGCAGCGTCTTCGCGGAGTCTCCCCGACAGCTTCGGCCGAGAGCGAGGCGGCGGCCGCTAAACTCTAATTCGCTAGTACGGGAGATGATTTGGAAGGTGAACCGTGCCAGATCCGCTGTGTGAACAACAGAGTACGTCTGCTGGGACGAACAGATGCACATCTTGCGTTTGCCCTACATTTCCACACTCCCGTGAAGCAGCCACTCCAACAGCACACTCAACTCCTTGATACCACCGCCCTCCTCGCCCCAGATCTTCAACCGCTCAATCACCACCCGCACACATTCCGCCCAGTCGGGAGGAACGCGCACATATTCGGCCGACGGGTGCCGCGCCAACTTTGCGCGGGATCCCGCAATCAGACAAGCCGCATGGTTAAACCGGACTCGGCACGCTCCCCACGACCCTGGATGCCGGAAGAATGGCACCTCGTTCTGGATGCGATAAACTGCCAAGCGTAGCGCCTCACTGGCTTTGACCCCGTACTGCGCAGTCATCTCGGGGTCGAGCGGTACGTGGATGCACAGGTATAAATACGCACGGCAGAGCAGTTCGCGCACCTCGACGTATCGCTCGCGGCTGAGCTTCATCAGCTCGCCCTCTTCTAGCATGGGGGCGGATTCAAGAGGCATGTTGAATCGGAGTGTGAGTGGGAGACAGTCTACCCACTGCTGGAGTTGCCCTTCTAGCTGAGTCAGAGTTTCTGCTAGAACCTTGATGGTTGGTATGTCGATGTCTGGGGAGAGGACGCGGACTGCATTGCGGGCGCGATTGAGAAGCCTGCGCAAGAAGATCTCAGCTAGATAGTAGTATGAAGATGCTGCTTCGAGATCTGTGGATGAGGGATTGGAAAATGCCCATGCAGGGCTGTCGTTGGATGGTTGTCTCATGGGGAAGCTCGGGAGAGAATAAGGGAAGTCGGAGAGGCTGAGGTCACAGGGTGGCAGATCCGTCAGTTCATATCGAACCTCGCTATTATATGTCAGTCACTTGTGTGAGGACTTGAGTGTTGTGGCATGTTATACCATTCCGATTTTAAACATGTCCAGTACAGTCGCTGCTCCAGACCTGTGGAAAGTTAGACTTATCCGCAATGGACAGATTGAATTCACCCACTCTCTTCCTGCGCACTTCTGCGCGTCTTTCCCTCGCGGTGCTTCATTCGATACGTTTGCCACAGCATGGATGCTGTCCTAAACATTTTCCAGCCCGGAATCGGCTCGATGTTATATTGATACCATATTCTATGGGGGATTTAGATAGCGATACTACAAGCAGTTGAGAGTATGAAGCTCACCCAAATAAACAGAGACACTGCACTCCTGACAAGGTGTCGTCCAGATACGCCGTGGAGATGCGCTTACGCGCCATGGAGAGAAAGGCCAACGATTCCTTCATTCGGTGCTCCGGAACCGATATCGTCACGTACGTGACGGGTGGATTGAACGACGACTCATTATACAAGACCTTGCGGGTTTCGTCCTCGGGATAATCCCCCCATATGGCTGCGAGCGCAAAGACAAGTAGCACCAAGCACGATGAGACGGACCAGTCGATGCCGTTTTCCAGCACTCGAGCGATACAAGAGTCCAGCTGGTCCCGGTCAACGATCGGGTTCTTGGTCCAGATCTTGGTCATGAAAATCTCGCGCAGTTCGAGAAGCCTGTGATGATCCAAGCTTGGTAGTGCTGTAACCACTCGTTAGTATGCGGTTACGGGGTATGATGCATCCAGAAGACGATACCTGTTTGAAAGCGGTCTGGCTTCTCGGAATATGCTGTCATCGGAAATGTCGACACAGGCTTCTCTTTCGGAAAAACAGGCCAGTTTAGAATCATGTCCGACCCAGTAATGGGTGTGTTGGGCGCATCATTGCGCGATATTGACTCCGGATCAACTTCGTCAAATGGGGATGGCGACGCCTGTTGCGAAGAAAGCGGAGGCCCCGTGCGGTTCAAGGACAGGCTCTCCGATAGAAGCCGCTCTTGACGTTCTACTGCGTCCAGAATTCTTGCGCCCCATGTCTGTAGACTTTAGATAGAGATTGATGGTTATTAGGTGCCTCGGCTAATGGAAAACGTTCTATGGGAACCGACACTGAGATGGCATCCGTCTCCGGGTACTCGCATGTCACGCCCCGTTGGATACATTTGGCACACACCGGCCGTGCTGAATCGCATCGGGTCTTGCTGAGACGACAGGCATCGCATGCGGTGAGCACCCGAGTATGCTTGCGAGGTCTTGCGGATGATTCGGCGTCCATTGTTCCTGCTGGGGCTCCCTGCAGTCGGACACGAGATGCTCGAAGAGGACATGTTGGTCAAAGGCCAAGAGAAAACGGCGAAGTCGCTGATTGGCGATGGGGTGTTTAGGCGGGGTGTGGCTGACATGAAATCATCCCACCAATCAAGGGAGGAAAATCCGATCTTTCACCATTAATAGCTCCAGAACAAACTTTTGAAAACGCGTCAAATTTTCTCAAATTTTGCAGCTACAAATATTCGCTTAGCCATTGCTTCGATTAACCCGTAGAAACGCGTCCAATTAATAACAATGGCGCTAAGGTGGCCGGAAGTAAACAATAGGTCAGAACACATCATCGAGCATGTAGCGTGCCTCAGGGAAGTGTGACGTCACTTGCAGACCGTACATCACGGTCAATCTACGAATTAATCGATCAATCAACCCCATCAATCAAGCCAAGATGGCCAATAACCCACACATCTAACGAAGCCGGACGGAGCCCTTATCAGAGTCCCCGCCAATATGTGGTGCGATCCACTTGGAATGTGCCCCGAGCTACCACGGCCTTGCTCGAGGTTCCAATCAACACTTCGTACGTCCCTTGCTCACTCTTCCACATCTCTTCAATTTCGTCCCAGAAGCTGGTCGCATACCGGTCCAAGTGGATATCAACTGCCCTTTCCTCCCCAGGTTGCAGGAATACTTTTTCGAAGCCGTGCAACTCCTTGCTTGGGCGCGGGGTGGGGGAGTCGGGAGCGGAGATATACAGCTGGAGAATCTGAGCGCCCGCCAAATTGCCGTTGTTTTTAATTTGTACGGTGGCGACCGAAGGGCAACCCATGTTGAAGATCTCGGGAGAGACGGTAACGCTCGGTGAGATCTCGAATGTCGTGTATGAAAGACCGTGACTATAATTATTCGCATGGTTAGTTGAGATGCGTTTACATGAGACCAGGGGAGACAACGGAACAGACTCACCCAAATGGAAAGAGGACTTCTCGCCCGATCTTCTCGTAGAATCGATAACCCGTGTAAATGTCTTCGCCATACAGCACTCGGCCACCCACACTGGCGTAGTTCAAGTAGGCCGGGTTGTGTTTCACATCCACCGGCCAGGACAAAGGAAGCTTTGCGCATGGATTGACGTCTCCGAACAGAACATCGGCAATTCCATGACCCGTCTCGTTGCCTCCGTACCAGGCCTGGACGATGCATCGGGCCTGATCGGCCCACGGCATCGTAACTGGTGTCCCTGACTGATTGACGATGACAGTCTTGTCGGCAGCGACCTCCAACACCTCGGCAATCAGCCGGTCAATACCTTGTGGCAGGTCCATATGCGTGCGATCAAACCCTTCAGATTCCCAGTCTTTGTTGAGTCCAGTACAAAGAATAGTGTAGTCGGCTTCTGCGGCAGCTTTAACGGCGTTTTCGATCATCTCCTCGTGGTTCATCCGTAGACAAGCCCCCAGATTTGCGGCGCCGCCTCCGAAATTCACCACTCCCACGGTCTTCATGGTGGTGGTATTGGCAGAGCCGAACTCGATCCGAATCTTGTACGGATTCCCAGCAACTAGTTCCTTCGACCCTAGCTCCTCAATGGTGCCTTTGCCGAAGAAGGTTGTCCCACGCGTCTGACTCGTGGTGTTATCGATCACCAGCTCGTCGTCAATATAGAGATTTGCGGTACCAAAGACACTCAGGCCAAAGTCCCAGAGCCCCGATGCGTCGGGTGTGAAGTCGCCAATCAGTGTGGCCCAAAATAGCCCTCGGTTGAGGCCGGGAGCAGAATAGTCCATAAACTGGAAGGCTGTCGTTGACACGGGTTCAGTGCTGATCAACTGTCGGTCCTTGCCCATCGGCTCGTTATAGAACTGGATGGCCGCATTGCCCAGGAGACGATCTATGACGGGGAGCATCTTATGGGCGTATGCCCCCGCTTGATAGAGTACCTCCGTGTTAGGAAGTGCTTCTCTGCAGGCATCGTATAGCGAAACGGAGTAATACGGCTCCAGCGAAGCACTGCCACCTCCCGATATTGCGGGAGTCTTCATGTGAGATCCGATCAGGGCGATCTTTCTGATTTGCCGTGGAAGAGGCAAGATGCCTTCGTTCTTGAGGAGGACGATGCTGTTTGCACAGATTTTGCGATTTAACGCTCTATCCTCTGGGAGATCACGTCCTCGCTCCACTGCCGACACTTGGACCTGACTCGCTTGCTTGATGAATTCCAACACCTTTCGCGCCCGGGCCTCGATAGTCGATTGCTTGATCAGTCGGGCCTGCATGGCGGACTCGATGTACTTTCCCCGGTATCTCGACGGCCCCGGCATTTCCAGGTCCAGACCGGCATTCAAGGAGTCGATGGTTGTGTAGGTCCCTAGCCAGTCGCTCATAATCAGCGGATTCCACTTCCACTCTTCGCGGATCAGATTGAGCATCCGGGCATCTTCCACCACATGTTTCCCATTGATCTTATTATACGAGGTCATGAGCGCGCCGGGCTTCGCATCTCTCGCCACAATCTGGAACGGCCGTAGGTAGATCTCGCGCAAGGCCCTTTGGGTCACAACAACATCCACCGCACGGCGTTCATGTTCCTGGTCGTTGCCCACGAGATGCTTCACCGTAGAAATGACCCCTTTGCTTTCACAGCCGAGGATAATCGATTTGGCCAGAATGCCCGAGAGGTGCGGATCTTCTGCAAACGACTCGAACCCGCGGCCACCGAGGGGCGCGCGCTGCATGTTGATGGTCGGACCCAGCCAACAATGCGCCCCTTTTGCAATGCACTCGTGGCCCAACAACTCCCCCGCTTGGTATATCAGATCGCGGTCCCAGGTGGCGCCCAGAGCTGTGCCGCAGGGCAAACATGCGGCCGGGATGCCAGCGAAGAATTTCGTGCCCCGTATGCCATTGGGGCCGTCGGTGGCGCGAATCGAAGGGACGTTGAATTCGGGGATGGGATGTGTGTGCCAAAAATCAGTTCCTGCTTCTTGTTAGCGGAGCAGGTTCCCAAAAAGCACCGTCCCTATATTACCCGATAGAAGCGCGATCTTGTCTTGCTCGCTGATGTTCTTTAGAACATGATCTATATCGAATGTCTTCGGCATAATGACTGCTCGAGAAGATTTCTAATAAATAAGGAAATCTATATATTTAGCCTCTACGTAGAGCAAATAAAAGCAGAACATGCAGCGACTATATATAAGCACATGCGCGTCTACTACCTGGATAATTTTACGTCGCATCCATGTTGTAAATCCATGTTCTAATGGGTCCTGTAGCCGCTGTCCCAGTGACCCCGACTCCAGTCCCCGACGTCCCGAGACGCGCAGCGACGCGTTAACCGCGGAGTCTCCCCGACGTGGTGGAGACGTGTGAGCTCCCCCACATTACTCCAAATCCCGTTAATAAGTGGGAAGCGCACAACCTAGCCCCGCCGCGCCACTCGAAGCTGTTGACATTACAGGGGTCCAGCCGCGCCCGGAATAATGGTCGGCCCGTGTGGCCAACCCCGATCCCTCTCTGTGTGTATGCCACGTAGTCAGAGAGATCAACAACTGTATCTCCTTGTGAGGTTCGGGCGCATGTGCCTGCCTTAGCCCGTGACCTCTCCATAGAAGCCTTGAGGAACGAAGTTACCTCTTGCTTGTAGTCGCAGCCAGGCATCGGCCTTGTAGTAGTCACTTAATTGCGAGCCTATGCCGCTGTCCTCCGTCGCCGTCCTCTGTCGCTGAGCTCTGCCGCTAGCCACTATCGCTGTGTTCTGTCGCTGAACTCTGGGCTGCGCTCGTCTGCACGAAAGTTCGTGAGCCCCTCGCCCTGGCCTGGTTGACCTGGTCGTGGTGGTGACGAGGGGAGCCTTGGCGTACACACGGCACAGACGCAAGCCACAATCGTTATTGGCAGTTGTGAAAAGGGTGCGAGTTGCCCGGATGGGGAGGATTACTCCCCTTTGGTGGGCCTCCGGGGGAACAATCAGGGCGAGCACCAGGCAGCACAGGCCGACACTGTGGCCCGCCATCCTCTTGCTCGGGGTCTCGGTCCTTTTCAAGTGTCCGATTCTAGGTACATAAGACGGATCGACTCTAACCCTAGAGCCGCCTTTCTTTCTATTTCGCAGCTTTAGAAAACGGATCGAAATTGAGATATCGGCACGTTATACCAGGTCGCCTACATAACATCAGGACGGACGGACACTCGTTTCTCTCACGTTTGATCTGTCTAAGGTCAGTTAACGACCGCCGCTCTCGCCCTCGGCCTACCAACCACACACGCTGAATGATACATAGTCCGCAACCCGGCGGTCCCCCTGAAACGACACATTCTATCTCTGCTAGCTAGGGACCGCTAACAGGATGACTCGTCCCGAAAAGGCCCCTCTAGCGTGGGCGGCGACAGTTTTGGCTAGTGAAGTGTCCGTGGACCGTGGTCTGCGGGAAGGCGGCTCGCCATGGCTGATCCGAGCGGCTGGTCAGCCTGCGGGAGTGCTGCGTATAGCACCACGAGCGAACGCAGGCCACGTCAGGACTGAAGTCGCCGCGATGCGGCACGCGGCCAGAGTCGGCTTACCCGTGCCGAAAGTACTTGGTCACGATGAAGGTGAAGCATCTGGATTTGCGGTCGCGCTGACCTCATATATGGCCGGGTCCAGCCGAGTACCTGTTGAGCCCGACCGCAAACGACTACGGATGATGGGCGCGACCGCAGCGCGGATCAGCGCCGTGGATGTTCCCACTTCGGCAAGCCTGCCGCCACGGGCCGGACCGATTGACGATGTCGACTGGTCAGGGTTGAGGCGAACGCGTAAGGCCCCGGCAATGCTAGTGAGGGCAGCGGAAGCGGTTGAGAGGTCCAAACCCACCGACACAAGGTTGGCGTTCGTGCACGGCGATCTGTGGCAAGGCAACATGTTGTGGGAAGGTACTGATGTGACGGCGATACTGGATTGGGACGCTTCCGGTCTTGGCTCCCCAGGGATTGACCTGGGATCCGTCCGTTTCGATGCTGCGCTCTTCTATGGATTGTCCACTGTAACAGAGGTCCTGTCTGGATGGGAGCATGAGTCCGGGCGTCTCGCGCCGGACGTGGCGTACTGGGACGTGGTAGCGGCCCTCGCCAGCCCGCCAAACATGGGTTCATTTCAGCCCGCGATGGCGGAGCAAGGTCGACCCGACCTAACACCCGAACTGCTGAACCAACGGCGCGAAGAGTTTCTTCGCCAGGCACTGAGTCAACTGGACGTAGAGCAATTAGCATATGGAAACTAGCAGCGCGTCCGTTTAGAAGCAGAGGGGGTTTCATTCGTTATTTCATTATTAGCTACTTAATAGCACTTTTAACATGCTACTGTACTAATTGCAGGTCCTCGATGTTCTTGCCGTGCTTATATATATTACCGGTGGTAGTCTGCCTAGGAGTCCGGATGTTCTATACCTCCGCTACGAGAATATAGAAGTGTGTAGAGCGGGGCATCTCTATATAAGATGGATCGCTCTTCTACCTGACCCGTAGCTATAAAGTGAAAAAGGCGACGAATAAGAGCATTTCGTAGCCCGGTTCCTATTAAGGGCTATTAGGCGATTCTATTATTTTATATATATTAGGCTATTCCTTAATATATTTATATATAAAGTTTTCTTAGAAATATATAGCTCTTATTATATATATCTATTTAAGAGAGGGTCTAAGATAACTATAAGGCCTTAATATATATCTTAATTATTAAAGCTTATTAAATAAGTATTAGCTATAGCTTAGGATTATAGAGGTATATTAATATAGCTATTATATTAGCTCGCTATTAAGGGTTAGTCCTTAAGGTTTAAGCTTAATATTATAGACTAACGAGCGGCTATTAGGCTAGTTAAGGCAGACTTAATATAGGAGGACTAGGCTATAAGGGATAGCGCCTAATTAACTATCCTAGAAATAAAATATTACGTAATTAAGTATATAATAGTTAAGAGCGTAAGATTACTAAAAGCGCTATAATCTAAGCGCTTTACGATTTAAGGAGCGTAAGATTACTTAAAGCGATATATTCCCTATAATCTAACGCTTTAAGGTAAGATCAATAAAGAGCTAGATAGATATATATACTATAGTTATTACTTAAAGTAAATAGCTAGATCTTTAGTAATTAATTTAAGTATTTATCTAAATAAGAAGTCTTTAAAGCTTCTTAATAGATTCTTATAAATCGTTTATTACTCGTTAAACCTAGCTTACTTCTTAAGTAATAGTAAACTTTAAGACCTTACTTAAGCTCTATTATATTTTAATTACTCCTATTTAATAAGTTACCTTTAATAATTAATAAGTAATATATTTACTTAAAGTAATATAACCTAAAACCTTAAGTAGATACTTACTTAAATATAAGCTAAGGTTTAGTAACTATAAGAATAGATATATTAATAGATTAACATAAGAGCCTTTAAGTTCTTAAAGCCTAAGTCTTTTAATAATTAAAAAGGAAGTATTCGCTCTTTCTTAACTTAAGCTAAGGCCTATCTCTACGTTAATACTTCTATTAAAGGACCTATCCTATAAATCCTCTATATTAATAACCTCCTTATAGGAAAAGCCTTTAAATAATAAGAACTTACCCTTAAGGACTACCTTAACTATAAAAGAGAGGCTAATAAAGATAAAGGAATTAATACTATCTTTTAGAGCTATAATAATTTTAAGAACGCCTTAAAAACCGCTTTTAGAGACCTAGATAAAGCTAGAATTATTATAAAATAATTAAAGAATCTTTAGTAAACTAGATTAGCTATATATTATAACTAAGAGTTTAGATAACTCTCCTTAAAGCTCGATCTTAGAGATAACGCCTTTATAGAATACTTTTATAACGGACTCTAAGAAGATATAAAAGACAAGCTTAATAAAGTCGATAAGCCTAATGAATTTAATAAATATATAGAAATAGTAATTAAGATTAATAACTATAATTATTAATATTAATTAAAGTAAGGCAATAAAGGTAAATAAAATATTAAAGTTTAAAGTTTATAAGCTAATTAAAGGAAGCCTTATTAATACTACTTTATAGCCTATAGATATTATAGCGGATTAATAGACCTTAACGTTATAATATATAACGATAAAAATAAAAAGAAGACTTATTATAACTATAGGAAACTAAGATACTTTATAAATAAATATAGTTAAAAGAGGAAGTTAAATTAGAAATTAATTCTTAATAGGTAAGTCTAAATAGCTATATAAAAGGGACTTATTTAATATAAGCTATTATACTTCTTAGGATATTATAACGATTTATACTAGACTTACTTATTTAATAAATAGGGATTAAGCTAATACCCCTAAAAGCCCTAAAAATAAAATATTTTAGTAATATAATAAGCTCGCAATAGAGTCTTTAATAAGATATACTAACGATTAACGTTATAGTAGATCCTTAAGGATATCGCTACTATATAAATATTAATATAAGTAGCTTAAACCCTTAAGGTTAGAGGACTTTACCGAACCTTTTAAAGTATATAAAATCCTAGTCTTATAGCCCTAAGGTTAATATAAAGCTTATATAATAATAATTAAGGAAAAGACTAAAAATACCTAACTTAGCTATATAAATATCTAGAATACTATAGGATCTTATTACTATAATATAAGGTATTTAATAGCGATAGTAACGAAGAAACCTTAGACTCTTTAAAGAGTTTAGAGGAAGAAATAATACCCTTACTTATTATAAGGTATAAATAAGATATTACTACTCTTAAACTCTTAATCTCGATCCTTTACGCTAAATAGAACCTTAAATGCCGCGTCTTATTAATAATAAGGGATACCCTTAAGGTATACCTTAATAACTTAACTTACCGATATATACTTTAGCTCTATTATATTTATCTTATATACTTTATATACCTTTAAGATAAGTTAGAGTATAAATAGATATTAACCTAACCTTATAGAGTATAACTAAATCTATATATATATTATATAAGTAACTATTTAAAATATTAATTATTAATTAAAAAGGATAATAATATAGTAATGCTATATTACTAGCCTTTAATAACGATTAGTATATTTATACCTATAGATATAAAAGATATATTTAACTAAGAATATTATAGATATTTTAATAAAGGATAATTATAAGGTATTAATATTATATTATAACTTATAAATAGCTATATAATGCCTAGATTATTAACTATATCTATACTTAAAGTAGCGACCTTTATAACTATACCTCTTACTTAAAGGATTAATATTACTCTATATCTATATAGACCTCCCTTTAAGTAGCTAAAAAAACGAAATAGCTAGGCAATAAAGGGACTATTATTTATAGCTAACTAAAGGTTCCTTATAAATATAATTACCTAGAATTATAAATATATACTCTTACCTATAATACTTAAGGGATAAAATATTAAGGTAATACTAGATAGCGGAATATAAAGAAACTTTATCTTATTAAATCTCGTTAATAGATTATAATTACCTTAAAAATAGAAAGATAAGCCTTATCGACTTAAAAGTATTAAAGGAATAATAATTAGCTATATATAAGGGTAGGTTAATATAGAGATTATATACCTCTTAACTTAGATCTATAAAAAGCGATATAACTTAATACTTAATATTATAAATATCCTAAACGATATTATATTAAGGATACCTTAATTATAAGTAAGTAATCCTAAAGTTAATTAAAGAATAGGCTATCTTTAATAAGATATACTAAGAAGCGTTTTAATTACTAAAAAGTAAGTTAACTCTAAAATATAAGATACCCCCTTAAATAAATCGAAGAAAGCCCTTAAGATATATATAATCGCTAAGGAGCTTAAGTTAATACAATTTAAATAGATTCTTAAAGAATATCGATAATATAATAAACTATTTAGCGATAAGCTAAAAATAAGACTTTTAGAATATAGCTAATAGGACTATAAAATACCCTTAAAGCCTAGAAGCGAACCTTATTTTTATAAGATATACTTACTTAACGAAGAAAAAATAAAAGCCCTTAATAAATATCTTATAGAAAACGAAAGAAAAGGATATATTTAATTATTAACTTTATCTATAGGATTTTTAATCTTATTTATATTAAAGAAAAATAGAAAACTTAAATTATATATAGATTATTAATAGCTTAATAATATTACGATTAAAAACTAATACTTATTACCCTTAATTACGGAATTATAGGATAAGCTCTATAGCGCTTAATAGTTTATTACTTTAGACCTTAAAGGAGCCTATAACTTAATCTATATTAAAGAAAGTAAAGAATAGAAAATAGCCTTTTAAACGAAATAAGGACTCTATAAGTATTTAATTATATTATTTAGCCTAATTAATATACCTATTAATTTCTAGATAATAATTAATAATATATTATAAGAATACCTTAATATCTTTATTATAGTATATCTCGATAATATCCTTATCTTCTTAAAGACCCTTAAAGAGTATTAAGGATATATCTATAAGATCTTATAGAAACTCGAAAAAGTAAACTTTCTTATTAAAGTAAAAAAGTATAAATTCTATAAATAAAAAGTTAAGTTCCTTAAATATAAAATTATACCTAGATTTATCGATATAGACCTAAATAAAATTAAGGTAATTAGAGATTAGCTACCTTTAATAAATATTAAAGAAATACGAGCCTTCCTTAACTTTATAAACTTTTACTAATAATACATTAAAAACTTTAAAGGTATTAAAATCCCTTTAATTAACTTAATAAAGAAAGACTAACCCTTTATTTAAGGCAATAAAGAATAAGAAGTATTTAATATTATTAAGAATAAGATACTAAAAGAACTTATTTATGCCTTATTAAACCTATTGAAATTATTTAAAGTTAAAATCGATACTTTAGATTAGGTACTTAGAGGATAATTAATATAATAAGATAAATAAAGATAACTATACCTTATTGCCTTTTACTTAAAGAAACTTAATAGATTAGTATTTAATTACTTAATCTACGATAAGGAACTTATAGCTATTATTAAAGTATTTAAAGAATAGAAATATTACTTAAATAATATAATTGAGATAATTAAGGTTTATATTAACTATAAGAACTTAACTAGCTTTACGATAATAAAGGAGCTAAATAAGCGATAAGTTAGATAATATAAATTCCTATTAGAATTTAACTTTAAGATTATCTATTAAAAGGGTAGCGAGAATAGATAAGTTAATACTCTTAGCTACTAAGAAGATTTTAAACTATTAATAGAAGTATAAAGGGCTATAATCCTATAAGAAATTAATTAAGGAACTTTATAATTAAGTAGCTAATAAGTTAATATAATATAGAAAGTCGAACCTAATTAAGAGTACATCTAGCGTATTAAATAAGCCTATAAATATAATAAACTTATTAATAATTAAGAAATAAACTTAATATATTTAAAAGAATAAGATATAATCTTATTTAATAGCTATTATTATATTCTTAAGGTACTATAAGATAAATTCATTAAAGAATTCTATAAATATCTATTATATAGATATTAAGGGATTTATAAGACCTTTATAAAGTTATAATAAACTTAAAACTTCCTTAAGTTAAGGAAGATAACTTAAAGAATCGTTAAAGAATATAATATTTATAATAAAGTAAAGGTAAATTAATATATACTTTATAGATAGCTTTAGCTAATCTTATTATTAAATAAGGTATAATATATAGTTATAATAGACTTTATCGTTAAATTACCTCTATTTAAGGAATTAATAATTAATACTATCTTTAATAATATTCTAATTATTATAGAGAAACTTATAAAGTATACTTATTTTATACTATATAAAGAGTTAAGTATAGTAAAAGATATTACTTTTATATTCTTAAAAATTATAATTAATTAATATAGACTATTAAAAAGGATTATTATAGATAGAGATAAACTATTTATATTAAAGTTCTAAATAAGCTTAATATAATAACTAAGAATTAAGTATTCTTTATTAATTATATTTTACTTATAGATAGATAGATAGATAGAATAACTTAATTAAATACTTAAATAATATTTATAATCTTATATTAACTATAAATAAGATAATTAAATAAAATTACTATTTATAGTATAATAGGCTTATAATAGCTTAGATAATAAGGCGATTAAAATAACGCTATTTAAAGTAAATTATAGGTATAACCCTATAATTATAATTTAATAACTAGAAGTCGATATACTATAAATAACGAAAACGGCTATATCGCTTTAATAAATATATACTTACTTATAATAAAAATAGATTTTCCTTTAGAATTAAATAAAGTACTATATTAACTAAAAGAGATTAAAAGGACTAACTCTAAAGGAAGGGGATAAAGTATATCTCTTCCGACGAAATATTAAAATAAAACGACTTAATAAAAAGCTTAATTAAAAGAAACTTAAACTATTTAAGATCTAAAAGAAACTATTAGAAGTTAACTATAAACTATCTCTACCTTAAAGAATAAGGATATACCTTATTTTTTATATCTTATTATTAAAATTAATATTAAAGAAAGTAATACTTAAAATAAATATCGAAATCGAAGAACTATAGGAATATAATATTAAATAAATACTAGACTTATAAAGAATAATATAAGGAATAAAATACTATATTAAGTAAGAAAGATATAATTATATAGAAAATACTTAGGAATTTAAGTCGTATTTAAAGAAGTACCTTTAGTTAATATAGCGGTATTATTAAGAGCGATACTTAAGGACTTATTAATATTTAATAAAGGATTAATATCTTAAAACTTAGAATTAAGGCTAAAGGCCTCTTAATCTATCTCGTTTAGAATACTTAATACTTAAAGATCTTTAATTACTTAATATTTATAAGCCCTTAAAGCTAGAGCTATACTATCCTTTTCGTTAAGCTTATATATACCTTATTAAAATAACTTAGAACTCTATTCTTTAGTTTTTTACTAGATCTTATAAATATAGGATAAATAGCTTACGGTAATAGATAACTACTTTTATAAAGCGAGTAACGTATCTTTAACGGCTTCTTTATCCTTCTTTAGCTTCTCTTAAGAAGCTATTAACCGGGAAACTATAGATAAGATTAATAAGACTTAAAAAGGGCTAGAATAGGTAATATATATAGGATAAAGCGATTAATACCTTATTATAAGAACGACCTTATTAAGTATATTTATTATAGCGAGAAGACTTCTTACTTATATAATAAGGCTTATTATTTCGAAAATAATAAATATAAGGTATATTAGCATTATAGCTTTAATCGGCAATAATCGATATAAGTATTAAGTATTTTAATCGTTTATAAAAATATATCTTCTCTACCTAGCTCGATATAGTATTAATATTATAGAAAGTAAGGAAAGAAGTAAAGATACCTATATATAATCTAAGGGGCGGGCGGCTAACTTTAAGGGCCTTAAGGATAAGAACTTAAGAAAGAAGGGAATAATATTATAGACTAATAAATAGCTATTAAGCTAGCTAAGGTAGACTTAATATAAAAGGACTAAGCTATAAGGGATAGCGCTTAATTAACTATCCTAGAAATAAAATATTACGTAATTAAGTATATAATAGTTAAGAGCGTAAGATTACTAAGAGCGCTATAATCTAAGCGCTTTATAATTTAAGGAGCGTAAGATTACTTAAAGTAATATACTCCCTATAATTTAATGCTTTAAGGTAAGATTAATAAAGAGCTAGATAGATATATATATTATAGTTACTACCTAAAGTAGATAGTTAGATCTTTAGTAATTAATTTAAGTATTTATTTAAATAAGAAGTCTTTAAAGCTTCTTAATAGACTCTTATAAATTATTTATTACTCGTTAAACCTAGCTTACCTCTTAAGTAATAATAAACCTTAGGACTCTATTTAAGCTCTATTATACCTAGGCTTAGCTTAGGCTGCTTATTAATTATATAATACTATAAAGTAAAAAGGGGCTTTATAAATATAAAGGTAGCTAAGCTATATAACCTTATTTTATCTCCTTATAATATATTTAATATTAATAAGCTAACTTACTTTTATTTATTAAAGCTAGCTATATTATATTATATATTATTAATAAATAAAATAATATAAAGGAATAATAAATATAATTATATTAAATAGATTAGCCCCTTAATTAATGCTTATAGCTTTATAAAAAGAAATAGCCCCTTTAAAAGGGGCAGCTTAATATAAATTATAGAGTAAAATTAAATATATTACTTCTGCCTCTAAAATAAGCGCCTACCTTAATAGGGAAAGGTATTATTGCCGCCCTTCCCCGTAACTATTATATATAACTCTAGATACTTATTAATATAAATATACCCGGCCCCTTTATACCCTCTTCTTATATATATTTAACTTTATATCTACCTTTATATTATTATTATAATATAACCCCCTTTTTTACTTTCTTATTACCTTATTATTTTAAATCTTATTATTATCTTATATTAAGATATTAATAGGAAGCTTTATAATATAATTAATATATTATTAATATAAGCGTTTCTATAATAAGCCTCTTTATTAAATACTTTAATAAACTAACTTAGCTTTAAATATTCCTATTATTATTAATACTTAATATCTTTAATTAGCGGCTTATATTTATCTTATATAATACCTTAAATACCTTTATTACTTATAGATTAATATTATTATTAACTTAACGTAAATTATTAAAGATCTCTCTTAAGTAATTACTCTTTAATAAGGAATTTACCTAGCTAAAAAATGCCTTATATAAGTAGAGTTATAGTATAAACTTAATATAGAATTTATTAACTGATTTAAGGGTATTAGCCTTATTATTTAATATAAGTTATATAATAAAAAGCCCTTAAATAAGTTATTATAGCCCTTTATAAGACTTATTATAAATAGTATCGTTAAGACGCTAAGACCCTATATTAATAAAATAGTTATATATATATTAATTATCTAATTAATTTCGCTAAGGGCTTAATATTATATAGTAATAATATAAAGCTAAGATAGGGTAGCTATAAGGAACCTAGCTTATAATATTAAGAGATAAATATAATAAAGCTTAAATAAGATCTTAAGGTTTATTATTACTTAAGAGGTAAGTAAGGTTTAATAAGTAGTAAATAATTTATAAAGTCTATTAAGAAGCTTTAAAGACTTCTTATTTAAATAAATACTTAGATTAATTATTAAAGATCTAGCTATTTACTTTAAGGTAATAATTATAATATATATATTTATCTAGCTTATTATTAATCTTTACTTAATTACTTAAATTACTATAATCTTTATAAGCTTAATTTACTTAAATTATTATATTCTTTATAATCCTTAAGTATATATATTTATTTATATAACCCCTCTTAATCTTTCTTAAGATTCTATCTATTATATATATAATAAAGGTCTTACTAGCTTCCTTTTAATCTATTTATTAAGCGGCTTATTTTATAGCTATCCTTAATATATAATATTATTCCCTTCCCTTTATAGCGCTTATCTTTAAGGCCTTTATATATAGTTATTATTACTTTCTTTAATTATAATAAGCTTTATTTCCTTTTTTATATATTCCTTACTTAACTTATAATATTAATAATATATTTACTTATATAATAAAATCTTAGTTTTAAAAGTCTTATAAATATAATAAGCTTATAATCTTAATTAAATTAAATAATATATCTTTTAATATATTATATACTTATTATTTTAAGTAAAAGCTTTAATATTAAATAATAAAAGAGTTATTATAATATATTAAATATATTATATAAGGCTAATTTTATAATAATACTTTAGTAATATCTTTTTATATATTTCTATAATAATCTTATATTTTAGTATTATATATTAAATTTAATTATAATAAAGAAATTAATTACTTAATAATAAAACTTAGATATTAATAAAGAAAAAGTAAGTAATAAAGTTATTTAGCTATAAATAAAGATAAGTATATTATAATTATAGCTAATTAATATAGCGAGTTATTTAGCTTAAATATATTAAATTTAAAAGAAAATAAAAGAGTATAGCTTTAAGTTATTTTATTATAGTATTTAAGAGTTAAATTTAAAGGATAATATCTTTTTAGCTCTTAAGGTATATAAATATTAAATAATTAAGGATATTTAATTATTAAGGGTTCTTAATAATATTAATTAAGAAGCTTTAAGTCTTAATCTTAAGTTTTAAGATATTAATCCTTTATTAAATATTAATAGGTCTTTAAGTATTACTCTTAATAATATTATTATATTAATTAAGGGTATTTCTTTAAATATAACTTAAATTCTTAAGTATTTTCTATATAGTTATAACCTTCTTATTTAATATAATATTCTATTCTTTATATTATCCTTTATAAGTTTAGTATTTATTTAATATTATATTTTTATAGTTCTTTAATTTTAGTATTTATTTTAAGTATTACTTTCTTTAATATTAATTTTAATAATAAGATATAAAAAATAAAGTATATCTTTATTCCTTAAAGTAAAGATAGTTTATAGCTAATTTTTAATAATTTCTTTTTAGTTATTTTATTTTAATATTTTATTAAAAGAGGTATATTTTATCCCCTTTCTTTAAAGTTAGTCTTTTTAATCTCTTTTAATTAATATAATACTTTATTTTATTTTAGAGAAGGATCTATTTTTATTATAAATAAGTATATATTTATTAAAGTAATATAGCTATTTTTATTACTTATAATATATTAACTTTTAATTACTAAACTATAAATATAAAATTATATTTATAATTTACTTTAAATAATATTATTTTAATTACTTTATTATTTAAGCTATTATAAGCTTATTATATTATAAATAATAATCTTATTTAATTATCTTATTTATAATTAATATAAGATTATAAATATTATTTAAATATTTAATTAAATTCTTATATTTATTTATTTATTTATAAGTAAAATATAATTAATAAAGAATACTTAATTCTTAGTTATTATATTAAACTTATTTAAAACTTTAATATAAATTACTTATCTCTATTTATAATAATCCTCTTTAATAGTTTATATTAATTAATTATAATCTTTAAAAATATAAAAGTAATATCTTTAATTATACTTAATTCTTTATATAATATAAAGTAAGTATATTTTATAAGTTTCTTTATAATAATTAAAATATTATTAAAGATAATATTAATTATTAATTCCTTAAATAATAATAATTTAATAATAAAGTCTATTATAATTATATATTATACTTTATTTAATAATAAGATTAATTAAAGCTATTTATAAAGTATATATTAATTTACCTTTACTTTATTATAAGTATTATATTCTTTAATAATTTTTTAAGTTATTTTCCTTAACTTAAAGAAGTCTTAAGTTTATTATAACTTTATATAAGTCTTATAAATCCTTTAATATTTATATAATAGATATTTATAAAATTCTTAAATAAGTTTATTTTATAATATCTTAAAAATATAAGAATAATTATTAAATAAGATTATTTTTTATTCCTTTAAATATATTTAGTTTATTTCTTAATTATTAATAAGTTTATTATTTTTATAAATTTATTTAATATATTAGATTTACTTTTAATTAAGTATAACCTTTTATATTATATTACTTATTAATTACTTAATTATAAAGTTCCTTAATTAATTTCTTATAGGATTATAGCCTTTTATACTTTAATTAAGGGTTTAAGATCTTTATAGTAGCTAAAAATATTAACTTACTTATTTTTATTACTTTTTTAATATTAAATTATAAAGTTAAATCTTAATAAGAATTTATATTATTTAATTTATTATTTATTTAATTACTTTATTATTATAAAGTTAATTAAGTTTTTATAATTAATATAAAGCTTAATTATTCTAGATAATATAGCTTACTTTATATTATTATATTTAATACTTATACTAAAAGTACTTATCTCTTAATTATTACCCTTAAAAGTTTAAAGAGGCTAAAGTAATTATAATTAAAAAGTTAGGTAAATATAATATTTTTAAGATATATACTTAAAGGCTAATATTTTTACTTTTTTATCTTAATAAAGGACTAAAAAAGCTTATTACTTATTACTTAATTTAAGCCTTAATATAATATAATACCTTATACCTATAATAAATTAATATACTTTTAAAGAAGTCTATAATTAATTTAATTATTATATTTATATATAATATTAAAGTAGCTCTAGTTAATAGCTAAGTTATTATATTAATTATAAGAAATATATAAAGGGCCTTTAATATTATTATATATAACTAACTTATCCTTTAACTTTAATAATAAAAGTAGTTAATATACTTTATTAAATAATCTAGCTCTTTTATATAAGATCGCTTAGCTATAATCCGATTTTAAAATATTATAATATTAATATCGCTTCTTTAATATAGCCTTATATAAGGCTTATTTATAGTACTAATTCTCTTTACTTTATATATCGCTTTTATTTATTACTTTAAGAACTTAAATAATTATTTTAGTTATATAAATAATATAATAATATTATATATTATATATATACTTAAAGAAATAACTATTTTTATAGTTTAAGATATAAAAAAACTTCTTACTTAAAGTATTACTAATAGTATTACTTTTAACTTAAATAAAACTAAAGTAATATACTTCTCTTAAAAGAAGAGCCTTTTTTAGCCCTTTATATTTTAAGGTAATAAAATCGTCCTTAAAAATATAATATACTAGCTTAAGCTCTAGCTCGATTATAGGCTCTCTATTAAATTCTATATAAATAAGTAGTCTATTAAAGTTTAGTAAGTAATTAACCTCCTTAAAGGTATTATAAATATTAAATATAGCTTTCTTCTTTATATTATTTATAAAGTAATTAAAGCTTATATTAAAACTACTTTATTTTATAATATAAAGATATAATATCTTAAAGAGGTAATACTTAATATTATAAACTTAAACTATATTATATTTATATAAGTAAAGTACCTTATCTTATATTTAAATAAAGTCCTTAAATATATTATTTAAGCTACCTTTCTTATATAAAAGATAACCTTAATCCTAGCTATATATTATAAAGTTAATATATTACTTATATTTATTATACTTATTATTTAATAGATTTATTTCTTAATATACTTAAAGTCTTTTAATAGACGCTACCCCTTTATTAAAAAGGCTTTATAGAAACACCCTTAAGTATAATATACTTAAAACCCTAGCTTAACTTAATAAGTTAAGCTAATATTTTAATTAAGGCTATAATATATTAACTAACTCCTCTTAAAGTATTATTACTTAATACTCTTATTATATTATTACTTTAATATAAAAGCTAGCTCTCTTTAGACTATAAATAAAGCTAAAACTATTAATAACTTCTTTAAATAGCTTAAAACCGCTATTATAGCTATATTTATTATTTACTTTAATAAGTTATAACTTTTAAATAGCGCTATAAGATTTAGCTTTATAATATATTAAGATAAGTAAATATTAGTTTAAAGATTAAGCTATTTAAGTCTATTTAAAGTCTTTAATATAAAGGTAATTAATGCCTTAAAGGGCCTTTAAGCTATTTTCTACTTAAATAATATAAAAAGTATAGTTATAGTCTATATTAATAATCTTATTATAACTAGCTATTTATAAAGTAACCTTATTAATTTATTATAAGATAAGTTTATTAAGTTCTAAGAATTAATAACTTTATATAAAAATATATAAGTCCGCTAGATATTAAGATATATTTATATATTAAGTAATAAAGAGGCTAATAGCCTTATTAAAGTAAGCTATTTATAGCTTAAATTATTAAAAGCTATATTATTATTAGCTTATTTACGTTAATTTATAAAGTTATAATTAAGAAATACCTTTAAGGCTTAATAATTAATTAAAGTATTAAGGTTATATAAGACTTTAAACTTTAAGGTAATTATAAGCTACCTTTTAGAGCTAGCGCTCTTAAAAGTAAAACTTTATAGCCTCTTTATAATAAGATCTTATTATAGAGACTTTATTAATTATTATAAGTATTTTAATTATAATAATATATATTTTAATTACTTATATATATAATATAAAATATTAAAGTATTTATTTTATTATAAGAAGGTATTATTATAACTTTAAATAAAGTTTATACCCTTATTAACTAAAGTAATATATTATATAATAAAAAAAAACTTTATAGCCTTTATTAAAATAATATTAAAAAGTTCTTTTTTTAAAGGATTTATTTATATTATTAAGTAAATAATACTCTCTTTCTTCTTTTTTATTTTATATTTTATATTTCTTTAATTTTTAGTTATAGCTAAGTAAAAAGTATTATACCGCTCTTTATATAATTAAGGCCCTCTACTCTAGCTATATATATAGCTAATAAAGAAAAGCCTTTTTAAGCTTATAATAAAGATAAGTATTAACTATAATATAACGTTATATATAACTCTATATCTTATAAATAGATATAAGGCTTTAATAAAAGAGCGCTTTAAGTTAATAAGATAATAAATAATATTTATTTTATAATAAAGATATATTAATATAAACTATAGGGTAGCTAAAATAAGAGATTAATGCTTAAAGTAACTATAACTTAATAATTACTAACCTAGCCTAGCTAATAAGAACTTAGCGAAGTATAGTAGTTTAAAGCTAATATTAATTATAAATAGACTCTTATTAGCCTAATATATCCTTTACCTTAATAAGGGCTTTAGCTTAATAGCTTCCCGGACGTTAAATAATAATATATATATATACACGCTATCCGCACTCGCCGCGCTCGAGTATAGTAAGCACTTAATCTCATGCGTATAGAGGTCGGTCGATCAGATATTAGACCTTTTTAAAGGACTGGAAGATAAATGCGGGGTATCTCCGACGTTAGAATTTCCTACGATACTTCGTAACGAGACCATCGAACTGGGCTGTCAATATCAAGCCGCTTATTTACGTAGACCGTTAATAGCGCTGCTGCCTACTATCGGTAGCGATAGCTCTAGATAACCTGGCTTCTGCCTGCCGTGTCTTAGATGCTGCCTCGATCATATCGGTGTGAATTACTAACCTCTATTCGGTCACTAGAGAGAAGAATCAAGAGATTTTTGTAGCCTAATTCGCTGGGGACCTTCTGCCTGGTCGTCAGTTCGTCATGCATACGTGCAGTGCGACAGGCAACGTAGAGGCTGCAGTCCGTGTCCAGCAAGTGGTACGCCCCATGGAGGAGCTAGAGGAGGCTCGAGAGATACAGCAGTGGCTCAACACTCTCCGGTGCGACAAGTGACATAAGTGCAGCATGAGACGGTGACACGACCCTTGGCGGCTGCCAAGATCGTGCAGCTCGTATTCTGCACAAATAAAATTACTGTGGCTATGAAATATCAACAGTTGCCTTGCAGGCGACGGACATGGAGAAACCATGTGTGCCTCCACTCGATCCGGATAAGAACCCATTCACAGCAAAATATCCATAGCGACCTCCAAATCATGGACCTTTTTCTTCAACTTCTCTCGCCTGTCTCTGATAGAGCGTGATTCTCCAGCAATGGCTGCGAGCTTGTTGTTGTCCAATTGAAGCACCCAGTGCTCCGAAAAGAGTCGAAGCGGACTCCCTGGTCCGGACAGCAGACAATGGTCTACTGCTTGTTGATAAATATTGTCCACGAAACGCTCACGGGCAATCTTGTAGTAGGCTTCGAGAATGTCGTGTATGTCCTCCTTCACATGTTCAGTGTAAGTCTTGTCGTTCACCGCAGACTGAATACGGTCAAGCTCAATAACATTTCGCTTGCCGACGTCAGTGTCTTTGTCTTTAGCCAATGATCGAAAGTTTTCTGTAACTCGAAGGCTACGAGATTGTTGGAGATGGCTGCTAAAATAATGGTTAAGGGTGTACGGCTTTCTGTCTCTCTCCACGTCAACGAGAAACATGCCTTGTTTCATGCCAACCTCGTATCTGGCGAGGAGATCTGTCATGATAGTTGATATGAGCTCCTCGCGGACTCTGCTGTCAATGCATATTTCGCCCAATGCGCTCATAATGAACCTGTGGATAATCGTAATGACCTTGCTGATGTAAATCTGGGTCATGGAATCCCATTTTTTTGACTGCTCGCGGAAAGTACTGGAGAGCAGACCGGGACCAAATGTACCCAGCTCAGCTCCACGGGACCGACGATAAATATTCTCGATCCATTCCATAACGTTCTCCGCCGGGCTTTCCGAGGTGTGTTCCGTTGTGACAATTCTTCCTAGCTCGGGATAATCCTTCGGATCAGGTACTTGAAATTCGTAGAGGTCTTCACCCTGGAGTTGCAGGTTGCCCACGTCATCGTCTTCGTCTGAGCCAACATCACACGTTGACTCCTCCGCCTCAGATACGGAGTCGGACTCAGATCTCTTAATGGATTGGAAACAGCGGGTATGTGATGAAGACACAAAGTCAGAGTTGAACCTGTCCGTAATGTTGATGATGGATGTGATGAGGCGGAGTTCGTCGTTTGCCAAGGCCGGATGTGCGGAGTAGTCGGCATCCAGAGCAGCTCGCGCCATGTTTTGAAATGTACTTGCAATCGTGGCAAGATACTGCTGCTGTTCCCTTTCTGTCTGGCGGGACTGACCGAGTTCGTCTAGCTCTTGTTGAGCCTCAGCCAGCATCTGACGTGTCTCTATTCGAAGCTTGGGAAATGCCCTGTCGGTTATGTGTCCCAGGAGCTCTTGCAGGCGTCCACGCAAAGCGGACACTCCGACACGGTCTGGTGGAAGTCTGCACCAAGGCTCTTCTTTGAATAGGTCCTCGCGTCGCTGAGTATTTGACCCATCAAAGCCTTTGTCATCACCGCCTCGATTTCTCACCACATAGTAGCCAAGGTTCAGCGGGTGTCGTTTTCCTTCCACCAAGCTGCAGACCACCGCTTTGGCACTATGTTCTGTGACAAGATCGGGCTTGGTAAGGACTCCCAGTGTCCGTTCTCCCGTTCTGTCATACTGTTCCGCAAGTGCCAGGATCTCCTGTGTTGTGACGTCAACGTTGCTTGGCAGGACAGCCAAGATAATAGTTCGGTCATCGCGAATATAGCCTTTGACCATGTTGCTGACCAGCTCTTTGTCTCTCTCGGTCGTGACTCCCTCTGTTATCTTGCGAAATATGCCCGGCACGTCGATCACGGTGAGATAGTCCTCGTCGGGGCCGCACTTCTCGATTTTCAGTACGTCTTCACTGAAAGTTTTATCGCCCTTCTGGTTTTTACCCGTTTTGACACCCATGTGAATGTTGACCTGTGAGTGGCAGGCGGGTTAGTCGGACTGCCAGGATCTCTCGGTAGAGCGCTTACCTCGTCTAAAATAGCCTCGAATTGGACATGAAGGTCTGTTGTTGACCTCACGGACTTCCGATATTCTTCAAGTCGTGACTTCTCTGCCGGTGTTGCCTGCGGCCCAGGAATGATACTGATATTGATACTCTCCAGATCATCGCGGCGGTGGGATATTTGCGTTGCGTATCGCGTGCAGAGCTCCTGTCCGCGGGGGAAAGGAATTCCTGTAAGTGTTTCCAGCAATGACGATTTACCGGAGCTTTGATCGCCAACAACTACGAGCTGTGGCAGTGGGAGGTGCTTCCCCACGTTCTTCTCGCGCAGCTGATCAATCTTCTGGAGACGACCGGGGCTGGTGAGTGCGCTGGGGATACCATGGCTCATGGGTGCCACCATTGTGTTTGTGGACACTCCTACTGAGCAGAAGCAGCAATATTGTCCTAACTGACAGAAAAGAAACAAGCTCACATTCGTAATTCCGATGAAATGTCCATCCAACGGCGAGAGGTGATTATTTGTACAGTTGCTCGTGGCGGACCGCCACGTCCTGCCAGATGAGCTCTCGGCCTGTACAAGGAGGTTCAACACGGATTCGCTAAATACTTTACGTAAAACCGGAGTATCTTTGAATGTTTGCGCCTGTCAGCGCTTGCAGCCAACACAGCGTCGCAACGAGATGCAGGGGGAACACAAGCGAAATGACGAGACGCAATCCTTCTAAATTACCATCCACCAGGGTGAAGCTCCGGTACGGGCTTCCCACATCAAGAGTCACACTGGGATACAGATGGCAACGTGAATTGCGCCTTGTTATTGTCACAGCGCTAATTGCCCAGACGGCACGCCCACCAAGAGCAGTTCAGCTTCAGCAGCTGGTCGATGCAACTGAAACGCGATGTCATCGTTGAGTCCACCGATCCGAGATTATTGTTCCTTCAGGGTCTTCGGACTTCGGTTGTGTCACGATACAGGATTGGATTATTTCTGGTCCAGCTTGATTTGGCGTTTCCCTTTGACCATTTCTACTATCTCGAGATTCTCTGGCAGGCAGGCTTCAGTGTGACCTCCTGCCCAACTCTGGATATCACTACGTCCGTACTACTTCAGTCCAGATTCAGCTTTCGTCGACGAATCACTCTGCACTTCTTCGAGCCAATGATTTTCTCGTATCGATGAGTATCTACATGTCTTGTCCTCAATGTAGAGCTGACTGGTCGCAAACCTTCGTATGACCTGTCTTACTGCGGTTCCTCGCGACATTACAGGGTTCTGGGGAATACAGCCGATTGAAAGCATGTGGAAGTGTTAATGGTGGCCATTGAACGCCGAAACCGAGCGAATATTTGCGTATCATAGTCATGCTGCCAACTTTAGTCCGCCGTTGCGGGAGGCTTCGTACGAGGGGTGAACAAGGTGAAGCGTGAGGCATATTCTGCGCAACCTCATCGCGGCCACTGTGACACCACTGCACTAGCGGCCCGTCCCGTCGGCATGTTGCTCACACTTCGAAGGCTTGCTCCCCATTGAGCAGACACCAGGACGGGACAATATTGGTACAAAAGTTCCTCTTAGTCCGCGGGGTTGAGCCGCCAGCCTCCAGGATGTAGTGGAGCAGCGTCCCCCTTTGACATGCCATGTTGGCGGCATCTCCTTGCTCCGCGCCATCCCGCCGCGCAGTGGGGCCCGTCCACAGACCCTGTTTCCCACTCTTATCGACAATCGGCATCTCCACCCGTGGCCTGACGGTGTCGAGATTGGCGCGCAGGGACGGAGGCGGCGGCTCACCGCGTGTGGGGACTCCAGGGACCGCCTGCCAGAGGTCACCGAAAGACGTGCCGCTGATCTCGTGAGTAATGGGCTCAAAGGCCTGGACATTCGCGCAGCATAGTTAATCCTTGCATGGGGTTAGGGTTAGGGTTAGGGTTAGGGTTAGGGTTAGGGTTAGGGTTAGGGTTAGGGTTAGGGTTAGGGTTAGGGTTAGGGTTAGGGTTAGGGTTAGGG